TTCCCGATCTATTTACCATCACGTGACCTCGTCACATGATTTTCTGCCGTCACGTGACCTCGTCACATGCCTTCATGGTTCTCTGTGGTAATGCARCACATTACCCGAGCCTCAGGCCATAAGGTTGGCGTTCGTAACAGAGTTATACAAAGCTAATTACTTCTCTGAGTTAGCAAAGAAAGCTATAACTTTAGTAAAAAGCTTGAAAAAATCACGGAGAGCTGAAAGGATAACCTCTTTATTGCTGTCTTTGTTTGGATCAAAGAGATCCTTGATAATAAACTGTAAGCCGTGAGAATCACAAAAGACTGAGTAGACGTGTTCCAGCCTTGGGGTAGAGTGGATACAGGCCCAAAGTGAGCGCTGAGTATCGCAAGTATCCGTAGCAAAGGATGACTACTTCTCTACCTGGTCCTTAGTTAATTCCTTGACGATATTGTAGATGTAGTGGAGTGACTATTGGGCTGATGCTGTAACACCTCCAATCTCACTAGTTTTCCAATAGTAAGCTTGTCCCTTAGCTATAACTATAATGTTTTCGACGCGAGCCCTTGAAACGTTGGAAGACCTATCAGATACTATTCCAATATAAAAAGACTTATCAATTACCTCCTGAACTTCCTCCTTAACCTGGTCGTAGTAGTGATTCAAGAGCTCATTAGCTAGCTTTTTAGGATTAGGAACTTTAAAGTCAAGAGCTTTAAAGAACTCTATCTATTCAGGAGTCTGGAACGTCGAAAAAGCAATTGTTGATGTATATACTACCTTGGCAAATAGCTGTTCACAGTTTTACTTACGTGGACTATTGAACAGGGAGGCAATAAACACTGTAGCAGCTCTATTCCTCGTCTCCCTATCCAATTTAGCCCTAGCGTAGAAGCTAGGAGTCTGCTTGCCTGTCTCCTGAAGGTGATTCTGGTATTAGTCGCAAATAACCATATATAGCTGACAGAATTGGGTAGTATTCCAGGCCTTATTCATCCCACAGTAAGAACAGACAGCCCGATCGTGTTGACCAGGGACCTTAATTCGCCGAAAGACTATTAAAGCCTCCTGATTCTCCCGTGGATTGATTCTAAAGGCCATTGGATTGAAGTRGTATRRGTAGTTGGAGTRGTAAAARGTTGTTGTTCTGGAGAAAAGCAATGGGCCTAGGAGATTTTRGTATTACCTAATAAAAGCTAAGCCTAATATAGTATACGTTAGTCCTAATGCGGCTAGTTTTATCACGTGGTACAATTACATTATAATAGCCCAAATCGCACGTTATTATAGTATAATCACTAAATGGGCAAATTATATATAAAGGCCGATCCCTACTTGGTAGTGGCGTAGCCTCTCGACAACAGCCTTGCCGGTCCCCTTAACCTCGTCGAAGTCACTCATGCCCCTCCACCAGCCGACCGATTGTCTCTCCCTTTACACCCGCAACGATGATGCGCCGGGGGTCCAAATCCTCAGGGGATAACCCTCTGGATGATATCTGCCCCGTCTGTAAATCCAACCGGTACCTCAATCCATCCCTCCAGTTCCTCATCAATCCAGAATGCTACCACAAGATGTGCTCGACTTGCGTGGACCGAATTTTCACTTCCGGCCCTACATCATGCCCGGTCCCTCACTGTGGGAAGACTCTCCGCAAGAAGGGGTTCCACAAAGCTTTTTTCGGCGATCTGAAGGTTGAGAGGGAAGTGGATATCAGGAAACGGGTCGGCGAGGTCTTCAACAGGCGGCAGGATGAGTTCGAGACGTTATTAGATTGGAATAATTATCTTGAGGAGGTGGAGAGTCTCGTTTTCGATTTGGTTGAAGGGACACAGAAAGAAAAGGCAGAGGCGGAGCAGAAGTTGCGTGCATACCGAACCATGAATCTACGAGACATCGAAGAGAATAGGAAGGCAGGTTTGGAGGAGGCAGATCAGGAGCGGAGAAGGGAGGATGAGGAAAAAGAAGCAGCAAAACGGAGAAGGCTGGAGACCCTGAGGGAAGAGCAGGAGGCCAAACTAGATGTCGAAAAGAGTCGGAGAGACGTCCTTGAACGAATGGCAAATACGGACGAGGACCCGAATATCATTTCCCAGCAAGCTCAGAAAGTCATACTCAAGAAATCTTCTGCAAGGAGAAAGATGGCGGACACGGCCACAGAGAGCAATGGAAGCGCAAGAGACCCGAATCTCACAATCAGGGGCTTGAAAAAGAAAATTGCGCCTGTACTGGAGAAGCCATACGATCCTTTTGGCGGCATCGACCTCGCTCCTTCACGGTATGCTCTTCAGGATCATTATGACAACGAGTGGCTTGCGGGCGCGAAAAATGACGCTCGGCATATGGCTGGAGGGTATAGCCTGAAAGAATATTATGCTCGAACTATGTTCGAAGCATTCTCCGGCCTCGGTGTGTTTATTGAAGAAGAGGTTGTGAACCGAGGTCCACCTGTGACTTCGCCTGCAGTCGCAACTGCTGCTGCTGCCGAAGCTTCTGGGGGCAGAATCAAGCTCGGGCATAAGATGGAGCTTGATGACGTATTCTGAGGCGACCAAATTTGGATCGTACTACAGTAAAGTTATTCCCACTGTCTAGTTACAGCATAGCGAGGTCACATAAGGAGTTTTACGGTGCGGTGGTGTTACAGGCGTTATTTGTATTATGGAGGCAGTCATACGCAGTCAAGCTTTCATTGAGTAATATCAATGCCCATTTCTCATCTTAAACACTTAAGACAAGGCACTGCAATACCACATTACCACTTTCAATGCTAGTTCAACCCCGTCTCCCTTCCTGAAAGTTTTCTAGAAAACCTTCCTCGTAACGCCACGCTATAAGAGCCCCTCGAGCTGTATAAAAGAAAACACATCGATCAGTGGACCACAAGTCACTTTATTGTTGCCATGCTTGCTGCTGTGCCGGTCTAGGGAAGATTGGGACCGTCTCCAGGTTATCCAAACCACCACCTATAGGCTGCTGGTTCTGTTGCCAGCCACTTCCAGTCGCAGTGTTAATAAACTGACTTTGACGGAATGGGTTTGTGCTCCCAGTGGGCTGTGGCATCAATCCTCCGCTCGTTTGGGGACGTTGGGCGGGAGTCGTACTAAGGTTTCGGGCAAAAGGGTTTGTGCCCGTGGCCATAGGCTGAAGTGAAGTTGCACTTTGTTGTTCTTGGAATTGGTTAGATGGTGGCGAAAATGGTTTCGTGGATGAAGGAGAGGCTGATTTTGCAAATGGATTTGTTGATTGGCGGCCAATTGGTGATGCCATGGGAGGGGTGCCCCCAAAAGAAGGCCCAGGCATACCTGTGGGGTTCGAGACCATCATAGACTGCCGGAAAGGGTTGGTTGTCTGAGGAGCTCCTGTTTGCATAGGGGCGAGTTGCTGTGCCTGCGCTTGCTGTTGTGCCTGCTGCGGAAACGATGCAGGTGACTCTTGCGGTATGGAAGAAAGGCCTCCAGGTTGGAATGGCGGTTGAGGAGTATAGCCTCCAAAGCCAGCACCAGTGAAATTTGGCTGAACCTGTTGTGGCTGTGGCTGTTGTGATTGCTGTAGTTGTTGAGGTCCAAACCCGGTATGGAAATGTTGTTGGGCAGTCTGGTTAGGATTCTGGAAGCCTGTTTGTTGCTGGGGAAAGTTATTCGGCGAAAACTGCGACGGGGGCTGCATCTGAAATGGTGGTCCGTTGTTGAACTGATTAAATGGTCCTGATTGGGGATTAGGCTGGCCCATGGGTTGTTGATTCTGCTCTATCGAATCAAAGAAGTCGATCAGGTCAGGATCAGGTCCTTTTGCAGGCTGAGGCTTGGGTGTTGGTTTCTCTATTGCCTCTGTTAAGGCACGACCTGCTACAGCCCTAGATTCTGCCTCATTCTTTGCGGCGGTCCCAAAGGGTTTGCTAGCTCCGTTCGTTGTCCCCCGGGCTTTCTTTGACTCCTGCTCTGCCAGATATTGTCTCCTGTTAACCTCGAAATCGGGGTCCATAAGATAATCCTCCAATTGCTTTCCGAGATTAACAGGCGCGTGTTTTAACTTGGGTACCTCGACACGTGTCTGATGCTCGTACTGCCGGGCTGTACTAAGATATTGAACTACAAAATCCGTCTGTTTTGTGAAATTTTTGTAGATTTCCATTGCACGCTCTGCGTCAGACTTTGACATTTCGAAGAAATGCCCTATAGAATCGTTAGGGGCAGTGGTATATTATAATAGAACACGTCTCACCTAATATATTGATCATGGCCTGGTTCATGACGTGAAACATTGCTAGAAGATCCAACACAAGCATCCGGAATACCGTGATGGTGATTTCGTTCTCGGGTTCGTTATCCAGAACCTATATCTTCTCAGCGAAATATGACGGAATAGACAACCTAAACTTACATCGCATTTCAGTAACGATCTAATCTGCTGCTGCACAATCTCAGTCTCTCGCAGTAGACCCTTTTCAACGCTCATCTTTTCCAACCGTCTCTCGGCACCACGGACGTAGTCGCATTTCGTATCCTTGTATGCTCTGGCCCGTTCGGCGAGGTAATTGGTATAATGGCGGATATTCCGGCCTTGGGTTTGGACTTTACCATGCTCTGTTAGCACAGTCTCAATAAAGTTGCCTGTGAAGGCTAAGTTATTTGGAGCGTTTTATAACTGCCAGCTCCGAATATGCCTACCATCAGAAAAGCTGCTTATGGCAAGCATATTTCTATGCCTTGACAAATATGCCAGTGTCACATCTGGCGATCCTTCTCTAATCATCAAATGTACTGTAACCAAACTCTTGAATACCACGGTCCATGTCGAGTCGCGCAATCGGTTTTGCAGTGCTCGGAATACCTCTCCCACTCCCGCTTCTCCGGAATGTGTGGCGATTAATATATGCTCAATGTATCTATGTAGTAACAGGATCAGCGCCGGCCACTTCTGTTGGGCATGTAGAGGGAAAGGGCTTCGTACTTCGACTTTGGCGGGGCGGCCTATGACGGTAACTATCAGCAAAGCATTACAACAGCAGCAGAATACATAAACAAAAATGGATGCATAACCATACCTTGATCTTGGTCGCCCCCTTCACAGACTTTTCGAAAGAACTCGTCATCTCCAGCTGCTGTGTCGACAGCTGGCTTGCGACAACCAGACAAAGGGTGAAGGGCTGACAAGAATCCCTCAAATGTGTCGACGGACCCACGCGTCAGGGAGAGTAATCTTACGGCTACAGCCTGTCCGATCCGATCCAGACCTTAAAATATATTCGGAGCCCTATGAGCATATGTGGATGCGGTGTTTATCTCGGAGGTTTCGTCTTCGGCAACATGCTGTTGGCGAAGGCTGAAGAAGCTGGCCGCGATCAGTCGAAATGACGATCCAATCCAGGCTATTCACTATAAGTTCCCCGACCACCCTGGCACTTCCGCTACTGTGCTGTACCACTACCACCACGACCACTATTCGTGAATAATATGGTCAGTACTTATAAATATTTCGCATTCACGTATCTATATCTATATTTATGTAAACATCGGTATCTTCAAGATATAACGTTGACCTCGTGTTTACCAACGGTGCTTGCGATCGTGCTCAGGTGGTGAAGCGTCATCACTAGCCCCAGGATGATTGGTGAAGGCAGCCACAGCAATCTCAGAATCACTCCATATAATATATCATTGCACATCGTGCCATCAACTAGAGATAGATATCATGATACAATAACTAAGGCCGGAACATACCCCAATAATCAATAATGCTATAAAAAAGTCCGCCCCTGCAACTCCCGCTGTTCCCAACTTGCAAGACAGCCAAATGTCTCGACATCAAAACACGTGTAGTTTCCGTACCGCATTAAATGTTCAAGTCCCGAAAGCACCCATCGACTATCTATGGACTATCTATATTGCCTCCAGGATGGAACAGCCAATCTGCCGAGTATCTGCCCACTGATCAGGCCAGCTCGTTGCATCTGCTCGTCCACCGACGGAGCCTTCCAAGCTTCAAGGATCAGAGATGCCTTTATCGCGTCCGATGTTAAACAAGGTGGGTGTGTCGAACGCTTATTTCACTCTCCCCATCTCCTCTCACAATCAGACCGCTTAAGCCCGTGAGGGAGAGTCTGAGAGCTCGAGGAGGAGGGATTGCAGTCATACTAAACACGCTGGCTTTTCATCATCTGTAAATATATATTAGCAAATGTACCACCAACCATACGGGACTCGCTGGTTTGAGTTGGGGGCTTACTTGTTTAAAACTTGGAAGGATAGAGAGAAAAAGAGGAACCCGAACGCGAAAAGAATTTACTATATACTTTCGGTTCCGACATTTTACCGACGATGCTAGGCCAAATCGGGACAGCTCAAGGGAAACGTCTGGTTTGGAGAGTAGAACATGTGAAGCTTCCAACATCGGTAGCCATCAACTATTAATAAGATAATGGGCAATGACTTCCCTTCCATGCGCTGGCAGGATTGTGCTGTGGCTTAATAACCGGACAGGCTTCCAAGCTTCCTCATGGCGGAAAGCGATCTTGCATCCAGCGTCTCGCATACCCCGACGATGCATCCACAATACCGGCGTCAGGTTTGCAGTGGAGGTAGAAGGGGGCGGGTCAAGAAGCATCTCTGATGGCGATTGCTGGAAAGAATATCGGAGTTCATGTGTGTATCTACGTGTGTTTTGCATTCTGTTCTGACTTATGTATTTAGTCAATGTCCCAACTCCTACTTTTCCATTCGAAAACCAGGTACCATTAGATCTTATGGACACGAAAGTTACGGCCGTTGGGTTTCTTAAAAAGATCGTACGACTGTCCGATGCTCTAACTTTTGCTCAATTGACCAGAGGTGCCGGCCCCGAGCAAGTTCAAATTCTGTTGAGAGATCTCGAGACCACCAAGATGTTAGATTCTATTCGATTGAACAGTGCCATCAGCGTCACTGGGGTTCTCAAATCAAAATACGCACCTAAGAAGCCTTCCAAGGCCAAGTTGGCATATACAGAAGTGGCTGAAGAGGGCTCCATCTTTTTAAATCAGGTCGAAATTTCGGCGGAAAATATTACATGTCTGAATTCGTTTGAGAAGAATATCCCTTACGGGCCAGACCATGTCTACCCCCCATCAAGCAGACATTTACAAATTCGGTTTGACTCCAAGCTTCGTGATACACTTTTCTTCAGGTCTCAAGTCGCAGCATATGCCCGGGAAGAGTTGAGAGACTTCCACGAGATAGAAACCCCAATACTCTTCAAATCTACTCCTGAGGGAGCTCGGGAGTTCCTCGTTCCAACGAGAAAAGCCGGTTGTGCATATGCTTTACCCCAGAGTCCTCAGCAATACAAACAAATGTTGATGGCTAGCGGCATCAACAAATATGTCCAGTTCGCTCGCTGTTTTCGTGATGAGGACCTTCGCGCTGATAGACAACCTGAATTTACGCAGGTAACTTACCTTTTATTCTATTTACTTCAAATAATTAAGTGGTGTTTAGATAGATCTTGAGATGGCATGGGTAGACGGGGAGGGCGTTATGCAGAGAGTTGAGAAGTTGATAAAATCGCTGTACAACAAATTTACCAAGCCGCGTACAGCTCTCCTCCCACTACCTAATACTCCTTTTTATCGAATGACATACGATACTGCTATGTCTTACCACGGCTCTGACAAGCCAGATCTCCGAATACCAGGCTTAGTATGTCCCTGCATTTAACACTCTTCATCAGTTCAAGTGCTAATTATTTCAGATACATCGGGTGGATCACATCGTACCAGCACAGCTTCGGAGCATGACCACGGATCTCCAAGATCCCATTATTGAAGCATGGAAAATCCGACTGAATGCTAGCCCCGACACCGTCCAGAAATTCATTCGCAACTTCTTTTCTGGACCAGATGGAGAGCATTTTGGGAATAATACCGACGGTGCGCCAGGCATCTGCGTGTTTAATTCTGGTAAGCCACTTGAAGGTTTACAAATCTTCGGCTTCGAAGCCGCCGAGCAGCTCAAGGAGGTATACTCAAATTCGCCTGCCCAACCTTTCGAAGATCAAGACGCCCGTAATGTTTCCACTACCGTTGATGATGGAGACTTGATCATTTTACAGGCTCGTCAAAATTTGCCCCATTCCGGTGGCTCTACCACCCTAGGTAAACTTCGCCTTGCAATCTATAATGCAGCACTAGCAGAAGGGCTTATTGAGCCTAACTCGAAACACCATTACCTCTGGGTCACCGATTTCCCGATGTTTACGCTAGAGGATGGCGTTGACCCAGGCCAGGGTGGGGCTGCTGGATTCTCTGCAACGCATCATCCGTTCACGGCACCGAAGACTGCCGCTGATGTCGACCTTCTGCTGACGGAGCCTCTCAAGGCCAAAGCTGATCACTATGATCTTGTTGTCAATGGTGTAGAATTAGGCGGTGGAAGTCGACGTATTCATAGTGCTGAGGTACAGAAATTTATTATGAGAGATGTTTTGAAGGTTCATCATTCTTCCCCGCGCCATTCGACCCCTATTTATACTGACATATTTGTAGATGAGTCAAGAGCGGATAGAAGATTTCTCTCACCTTCTCAAAGCCCTTAGTGCAGGCTGTCCGCCCCATGCAGGTTTTGCCATCGGCTTCGATCGTTTAATCGCCGTTATGTGTGGTACAAATTCCGTGAGGGACGTTATCGCCTTTCCAAAGAGTTCGAAGGGGGATGACCCTATGGTATTAAGCCCACGTCGGGTGACGAAGGAAGAATTAGGGCGGTATAAGTTGCAGGTCATTCCTGGCGAAAATGCAGAATTAGATGATGAACCCCTCGTGGGCGAAGTTCCTCGAGCTTAAGAATTGAATTGTTAGATAACGGGCGTGCATAGAATGTCATATACGACAAGGATGGCGAGTGTTTATAAAACACGCCAAGAGTTGTGATTTGAGCGGCGTCGGAACGGAACCACTAGGTAGCATTACAGGCGCTGATAATATCTCCACTTTCCCCGTCTACATATCTACGACAATGTACAATTACAATACAAAATTCCAAAACCTCTAGCAAATGGTATTTCAACGACTTTTTTGCAAATAACTTGTAAGATATTTGACACTGCGGGTACATCAACTAGTTGATATTTCCAAACGCTCTTACTTATTTCAAAGTCCCACCAATCACTTGTTAGGGGAAGACGCAGTGTATTTTGTCAGTTCCCCTCAGTGACATAACTCCAGGGCTATCATAGGAAGTAAAATACATACTATCCTATTACTTCCTAACTACTATAGGTCTTGTTGTTTGTTTTATACTTACTACCTCCTTATTTTATAGAGGCTTCTTCCTACTCCTCGATACTATAGAGATATAGAGGGAGAGAATGTAGTTGGAGCTTCTAAAGAGTTTTTACGCAGAGATACCTACCTACCTTAGCTAGATACCTTATACCTAGGGATAATTAGGTTAATGATGACCCGTGAGCAGCCATAACCGCATGGGACATTTTCTAATACTGTCGCCGAAACTCGTCTTGCCCACTCCTGTGGTCTAGCTTCGAAAGAAGACTTCTCGGCTCCTCCACGATTGCATTATAAAATGCCACTTCTTGAGATTCTTGCTCTAGCGAGATTAATAGAACTCGCAACATCGAGAGCCAATCCCACTGTTTTAGGTAAATCGGTGGTAGTTCACATTTGTACGCCTTGAAAACTAAGCTGTAGCAAGTCTTGGCGACAATCATAAGACTCAAGGAAGAGCGCCGGAACTATATGATTCTTGGGAATGAGATAGGAATCAAATTTTAGAGTTGAAGCGCACATGATAACAAGCGGCAACTGAAAAATGCAAGTGTAAGAATGTGGACTGGAAGCGCTTTGTTATTTCAAACCCTGATAGATTAGAAGTGTAACCGGTGATTAATTGATTGATTAATTGATTTATTCATACGTCAGATCTAGGCCATGAGGCCTATGTAGGTGATACTACCGGCTTTCGCCACATTTCCATACCCCCCGCTTGGGCTGCTGTTCCGTTTTGATCACTGAGACGCTGCAGTTTCTCTGATAGGGGTGGCATTATAAATCTCTTCCTATGAGCGACCCTTATTTCTATCCGGAGCAGAGTTGCGACCTCTTTTCCCCCCATTATATTCCCAGTTCAGTGCTCGTCCACCTCCAAATTGCATTTCGGACGTTCGATTATACAATTAGTTAATCTTGTATCCACCAATGTTGTTGAGAACTGACAATCCAGTCGCTTCTTAGAGTCCCCTGCATTATACCAAAAGCTTATTCAAAATGATGATCAGTACTTCATCTTCACAACATCCTCTAGTTTCCCTTTGTGACGCTTGTGAGCATCCTCCTGATGCGGGCTGTACGCAGCAACCGCATGGGAGCGATGGTCTCTGTCTTCTTGGAGAAATCTCTCCATACTGGGTGGGTTCGATGAGCTGGACGAGATGCCCGAGGTCGAATTCTCGGTTTGACCATGATTTGTGTGGCTAGAAGTTTGTGGGGATGAGGAGTCGGCCGAGCCGTTGTGGGCCGCCTTCGAGCCGTTGGAGGATTTTGGGGGGTTGGTATTTGCCATGGTCATTTATGTTGATAGTTGCAATCGCAGGGACAGGAGTGTATAATGAAGAGGGTGAAAGTGGTTAAATGGCCCTGCTATGCTTTGAGAAATGCTGTGGAAATGGTGTTGCTTTAGTGCGTGTGGGATAAATATTGGTGCAGGCAGATCATAGATTTCAAAATAACAAGTGCGCGAGCAAGCTCCTGAAGGTTTGAACCCTTTGGGATAATACCCTGAAGGGCCTGTGTTGGCAGTTGCCTGGTTGGATTTGAAGATTTGAGAACCTCTTGGGTGAATACGGGAGCTCTAGCCGCTTTTCGGGTAGTGAAATTGTAGCAGGAGCAATAACAAGCACAACAACATAAAGACTCAGGGTGAGAGAGAAAAGAGCTTGATGATTGCCGTGTTGGGTGCAACTGTGCAAGGTAAAGCTATCTTGTGTAGGAAATAGTGGCAGAAACTTTCTTTTGAATAAATCGTTCGCAGTGCTGACGCGTGGTGCTTATGGGCGGTTCTGGGCGACAAAATAGCATAATATACTGCTCTAATATAGCAGTATTGTATTTTGGTTGTGACTAGAGCCTTAATGTCTAAGGCTTTGGGCGTTTCAAAGAATTCAAAATATGCCTAACATATCAAACGCAGTAGAGGGAGGAAGTTGGGCTAATGCGCCCTCGGAATTGCGCTTATACTCACTAGAGCATGGGGGCATATAACAGGGCAACCGCTTAGGAACAGGGCGATGACGAGGGAAACAAGTACAAACCTTCTTCACAGCAATAATACAAAGGGCGGTGAACTCTAGATACCTATGGAGCGTTCTAATATTCTGTTCAGCCAGTCCATATGACTTTGCTGGAACATGGAAGTGCCCCTATAGGTCCGGGATCTCCCCATTACCTTAGTTTTGTTGTACAGCATTAAATAACATTCGTCCTATCGCTGTGTATCCTGAAGTTTGAAGAATGATTTCCCCGAATCAAAGTTGTGGTGTTGCGTTGTATCAGGGCTATGTCAACTGGCGGAAGGGCGATAAATAGTGTGCAAAGGGCGGTTGTAGCCTTGTAGGGCGTGATACGCCCCCACGCTAATGATGTTTAAGGAAAGCGCCCCATGACGAACCCAGCATTGTCTCAAAGGGTAGGTAGAGCAAGAAGAGCCATGGATAGCTGTTGGTCCGAAGGACAGAAGAAGACATCGTTGCTGGTGGTATGCAGAGTATCATCCATCATCTGGCACCAGCTTGGACCGCCAACCGGGTCGGCTCGGCCCAAAAGCCGATCGGATGTGCAGTTTGCCAATTCCAAAGCCAATGACCACGGGCCGATAGTCAATTTTGAACTTTGACTATTGGGGCGGTCCCAGCTGATGGGAACGGTTGTCTGGTGTACAGTACAGGTTACGCGTCGGGGAAGAACCAGTCTGCATCCGCCCGCGAACCCCATGCATGACATCTGACCCAGATACGGGCAGTGGGATGTCGAACCGCCCAAAACTTAGTGACATTGGCACTGACGTGTTTGTGAGTACGCCTCAACTCCTTGGCTTCATTGTCAGCAGGTCCAGCTGCTCTACCTCGCAATAGAGGATGCAGGCCGCAGGCGAATGGCAACGGTACCGGGGGTCTGCTAAAGGCAACGTAGACTTCGGAGGCATCCAGAGGTTGTTGACTTCATGTGCCACGGTCTGAAAGGCCCAGACTCCAGACTCCTGAAGTTGTACATTGTTGTATCCGGATCCGGGTAGTGGTGGAAACTTGAGTATTATTAGTAAGGCTCGTGAAACTTCTAAGTGGTCCGCCAAATACCCTCAAATGCGAATGTGGAAATACTTAATGCCGCAATAAATTTAATTCCTCGTCTAAGGCGCGTTTGCCGCTTCGCAGTAGACTGAGACTCGAGGGATCTAAAACATCAAAGGTATCTATCTGGCAACGCCTATGGGTGCGATCCCACACAAATCACCTCACCAATGCAATTCAATGGACTGACGAACCCATCTCCAAGGTCGTCCATTACTTCTGAGGTTCGTCTTCCGAGCCCCATCGCCGTGCTTCGTCACCAGCCGCCCAGGCCCGTTCAACATATCCCAATTCCTTCTTGACCTTCTCGACCGTTTGCTTATCACCTGTATTCTTTCCGATATTGTCGCTAATTTTAATCGCTTGGCTTCCAGCAGCAGAGTCTAACTTGATAACGATGTTGAGAGGAATTGACTTCTTCCCAGTGCTTTGCTGCACGAAATCATTGGTGAAGAAAGTTCCGACGCCAAATGTTGTGTTGAAGCCTGCTGCGTCAGCGATCTTCTTGTATTCAAGACAGAGATCGATGTTCAAAGAATCTGAGAAGACGATAGTTTTCTTCTCAGTGATCCCCTCCTCATCATAAAACTCTCGCATCATCTTCACGAAATTCACCGGGTCGCCTGAATCCTGCCGAACACCAGTGAAGACGTCTGCAAAGGATTTTGGCTTTCCTCCCTGGACATCCAACGGGGTGTTGGAAGGGATTTCCTCGGTACCAACACCATCAGCCAAGGCACCAGGTTCTGAAGCTGCCATTTGTGTCATAGGCTGACCAAAAGCTTTCAGGAAGGCCGGAGTACCAAAAGTATCAGTGAGGGCAATTCCAAGCACACCTTCTCCAAAACAGTCAACCCAATAGTTTAATGCTGTAGTGGTGGCTGTCTTGTAGTCTCCAGTGATAGCTGCCACCCCCATGAACCATTCATGGGCAACGGTCCCAACAGGTGGGATGCCAAATCTCATAGCTAGATGAACGTTACTTGTCCCTGAGAGCTTTCCGGGCAGGCCGGTCTTTTCGGCTTCCTTATTCGCCTTCATTAGGCCACGAATGACCAATGCCTGGGTATGGTAGTCTCGCCGTCTCCGGGTCCCGAATTCAGAAAACACGCAACCGGCCTCCAGAAGGCGCATTCCCTTACCGTAGGCTTTTTCTTCTTGGCCGTCGTATGTCCAATCCTTGTCCATAAACCGGAAATATGCCTCGCTTGTCAATGCCAAAAGAGGGATTTCGTAGAGAATAGTCTCAACCCACCGTCCTTTAACCATGAGGCAGAATGTCCCAACATCGTTGTCGCCTCCAGTGTCGTTGTCGGGAGCAAATGTGGCTTCGATCTGGTCGCGGGGATTAAGGCGAAATTCCTTCAGGAATTCAAGATAAGGCTTGTTAAGATACGTGCATGTTGTTTGCAGATAGCGGTATTCGTCATTTGAGAGGGCGATATTTCCAAGTTCTATATATGTGAGCAACTGGAGAAGCATCGGCGAGGTTACTGACTGCTGATCTGAGCTTGGAGCCAGCGGAATGCCGTCCTAGAGAGCTTCTTGTCTGGGGTTCTGTTGTGGAATGCATAGGATACATTGACATCTGCGAAGTATTTCAAGACGGCGCATTGCATAGTCAACTTGTAAAGATCCGTGTCCAGGAAGGAGATGACACCCTCCGGGAACGGCGAGGAGCCGTGGAAGTCCATATCGCTGTGTCGCGCAAGTGGGAGCGCGGAAGACTGTGGGAATTAGTGGTTGGCGATTGAGAGGCCTCTACTTCTGTTTATGGAGTAGCTGGCGCAATCTGGGCTGAAAGGTAAGGTGAGTATGAGCAAGCGTGCATAGTACGCAGGCCGTGTTTGTGTTTGTTTGCGATAGTGGTGGGATATTCGTTGAGGGGCACGACGCGGGACGGAGGGGTCATACATACAAACAAGCGCTCGGGATGACGAGCTTAACCGAGTCTGTTTAGTCTGGGAATGTATTCACAGTATTTTATTACGAAAAAATAACGGCCTTGAAGCATTCAATTTTTGGAACGTAATTCGGACGGGCGGCGAAGGGAATTAGTTGAGGGCTTACCCTGTAGTTATTTCCTAGCTCCCTATCATAGCAAATTGAGCGAGTAATAATTCCAAGAAGATCCCCTAGGGCCATTAATTACCCTTATCGATCATTTAATAGTTACGCAGGAGAACTGCCTTTGAAAGGAAACAACTTAGTAATTTGTGATTAAAACGTTTTAGAGCCTTTCGATACGAGTAAAAGGCCAAGGTATTTGAACCAGCTGGCGATTTCTTACGTTAAAACTGTCAGCCACCCAAACCCAAACCAAAAAAACCCCCAATTAATTGGTTGCTGCAACAAGCAAAATGAGATCCAATACTGAGAAACAAAAGTCAAAAAGAATGGTCCTGCCAGGGATCGAACCTGGGACATTTTGTGATCCACAAAGAAATGTTAATTTTCTGGGTGTAAGACAAATATGATAACCGCTACATCACAAGACCATCTGATTTGAAAATTTGCTTATTTCGATAGATATGTGAGTTAGCCCTAGATGCCGGGCATGATCTCGTTTCGGACTAGGGCAACCTATTGGTGACACCACCGCTTCCGATACCGGCCTCTGATAAAAACAGCCGTGTGCGAGTATGCAGTACTCCAATCCATACTCCGTCATCATCGGAACATCAAAATATGGCCCAGCAGTGAGACGGGAGACGGGAGACAGGAGACAACAGAAATTGGAAAACAGTTTTCTTTCGTGATTCTAAGCAGGGAAAGGCACCTTGCTCTCCGGAAAATCCAGATAGATAAATTCAAAGGGGAAGGGGAGATTAGTGTGACTACTCTGTACGCGAGAATCTTGGTTTCTTATATCAAACAACACAATGGACAATATGGAGTACGGATTAACTCTGGCTGTGCAGTTTATAGAACTAATTCGGAAGGATCACTGGCGCGGTTCTTCTTTCTGAACGAGCATCGCTGAAAAGTGCATTATAGAGATAGGCTCCTAGTCTATTTGCCAATCCAACGAGTGCTCACATTTATGTGGCGTCAAAGTTAGACTCTCCAATGATAACTAGTGCAATGCTAATATAGTTACCCATTTCCGTTAGGAATGTAAAAGTAGATAGATATTAGTACTTTTGGAGTTTTAGGTTGCTAGTTTCTATTTGGAGCTAACTTATCATTTGTTGCTGTGGGTCTACTACTTGTTCCGCCGCCATAGGACGAACATTTTCATTTACATACCTGATTTAAAAATATAAAAAAAACAAAAAAACAACAGGAAGATTTAAAAATAAAACCCTATATAGCTAGCAACGAGTATTTAATATTATTATATTAAAAAGATTGGCAAAAAATGAAACAGTCTTAAGAGTAAACATGAACTCTAGAAAGAAACTTGATCTCTCTGACGGGGAATCGAACCCCGGTCTCCCGCGCTTTGTCAGTTGACAAGCGGAAATCATAACCACTAGACCATCAAAGATGTCGGGGCTTGGCTGCCCTTCTTTTTGCAACAAAGTCCATAATTGAGTCTTATAAGGGCTAATTTTTCATGCGCATCTTTCGGAAGGGTCTGCACAGTGCGCTTGCCTGCACCCCTTGTTCTTATTGTTGACCTAGGTAACTAATAGGCACATACGAATTAATATACAAGATGTAATAAATGTAAGGCTTTTACTATTAGAAATTACAACTTTTAACATAGTTCAAGACATTATTTTACTGATGGGAATGTAAAAATAGGCGAACCATTTTTGCAGCTGCAGGAATGCTCAGCTTCACTTTAATTATGTCCAAAAGTCTACATTATTAAATTAATAGGAAATGAGGGTGCGTATTTTGTAGCAGCAGAAGCTTCTACCTTCCGAAGGTTGACTTTTCCCTTTTTGTTCGGCTATATCTGGTTGTTGAGGCTACTATGTAGAAGGCTGGCGCATCATAATGTACGAGGGAATATGGGCAGCACGAGCCAGACCAGAAGCTGGTAATAATCCTCAAGAGCTATCAAAACTACAGTGCTGTGGCCAGCCAAGCCAAGTACCCGTCTTGGTAAACCATATCTCACCCTCCCGGGTTTTGACAAATGCCGTTACCAATTACCTAGGTATTATGGTACTCAGAGGGTTGTTTTTTACATGTTCATTTCGGCCACCATGGCATAGTCAACCAGGCTCGGCTCACCATTGACGACTACAGCCGTACCCCTATCTTGTCCGAAAACCGTACTTGGATTTGAGGTATTTTGTCAGCCAGACGGCAATAGATAATCTCCAATCGAAGAACGCCGTCTACTATTCATCCAAGTCACAGGAGACATTCCAAACTTCCATTCCATTGCCCACAACAAGAACTTTCTTTTGCCTAGCAATCCCTAACCCCGTGCCATCCCTCAATACCACCAAGTCCCCAACGTCTGCTACATTGGTGAAAACATCGTCCATCTTTTGGATTTCTACGGCACCAGTCTGTATATTTCTCTCATCCATATATAACGTCCACTCTTTTACTCTTTGGTCGTTGCTTGAGGATATAATGGAAATCCTGCCCTTGCCGTTTTTTGTTGTCGGCCCAGGCATGATACAGAGCCCGGTGATAGCAGCAGCATGGGCAGATCTCAGGATATGTGTTACTGGATGAAGTGAAGTATCATTTGTGAAGTAGACTGAAATGCCAAGGGCATTGTCGTCCCCACCAGTAACTATTATAGTGTGGTTTTTGGTGCTGCAAAAGGTAAAATCAAGTGACTTTATGGCATTCTGGTGAACTTTGGTATTTGAGAGCATGACAAACTCTGGGGTATTTATGCCGCAATTTTGATCCCTCACTTCAAGAGAGCAGTTGATTTTGCACTTCCAGAGAGTCAGATATCCATCTGTCGCAGTAGTCAACAGATTAATGGTGTTATCGACGACATTAATGTGTTTGATTTGAGTAAGGCAGGATGATGTGTATCTGCCCGAGGCCACCAGACCATAACCGGAAGCCTTGGTGTAGGTATATGTCCGGATCGTCGAATCCGAATAAGCTAGGCTTATCAACAATCTAGGTTGTTGTTGGGAGTCTAAAATGTGCGGAGCCTCTGTCACATTAAAACTCATGATCCTTAAGTCTCGATCGTCGCTCTGGTCCGGGCATGTGGCTTCACATACGACTCCTATTCCGAACCCAGGAATATCTTTAATAGCCCAGATGAAAAACTCCTCGTTCCCGCCACTGCTGAATAGGTATTCTGACCGATGCCATTGGAGATGTTGAATGCCTGCCGTATGTTTCTGAATCACAGCTACGCAGTTAAGTTGATTATTTTTCTTCGCACCACCATCCTCGTAACGCCAGAATCGAATCGAGGTATCCTCAGCACCAGTTGCTAAGACAGATCCGTCTGATGAGATAGCGCAAGCTTTGATTTCTCGTCCATGTCCCCCTTGCTTGACAATCTGATGTGGCAATTTAACCTGGGAATGGATATATAGCCTCGAAGCTTTGGTGTAAATGAAAATTCCACCCCCTTTGGTGCGATATAGAGAATAATACGCATAGCTCCGGTGGGCACCACCACACTCTACATTCATGATTTCATATTGTTTAGTTTCATTCCAAACAACAAAACTTTTGCCTTTGAAGCCGCGAAGAATCAGCATATCATCTTCGAACCAGGCGGCTTCGATCATGGGTCCAAAAGGTGGAGTTCCGCGATGAAGTGGTCGAAGCTTAACAGAATCTAGTTCCATATTTGAGTCAGGAAAACATGATGCAGAGAAGATCGAGTAAATCCCATTCCGGCCTGTGGTTAGGAAATAGCCGGTATTGCCGTTCCCACCCCCGGATGGTGAGAGAGGCAGGATGGTTGTAATAGCATCTCCGTTGCTGCAATCTGGGTCGTTCCAGATGCAGAGCGGATTGTCGAACTTTCGAGGATCAAATACTGCAAGAGAGCCTTTTCTAGAACCCAAAACTAGTAATGAGTGGCATATCCCAGCACTAGTGACGACAAAATCATCAGGCAGCTTAAAAGAGATGCGTTGGGAGTTCTGAAGTCCATCCTCAGCTGTAGAATCTATGGAAAATAATGTTGCGGTTTTGGACGCCAGGGTAGTGACCAAAAGGCTGAAAGTACCCGCGTCTGGGTCAAAGACTTTGAACATGTCGGCAACCTTGCCCACCACGGTTCCCATTTCAAAAAACGAATTTATGCTTTTATAGATATAAATCTTGCCGCTGGATCCAGCTAAACAAGCCACAGAAATTTCGGGAAATCCTTGAAGAACAGCATATGCTTTGAGATCTTCATTTCCTGATTCGGGGAGATGGAGTTCTATCCATTCCATAGTCATAGTTGTGCTAATCTGACCTAGCAAAACCCGTCCAAGTTTAGTAGTAGCCAGGAACTGATTTTCTGATATAAAGGCATATCGATTGAACGCATCTTTCAGCGGCTTCTTCACTTTCTTCTTCGCAGCTGTCTTTCCGTCAACTGGGGGTGATATAGGACGAATATCCGATGGCGAATCCTGTTGTGCTTGGGTAAATAGTGGCCGAGAAGAGCCATTATCCTGCGGAAGGCCCTTGAGCACATCTTCAAGCTCGCATATAGCAGTATATGGAAGGCATGGCTGATTGCCAGTCGTAACCGAATCGAGCAGCTGAGGCTGGGTGAACACTCCTGGAATGGATGGACAAACATTGGTGCTCAACATATCCATACTGTAAAATGATATTTTGCCATCCGCACCCCCAGTTGAAATATTTAGTATGCCGTCGGATCCAGATCGCAGAGCAGTAGACCATATATGCTTCCCACTATGAAATGCAAACGTGTTAACATGCCGAAGACTTGTTTGATTTGTGGCTTCCTCGTCGGTTTTCGAGTCAATTGATTTCTCTGCTGTAGATTCCAATTGCCATTGCTGTGCCGTAGCGTCTTCCCCAAACGAAAGCACACTAACAGACGAATGTTCGAGAACCGTCCGATCATGAACGAGAAATTTGACACTCCATATCCTCGAGGCATGGCCCATAACCATAGCTATACATTTTCCGCTTGGTAGCGGTGTACTAGTATATGCCTTGTTCTTGCCAAATCCAGTTTCTCTTAATATCATTTGTCCGTCTTTCTGTTTGCTCTGTTGAAATGATTCGGAAAGACTCCAGATGCGGATTGTCCTATCATCACTGCAACTTGCTAGTAACCGCATGCTTGTGGTATCTGCACCTCGAATAGGTGGCGATATATTGACTCCGAATATGGATCCTTCATGCCCTTCAAAGGTAAAGAGGGTCTGGGCATCATTGAAGAAGCCTTCGTCCGTGACCGAACTTTGCCAGACTATGACCTGACCAAACACTGTTCCAGCGGCTACCAGTATTTTATTTGGAGTATCCCAGATCAGGTGAGCAGAGTAGAGGATCGATTCGGAGGGAGATGGTAGATCCTCGAGGAAAGGGGGCTGATCATTTTGCCCAAGATTTGCGTGGATGAGCTTGTTATGAGCAGTGACAAGGACACAGCGGTTCTCACCATCGTCGGATATGGCCACATCAAGGATCCAATCCGATACAAGTGCAGCAACACTCGTAAGATTGACTATATCTCGACATATAAGCCGATCAAGGTCCTTCTTCTTGAGCAGCGCCAAGCATTTCCCACCCCAAATGACCACCTGCAGGTCATTTGTCTGGACAGAGCTCTCATTTATGACAATCCCATGAATAGTTTGCCCAGGAAAAATCTCGCACTGGAAGAGGAATTCTGAAGTCTCGGCCTCAAAGACCTTCAAGAATGATCCTTCCCCAGCTAGAAGCAGGAGTCTGCCAGCCAAAGTATGATAGAATTCGAGAGCTGTCACAGGATTAAGAGCGTGGTCATGCTAGAGCCTCGTCAGATTCAACGCAAACGCAAGCTTTGCAAGATAATAGATCCTGAGAGCAGATATTGACTACAAAGATGATGCATCAAAGTGCGTTTCGACACACCTCTCCCCATCTTGGGAAGCAGCCGAACCACCCTTTGAGAGCACTTGCTTATAAAACGTCCCCTCCAGGAGATCAATGGCCGGCCGAGCTACATTTTACATAAAATACGAAGAAAATGCTGAATTGTGGTCGCAGGTACTCACTCACCTTGATCGACATTGAGAAACAGCTGGTGGGTTGCGAATTCGGGTGAAAATTTCAGGGTGGCTTTATGAAGTTTTATGCCGAGCTCTGCCACTTCTAAGTCTACTCCCCTTAAGTATCACAGCACGACCGCAAGCCTACAACACGCTTATTATTAGGCACCTTGGCCTCCACGGCCCTGGAGCTCCAGGCGAGACCGGAGGCTTGCCCCGCGATGCGACGCGGGGCAACAGCGCGTCGCTTCAATTGAGTAATCTTGTCAACCTGCGAAACATAACATGGAATCGTATTTATCCAACCTCTTTGGATTGAGAGGGAAAACCGCCTTGGTTACTGGGGGCTCGAGGGGTATTGGAAGGGCCCTAGCAATAGCTTTGTATTCTAGAGATCCTCCTATTTTATGTGTACTTTGTGCTAATCATGCTTCAGAGCTTCTGCTGGCGCTGACATTGTCCTCCTTGTCCGAGACCCGTCCTCAAAAGAAGTATCGTCGATCGCTTCGGATATCAAAGCCCTCGGCCGAGGATGCATTGTCTACCGGTGTGATTTATCTGACCGGAGTGCAATCCTCTCAATCATTCCTCAACTGTCCCGCGATGATGTTGAAATCGACATCTTTGTCCACTGCGGAGGCCTTCAGCACCGTTGCCCCGCCGAAGATTTCCCCGACACAAACTGGGACGAAATAATAGGAGTCAACCTCACAGCCGGGTTTCAATTAAGCAGAGAGCTTGCAAGACACTGGCTGAGTACTCCGACCAAGGGCCCCCAAACATTTGCATCTTTGGGGAGGAAGAAAATCGTCTTTATTGCAAGCATGACAACCTTCACGGGCGCGGTCGAGATACCGGCTTATGTCGCGAGCAAAGGGGCAATTGGCCAATTGACAAAAGCTCTTAATAATGAGTGGATGAACAAAGGCATCAACGTAAATGCCATCGCTCCAGGGTACATTGAGACGGAATTGACAGGTGGTGTCAAAGATGGGGGCGAGAAGGAACGAAAGATTCTGGATAGGATCCCCGCTGGACGGTGGGGTCTGCCAGCGGATCTGGCTGGGTCTGTCATCCATCTGTGTTCCAAGAGCGGAGATTATATCGGGGGTGAAGTACATGCTATAGATGGGGGATATCTGGGAAGGTGATGGACCTAGCATATCCTATCCTATAGTACTCTCCATGCTATCTATATAATACTGCGAATCGGCTTCATATATATATTTATAAACATGTTTTAATATGTATATATTGGGTAGCTGCTTTAATACCTCCAGTCAAACACCGACGTCTAAAACAGATGACAGCAGGAACCAGCCTGAGAAACCGTATCAAATAAATCGCCAGCGGGCGTTAGAATTCGTGGAATTTGAGGATTTACCACCTACTAGCTAGTAACTTTATAACACAACACAATATATAAATTCTAAAGAGATAGAAGTTCCTTTATGATTGGCTTTGTACTCCTATGAGCTTGGTCTATAGTTGAGTGATATAGTGTAGCCGAAATAGAGGGTACTAAACTGCGAATATTGTTCCACGAATTTGACAAACTGATGAATCGAATATTGGTAAAGAGCAAACGATGCGTACTCGAGTACATAAAAAGCCATTAACAGAAGCAAGCTTTCGTCGATTCCCCATCACCATCGATTTGCTTGCCCCATACCATATTACTTATAAAAATGTTTCGATGTAATGCTCGAAGGCGGAGTGATGCTGTGTGAAACGATAGCAACGCGGCCTTTCTGCATTTCACACGTGAAGTCGGGTCGCGGTCGTGTTCCCCCAACTAAAACCACAAAAAAAACATCAAACCACTTTGAAAACGCCTCGGCACATCAGCGCCAGCTATGTATCCGTACAGTGCCTTACAGTCCCTGCTAGAAAACCAACAACCAACCCAGCGTCCCAACGCTTAACATCCTCCCAACATTGAATATCCTCCCAACTGGCCCATGCTGCTTATGCCCATGCCCATGCCCATGCTCATCCCCATCCGCGGCCTGGTGCGAGCCCTCATACACCTCAGCCCCAATGCCGCGCATCCATCGCGGTGGTGACTGTAGGTACATGTAGCATTCGAATCAGGTTATTAACGGATCCAAGATCCCTCGCCCCCAAGCCCATTGCTAGCACTTCAAAACTGGCACTGCGATATCCCAGGTCCCCCGCGATCATACCGTTATCAAAGAACCCATCATGATCGGAACGTCCAGGCTCGAGTACGGCTTTATACGTCTCTGCATCATCGGCTTGCACTACCTCGTTCCTATCGCCCTGCTCTACTGCGCCTTGAACGTGGCCCTCTATGGCTTCGAAGCTGCGACCTATCGAGCTCCGCTCATTATCGAGAGTATGGCCTTGGCCGAAGCACTCTTTTTCATCTGCGCTTACCTTCCTTATCGCGCCTACCTCCAGCGTGAAGCTGTTCATCCTCCTGCGCCAGCCCCGGCAGAACGAAAAGAGCTCTTCCGGTTATGCAATGAAAACATTCCCGACCCTGAAGCTTTCCTGAATAAGTGGTTTCTGGGGGCGGACCCGGCAGATATCAGAAGGGAGAACCTCAAGGATTTCTTTCTATGGGCTTTCTTCAACCGCGGTGGGCCGCCCGGCGACGACGATGAAGAACTCGAGGAAATGGTATCGGCAACAGAGAAACTGTTGGGCAGACCGTTAGAGCCTGGGAGAGGCAATGCCAAGTGCCTGCGTTTGACCCTGGACAGGGTTGATATGCTGCATCGAAGCTTGTTATGGTATATGGTAATATTTCCCTTCCTAAAATTGTCGCCGTTCCTTTCGCTAACCCGTAACAGTGTGTTGGCTTTGTCGATTTCTTGACATGTGCCAAGTTATACTTCCATGGCTTCCGCTTCCACCGGACAAGTCTGTCGCGCTTCTTTACCCTCTTTCCATTTCGATGGCAGACGCTTCTCACGACACACCGGTCCCCAGCGAAACATACAACATATTGGCATCGACCTCATACGTCGACCACAAAGCTTCCGGTAGTATTCATTCATGGAATCGGTATCGGTCTCTATCCATATACCAACTTTCTTGATGAGCTGAACTCAAGCGCGGGCGTTGAGTCAGCCGATCCTGACGAGCAAGTTGGCATAATCGCTATTGAGATAATGCCTGTTTCCTTTCGAGTTACGCACCACGCGTTAAGTCGTCAGGAGATGTGTGCCGAGATCGACCAAATCCTTCTCAAACACTTTTCTCCCGACCAAAAATTTGTCCTCGTATCTCATTCGTATGGAACTGTCATATCAACTCACCTTCTCAAGACACCTTCCATTGCGAAGCGGATCGGACCAATAATGTTGATAGACCCCGTCTCGATATTGCTCCACCTACCAGATGTTGCCTACAATTTCACACGCAGAAAACCTAGACGCGCGAATGAACATCAGTTATACTACTTTGCAAGCATGGATATGGGTGTTAGCCATACACTAAGTCGGCATTTTTTCTGGAACGAGAACGTCCTTTGGAAGGAAGACCTAAAGGGCAGGAAAATGACAGCTAGTTTGGGCGGCAGAGATATCATTGTCGATGCAAAAGCCGTTGGGAGATACTTAAACAACGTGCCGAAATCGACCCCAAATAGTTACAGAGATAACGCGCTTAACCCAGTTGATGCCGAAGACCAACCCGACGTGGAACAACCAGTTTCAATATTGGGAGGAGGCGGAGGCGTTGAAACAACTCAAGATAGCTTACTCGACGAGGAATGGAAGTCACGTCCTTGGCGAGGAAGCGGAATCGAGGGCCTATGGTCTGAAGATCTAGACCATGCCCAAATTTTCGATACTCGAGCCTCAAGACGGAGACTGATCGATGTGATTAGAGTCTATTGTAAAGCCGAATGAGCATCGTGACGGAGGGAAGCAAGAGGATTTCAGTAAGGTCGAACCTTATAAATCATTACATCGGCGTCGCACTAGAGCTTCACGGTACAGGCGTCGCCATATCCTGCGAAAGAAGCGCACGTCCCTAAGACGCTCATGGCGCGCAGGGCTTGCTAGTCTAAGGATAGGACGGTATTAACAAGGTTGATGAATTAGATATAGACTAGACCGGTAAGAAAGTTTCGTACTGTCATTTTGAATATTGGTGATAAATACCACTATCTAAAAGCAGCCTCAAATTTCCTCAACATCGCATACATACTTGATTTTGCTCAGAGAAGTCCAGAGAGCCTAATTATTCTGCATTACGAAATTACTTGACTCTCCTCGCTTCAATCTTATTAGCTCTCAGAGTTGAAGGCGTTAGGAATCAAAGCCAATACAAATGGCATTGCACATGTGTTTTTGAGCCATGAAAATTTTCATATCCGCTATCCTGTTGATACTCCTCAACTACCTAGGTAGTTAGCCCCTCTTCCAATGGGACCATATCCCAGCTAACGACAAAGACTACAACAGGAACGTGGAGGATTACGTAGTAGATGTGGACAGAGATACCCTAGAGTAGCAGACTAAGAGAGGGGTTCCAAGGAACACTTGGGGCGGCTAGTATATGGCCATGCCATGAGCGCAAAATGAAGACCATGCAATGTGGTCCTTCAGTGTGAGGGTCTTGATTTTTGTAGTAGGTGATCTGAAATACCTTACCTTGGATTCAGACAGCTGGGCACAACATAGGTAGGTCCAATCAGGGATAAATATACTACATATTTACTTATCTAATGTGCAGTTCCAACGTACAGCAAGTCATTGTGGGATCTGGTTGCACATTCCAGTGGTGCTGTGGCAAAGAAAGTGGGCGGACAGCAATTGTTCAGTGATATGGCTACTTAACTAAAGTGGGAGAAATAATTTAACTTATACGCAACGTCTGGATCTCTAAAAGTTAGTATCACCATGTGTATGTCACCTAGGTATTATTGAACAAAGGACCCGATGGAGACCCACCTACTCAGCTACCTATATATACTTGACATTTTGCCTCCGTCAGATAAAGTTCCAAGAATTCTTAATGGCTCGGCGGTCGGGACAAGGCAAGGCTGAGCTAACCGCATCGAGCCTAGACGACACCTTCATAAGCTTTGGTCAAAGGCGAGTGCTTTGAACTTCGAACAGCGAACATCGCCATCCCTCCGCTTCACCTTTTCATCCGCGACAACCACAGTCCCTCTTCCGATCCTGAGCTTCTCCCTAGGATTGTCGCAACTACGGGATAGTGCTATTCCTCATCTCATCGGTTATCCCTACGTTCATCGTCGCGGTACGATACGGCCACGATGGCTACCGCGAACCTCGTCAATGCCCAATTCGACGACAGCGAGGATGAAGATGATAACTTCAACCCCCAACCAGCCGATCTTTCAGGTGGGGAAGAAGGTGGCGAATCCGACCACGACAATGACGCCGGAGCGCAAATACAGAATGAAAATGCGAATGCCAAACAGCAGGTAGACGAGGATGAGGAGTCCGACGATGGGGGCGATGCGGATGGTCCGAAACGTGCTTCTGGTGATCAGGAGAATGGGGAGGATGAAGAAGAAGAGGTTGAGGATGAGGAAGAGGAGGAAGAGGAAGAAGAGGATGATGAGGAAGAGATTACAGTACGCATTTTATTCTTACTAGCTCCCTATGGGCTTCTAATACCGGCCTTATATTTCGAGAGATGTGTATATACAGGAACTAACATTCTACAGGGCCATAGAAGAAAACGCAGAAGAGAGGGCCGCAATGTCTTCCTCGACGTCGAGGCCGAGGTCGATGAGGACGAAGATGAGAATGAAGATGATGAAGACGAGCTGAACGAAATGAAAAACGATTTCATTGACCCCAATGATATCGCAGATCTCCCAGCTGGCGGCGACACAGATGACAGGCGACACAGGGAGTTGGACAGGAGGCGGGAAATGGAGGCAAGTCTCGACGCGGAAAAGCAAGCCGAGATTCTACGACAACGGTATGCCAATAAAGGCCGTTCCGGAAGAGGTCTTGGAGATTCTGCTGTAGTACCAAAGCGACTTCTGCTACCTAGTGTCGATGATCCCAGTATCTGGGCGGTTAGGTGCAAGGAGGGCAAGGAACGGGAGGCCGTTTTCTCTATCATGAAGCGGATTGAAGAAAGGATGGGGACTAAGGACGAGCTTGCTATCACATCGGCCTTCGAGCGGGGTGGCACACAATCTACGATGAAAGGTTTCATATACGTGGAGGCTCAGCGTCAAGCGGACATCATGACCGCCTTAGATGGGCTGATGAACGTGTATCCACGAACCAAGATGATGCTGGTTGAGATCAAAGAGATGCCAGACCTACTTAGGGTTACGAAAACTCCTGTACTCGAACCCGGAGCTTATGTGCGACTCAAGCGACCACCAAAGTACGCTGGAGATCTTGCCCAGGTTATTGATGTTACAGATAGTGGGCTCGAATTGAGAGTTCGATACGTGCCTCGTCTCGATTATGGTCTTCATGACGATATAAATGCACCTGCAGACTCCTTCGGCGCCGCCAAGCGAAAAAGAGCGACTGCAGGCCCTCGACCGCCTCAACGGTTATTCTCAGAAGTCGAGGCAAAGAAACGACATGCGAAGTACTTACAAGGAAATCCGAACACAAAGACGTGGACTTACCTTGGTGATGAGTATATCAATGGCTATTGCGAGAAGGACGTCAAAATCCAAACTCTTATCACCAAAGATGTCAACCCGACACTAGAGGAAGTCACCAGGTTTGCATCTGGTGCAGAAGATGGTACAGAAAATTTGGATCTCAATGCTTTGGCTGCGAGTTTGAAAGCAAGCACTGCAAATGCGTCGTACTTGCCTGGCGATATTATCGAAGTCTATGAGGGTGAGCAGAAGGGCGTTATTGGAAAAGCGGTATCCGTCCAAGGCGATATCGTCACAATGGCCGTATCCGAAGGCGATCTTAGAGGGCAGACCATCGAAGTGCCTGTGAAGGGACTTCGGAAGAGATTTAGAGAAGGTGATCATGTGAAGGTTATTGGTGGCAGTCGATTCCGAGATGAAGTAGGCATGGTTGTCAAAATCGTGGACGATCGAGTGACGCTTTTGAGTGACCATGGCAACACGGAGATTACGGTTTTCAGCAAAGATCTACGGGAAGCCAGCGATTCGGGTGGTAGCGGGTCGCTGGGCCAGTTCGAGCTCTGGGATTTGGTTCAACTAGATCCATCCACCGTGGGATGCGTTGTCAAGGTTGATCGGGAATCGCTAGTTGTCCTAGACCAAAACAACCAAAGACGGACAGTCATGCCATCTCAAATTTCCAACAAGTTGGAGAAACGCCGCAACGCAGTTGCAACTGATCGCAATGGTTCTGAAGTTCGGCACGAGGAAATGGTCAAAGAACACGGCGGAGAAGGTCGATCTGGGAAGATTATCCACATTCATCGATCGTATCTCTTCCTCCGCAACCCGGCACAAAGTGAAAATGCCGGTGTTTTTGTCGCGCGTACAACGAGTGTCACTAGTGTCGCTGCGGCAAAGGGTGGCCGGTCAAACGCTACAGGTCCTGACCTCAATGCAATGAATCCGGCGTTGAAACGCAACACTGGAGCTAATGGTGGTGACATGCCACCTCCGAAACAAGTTGGTAGGGATCGAGCTATCGGCCAGACCGTTACTATCCGCAAAGGCGTCTACAAAGGATTGCTCGGCATAGTGAAAGAGACAAACGAGTCCAATGCTCGTGTCGAACTTCATACAAAGAATAAAATTGTCAGCGTACCTAAAGATATTCTGGCGTTCAAGGACAAACATACCGGAGCAAGCATTGATCCCAACTCCCGAGGAGGTCACGGTGGCAGGGGAGGCTTTGCTCCACGTGGTAGAGGTGGTTTTGGTGGAGCTACTCCTGGCGGATGGGACGGTGGCCGTACGCCAATGGCAGGTGGAGTTGAACGTACCCCGGCCTGGGGTGCAGGACGAAGTAAGTTATTCGCACTGGCATTATATTCCAATACTAACAAAGTTAGCACCTGCTGCTGCCAACGGTGGTCGAACTCCAGCCTGGAAGTCCTCTAGTGATGCCTCTGGTGGTCGAACGCCTGGATGGGCTGATGGATCTCGAACTGTCAATCCTTACGATGGTAGTCGAACTTCTTATGGTGGTGGAAATAGGACACCCGCGTGGAATTCGGGCGCTAAGACTCCTGCGTATGGAATGTCAGATGGGTTTGCAGCAGGCTCTAAGACTCCCGGATATGGTGGAGGCGATGCTTGGGGCTCCAAGACCCCAGCCTATCAACAACCAACTCCAACTAATAACGACAATTGGGGATCAAATCAACAACCTTCCAATGGTTGGGGCTCGAATCCGTACGACGCACCGACACCTGGCGCGCACGCTGCCCCCACTCCTGCAGCTATGAACGCTCCCACACCTGGCGCCTATTCTGCTTCTACACCAGCTCCCTACAACGCGCCGACTCCAGCTGCAGCGCCAACTCCAGCCCCTGGATGGGGGGGCGGGTGGGGTGCGCCAACGCCCCAGGCCATGGATGCACCGACTCCTGGTGGGCAGCAAGGCTATTATGCTGCACCGACGCCTGGAGCATATGGCATGCCGGAGACGCCTGCGGCTAACTGGCAGGATGACGGACCTCGTTATGTTGACTGAGAGATGTACCAGGACTTTGTAATCTTATATAGCACGTGGCGTTCTCCGTCTTTATTTTTCTTAAAACGAACCTGGCATGGGACAGTCAAATGGAATTTGCTTTCATCTTGGCTTTACAAGAAACAGTGACACAGAAACCTGCAGCCATCCTTGTCCTAGAAGACACAAGCATATCGGTGAAGTATATGGGATGGGTCGTGCTCTTCGTGCTTTCTCTAAAAATGGAAATGGCATTATACGTTCCAGTGAAGAGGGATTTGCATATCGATATTGAAATAGAAATTCGGCGCTACGCTTCACCGTCTTTACTGAGGCATCATGGATGAGTTTTCAATTGGAGCATCAACGTCAGGATCATAAGCGTTCATGTACTAATGTATTATTGAAATATAAAAGAATTCCGAAAGTGTGTCCTCCGTGTATGACCACCGCTGGCTTTTCTCATTCTACTGCTATGTCATCTATATCTTAGCATCTAGTGGAAAGGTCTTAATCTAGGGAAGGGGGTGGCGAGATGGGAGGACGAGGGTTTGATGGAGAGAGTAAAGAGCGGAAAGCAAATTCGGGACGTAAGAGGAAGCTGCTTGATGATACTGTGAGATCATGAGAGGGGTCCGATCACAGGCTATTCATGATTTAATCGTACCATGGGTGGATTATTAACACGTATATAAAATTATCAAACCCTTTATTAAGCTGTGGCCGAAAGAGGAAGCTATATCAGTACGGGCATAAGATCGTCAAACTTCTAATATCAGATAGAGTATATACCTTAGTATGTTAGCTATGTGTGGAGAGAACTTGTGCTCGCGGCTGTTTGCTCTGACCACCTGCACACGAGGTGATGTGACCAAAATCTCTAGGGTTCTTAGGGACAATGTCAACAATAGATAATAGCCCAGGTGACTCTGGTTGAATACGATACATGGGCCAAAGAGCTTCGGCGTCAAAAGTGTGTTGAGCACCCGGATACTATCATAGAATGGTGGTGGTGCAATGCTGATTTGATTTGCAAATGCTTCGCTCTGGGGGGGAGGTTAACATAAGAATCCGGCAATATGGATATACTCCGTAAAGCATGGTAGCGAAAGAGCATAACTGCGTAACAGTGTGGTGGGCATCCCGGCGAGGGGAAGGGGAAAGGGGTAATGGGGTGGTACTGGTACCTGCGGCGAAGATCTTGCTGTGCTTGATGGCAACGGCTCCTCATCCCGACCAAACCCTCCGTCTGCGCCACACTGTGCTGCTGACCCAGCTTCGAGATTTATTGATTCGTCGGTGGGATGGCGGATGGTGGAGGGCTGTCCCGGATGATCGGGGAGCGGCGGCTTTCAGCCGCGAGAGTATATTGAGCCATCTTGGGCTTCCGAAGGACGTCGTTGAAAGATCCAATTTATACTCAACACGCAGACCGCAGCAATATGAGCTTCAACTGAAGCAATAAGAGCCGGAAAGCCGGAGCAGAGGAAGGAGCTTCTCAAAGAGGAAGCTAGATGATGAATCTCTAGTAGGAAACCCTCCCTTCATTCTAAATTGACTGGCGATACTCATACGCCAAGGGGCGAAGGACGACATTGATGAAGAGGGGAAAGAAGGGAGAGAATGCATGGGGACAATGATACATGAAAGACCTGATTCTTGCCGCTATCAGCCTCGCCTTCATCAACTGCCTCCTTGATGGTATGCATCCTGTTATCCGTCGCTGCTACTTGGCACATCCGTCTGAAGGTGAGGAGCATGAGGGACGAGAAGAAGAAGCAGAAGACTGATTATTTGGAGTTAGGCAGAGACAGAATAGGATTTGTATGAGATGAGAGGTAATGTACTTGTATTTGTACAAGCACGTATTGTTGGTAGTAGAGACAGACGATGCCCGGGCCTCGCTTAGAAACCGTTCGTCTCAGCTGAGACCTCGAAGGTTTATTATTACTTGGTCCACCTCATATATTAGGTATTCCTCCTCTTCCGCCACCTCCGTTGCTCCCCCACCTTTCAACGTCTATTGTCTATCGTCTATCAATGCGCATTATTGCCACGAGATCCCCACGGATGCGACCCTGTCATGGCCGGATTGCGGTGCGGCGGCGCATCGGATCTCCAGCCACTGCCGGTGCCGGCGACAGCGACAGCACGCCCTTTGCCCGTGTTCCTTGTCATGGAACATGTTACTCATACTATACTACCTCTATATGAACGTGAACGATTTACACAGGAAGACCGGATACGCAATTAATAATACAACGCCAATCCAAACCTCCTAGCAACAACGAGACATCGATCGCTATTAAACAACCCTTCCCTGGAGCTTCTTCTCAACTTAACGGCCAGTATCTACCTCTTCCTACCGAGTAGACGCCGACGCCCACGATTCAATACAGGACCTGGAGCCCGAGAATTCGAAAGTCCAGAAGTTGCAGTTCAGGGTTCACAGTTCCTGGATTGGTTTGCGGCTGGTGGTGGAATCTCGGATCGATTGCCAGGGTACTACAGCTCCTATCTACAGCTTAACTACTGCTACAACGAGAACCATATCTCGCCACTCCCACGACAGCCACTCCCCTTGCACTATTCCTTGCTCCACAGTCAAGTTTCCTCTGCTCTTTGCACTCTCAACTGCTTACCCCTGGTTATTACCCCTTCGGATCTGTTGCCTTCACTTGACCTCGGTCGTTGGCCCTGTCCCGGTCACTTGCTGCTCCCCTACCCAATAATCGCGAACTTCGCAGATTGCCCTCTCCTTTAAATTCGTATTTGAAGAGCAGAGAGATACGAGCATAACCCTAGGACTAGCTAGCAGCTGGCCGGACTATTTGCAACTGCCGCTGCGCATAAACCTGCGCCGCCTGAATAGGAAGCTCAGAGCCACCATTGTACACAATTCGTGGGTCTTGCGATCCCTCGCCGAGAGCAGTCCTGCGTGTGTCCTTCTCAGCCACTGGTTCCGAGGCACTTCTGACGTGAGTTCTGCAGCCCATAGGGTCCAGCTGAGCTAGAGTCGAAGTGCAGCGACTTGGTCAACAAAGTCCCCGAGTGCTCCAAATCGGGGGAGGGCGTTATTTCAGAAAGAAATATATGCACAGTGGGCCAGAGAGGTTGATCAGCTCCATCCTCAGCTTTCGATTTATCTCTGAACCCTCCAAGCAGGGTACCAAGCTCAGTCACCACAGAGGAAGGGCAACGGACAGAAATCACTTCTAAACTATCTAACATCCGAGCCCAATCAAACAAAACGAAATGGGTTCTAATTCGCCATCTATAGAGTCTCCCCAAATGCCAGAGGTGGCTTTTCCTATGGAAGATGACGATAGATATCTTCATGGACGCGTGGGGCCCAGCATTGGCCATGATATTTTTCTTCCGGAACCGGTCGAAGTCAAGAGACCTACAGGGAGCTTGTCGAAGTTTCACGTGCCATGGCAACAGAAGGCAACGCTGCCTCCTTTGACAAATCAGCCATACAGCTCGAACGGTATGTTTCATTCTTTATCCGTTGCCGAATTCTCTATTTTTGACCTACTTTAAGGCTTTCCAATACTCCACCTCTCCGTCTAAGTATCTCCACAAGTTATCCTAGAAGCCATGGCTGACCAAGTACTTCCCCACTATCCAGGCGCATCTGTTGCGGCTAAGTCTCACCTTAGCCTTCTACTTGCCCTACCGTCGGAACTCCTCAATTACATCTTCAACTTCCTCGGTCCTCTAGATCTTGCCTCAGTCTCCTCCACTTGCCGGATGCTATCCGGCCACGCCAAGTTAGATTTATATTGGCAGCGCCATGTTCAGGAGAACACCCCCGGTGTTCAGCTATCGTCCCCTTCCCCTTACACCAGTTATCGAGAACTATTCATATCTCACGACCCACATTGGTTTCTGACCAAGTACAAGGTCTGGTTCTGTGACTACTTTCTTACTGGCAAAATCATCATCTGCCGCTATGATCCTCGTCGCGGATGCATCGAAGGATATCGGCTAGTCGCCGAGCGATCTCCCCCAACCTTCGATCCTTGGGAAGCTGACGATGAAGTTCTCATTCATTCATTCAAACCTCAGTGTCGCCTCCACCTGGACCAACCTGTGCTCCAAATTGATGCCATCAAACATGAATCACCGGTTGGATCCTCAGGGGAATCGACAGCATTTCATAAATTCAATGCTGAAACCCCCATGCGTATCAACGAACGGAGCCACCATGGAGTTTTCTCAAATTTTCTCCTTGCTCGCCCGGTGGAGGAGCTTCCTAACATGTCCCTCTGGCCGCCGCCAACCATTCCAGCTCACTCACGCGTCCGGAATGCGAGTCAAGAGGCCTTCGTGGGCGCTGGCCACAAGCCGCAGAAACGGTCCCAGGTTTCGGACCAGGCATTTCGGATCAGACGGTGGATGCAGATGACAGCTGGATCGAATGCTCCCGGCATTCATCTCGCTGAAGAGGTGTATACCTATGCCACACTTGATCCGAAGGTATATACACCGACGGAAGACAAACCATACAGAGGAATTTGGGTCGGCGATTATAGTGGTCATGGATGCGAGTTCCTCCTGGTCCATCAGCCGGATGATGAAGAGCCTTTTGACGAGGCCTCGGTGGTGCGAGGAGAGGATGAAACGGCTGAGGAATGGGAGTCTAGGAAGAAGGAGGAGCGAATTTATAGGGGTAGTTTGGAGGCCATTAAATTGACCGGGGATCCCAACGTTCCAAGGGGAGAATACACGTTTATCGCCGATGATATCTCTAAAGGCGGTTTTATTCGCACAGCTACGGAGCAGAGGTTTAAGGGAGCCCGTATCGTGCGGAGTACCGGCCATATCGCAAACCCGATGTTCCGTAACCGTAAGTTCCTACCCGCAGTGCAAGTTCAGACGAAGAAACTAATAAATATGTCACAGACACATACATCGAAAGCCAACTCATCATGATTTCACCTAACCAGCTAGCGCAGTATTGGGTTGGATTTGGACATATCAGCTTCTTTGAGCGAGTCGATATTGATCAGTTCCTTTCGCCCTTTAGCGACCCCCAGCCCAACCTCACCTGAGTTGCTGTTACTGGAGCGTATATAGCCTCTATTTGGAAGGCAATTGATAATCTTTTCCGTATATATCCAATCTGAGTTTCAGTAACTAGTATAATTTAATCCACTTCGCCGATAGAATAGGTCGTGATATTTTCTTATTCATGTTATATTACGACGCGCTCCTGAATGTATTTATTACAACGTGATTTTCAACAATAATAAACTGTATATTAAAGAAATACGTGGTTAATAAATTATTTATTACTTACCTCGCCATCCGTAAAGGGACCTAGTAGTCGTCAAGTGACGCAATAACGTCACCGTGAGCGACTCGCCTACAGGACCTAGGTACAGTACAGTACTGTAGATTTCTAGGTACATTTTGCTCGTGTCAACAATAATTGGCGGGAAAAAAGTTCGGCGATACATAAAAGGAATGCTTCAATCCGCACATTTACTAGGTAGGCAAGGCACACACTCCAAATATCATTGAATATAGGCACACCCAAAGACATGAGATAAGAGAGCAAGACCATGGCGCATAACTATATTTTGCAAGTCACTGCTGGCTCGGATTATGACCCTCTGAGTCACAAGGTCGTGCCTGTCAACGAGTCGCAACATATCACGATAGAATCAGAGCACCTACACGCAGACCTAAACGTTCGAATACAGGTGCGTCTATTTCCTGAATACCCATCTCCATTTTTACCACGAACTAATATGACATCTACCAACTCAGTCGTATCGCGGCCTCCCACGTTCCTCACCCTCCACCTCCCCTTACTTCGATCTCCCTCCCCACGATAAGAATAAAGACCAATACAGCATATCCTTTCAATTCCAGCTCAAATCCAACATCAACGGCGATGACCTCGTCTTCGGCAACGATTTTGACCACCCCATTCGCGATCGGCTACCGCCTGGGTTCGGCACCGCGTTCAAGATCGTGAAATGGGTTGCTGATCCTGGTCTGGATGGCGATGTATATGCAGATAAGCCCTACCTTTATGGGCCTGCATTGAGCAGCTTCAATGCTTTGCACGTTGGGGGCAAGGAGATGGCGGAGAATACACACGAGGCTGGACTGGTGTTTGAAGAGGGCGGTGCTGAGGATGGCCTAGAGGTCAGGAAGGAGAACGGAATTCCCGAAACGCAGGCTGGGAGGAAGAAGCACTTCCTGAATGAGGAGAATAGGAAGGGGTGGGAGTGGGAGGAGGGGAGGGTCTATGGATGTGATTTCTTTAATCCATATTTGGATTTCAATGGTTGGTTTCCGCCCCTCCCATTCTTCTACCCTGCTTCGTTGAGCGATAGTTTTTCAAGGGCTAATACTTTTCCTTTTCTCTACTAGATTTTGCGCTGAGATTGCCTGGCTTCACACTTCCAATCATGAAATACTGGGATGGCCAAGGGCTTCGGTACGTCGTGTCTATATCTTCCTGTTCACCCTCCCGTGATTCCCTTGGGTATTTGTATCACTGCCGTCCTTCATTCTTATAATTTCCCTTATTCTTCCCCCCTTTTTAACAACTGCAAATCCGCCAACACGTTATTATTTCGCCGTAACAGGACAGAGCAAAAGCGCTCACATACGCTCAGATATGTGCTCAAGAACCGCGCAACGGACGAGGTTCTCTTGGTTGTCCTCTTCGCCCTGTACCTCAAAGAAGATGTTAGCGAGGATGGGAAGATCAAGAATGGTATTCAAGGAGCTAAACCCTTATCGCTAATGTCGCCTGATGAGAGGGAGAGGTATGAGAGGGCTGTGAATGGGGAGCTGAGTGATGCGGGCACAGAGAAGGAGAAGGAGATGCCGCAAACGACTAATGATGATGATGTAGATTGAGGGCGTATAGATGTACTTGTTATTTGCATAAGCACCGAGGTTTGGACTTCGTTTCTAGAGGCTTTAAGGCGAAGGGAGTCGGCATATGCCTGGTGCAATGATAAGAGTCCTCAGTGAGTAGAGATTATAGACATCGACATGAGATTAGCTATAGGAAAGAGCAACACTGGGTTGTACATATCGTATGCTATAGACATACCAGAGATATAGACGGGAAGGTTTCAAAGCGAGAAACGAGCGTGGACGTACGTACAATAATCCAACGGACATTAGCATACACTGCCGCTAGACCAACCGTTTTATTCAGCTGGTATCCTACCTTTACTACAAATTACTTTATCTCGACAGATGTTTAAAGAGCCTGTAGTTCAACACGACTCAAGATTTTAGCACATATATATGCTTTTAGGAGTAGGAAATAGGCTTGCGACCTAAAGTCTTTGAAGCACTGCACTTATTTCAAAAACAGTGAGACATTGGAACCTACCTGGTTGATCATCAGGATAATATAGACGATGCATGGTGGCATGGCTGTAGCTCGTTGGTACTCCTTGAAAGGCGCTCAACCAATTGATTCTTTACCCCTATAAATACATTTAGGTGGGCATTTCCATTTCCATTCATGTCAATCCTTATCACTTCATCTCATTTCGATCGCCCTCAAAGATGCCCCAAAAATAACATCTCACTACCCCCTTCAACATACTCGCAAAAAACCTGAACGCCTGGCTGGACTATGCGAGTGAAGTACACACCTCGTAACGCTCATTTCCCTCTATAGTTCTATCGAATCCTAACATTTTCCATCAAAGTTTCCTCCGCCCTCATAGTTTCACACCCCAAATTCCCCGGCCCCCGCTCACACCCAACCACTCACTTCCGTCATTGTTTAGACCGCTATGGGGCGCCCAGCTAATATTTCCAACCTCATAATCGCACTGCCAACTTGCGGCTGGGCCCCGGCTGTTGTCCGGGGTGGGAGCTCCATTCACTGCCGGGCCTGGAGGTGCAAGGGAGGTGCTTTGGCTGAGCAGATCCCAGATGAGGACCAAGGAATCGTCCGCCCCTGAAGCTAAAGTTCCGCGCCGGGAGGGTGACCATTCGATGCAATTTACGGACGCTGAATGGCCTCGAAGCTCCAGCAACGCTTGTCCTGGCTGCCGCACATCGAGAATTCGGATAACGTTCGAGTCTTGGGAGAATGTCGCTAGGAGATGAGTATCATGTGGCGAAGCAGCGAGCCTTAATAGAGGCGGTGCGTAAGACATGGTTTGCTGAGCCAATGTAGGGCTTATTCTTCCTCCACCCGGGCTCGAATCTGTAGATAACATTAGTATCGTGACTGAGAGCAAACGGGTTACGGGGGTGCATACCTTTATCGTCCTTGGCTGTAGGCTCGTAAATAATAGTGCTGTGTTCTAGACTCCTCAAATCAAACATTCGAACACTGCCATCTGCGCCACAGCTAACGAAAACGTCGACACTGTTGGCACAAAATCTCACATCAAACACCTCCTTATCATGTGCAATCAATTGTGTTTTCGCAGTCAATGTTGGTATGTCCCAGATTGTGCAGGTTGTATCAATACTGGATGTTATAATGAGACTTGGGGACACCGTATTCCAATCAAGTGAGGTTAAAGGGGCCGTATGCTCGGGAGTCTTGGAATTTGATAGAAGTGCAAGTGGAGTAAGCTTGCTGGCTGGCATATCTCGCCCATGGTTAGCGGACCGAGAGATCGAATTGCCTGGGGAAGGGAGTGGGGTTTCGGATGGTAGAGACCACAATCTCAGATGGTCTCCAGAGGTAGCAAGCAGATCTGTGGACTGCTTCTGTGATGACGGCGGCTCCCATAATAATCGTGTCACCGGGTAGGAATGAGTTGCTTCAGCAATTTTAACAAAATCCAACCCATATTTTGGAGCTCCTGGTGTGTACGACTCGGCTGGTGTGGGCGTGATTTGGGAATCGAGAATCTGGATCTGTCGGACCAAGAGCAATCAGCCATCCGCGCGGCGATCTGCTTGGAATAAGGGAATGAGAGCACTTACAAAATTGTGGCCATCCTCCAGATAACTTCCCAGGGCCACTTTCCCTCCGTCACGGTTCTGGGCTGGCCATTTACACCAATCAAAAGCATAGATAGCCCACGGTGCTAAGTAATTACTGTTCGTCGGTACTGCATTGACGCCGTCGTAAGAATATGGATTGGCGCCAGACGGGCTCTCGGAGAGACTTGAGTCGGCACGAGGACGGATATCTGCCAGGCCAAGCGGCGTGTTGGAAACGGTTCGCGCATTTTGCGGGGTATATTTCGAGGTTGTGGTCGTTGGGGACGCAAAGTGACCTTGATCACTACTCCCAGGAGTTGTCGAGTTGAACGGAGGATAGCCCTGGCCCTCAAAGCCTGCTGGGCTTGACCGCGTGTAGTTATGGGATAAGCCAAGCGCCGCAGGTCGTGATGGGGTCGAATGGGGGTCTTGGGACGACGTCTGCGAGGCGGTAGGAACTATAGGAGCCGTATTTACAGACATTGGAGCTGGCCTGCCGGGCTGCAGAGATCCGGGGAGCTGGGCGCCTGCGGTTTGATAGTGAGGAGCAGCTGCAGTGGCTTGATCCAGATTGATCTGAGGCCCTCTCTGTGAAGGCATGGTGTTCGCCCCAGGAGCTAGATGAAGCTCATCTGCGTGTCGAGTGCGCCGAGGGGTCTCGTACTGCTGTTGTTGCTGCGGCGGCGGCGGCTGGGGCTGATTCATGGCGGATGAGAATGAGTACGTGGCCGACCATGGGAAGAAGACGAGGTGGGTTGTCCTCCTGCAGCGGGGTCTGCAGAGAAGGGGTCTGCGGTGCCAGCTGTGATGCTGATTCCTAGATGTAGAGTCGCAGTCGCAGTCGCAGGATTGCAGTTGGCGCGCCAAAGGAGGCGAGCTTCGGCGGTTGTGGGCGCTGTCTCGAGTCTCGACTGGCTACTTGAGTAGATGGAGCCGCCGTGGCGGCTGCAAGCACCGTATACTTCTGCGTACGAAGTATGTACTGGGGATGCTACTGCGAAGATCTTGTGCCCGGTATGGAGGAGAGTTCAAAACAGTGAGGCAGTTAAAGGGATATAATAATTGGGAATCCTAACTGGTCAGGGGAGTTGGCCGGTGTCGATGTCAAGGTGAATCTCTACCGTAAGCTAGTGAGCAGTGCTACGAAGTACCAGAAATCCGTACGCAAGTGCTTTGGAATTGACTATATCCTCCTTCTCTATATCATTTAGAACCCTCGCATATATTATCAGTCTACAGAGTTAGTACGGAGTAATCGTTGGGTAGAAGGATAGACCCAGGCATGCTAATCACCTGTAGTCGCTGACGCTACCTGATGTGACAATATAGTCCACTACTTCGTACGCACCTCCGGCTTAAAAACAAGGTTTGTGTAGGTTGGCGTATCACTCCGACCTACTAAAACGGAGGTGCTCATTAGTAGAACTTCACAAAATAGGGCTACACTTGCCTGATATACCTCACAGGTAGCTTGACTCTAGTCACATGACCTTGTTGCGCACTGCCGTCTACCTTAGGGTACCTTACATTATACTGGAACTGTTAAAATACAGATCAGTGTTACAAAGCCAGGCTTAACACGATGTGTCCTTTATAAACCATTTATCGTCCTATTCTGTCATTAATTACCTTATGCACTTTAATATTAGCTATCTACCTTGTGTCGCTGATACTTTTACTTACCTAGGTACCTAGGTACCAAGGCACCTTACTCGCTACCGGTCAGGTGACTCTTCCAGTCCCGTGCACTCCCAACTTAGTCACCCCCGGACTACTTCCGGGACTGGACTCTAGCCTCGGACTTTGGACTTACACAATTACACTTACACTTACAAGACTCTCGACTTTACACCCACCTGCGCTTCTCGCTGATCCAAATCGGTGTTTGGATTATTACTTGGTACTGGTTATAATTGGTGTTGTCTATTGCAGGCCATATATCTCCGTATATCTCCATATTGCTCTCAACCTCAACTCCAAATGCCAGGAAACCCGCATGAGCTTGCGAACTAGCCCGAAAGCTACGAGTACTCTATCAAATACCAGATCGAACACCAGACATCGACCGCTATCTCTATCTCTGTTCATCACAACACCAAGCCCTAATCCCCCAACGCCCCAGGTTCCACTAGGGTCTGATATCCTCTCACAACTCCAACATGGCCAAGGTACAAACGTCTCTTCTGCTTCTTCCTCCGCCCCCGTCGCTCTTAAATGCAGCCTCCGTCGCCGCTGCTTATGAGCCCTCAATATTGGCGACTGTCACTGCACTACGGAAGCTTGAGGCACACACGGAACTCCAGGTGGCGTTGCCATGTCCCGATCTTCATGGCCGGCTTGGTGGACCTCGCTCCCAGATATGGGGCGACATCCAACACCTTCTTGCCATCTTCTATAGCTTGTTCTGCCACGTTTGTGCAAAGCATGGCGTGGACATCGACTCTGACACTGCTGCGCCGGGTTCTGTGGATGCCCGAGTGATACTCCTGGATTACGATAGAACGCTGGCGCTTCCAGATGGAGGTGAAGACAAATTGGATACCTGTGTCGTCGGTCCTATTATTGACCTACCTACGCTTGCGATGACACGCCGCCAATGGAACATTATATTCTCTGTTGATGGCGAAGAAGGTCAGAAGCTCCTTGCTACCTATCAGAGCTTGGCAAATAGGTCTCTTCCTCCTCTTACTGGTCACGTGTATATGGTCGGCGGTGGCCTCGCGATGATTCAGAGAGATCCCGAACCATCTCGGCCGTGTCCAAGCCCATCCTCGTCCCATACTGTTGTTGCTCTCGGCGGTACGTTTGACCATCTTCATGCAGGTCATAAGCTCTTGCTCACCGCCGCTGCCCTCCTCCTCCAACCAGCCAGTAAGACGTCTACAGTTGCTCGGCGCTTGATCATTGGCATAACTGGGGATGAGCTTCTGAAAAACAAAAAGTATGCCGAGCATATAAGAAGTTGGAAGCAGCGGCAAGATGATGTTGTTGATTTTCTGCTCTCCATCCTATCATTCACGCGTTCGAGTCGGCAAGCAGCGCTACAGACGCGATCACTCAATGAACCGATCCCCAATGGCCGAGCAGTCCACACTACCCTGAGACCATGCTCCATCACAATTGAATGTGTCGAAATTCAGGATCCGTTTGGGCCTACGATCACGGACGAGAGCGTCACAGCACTCGTCGTCTCAAGTGAAACCAGATCTGGCGGCCAAGCGGTCAACGATAAGCGAGTAGAAAAGGCTTGGAACGCTCTCGAAGTCTTCGAGGTCGATGTTTTGGATGCAGAAGGATCCGAAGATAGCGGAATTCGAACCGAGAGTTTCGAGTCAAAAATAAGCAGTACCGCAATACGGAAACGCCTTGCCGAAAGCACTCGTGGCTCATCCCTTTGAGGATTGGGATACAGCCTGGTTTCTAGCTGTTGGGCCTAAAAAGTTAGACATCCTATGAATTATAGGTACACAACCACCTGTCAACATTGACTCTCCTATGTGTATTTTCCATTAATATTGTTGGATATTGCTCCAAATATGTGCCATTGGAACGCCAGGCCCTGTGATACCTGATCATAGGTGAGTTACTAGCGCGGCTTAAAATCCCAGCTACTCATTCGGGGAAAGCAGATGCTGTCGCCCACGGGCCTCGGGGAGACTGCTGCCCTGGTGCCCTCCAGCTAGATGATGACATCCTGTTTCAGAGATATCCATGGCTGCAGAGGCCGGCAATTGAACTTTCATTTTTAAGCATCGCATGATTGACTCTCTACCCGTTTCCGTGTGCGCCGAGAAGAGGAACATCCCTCCGCTTCCTGGCGGTCGCCCAACTGACCCTGTGGGAATGGCCAGGAAGTCCACACCAGAAAGCCGAATCCTTCCCGCGCAGCATGGAGATAGCTTGCAGCCAGCGGAGTCAAGGGCCTTGTAATGTGACCAAACCTGCATCTTGCATCAGTCACAAAATATTGCATATGCACCACCTTGGGAGCTTACGGAGCATGGCAAGCTGACAGTAGGTAGGTACTAGGTAGGCGGGCAACATGACAACCAGGGATGGATGGATGGATGAATAGATGGGTTGATAAGCGCAGAAAGAGCTGCTGGTGACGCCGCCGAAGCACGAAACAAACGCCCCGTCGTGCTGTTCCACCGCAAACGGCGTCTCGGGCCGTTCCCGACTGATACACCAATACACCAACACACTGATACACTAATACGTGCAGCAGCCAGAGCAGCCAGCAGCCAGCAACCTGCAACCAGCAATGAACCTCAAAACAGGGCCAGGAAGGATGAAGTTGGTGACGCGCGATCTTTGTTTCTGGTTTCTGGTCGCTGTCTCCAGGCGAGTGAGTTGTCTGCCGATATGCGGGGCCAAACGCAGCTCAGCGCAGCTCTAAGCGCCGAGCATTTGGGCCAGTCGTGTTGTCCGCATCTCGATTCTCGAGCAGGATGCAACTTCTCCCATCCATGTTTATTTCGTATTTAGCACACACGCAGCAACGCAGATGCGCATCTCCTGCCTGCGTGTTTCTCCATCCGCCAAAAAAGAAACCCCACCTCATCCAAGAGTCCAAGGAAGCCCGTCCGGTTTTCGCTTGATTCGCCCTGAGCCCGCCCACTGAACATCAACCTCATCGTCCCGCCATCCACTGTTTTGCTGCCAATATGCGGCCGATAGTAACCAACACCCTTGTCTCATACCACCTTCTATCGAATTAGAAGCCTTCAAGCTCACATGATGATGTTTTGAATGTCCCCGCGACGACGGTAGCGGAAGACAGGGCTAGGTCGAGCGAATCGCAAAGAAAGCTTCAGCCCTCCCCGTCCGGATGATTAGTGGGACGCATTAATACCTCAGACGACTCCGTTATTCGTAGGGTTATATTGGGTGTTTACAGCCACCAGCTCTGGGCTCGATCGACCATCAATCAAGTTGGTGGTCTTCTGCGGCACCTCCCGGGTCGTCCACATAAAAAGTCTGTCTGGCAACTGCTGTATGAAGCCGGGCATTACACCACACAATGTCCCAGGTCGGGGGAGCGGTCGAAAATTTCTGGATAGCCGAAGATTGGATTTGACATTCCCCGATCAACTCGGGCAGCTCAAAAGCAACAACCGGCTGCCCACAAACTACCAGCCACTGCTATCGGCAATCGCCCTCTACCATAGATCGGAGCTAGGAAAGTGGGGGTGTTCGGGATCCAATAGCCCTTGGCTAGGACCCACACAGGGTTGAAGGGAGGGGCACTGTGAGTATATTTCGACGTGTCTCCGGATCGTTATCCTATGGAGTCTTGAGTTCTGATTCTAATAACTAGGACTTGACACTCTTTTCGGGTTGTTACCGCATCATGACACCCTCAGTCGCTATCTATAAGCCTCCGGCCGAAGTATTGGATAGAATCCTTATGCTCCTGGCGGGCGATGCGGACTGGAAGTTGGTGAGCAGGAGGAAGATGCCTGTGACTACCCAACAGCTTGCGACCAGTTTTCCAGAGGGTGGCTTGAGAAATATGCTCAACTTTCGTCTGGTCTGTAGAAGGTTTAACGATATCTATAAGCTTCGATTCTGTCCATCCCCCCCTATCTTGAGACTGCCCAAGGAGTGCCTACGAAATATCTTGGATTATCTGAGTCCTGACCCAAGGGATACCAACAACTTCAGGCTGGTGAATAAGAGGTTCGATGTTATTTACAGGCTTCGCTTTCATTCGAGCCCTGCTATTTTTAAACTACCGGCCGAGGTTCTAGATTATATCCTCGACTACGTTGCCCACAAACCAAGGGGCATGGTAAAGATCGAGAATAGAAGCTCGCTCAGCTTAGAGAGCTTCGCCGATATTAAGACTCCAAATGAGACAAATCAGCTTAAAAACCTAGTAAGGAAACAATTGATAGTCTCATTGCTATCACTATATACTTGGCTAACCCTTTTGGCAGAGACTGGTCTGTCGGAAGTTTGCGGAGCTGGGTCTTCAACGGTTGTTCGCACGCTTCACCACTAGATTTTCCCTTGAAGGCTTCGAGGTGCTGCAAAAAATTGCAGAACAACGACATATAGCAACCAAGGTCAAAAGATTCACATACATGGTTCCTCGCTTCCATCTCCAAGGTGAATTGACCTACTATGCCCAGTTATCCCTCCTCTAACAGGCGGTTTCCAGACAAAGCAGGTTTTGAAAGGCTCCTTCAACGGCAACACGCCGAAACAGAGAATAATTTGGGGAGACTGAATCGAGAGTTGCAAAGAACCGAGCGCCCCCGGCTCGAAAGATTGCAATCAGAACATACAACGATGCAGATCCGCGCCAGGATTAAGCACAGTAGGCACCTTGAAAGTCGGATTCTAGAGGCCAAGCAACGAGCCGATAACCAGAACAGAATTACAGAAGACGGAATCGATTCACGGGGGCTCTTATTTGCATTCAGGGTATTCAGGGGCCTTGAGCAAATAAGGTTATTGCGGCTCGAGGATGAGCATGATGCAAACTGGGCAAGGTTTTTAAGAGATCGTCACCAAGCAAAATTTAGCTGGACTCGGGCCTGTGAGCAAGCAGCGACGGCATTGACTCTGGCGTTTTTACAATCAAATGCCAAGCTCAGGCGCTTCTCTTGCCGTTTCGTCGACCTTGGAGCACCATTGTCGTTGACACGTAGCTCTAAACTTGCCATATCCAAAGTTGTGGAGCGATTAGAATGCTTAGAGTTACAACTGGTGAACGACTACCGGACAGACCTAGATGAAGAGCTCACTCGGTTATCAGAATTTTGCAGAGGCGTTCTGAGTAGGACAATCCTTCTGGTGGGGTTACATATTGGGTTTGGGCGCTACGTCTCAATCCCGCTTGAAGATATTTTCCACAAGATGAAGTGGTCAAACCTCAGATATATTGGAATACACATGTGGTGCTTAAACGAGTGGGAGATAATCAGACTATTACGTCGGCATCCGAATCTCAAGGCAGTACGTTTCAGATACATCCAACTCCGATCTGGCAGTCGATGGGACAATGTCCTAAGAGTCATCCGGCATGAATTTGAAATGAAATGGATCAGTCTCTTCGGCATCGGTTACGGCAGCCAAGATCTAGGTGGGGTCGCTTTTAATTATGTGGACAGCGATTCTGATGATATGCATTTGAGCGATTCCGAAGATGCGGATGAGGAGACAGAGGATGAAGCAGAGGCATCGAGCTCAGCACAGGATGCCAGCGATTCTGAGGATATGGTCGAGAACCAGGAGGTCGATGAATGGGAAGACTCTGAAGGGAGCAATGGCACCAATAACGACGACGAAGCAAGTGAAGATGAGCAAGGAAACCACAACGCATTTATTAGCGATAGTGCGATGGTGTACCATTCAACATTGCCGGAGCCACCTATCACCGATGTTTCCAGAGGTATACTTGGTAATTCCCCACAGTGCGACTGCTACGAAGACCTTGGTGACAATGGGGCGACAGTACCCAGATCTCAATGGAAGAGGTGGGAGCATTGGGCTGTCAGACGATGTCCAAGGCATAACTCCAGGCAGAGTGGCGAGGCGGTGCTGTCTTCGTAGGTCAAGAATGACAGGCCAGCGTCTTACGAGTCTAGTAGTCACCTAAATATTAAGGCGCGGTCTCAATTGAAGCAGAATCAGTACCCCAGCCTTGGATGAGTTATAGACTCTTCGACAATTCCGTCGACTGTGGATGAGGGGGCTTGTCAATTGGGGCATTGGATTTTCAGAAGCTGCCTGCCTAGCCCTTGAGGTTGTGAAAGGGGCACGGGTCTCGAGTGATAGAAAATACGCAGCTGCAATCCAAGCCCGACTAAAGGCAACACTGTTGTGACTTAAATGGAATCTCACTGGAGGGGTTGTGATACACTCTTCATCTGAGTTTGATAGTAAGGGCTTAGAACTTACATATGTGTTCTTCGCTGCCAGGCCTGGGTCGCGAGCTGTGAGCTGCAACATAACTTGCCTATTATCCAACAGTTGTCCGTGTGATTCCCGGTCTGCCCAACTGGGAGAGAATCGATGTCACTAGATATTGGAGATGTAAATGTAAAAATCTCGCGTTGCTGAAATCTGACATATGTACCAGCGATAGTGCAGTGACGTTCGCGCCTTGCCCTGATAAGGGCTAGGGATATACTCTCTTGTCACTACCTGTCAGCCTTGCAGTTATTCCCCATCCCCTTTGTAAACTCGTTGCAGGTGTTACAACATAAGTTATTCGACGCAGCATGGTTGCCTGAGTGCTGTCTTCGAATTCTAGGAGTCTCACATGGGCGTCTATCTGGACTGGAGATGTTCTCAGATGACCTTCTGAAGCATGTGAGCAACCGCCGCCTTCATTACCTGCAACTGCACACAGGCAACCACCGCGCCCACCCTCTCTTCATCCTTTGGCAAAGACTCAGAAATAGGTTGACATAAATACTAATATCCAACGTCAGAATACGCTTTAAAGCCTCTGAGACAAAAGTGCACTGCAAGGCACTACGTTGAGCGAAGCTGGAACCTACCAGAATGTCGCGATCATCATTCTTCTCTCGTTCCCCACGGGACCGCAATCCTCTCCTCCCTCAACACTCCCGCGAGGAGTCATACTCTCTCCGGGACTTGTCGCCCCGGGGGTCACAAAGCCCACGAGCTTCTCCTTCTCCTCCGCCTTCATTCTATCGCTCCAAGAACAACGACGATGCCCATAACCCCTCCACATCTCGTTCGCCCGGAACACGAGAACGAAGGATCCAGTTCGCTGCGCCGCCGCCGCCGATAGCTACGAGTGTTGTTTTACCACCAGTACAACATCCAAGTCAACATGCGAACTCTACAAATTATAGTTGGGGCGCGGAATCTTCGTCGCGGGGTTATAATGCAGGGAATAGGGTTGGAGGTGTACACATCAGAAGTAACACTGCCAGTGTAGATCCTTTACTTGGTCTGGAAAGGCGGGAAAAGGCTATACATCAGGAATTACAGATGTTACTCGATGCACAATCTGCGGGTCTGGTGCAGGGCTTTGGGGGTGAGGTTGGTTCCAAGTCGAGCATAGACGGGAGCTCCGATGCGGGGAGCAGCACGCCGACATCGAGGTCGGCGCAGAGAAGTTCGAGCCTACATAATGGAAAGAATCGGGGCATTGTGCCGGTTAGGCAGCCAAAGAAGAAGCAAATTAGCTTAAGGGGCGCGAGGAGGGGTTTGCTGACGGATATGGAGGAACTGGTTGGAATAAAGACAGATGAAGTTGGCATTTTAACTAGTGAGATTGAGACGAGAAACGAGGTTTTAAAACAAGTTGATGTTTGGGAGAAGCGGATAGAGGGCGCAAGAAAGCAGCTGAGCAGATATAGTGCGAGCGGAGACCAGGGAAATGGAAGCGATGAAGAGGCTAGGGAGCTCGCGGAGCTAAGGACCGAGGAGCAAGCCGTCGACAATGAGATTCGAGAGGTTGAGGAGAGGCTGGCGGAGATGAAGGCAAGGAAACGATGGCTAGGGGAGCAGATTCAAGAGGGGGTGAACAGGCAGGAAGCAAAATTGAGCAGCTATCAGGGTGCGCTGAAGGAGGCTGAGTCGGAAGTAAAGCAATTCCTTAAACGGCCTCCCGTCCCAGTATCCGTTATTATGGGCAACGAAGCTGGGTTTATGGCGTTGCCCTCTAGTAGGAGAACCTTGAGCATGGCGAGAGAATGGTGGAACAAAGAGCTTTCCCAGCTACACGCCCGGAAGCAGGATGTCGGAAACGAGAAGGCGGCACTGGATGAGGGTGCTCAGCTCTGGCAGGATGCAATTCAAGTTGTGACAGAGTTCGAGGACGGCTTGAGGAAACAGATGGCCAGCGGTGATCCTCAGAACACCACTCTGCTTAAGAAGCAAATAGGGAAGATGGGAGATGTCATTAGCAAACTCGAGAAATCCGCAGCCACGGCCGAAGAACGAGGGTGGAATCTATTAATTTGTGCTATTGGTGCCGAGCTTGAGGCATTTAGAGAGGGAGAGGGCATCCTGCAAGGAGCTTTAGAAGCGACTGGCAGTGATAACGAGCTGGGGCAGGAAGAAACGCTCGATACCAGCGTACCTAATGAGTTGAGTGGGAAAACAAGGGAACTTAACCGGGACGACAGCACTGAGCGAGAAGATAGCGAAGATGATGGTCCGAATTTGGAAGAATTGCTGGTTGAGCATGGGAGTGCGGATGAGACCTCTTGAGTATACTTGCCTCACACGAGTTGGACTCACGTCTTATACATAATACGCTGCGCACAAAACTACAATATAACATTTAGTATAAGGCGGTTTAGTCCTTCGACTCACAAAAAGACATTTAATATCTCTCGAGGGATGTATTGCAGCTAAGCTGTCTATCAGCCTTGTTATTTGTTCAGGGCCGTTGGGTGAGATCTTGTTCTATAGATGCGACGCACTCTCCTAACAATTACAATCAACGCACCCTTTTTCGTTGATCGCCAGGGCACCTGTGGGATACTTATTCTGAGTTGCTTAGTCAAGGTACAGCCTGGCTTGCCCAAAATCTGCCCCAATTTATCGTCTCCGGACTGGGTAATAGAGCTAAGGGTAAGCTGAGAGGTTAGCTGACTGCAGCCACCCGAGCCACTATAGCTAGTATTCGTACGTGAGTATGTATAGAGATATAGAGATATACCTATATATGCCTTCTCCAGGGGCGTGGCAGCCCGCTTTAGCTGATTCATGCTATTCGAGAAGTGTAACAAGTTGTGTGACTGCCGCAGGCCAGGAGGCTTGTGTTTCCCCACGATAACATGTTCGTCCAACCAATAATCGCACTCCACGCGGGGATGGGACTGGGCCAGTCGGAAACCAAGACAGTGGCCATCTGGAAATAAAATCCCCAGATAAAGTGCTGATGTAGAACAGCCTCGGAACCGGGATTCTGGCTGGCGGGAATAACCCGAGGGATTGATTCTCTCAAGTCCTAGCCCTGGATCCTAGGAAATAAATATTAGTTCCAGTGACTAACCCATATTTATTTCTGGAAATGTTCGGGAATATCTCTTCCTTGGATTCGAGTTTCTCTCTACTATGTTGTTTTCTGCGCTGCAAGTACTTATATTATAAATCATTTGTCCTTTTTTGCTCCCAATCCTTCCACTTCGTTCTATGTCGCGATCTTTGCCTCCTCATGGCTGCTCCCGAGATTGACGAAGCCGACTCTAATCGTATCTCCGATGAAGATTTCGCTGACTCACAAAACAATCTCAAGGGGAACAACGATTCCAACCGTGGCTCTGACTCAAATCCACCGTCCAAGAGACATATCCTGGAAGAAAACACTCCGGTTACATATCATTATCTCACATTTGATTCTATCTTGCCACAGCCGTCAACTTGGAATTCCACAAACCCTTCAGCAACTCCCGCGCCGGCCCAACCGGACCTCAAACGATACACTTCTCCCTTCGAATGGGCAGAAAGCCGCAAGAGCTTCATAGTATGGCTCAGTTGCATAGCCACTCTCGTCACGGCATACGGTGCAGGCTCTTATGCTCCCGCTGCCCAGCAAATGTGTGAGGAGTGGCAAGTCGGTGAAGTTGCCATTCTCGTTGGTATCACCACATTTTGCTCGGGATTCGCAATTGCTCCTATGGTACTTGCTCCATTTTCAGAGATTAATGGACGCTATCCTGTATTTGTAGCGGCAGGAATACTGTATTTTATCTGTTTAATAGGCTGTGCCATCACACGTTCCTATGCTGGGATGTTAGTCGCCAGATTTTGGGTAGGATGCGGAAGCTCCGTCTTCTCCACGATGGTTGGCGGTGTTGTTAGCGACCTCTACCATGCCCAGGACAGGAATACGCCAATGGCCCTATTCTCGGGGACGGCTCTTTTTGGGACAGGCTTAGGCCCATTGGTTAGTGGCTTCATTGCCCAGAACACGCATTGGAGATGGATATTCTGGGTCCAGGTCATCATTTGCGGTTTACTCATTGCAACCGTGACTGTATGCTTCAAGGAAACAAGAGGAAGTATCCTCCTGAGCCGGAAGGCAGCTTGTCTGAACAGCTGGTACGAGGAGCGTGAAAAGGCTGGATACGTTGGCTTCAATATTCCTACTTCGTCTGGATCTGAGAAGACTGAAAGTCAGCGAATAAGATGGAAAGTCAAAGCCGACGAGGAGCGCGAGTCGATCAGCAAAATGATTACTATATCAGTCTATCGACCCTTCCACCTCCTGTTTACGGAGCCTGTTGTGTTCTTCTTTTCGCTGTGGGTTTCATTCAGTTGGGCCGTTTTATACTTAACATTTGGTGCCATACCACTGGTCTTCGAGCGATCCGGCTTCAGTCTCCAGGAAGCAAATTCGGTCTTCGCCGCCATGTGCGTAGGGGCAGCACTCGCAACAGTCCTATCAATATACCAAGATCGCCTTCTTGAACGCTATCTGGCCTCCTCGTCCAAGAACATAAAGAATCCGAGTCGACTTCGAAGGAGCTTAGACCTTTCAGGCCCCGAAGGGAGGCTCTACTTCGCATGTATAGAATCTGCATTGCTCCCAATTGGGCTGTTCTGGTTTGGCTGGACATCATTCCCATCTATCCCTTGGATTGTTCCAACTCTCGCCGTCGGTTGTGCAACAATGGGTATCTACTCCATCTACCTGGCGACCTTCAATTACCTTGCAGACACTTACCACCGCTATGCAAGTTCCGCATTGGCCGCTCAGTCATTCTGCCGCAACATGCTTGGTGGCATATTTCCCCTAGTAACGGTGGCACTATTCAAAAATTTGACTTTCCAAGGGGCGGGGAGCTTGTTGGGAGGTGTTGGTGCCTTGTTGACTTTTGTGCCGTGGGTCTTGACATTTTATGGTCCAAAGATTCGTGCGAGGTCGAAGTTTGCAGGGGAGCTCTTGACAGGTTGAATCATCTCGGCACTGTCTACGCCGTCCAAGGCAGAGAAAGCTGCGGAGGTCAGATTCTCATATTATAATCCAGACTCGGAGACGGGCAAGCCAAGATGTGGCTTCAATAAGGTAAATTTTCGTAAGGATGGTATCTAGAGCTAGCCTGCCAGAAGATAAAGCCTAAAGGTGTCTGATGAGAAAACACTGCAGTCCTCCTAAAAAGGAAAAACTCTCCGAGCCCAATGTGGAGATATGTAAATAAAATCCTGCCGACATTTTGTGTATCTGCTATCACTCATAGACTTGGATTAAAATAGAGGTGCTTAATAAGTTAGCTTGTTCAACCAACATATCTGATATTATTATTATTATCGCAGAAGAATTGAGGGGTGCGATAATGTGTCCTTGAAACATGCCCATAATGATAGAATTGCCTTCTATTATCCAGTAAATTTAGTTGTACAAGATTAAACTGCCCGTCTATATCATAGAGTACATACAAAGCTCCTGACCTCTTCTTCAAGAATCTTGCTAGCATCATGGTCGTGCCAAAAATGGCCTGCATTGGCAACTTCTCTATACCGGAAATGGCCGCCATCTCCACCCTTCCCAGATTTCATCAGCTTCTCAACCCAGCTCCGTAGCCGCTTGACACTGACAAAGACATCGTCATCACCGAAAAGTGCTAGTGTTGGATCGATCGTGAATTTGATCTCGTTCTCATGTATAGAACGTCGCTCTTTTAAGGGTTTGCCGCTCCACATAGTCGCTAGATTGTTAATCATGCCTTGCAAAGGCGATACTAATAAATATGCTGGCTGGAATTCGTCTGCAATTCCAGGAATCTCTATTATAGATTTTTCTTCCTTCGTTGTGGTTTCCTCATCACCAGCCGTTGATTTTGTTGCTTCTTCGTCCCCAGAACTGTCCGATTTACGCGGTCCATTTTCGTGGGGAGACGCAAAGGCTCCGTCACTGTCTCCCCTATCTTGAGAAAGGTGCACTCTTTTAGTCAAAGACCGCACACGATCTACACTTTTCCTGACCCGTTCTTGTGTCTCGATGGTAAATGAGCTTCGGGACCGATAGGAGTCATGGCTGGCTCTTCTTAAATCTTCTTCACCCCCCACTCTGACTCCACTGGTAGATTTTCGGCTTCTGGGACTATGGAGACCATTTAAATGTATGTTTCGCCCGGATCTATGGCCATAGGACTGGAGAAGTGATGATATATGGGCTTGTATCACCTCATTTTGCTGGAGGGCAAGAAATTCAGCCCTGAGACGGATCTCGGCAAAGGCTGAACCTGGTGACGGGTTCTGGAATGGTTCGAGGAACGAGTTCATTATAGCTGGGAGGCAAGAAGTCACCATAGCACCGTATGAGTAGCCCCCGAGCAGCAGCCGACAGCGGAGATAATGTCCATCGATATTCCCATTGCCTAGCACGCCTGGCCGGCCGGGCGTGGTTGTATTATACCGAGGATCGCTAGTATGTGGAGGAGGGACAGTTTGTGAGGGAATGGGAGATAAATCAGGGAGTTCGGAATCAGAGCGCGAGAATACAGGCTGGTCTATTGGCGATGGAGATAATCGAGGCCCGGAGAGATGATGCATGTAGTAGATCATGAATCCAATGAAGGACATGTAATCATTCTGCTCGGCTTTTGACTGCCACGATGTCCGCCCTTTGGAGGAACCTGCTCCTCTTCACACCCAATTTGTTAGATCATGAGGCGAAGGATGGGCTGGGTGAGGTGCTGCGAACCTGAAGTTGAATGTACCGACGCAAAAGCCCTGTTGGAGGATGGTTCCCGCTATCAAGTCAACAACAGGGTCATCGTAGCTACCGCTACAGTATTCCAATCATATTAGCACTTCAAGTTCTAGGGCCACAGCAGTTCATATATCCAACACACTCGCAGATAGAATATTCACAGATCCACATACCCAAGTGGCGCGTACGGGTGCGCAATGATAGCGGCTTTCTTGCGCCAGGTCTCAATCTGCGAGACGGAATCTGGAGCCAGACACTTAGGATGGTAGACTCGGCATTGGAGAACAAGATTGTCATGAATCGACGGGATAGTGAAGCTCAGCGTAGGCGGTGGGAGCATTGCGGGCAGTTCGAGTTCGGGTTCGAGGCTTCGAAGCCCTGGACGTGAAGGCTTTTCATCTGGGTGAAAGCAGGACGGGCATTGTGCTGTTGGGTTGTATGCTGTGGGTCTGCGAGTGAGGCAATTCAGAACAGTGGTAGAGAAGAGTAACTATGCCATTTCTACGTGGTTGGCGCTGGTTTTGTGTGTTGAGTTGGTTCCTCGGCAGCTCGAGTCATTGTAAGCTTGTCGTGGCCGTCCGCCGGCTAGGACACGGCTTACGAGCGACGTAATATAATACTTCGTCACCTATAAAGCACTAACATATACTTCCTACCGAGGCACCTACCTTAGGTACTATAGGTAGTAAGTACTATCGTCTCTTTTCCATCTAATACCGGCCAAGAAAACAATTGGAGCAATAGGTTTAAATTATAGCTTTATAGTCCTTTTATTATACTTATCCCCACCCAAGAGCATCATATTTATCTTCAACCTCGATGGGCTATGTACATTCAATAGCTGACAAGGAGACACGTCTCGCTCGCTCTTCTAATATAGATAAAACCCCTTTGAGTATCATGTCCCAATTACCCCTCCTTATCGCCCATCCTCGCTCCCGTCATCTGCAGAACCTGTCTCATCTTTTTGTTCACTTTGTATATGGACCCTGTCGTTAAGTAGGCGATGAAAAGCCATAGGAAGACAACTAAGTGGAGGGTGGACAAAAAGGCAATCATGGCTATGTAGATAACCACCTTCAAGGAGTTAGTGCTTGGTGGCATTTCAGATAGTGGCATACATACGCAGAGCTGCCATTCTGCGGGGGTTCTCGCAATCCACTCCCCCAGCTCCTGGGCAATCTTCATACCGTCGTGGGATTCAAGAAGTTCAGGGGGGTTGCCCTGTGTGGGTGTCCAATTGGTTTCCAGCACAAAAGCACGGCTGGCAAATTCCTATCCAATCCTCAAGGTATAGCCAACGTTCGGAAAAAGGGAAATAGGCTTTCATGTTCTCATGTCTATTATATATCTCATGCTCCCCACAACATACGGCCCACCAACAGCGCATCTTAGCGCAGGGAACCCTGATGCCTTACACACAGTCTTGGGATCTCGACGTTATGGATCTCTCAATGTCATTGAGAGATCCATACCCAAAAAAGGGCAACGTTAGTAGGCGTCACATATAGACGTCATATTCTCTAATCATAAGGATGGGAGTGTTATGAGATTGAAATATAAATATACGAAGAAGATTGAGGTCAAACGCTCCCCACAGCTTAGGATCTCTACGGACAGGTTATCAATAGGATAGTAATATCTCGCAATAATAGATTATTATTCTTCTCTACAAACGATTCAGTGTCACTACGCATGGCGTGTGAGGCCCTCTTCTAGTGTACCGGGTGCTAGCTTCTCCGCAGCCACGGAGCAAGCGTCGTCTGCGTCACAGGATAACTGGATGTTAGGTATACCGGAGCATAGGGAGGCGGAGCTTGTTCAAATGCCAAGTGCTTACTTAGGAACCTTTTTATATCGGCAATGACAAGTTAAGGAATCTATTTCCCTTGGAGGCCAAGATGCTCGGGCTCCGCCTTGATAACACGCAGACTTTGATCGTGTTAGCAATATCCTAAGCATCAAGGAATATTCAACTTACGTATTGGTGTTGCCCATACCGCCTTTCCATCCCTGCACAACCACTACAGGGTCACCCTGTACCAATACGCCCAGCTTCATAGCACCAGAGATACCCCACTTGATTCTTCTGTCAACATCCTCCTGCCAATTGACCTTTGTGAAGTCTGGCTTCTGTTCGGGAAAGAGGAAGGGATAGACGCCACGATACAAATGGGCATATCGGGAGGCGCTGGGGTTCCGGGAGACCATGAATATAGGGCAGACGGGTCGGTACTTAGAGATAAGACGGGCACTATCTCCACTGGTGGACAGAACAATGATGGCACCAGCGTTTATATCCAAACTAGTACGGACTGCAGCCATTGCGCATGAATCAACAATACTGACGGGTCGTTGGGCCAGGGCTGCGAGCTCTTCGAAGTGCGAGACGTATGCAATGGTATTTTCGGCCTTCAAGCAAGTCTCATGCATCTCAGTGACGGCTTCAGTGGGATAGCTACCCTTGGCAGTCTCACCCGACAGCATGACGCAGTCAGCTCCATCCGTGACAGCGTTGCCCACATCGCTAATCTCAGCACGCGTAGGGCGAGGGTTGTAAATCATGGATTCCAGCATTTGAGTGGCGCAAATGACGGGCTTGCCAGCAATGTTGCACATAGCAATCATCTTCTTCTGGGCAGCAAACACCTCAGCGGCCGGGATCTCAATGCCAAGGTCACCACGGGCAACCATGACACCATCAGTCTCTTTCAAGATCTCGGCAAAGTTGTTGAGGCCCTGTCTGTTCTCGATCTTAGCAACGATCTGGATGTGGGCCCCAGCTTCGCCGAGAACCTTGCGGATCGCCCTGATATCCTCACCGCTGCGGATGAAGGAGGCGAAGACCATATCCACATTGTTCTTGACGCCAAACTGGAGATCGGCCTTGTCTTTCTCGGACAAGGCTGGAAGATCGACATCCGTGTTGGGGAGGTTGACGCCCTTCTTGGAGGAGATCTTGCCATTGTTTCGGGCGCGGGCGCGAATGGTCTTATCGTCGACAACTTCGAGAACTTCGAATGCGAGGACACCGTCATCGACATAGATGATGCGGCCCTTCTCGATCACCTTGGTGATATTCTTGTAATCCACATACCTGCATTTTGATTGAAAATAGTCAGATACGGGGCTTGGTCGTGCAAATGCAACCGAGAAACATTTGCATTTTGGATTGGGAAGCTTCGAGGTTCATGGTTTCACTTACATGTTCGTAGCATCGCATGCAGTGGCATACTTGTCGTCGGTAGTAATGTTGATCTCTGCGCCGGCAGCGATGGGGATATCCGCATCGTCCTTGGTGTTGCCTGTCCTGATCTCGGGACCCTTGGTGTCTAGAGCAATGGCGACCTGACGGCCCTTCTGGACCTTCTCGGCCTCGCGGGCGTTGTCAATGACGGATTGATGATACTCGTATGAGCCATGAGAAAAGTTCATGCGGACGACATTGAGGCCGGCGGTTCGCAGCTTGTTGATAGCCTCGACCGAGTTCGTCTTGGGGCCAATTGTGCAGATGATGGAGGTACGGCGGTAGTTCTCGGTGGGCTTGAATTCGGTATCAAGGGCTGAAAGCCATGCGATCTTGGTGGAGCCGGTTGATAGATGATCCATTGCGGTAGCCATGATGACGGAAGAGACGAGAAGAGACGACGAGGGATAAGGGGACGGTGACGAGGCTGGGGGTTGGTCTCGCTAAATTAACAAGATCTCAGCTGGCACGTAGTACAGGACTAGGCACTAGGTAGATAAGGTAGGTATCTATCTCGCGGGATGAGACGAGACGAGACGAGACGAGACGGACAGAGCGCGAAGCGAGGAGAGGAGAGGCGTAGACGAGGGGCACTTTTGTTTGTCTTGGATTTGTGTTGTTTTATGTTGTCTTGTCTTGTCGAAATCGGAATACGAATGGCTCTACGTGCAGTCTTGAAAAGAGAAGAACCAGTTGTCAGTGTTGTGTTATCTTGTCCTGGTGGGGGAAGATGGTTTTGGTAGACACAATTGCCTACCTATGGCCGCATACACCCAGCTGGGCCTGGAGGAACGGCAACAAGGACAGGGAGAGCGAGAAGGAGAGAAACAGATGGGGTCTGGGGAAGAGACTCACACGCTTGGAATCAATTGCCAATTGTATATCTCTATGTCTGACGTTTGCAGGTTGAGATGGGCTGCGGTGGGTTGGGAACTTGGGCGTTGAGGGAGAAGAGAAAAAGCGCGCAAAGGGACGCTTGACGCTTTTCCGCTTCAAACCCCCACTACTCGACCTGGGTACTTGGGTACTTGGGTACTTGCCCAAGGCTGGCGCACGTGATGAATGATTGGCGTCTCAGTCTCCCCGTCTCTCTCTCTGGCTGGTTGAGGTGGGGTGGGGTGGTCTGTGCGCGGGCTTCGTTGTCCTGGAGAGCGGTGAGCTATATTGCAATCACCTGATATACCAGTCACGTGTATCCAGATGAGCTGAGGTTGTTGTCCCGGCCATTTCTCCCAAGGCGCTACTCCATAAGCGGGTAAGCGGCCAGGCGGCTTCGCGTATCAAAGCACCTGCAGCTCCTCGTACTCTGTACTGTTGTCCCTCTGAATCAGCATCGCATCACTTGTTATTATCAGAAGGGAGAGGGCATCATACCGGTACTTCACCCACATCCACAACCACAACCACAACCACAACCAAGTACACCGCCGTCCTTTCTACCTTTCACCAACACCATTCATTCAAACAGAATCAGAACCAGAAACACACACCCATGCCAACAGCCATGGTTAGTCGCCCCCTCCCCAAATTTTAAGTTCAACTTCAAGTCCCCCGTGGCTAGAACCTAATCTAATCAGCTCAGTTCCTCAACCTGCTAACATTTGGTTTATGGGGAAAGCTCGGCCGGTTGACTCACTATGCATTTGATGCCGTCCTAAGTATGTGCTTGCTGGCTTTGCTGCTCGCCCCGTGTGTGTGCTGTAGACGAGGACATCCGCTAACCTCTCTCCAGTCTCTGCTTTCCTCGCAGGCATGAAACGCTCAACGGGCTTAACGTACGTCTAATTCCCTCGCATACCCTGAACCTCTTCTGTCTGCGCGATCCTATCCTGTCGGGAAATGCCGGTGTTGCAGAACGAGTATTGGGATCCGGAATATTCATCATGGCAGATCAAATCGGCTGACAGCTCCCATCCTGCGGGACCTTAGACCCAGTTTCAAGAAAGATGCCCTCACCGAGAACAAAGATGTCAATGTCTGGATCGACAAGTACCTCGGAGTTGGCGAGTGGGTGATGGATCAGTCGGTGGCAATCGCAGGCTCCAGCAGCTGGTTTGAGAGGAAGCGGTAATATGAAGGCGACCGAAACGGGAACGAGTGATGGTATACGGGCATGGTGGTGATGGTGATGGTCTGCAGGCTGCGGGGAGTTTGGATCCGGCAGACCTCAGTGGAGTCTCGGGCGTTAGTGTGGCGTGGCTTGTATGCGTTGCGACTTTGATTGATTGGGGCAGTTCCAGCATGGCGATACTCTTCTCTCCATCACAAATACCATTGACTTTGGAGGCATTTGAGAACCCAAAACGGCTCCCAAGAAGAGCTGGTTTCTTATTCCTCTTTGCCTTGTGCCCGATCTCCACTCTTCGTCCGATACCGATCCCCTTTAGGCCGAGGGCCCGGACATACCCGAGCACGCCGAGATCACGTTCCGACACGAGGGCCAGCTCCAGCACGTGAGACCACCAACGGCGAAGGTTTACTAGGTGCCCTTAGGTAGAGTATATAACACTAAATCAAATACACATGATAGCTTTCAAAGCCAGGAAGATCTTGCAATTACTCGCTGGATCCTACTTTACTTATTCGAGTATCTGGGCAGCAAATCGGTTGTTCTGTAGCCTGTAGGAATGCGAGTTTGGTGAAGTGCTGAGGAGAGCAAGAAAGCATATCCGTCCCCCGAACGTACCTCCTTATCACAGTATACGGTATGGTTATTTTGATATTTTTTTTAATAGCAAGAACATGGCCATCCAATAATTTCCATAAATACTTTTAGGCGCTCCCTAAATCAGATATAGCCTGAGATTACAAGGGCCACCCTCAATAAGGATACATAGCAAAGACAAATAGTTACGCACCCAAATGCCGTGGTTTCATAACCCTCATAAAACATTGCCCAACTGTTTATCCTTCCATAATTCATAATCTCTCTTAATCCCCAGCCCGACGCCCCCTTCTGCTTTCATGGTTCCAGTCACCTTTCCATCTAAATCAGTAGCCACACTAGCTTGCTCCAATTCCCAACCCTACCCGCGGCCCCGGTGCATGTGGTACACTCCCACCTCTTTCTCTAAGCCTTCTCCCCTCCATCAATCCTCTCAATCCCCTCTTTTGCAGGCCAATCACAGCACTAATGTCGCCCTTCCATATTTCCTTACCATTTGCATCATTCCTCGATTCGGCGTCGGAGGTCATACCCCCACTGACGTCCGAGCCTAATGCATCACTTGCCACACTTGATGATGCACTCAAGCTCTCTTCGTCATCGGCCCTTCTGCTACTGCTCCCTGTGCTAATACCGCCAACTGAGGTGTTAATGCGAAGTAGCTGGCTTCTTGAATTCGGGTCTCCACCAATGGCCCCTAACTGCGTGGTTGGAGGGCTTGCATTTGAACTGCCACCTGGGACATCAGCAAAGTCTGTTGAGAGCCAGTTTTCCCCGAATGCCGAATTCAAGCTTGTCGCTCTTCCGCCGCCTGCAGCCATGGCGGACGCGTTGAATACCGCTGCTGCATTCCTAGAATCAAGTACACCGTGTAACCGTTCAACTACGGCCTCGAGGAGACCGTCGATCTTATAGGGACGCGCGAGCTGGAGGAGTGAACATAGGATTTGCGGGGTACAAAGCGGTGATGGGGAGGGCGGCAGCGAGGAGGTGTAAAGATAGTGAAGAAGTGAGTGTATGGTCAAATGAGTATGAGGAAGATAAAGCGTCCTTGGCCGGGATGTTGGAGCCAGACCACTCGAGTCTGGAGGGAGATAGAGTGTAGAGGGTTCAACCGACTGGTGTCCAGACGAAATAGAAGCCGTAGAGGTATTGTTGAGTGTGGATGAAGTCGACATATTTGAAGACGAGTTCCCAACGCTCGGGGTGATGGTAATGCTACTATTTCTACTCGGGTTGTTGTTACGGAACATATTCTCTGGTCGTAATGTTGCAGAATCATTGCCGTCCTGTGTTGCGGCTCCCTCACGAAGAAGCTGCACGAAATATGCTCCCCACCTTCTTGCAACGACACGGGAGTTGACGGGAATTCTTTCGCCGCCCACACAGAGGATATCCATATCTGCAAGCTCTCTCAGGCCAAGTGCGCTCTGCCCTAATTCCTCTGCCGCTTTGGAAAGTGTGCGTCCGCCAGCAGTCCAGCCTGCCCGTAAACTTAAGCTTAATGATGGGGCAGCGAAAGGCGCGCTAGCAGAGACAAACCCAGACATAGGCGTGGCTCTTCTTGGGTTATCGTACAAGCCAAATGCTTCCAGTTCGACCATGCAAACATTCGAGAAATTGATTCGTCGGTGGTTATAATCCTCTACCAGGCTTCGCTTTCGATTGCCGAGAATAACAAAAGTATTGCGCCGACTCCAAAGCACGCCACGATTCCAGCTTCCTTGACTGAAGACATTTCCGCCTGCGTCAATGCGACTCCAAGTCAAGGTCCGTAGATCCAGTGCCCACAGAGCATACTCTTGCTTTGACGACGTGAGATAGGTCCCACTAACAACAAAGTTTGTGTCTATGACCCCACCATTAGGGAAACGAAGACCTGGTGGTGAGAATGTACCCTGCATCGGCTTCTCGGTCAACGTCCCATCAGATGAGCGTATTTGTAGCTCTAATTTGACGTCCAGGAAGTTGTAGTTGGAGTAAATCAACATCGACGATCCCGGCTCCTTTGCATCTTGGCCGAAACTGCCATAGTCCGGTTTGGTTGGTGAGGATTTCCCCACACGAGCAGAGATGTTGCCTGGGAGGGGAGCAACCACACTGCGATAAGCACCACAGCTCTTCCCCAGCTGCTGTGTGCTTGCCCACTTCAGACTTCGTAGATTGAAGACGCTAATCTGCTCAATATAGTGATTTGCGCTGTCTTGGCCTCCAACCACCACCATTTCCGCGCCACCTGTTCCATCAATATTAACACCAATACTTCCTTGGTTGGGATTGGACCCAGAGGGGTTATGGTGAATCGCCGAAGAAGGGGCGTTGACGGAGGAGAAGGTTGCGGACGATGGGAGAATAGTGGCACAGTGTGCATATCTGCCTTGCGGTGTTTCTTGAGTTGGAACGAATGTCCATGTTCTTGTCGGTGCATCATATATATAAATATCAGACATCACAACCACTTCTGGCTGGGCATCCTGGACATTCTGGGCAGAAACCACTTGCTGATTTTGGCCCTGGGTCGGTGCCGGTGACATGCCGCCATAACACACAAGTTTAGTGTCCCCCAGGGGGCATACACTATGGAAATATCGAGGAGGAGGTACATCTCCCAGCGTATCAACTTTTGTCCAATGTCGCCGTATTAGATCGAGCTCATATAAATCTGACGTGAGGGAAGGTTTCGATCTTGATAGTATCCGTCCACCAAATACGTAGAGCTTATCCCCCAGTATTGTGGTTGTAGCACCCACGAGAGGATGAGGCTCTCTTCCGGTGGTTCGATGTACGTTACACATGAGACCCGAAAGGTGTGCTGATGAGGGAGCTCCAGGTGTTCCACCTGTTGCGCCCCCCGCAGAGCGTGGCTGGGCGGGAGATGGGCCTGCAGATGGAGGGCCATTGCTGCGCGGTGTCGTGATCTCCTTATCGTCATCTGCTTCTTGCTTGCCTGAGCTTGCAATACTACCCTGGCTGCTGGTCATATCTGCTAAATATGTGCTTGAAGCCGGCTTGAAACCACCGGCGTACATTGGCGCGGTAGAATCGGACGTCATCGAGTCCATGGTACTAGTCCGGCTACCGCTCGCAGCTGGTCGCGACATTTCAGCAAAGACTTTCGGTGTATCGGGAGGAGAGAATGTGTTGACGGAGGGTTGTTTGGGAGCTGGGGATGTTGGAGATATCGGGGTCCTCGGCAAGGGCTTTTCTTGATTCAGGTTGCTTCTACTGCGCTCATGCTTCTTCCTCGTCGTCAGAGGGGTCCTTGGATTGCCAGTCGATGCAGATGCTAGCGCGGGATCGGGATCGGTTGATGTCGAGGTTGAACTTTCGCCAACCTGTATATTTGGCGGCCTGGCACGCCCACCGGACACTGAACCCCACTTCCTAATGCCCTTTCGCACGCCGGCCAGAAAATCGCCTCTTTCGGGAGAAGGACCAGAGTCGTCTTCGACGGCGGAGGATGGTGGTGAGAGACCGGACCTGAGGGAGCCTTTCCGCTCCAATGTTAGCTTGTCTGCCATGATCATACATGCTGGCGGCCACCAGAGGAAGTCATCGCCAACTGCTGGCCAGCAAATAAGAGAGGAGGAGAAAAGACGTGGAGGATAGCTCACTGGACTGGAAACCGGGGATCTAGCTCGCTCGCACTGTCTCGTACCAGAGCGCGAGGAACCTTCTCCGTTGGGATGTTGAAGCAAGGCCAGGCCTGATCCGCACCGTGGGTAAATCCCCGCTGCCACTCTGGTTCCTGATAAATTCGTAACCGACTACTGCCAGGTAACAATTCTAGCCCCGGGGTGTTCGAGGAGGCTCGGAGGCTCGGAATGAGGCGAGATGGAGACCACCGCCCGCACAGACACGCTCTGTCTTGCTTCCGAGTGGTGCTGAGTAGCAGTATTCCAAGTTTTCCCCGCCGGGCAATATAACAGTAATACTACGTACTCGGTAGGGTGCCAAAAGGGGCCGTTCGTCGCGAGATCTTAGTACTCGAGAGATACCTGAGACGGTGGCGTCGTGTCTGGCGGGTCTCAAGACTCAGATCAATATCTGAGGCTCTGATCTTCCTTACCCACGCCAAGTATAACGAACGGTAGGGACTTCGTACTACCGTACTGTTCGTATACTCCGTCAGACTATGAGTATCCGTTCACAAGCCAATCGAGTGCTTGGGGAGCAGCAATTCCCAATCTGCCTCGCGCTCTCCGAAATTCGAATGCAGCTAGAGCCAATTCCGGTTGGTGTCGCCGAACCTGTCCTTTCAAAGGTCCCCGATGCCTCGAGACTACGACCTTGCCAGTGTGCTATGCTCCTTGCACGGAGAGCTTGAAAGTTGAAGGTGCTCTGCTCTACTCTGCTCTACCCTGTCCTCCTCTTCTTGCCCTCCTTCGCCTCCACTACTCGGCAGCGGCAGCAAGTTGGCTGCTGCCTTTGAGGCCTTCTTTTCCGCTTGTGAATGTGAAGATCGTGTGGTCGTTGGCTGGTCTAGTCTAGTCTTGTAGCACCGAGAGAGAGCATGTGCCGATAGCTTCAGATACGCGGTACTCGTACAGCACTCTCCCTGTCGCTGTCGCTCGGACGTTCAAAGCGTCTAGTACGAAGTTCGAGTCCTCGTGCTTTCATACAATATGTTTCCGTATGTATGGTTGGTTGGTCGGTCGTCGGTGACGACTGTTGTTGCGCTTCGTCCGATGCAGCAGGCTGGATGCCAGTCTCCACGTGTTATCCTCGTCGCCGCCGTGAGCCGTGAGGATCGTCAGGTCGTACTACGTGATTCGTACCGCTGTATGGGATACCTTGGCTGTGGCTGCGTCCTTTCCAGGGCGATACTGCGTGGACGTCGCGGGATATCAGGGGATATCAGGTCAGTCGAGGGTTGAGGCGGTTGAGGGGATTCGGTAGAATGGAGCGGCGTTCCCCAGATACGAGGATGCTTATTATTATATTTATTGCATCAAATAAATTAGTTCGCGTTGTGTCGGCTGCTGTGCCTGAGGGCGTGCATATCAAGAGGTTTCACCTGCGGCAGTAGCTAGTTCATTATTGGCCCCTCGGTATTCACACCAGCAGCTGAATTACTATAATACTAGTGTTAACTTTATAGCATATCAAAATATAAATTCTAAAGTGATAATACCTCTCTATGCAAATTTGATTTTACTCCTCTGGACTTGTTTTGTAATTAAATGTTGCGCTGGCTATAGTAGTGTGAATAAGATACAAGGTAGTAAAATCCGAATGCTCCACATATTCTGACACTCTCTGGTGTACATATTTGAGCCTACATGCAATGCACTATACTAACTCGATATTATCTCTATAATGGCAGTTCCGTTATACCACCATTTCCTCCGTCATACACGGCTCATATATTTCGTACACGTACAGCCTGTGACGGGGATGGCGGCAAGCAACAATCCCCATTTACAAGGCTAAATGAGGCAAAGTATGGGATTGAATTGGATTGAACTGGATTCATTATTTGGTATTTCTCCCCCGCCCCCGGTCGTCATACTTGCGCTCGAATCATCCCCTGGTATCCAATGGTGCTCTTCCCCATTTAATTTTCTACCTGCTATGAGACCTTGGGCCCAAACATATTCCCTTCCCTACCCTTCATCATCCAGAGATCCCGCGATTTAGACCGCAGCAGAAGTCTTATCCTTGGGCAGAGGAGTAAATCGGAGGTATGGCTTGACTATGCGGAAGTCCGGGAAAAGGGTTTTTGCCTCCTCGTTCTTGACGCTTGGGTGCACAATCACATCGTCGCCGGGAACCCAGTTGATTGGGGTGGTGATGCGATACTTGTCACCGGTCTGAAGAGAATCAACCACACGCAGGACTTCGGCGGTGTTGCGGCCAGTAGATGCCGGGTAGGACAAGATGAGGCGGATAGTCTTCTTGGGGTCGATGATGAAGACGGAGCGGATGGTGAAGGCGATACCCTTGGAATCTACGTTGGTGATATCCTGGTGATCCAGCCTTAAAGGGAGGGGTCAGCTCAGTACAACTCAGGCCCGGGCGGAGAGGCGCACGGTTTCATACGGAATCGGGGCTCTTACATGTCATAGAGATAGGCGATCTTTCGGTCCTTGTCGCCGATGATGGGAAAGCTCAGCTTGCTGCCCGCGATCTCATCAATGTCCTTGATCCATCCTCCGTGGGATTCGACGGTGTTTGCAGAGAGGCCGATCAACTTGACCCCGCGCTTGGCGAACTCGGGCTCGAGCTTTGCGAAGGCACCCAGCTCGGTGGTGCAGACGGGGGTGTAATCCTCTGGGTGGGAGAAGATAACGACCCAGTTGTCGCCGATGAACTCGTGGAAATCGATGGGGCCATTTGTGGTCTCGGCCTTAAAGTTAGGAGCAATGGAGCCCAGGCGAAGACTAGGAAATAGATGTCAGCCTCGGGAACGATTATTGATACGGAAAAAAAACGTAGGCCGACTGGTAACATCCCAGCCACTGGGCCATAGCCAACTTGATGGTATTAGAGCCATGTGAGTTCCATTCCCATTTCCCCAAATTTACCATGGATAGTTTTTTTTTGGGGGGGGGGGGGGGGGAGGTTTCATGGATTTCAGGGTTGATTGTGGCCTAGTTAGTTGAGTTTTGGTTGTTTTCCGGGCTCCTTCGTGCCCCTCACCATGGAGACTTCACAATCACAAAAGGGTGCCGGCGAAGAACAAAAGTACAAGAACTTACGGCGTTGGTCTTTCCTCTGTAGCAGACATTGTGAAGATTGCCGATGTGGGGGTGGTCAAGACTTAGAAGATGCGAAATGAAGTTGGGGACGATGCTAAACAAAATTTGCTGAAAGGGCAGCTTAATGTCTTGTGTCTGGAGGTCTGGAGAGGACAATAGATGGAGATGGAGGTGGAGATGTAGATATCGATGGGGGTGGGGAGAGACGAGAGAGGAAGATAGAAGAAAGGAGCCCGGAGGACGGAGGATAGTCGGCGAAGTGGGATGATTAATAGGCGGTGGATGGGTGGGTGGATGGATGATGTGCTCGAGGCGGATCTTTTCGCCGTTTGCACCAGCTGCACCAGTTTGCATTGTTTGACTGATCGGTGGTGACAGCCTTGCCGATCACGTCATTGCGCTAGACCGAGGCCGGGTTAGGCCCATGATGGTGGCGGCAGTTGAGAGGGCAGGAGCGAGGGCAGGAGAGAGCAGGAAAGAGCAGGAAAGAGCAGGAGCGACTCCAGACTCCAGAGATCAGCTGCCCAGACACGGAGCCGGAAGGCCCTAGAGAGAAAACAATGGGAAATGGGCGCAATTATTAATAATGTTCATGTTAATACTTCCTGAATAGTAATACCGGGGGAGATCCAGAGATGGCAGCCTCGTCGATCGAGCACAGCCACTCAGCCACCCCCACCATATCACCATATGCTCTTGGTCAGCACTCGGCAGGCAAGGCTACGATATCAAAGTACTTCGTAGCGACCCGTAAGATTTACAGTGCGGCATGCCAGGTGCCTACCTAGATAGTCTGTATGGCCATGTCATAAGAAACTGCAACGAGTATGAGTACCTACTCTAGATTGGATTGGATTGGATTGGATTGGATTCCTGGCCTCTCTTGAATCTATTTACACCCATCCCATACGAGTACGCCGTGCGCCTAGAGCCTGCTCTCCGAGCCGCAACTCAAATCCAATGCAGCCACATAAAACAGAAGAACAAAAAAAGAACCCGAGCGCTGCGCACTCCCCACCTACCCTACGTAAAGTCTATACAGCTGAGACAGAAGTGAAGGGCTTGTCGAGAGCATGGTAAGATGCTGCTCAGATCCAGCAAGCGTCGAAGGACGACGAAGGTACCAGCCTCCGGACGAACAAGAAATGTCCCCGAGGGGTGGTCGGTTTCCGAGCTTCAACTCGACACAGACCAAGAACCATCCTACTGGCGAGGACGGAATCGGCGAGCAGTAGGGATTGGGCGCCCAAAACTCGGGGACGAGGTCGGCAGCTTATGGGAACCGGTCGGACGTCCTTGGTGATGATGGGTTCCATTGCTAGCAGTCACAGGGAAACCTGACGGCCTTCTGTGCGCGAGGCGGATGGAGCCGGAGGCATCGGCCGGGAAGCTGTAGATAGTCCCCTCCATGGTCACTCGTGCGCCGGCTTGGACCGGTACACCGTGGAACGGCACAAGGCCGCCATTGACATACGTCGTTTCGCATGGGACGGTGATAGTCGAGGTCGGCGATGAGGTGGAGGTGGAGGGGTTTGCTATCACGCCCGTTTCAAAGGTTGTCGGCGCGCCTGAATCTGTGGTGGAACTGAGGTCGACGTTCGACTTGGAGGTATCCAAGGCTTTTGTCAACGCCGTAGTGGTTACTGAGTGTTGGGTAGTTGATGCTGAACCCGCTGGGAGGGAACTGTTGAAAACTGGCGGGAGGACGGTTGGGATCGATCTCGACGTAGTTTGTTCCGTCGAACTCGAACGTGTTGTGGGATGAGGGGTAGTCCCCGTAGCGTTGAGGCTACCTGACGGGGATTTGCCCAAGGCAATGCTAGTTGGGGCCTGTAGCAGTAGAAGAAGTCAGTGGCCTGTTGAATTATTTTAATACATCTGAATATGTAAATACTATGGCAGGAATGAACTATTTTGCCATCATCTCTCACACCACCAATTCAGCACGGAAGCACTTGAAGTTCATATTTCCAAGCCTTGCAATACCGGAACTCGAATACTCACAGTGACAGTTCTTGTGCTTGAGAGTACAACAGTACTGTCCCCAACCTGGGTCACTGGGCATGTTGTCGTGAAAACGGTAGTCCTAGTAACTATATGCCCATTGGTACATCTTGGGTTGCTAATGCATGAAGTGATCGTCTCAAGTATGGTGGACGTAACAGTCGAAGTAGTCAATGGAACTGATGAGGTGGCAGTCCCAACTGCCACTAGGGCGCTTGAAACAACCGGCGTTGGGCCTGCCAGCGAAACGTTTGTCGCTATGGCTAAGAGAAATATTAGCAAAGGGTTATAATAATCTACCTGACTAACAAAAATGGAGTTGAGAGCTCACTTGCGGTTGCCGAGCCGGCACTGTCTGTCAAAGTAATATAAAGCGGAACCCGTGTGGTAATCAGAAGCTGTGAAGTCACGACTTGCATTTCGTATGTTGTGATAATTTGCTGTCCCCCTAAGTCTTCGGCTCGGGCCACTCCCAAGAACGCAAGAGCCAATGATCCAAGGTATATGCCCTTCATTTTTAATAACTGAAAATGCCACGTAAGATTGTCTAGAAACGAACGAAAACTTAAGAAATCAAGCTTAACGGGAAAAGGTAGAAGAATAGAGCTCTGAAAAGACGGTTGTAGGATGCAAAGGATGAATAGTCGGACAGCAAAAATGAATGTATAATATTCAGATGGGCGAGTAGAAGATTATCGCTGATTCTAGAGAGAGTACTTTATAAGCTGAGGGAAATAAACAAGTATCGGCAGGAAGGGTCAGCGCAGATGGTAACGCAAGTTAGGCTAGGGGAGCCCGGGTGACTTGAAACGATATTATGGATGTCAGAAGAAAACGATCCCAGGCCCGGCAACAAGGACGCGGCGGATCATGGCCCTAGAATGATGAGGATCCAATACGTATATCCTAAAGCCTCCTAGGATATTGCAGGCTTAAATGTCGACACATTTTAAATCGCCAGGGACAGGCTTCAACTCCTCCTTTTTAAAAAGGCCAATAACTGCTGAGAATGCACAACGAATCGACTAATTGGTGACTAGGCAAGCCTAGATAACAGGAGAGGTGCAATATGCATTGATTCGGTAGATGCGGGGTTCTTGGGAGGCGTAATGAGATCATGAAACTCGAAGGAATAGAAGGAATTCGAGCAGAGACCTAAAAATTAGGTGACAGGCGGTGAGGCTATGGCCATTGCTATAGCGACTATCTTACATTCCTTTAAACGAATCAACATGCTACCTTATCGCAGGAGAGGCTGGAATCAAAGGTGGCAGATAAATGAGGGGAGGATGAAGCATGGGCGAGGATAGGGACACCCAATACGAAGGATCCCAACCGAGATGCGAAACAAGCAGGTGGAGGAGAATTAAGGGTGAATCCGCCACAACGATGCCATCTCAGGATGTCATAGATGATAAGAAGGATGTTTAGAAGGATGGGAGGATGGGAGGGTGGAAGAGAAGGAGGGGGAAGAGGGAGAGAGGAAGTATCTTATTAGTCGAGATGAGACCAAGTACCTAGGTACCTAGGTAGGTAAATAATTGCCCAGGATTATATCACGTGCTATTTCCTTTCTCTACGATATTGAGGTACCAACTTACGTAGGTATTTGATATATTTAGCTGCCGAATGCTGGGCATCGCTTTATGTTAAGGGTCAAGTTTCAAGAGCTAAAGTTGTAGGTTCTAGCATTTTATATTGGTAGGTAGATATAGGTAACTATGAGTGACCTACCTACAGTAGCATTTAACCGTGTTCCGAATATGTCAACATACCAAGCTTCTCACGATTTAAGGTTGCTCTCAACAGGAATAAAATGGAGTGTATCACGGTGAGGGATCCGTCACAAGTCCTGCCACCACGGGAGGATACTGACAAGTAGACAGGAAGAAAGCACTAAGCATATCCAGCCCACGTTTGAGCATGCTGCTGTCCCAGATCTTGCCCAGCCTTACTTGCAGACCCAGAGACTAGGCAGAGCCAACATTTAACCCATCCTAATCCCTCCATAGAGTGTTTCTGTATGACCTAATCACCAACCGGATGATTAAGCCTCGTTATCCCCTTATTCCATACCTATATAGCAGGTCCAACACCCTGTACCCGTTAGATCAGCATCAAGAGGGGGGAGCGGTGGGTCAATTGAGTCGTGGAAAAACGATGAGATGAAATTGAACTACCAGATAATAGCTGAAGGTGGTCGTAATATAGATCGCTTTAATCAAAGGAGACAGGAGACAGAAAGGAAGTGGTAGGCCAACTGCACAGCCGTACAGGTATCCAAAAGAAGAGAAGGTAGGCAGTGAGGCTAATCACATATAGCACGATCAGTCACTCTTTATCTACCATCCTATTGGTTTGCAATTATATTGCCTCCGGGAATCTTTCTCTCCCGGGGGGCTGATACATACAGGTTACGTGAATGAGACGAAGTAAGAGGGGGAGGGAACAAAACTGCACATCCGGGAGCAATAAGATAGTTAAATTTGAGATCGTGCAAAAACAAATTATGGTCTGGTTGAGCCAGCATATTTAGAAGCTTATCTAATGAAGGATTGAAAAGACTCTATGTTGCAGCCTGAGTGCTTCTTCCTAGGCCAACCCTAAGAAGTATCCGGCCCTATCAGCAGCACCGCAGAATTTCAGCAGGGGGATCAAGACCTAGAAGCACTTTACTAAGAGTGTAATGTGATTTCGCTAAGTCTGTACTAATGTTCTCAAGGAAATGAATGTATAACATGCAATGTAAAGGGTGAAACGAATCCTCGAGATCACTAAATTTCAAAGATCATGAGGTCAGAGGGCCCTAATATTTGATCTGGGAACGCATCAGTAATGTAAGAGCAATCAATCTACTGCTCCACACTGATTGTCAGATGTTGCGTTCCTATGAGGTAATACTGGAAATATGACGGTGCTTAAACAAAGTGAATAGTAAGGAGATTGAAAGCAATGCATCTAGGCAGATGCTCAACCTGCCCGACCAGTGTCCGAGGCAGATAGTGGGAAATATACCGCTATACAAACCCGCGGTTTCGCATTCGTCTGTGAATCCCCAACTGAAGAATAACTAGACTGTATTCTACTACCTCGCAAGCCTTGCGGCTTTAAATCTACTCATTTTCTTAGGACCACCTTCCTCCTCGGTCAAGGGCACGATCGCGCTCTCGTCCTCTCTTAAAAAGCCTCCTTGGCGTTGGATCATTCTGGTGCGTGCTCGATGATACCCGGTGGCTACTTCCTGATACAGTAAATTGGGATCAAACTGATCAGGTTCTGCTGCCGAGGTATTAAGGGGCACATCGCGCTCGATGATATTTGGTGCTAGGGACATTCCTTCAGGCCCAGCTGGTACAGTGCTGGTCCTTTGCGACATTGCGGGAGCTACACTTGTTGCTACGCGCTCTATAATATTACCGATTGGAGCTGTCTTCGTCGGCCGGGGGGCAGGATCTGGCTTGGAAGCAGGCGCGATATCGAGATTTTCTGAAAAGCGGACAGACTTTTTCACAACAGCAGTTGGTGTTGACTTATCGGCGGTGTTATCTGCAGGTTGTCCTGAGACAGGCGGTTCCGGATTACTACTCTGGCCCGATCCATTTATGGCGATTCGTCCAATACCTTCCGTAGTAGTCTCGTAATCACTGGATTCGTTGCCAACATTTCCCACCACTCTCCTGCCAAGCCGCTCTTCTATCTCCATCATTTCTTGCCTTAATTGATCACTAACACTTCGGCAAGTAGATCGGCCAAATTCATCTTCGTCATCCATACTACTTGCTTCGTCCTCATCATAATCCTCGCCACTCCAATCGCTACCCTCTTCAAGATTCAGCTCCGCAACCACAGCTCCAACTTCTGACAGCCCGTATTGTAGCATCTCTTGACGAAGAGTCGCATCCTCGGCTGACTCGTCGGTGGGAATTATCGCAGGTTCCGAGGGTTTAATACTTTGATGTTTTGAAATGGCCATTATTTCTTCAATCCTCTTAGCCGTTTGAGACTTTTGGGGTTCCGGGCCAGGTTTCGTATCTGGGGCGAATTGTACTGCCTTTGTGGCGGGTTTTCTTGCATCTAGAGGGCTTTTCTTGGTATCTTCATTAAATGTGGAGTTAATCGGCGAGCCTGTTGGAAGGAGGCGTTCTGGTATATCGCCCACTCCGGATTTCCGAAGCGCCTCCAGCAGTTGTGACTCTGCGCTCCCAGGCTGGGACGTGTGGCTTGAAATGACATTTCCTTCCTCATCCAGCTCCTCGACAATATCGGTCAACGGCAAGCCTTCCTCGTTCCTAACATCCGGCGTACTTATAATCGTTGCGGCTGCAAGTCTATTCTCCGCAGCTTCAAGTTGCGTCTGAACCGTGCGGACATTCCTCTCGACGTAGTCTAGGCGCCTGTCGAGCAGATTAACGACCTGGGCAACGGTTCGGGTGGTGGCAACGCCCAGAATATCCTCGATCTCCTTCTGACTGACAAGTTCGCCATTGTATTCCCGGCCCAGGCAAAGCAGCTCAGCATGGCTTGACGTTGGATCTGCCGCCAAAATTTCTTCTTTAAAACCCTCATACTCAGCCTCCCAGGTTTGCCAGTGACGCAATGAATCTCGCAGCTGCTTTATATTGTCCTCGAGCAGCTTCCGATGTCTCTCTAGATCTAGGAAGCTGTCCCTAGGTCTGCTAGCCATGCCTAGAGCAGGTTGAGAACTAGGCGTCTCGTTGAATCAGTCGCCAGTGCAGCGTTCCGTAAAATGGGGCGAGACAATAAAGCCGTAGGGGAGGTGGGATAAAATGCTTCAAAAGTCTAAATCGGCATATACCTCGTTGTCAGGACAGAATAGAAGCTGAAGAAGGTTGCAGAGCACTCAAAAGCAACATGCATTAGTGAAAAAGAAGGCACATGTACTTCGTGCCGGGACAATTTTCAACCTTCGAACAGTTTGGCGATGGCAAAAGCACAGATGATACAGACACGCCGAGCCCTGTTCTGCCTGAGGCGTTAACTAGGTACCTAGGTACCTTACGATATAGACGCGCTTGACGTGGGGCACCGGCGCCATGCCGCGCTAGCCTGCTTCGGGTCGAATGTCAACAACTCTCGACCTCGACCTCTTCTTCCTTTGCTCTTCCTCATGCATCGACACAACAACGCATTGCTGAGATCGTCATCCTTTGGTGTATCGTGTCTTAATTACGCTTTGGCTAACATACATCCTGCTCTCATTGACAAAGGCAGCGCCAACAAACCCATTGCTTGCGGAACGCGTCTTGCGCTGGCTACGATTTTCTGACTAGGTGTATCATCAACATCATCCTGCACCACAGTTATCAACCCCCGATATCACTTTGCGCACTCCATACTCATACTCGCCAACATACTCCGGCAGTTTGGGAAACATGTCGACAGCCTTTCCTCCCTCGCGTCATCGGTCTCGGATGGCGAGAGAGAGATCGCGCGACGTCAACAACTCCATGCTTTCGGTCGCGTCCTCCACAGGCTCCAATCATGGCACCGTTAGCACCGATTCTACAATATCCACCGACTTTGATCCCATCCGGGACGAAGCTTGTATGTCTACCCAACAATTGAACACCAATTACTCCCAAAAGCTTCCTGAGCTACGCGACACCGCAAAGAAATACGGTCGTTGGCAACCACGATCACAGCAAGAGTTCGTCATCAATACTTCTGCAATTGGACGCGCATTTCCAGACTTTTCCCACGCAGGAAGTTCGGATGACACCTTCAATGTCGAAGTTGGACGTGCTCCAACACGACATCCATCCAATCCACGTGTTGAATACTCAGGCTCGCCCTCATCACCTATTATAACAATGGGCAGCACCAAGATCCTCCATACGCCAAAGCGCACCAGTACAAACCATTCAATTCTCCAGGACGCGCTACGCAATAGATCCTTTAAAGAAACCGCTCAACATAACAGCACCGAACAGAAGGAAAACATCCCTCCCGCTTCACAAGGTTCAGCAAAAGCTTCTCCTTACATATCCCACGCCAGCCGTACAATTAGCGGCGAACGCCGAAGTCTTGCAGAGTTACATGCTCGTGTTGCCGATGAATCCGATGGCTCATTCATTGGCCAAGAGCGACCTGTTACTAGCACTCTCCAACCTCCCAAGAACAGCCGCTTTGCTAATGGACAGGCGCAAAACCTACAACGCGTCTCAGCCTCCCCGAATGTCTCTTCCAAGAGGCAACCCTCCGAAGTTGTTGATGAAGCTATGGTTAGAGCAGCATCAAACACACCTTCCAAGCCACAAGTCGGGCCACAGAAAATCCCCCACTACACCACAAATTCAGCTACCCCAAATCCTACCCAGCAATCATTTCTACTGCCTGGCATGCGAGCAGCTTCCGATGTGGACTCGGGGACATTCAACAATGGAGTACCAGTTTTTGCCCATGGCGGAAAGATCCACAATCGCCATACATCCAAAGCCACTCTACTCAACGCTTCGTTCGGCCCAGTCGATGCAATCGTAGTACCGGACGAGGAAGAAGATATCTATGAGTTGATTAACCTGCTCAAAGCCAGAATTGCTCGTGTCGAAGCAGAAAATGGAGATCAGAAACATATCATAAATGACATCACAAAGGACAACCACCAATTAGCACTCGAGAGGAAGGAACTTCCGGATTATGTGCGCCCCGATAGCGCTTTGGGAATGGGTGATAGTGGAAGTGATCGCCACGGGGGGTCCCTTAGGGAGGTATCAAGTATGAATTCCCACCAAAGTCCCTCAAACAGCGATGTGCTTACAAAAATTCCAGGACTCCAAGCGCGTATCATATCAATTCAAAATCAACTCGATGCTAGTGAGCAAAGAGTGTCTAATCACGATGTGATTTTCAAAGCTAGCACTATCGAACGAGACCAGGCAGTGAAACAACTAGCAGAGGCTTATCTAGAAAACGAGCGGTTGCAGGATGAGAATGATTCTTTGAGAAAGGAAAGAGGGGATCTCCTCAGGGAGCTACAACAAAAGGAGCAACAGGAAGACGGGAGCGCCGTCAAGGAGTTAGAAGCAGCACAAAATCAAATCTCTTTGTTGAGAATGAGAGGCGAGTCCCTTGAACAGCTAGAGTTCGAGAACAGGTCATTGAGACGAAAGAACGAGGCTCTAGAGAAGGAGTTGGGCCAGTTTGAGGCCAAGAGCCAAGAGCATGCGGATACCTGGCAGAAGAAGGAAACCAAACTTCGCAATAAAATTCTGCGACAAGAAGAAGTCGTTACGAAATTACAGGAGCTGACTCAAGAAATCCACGAGAACACGCGAGAGATCACCCTTGCAACTACTTCTAAGCACAACGGGCTCACCTCGCATCATAGAGCCGAAAGCAAGCCGAAATACGGACGGAGATCTTTGCACCTTGACTCAATTCCCCAGGGTCCCGCCTCAATGGTGATGAAGCAGAATGAAAAACGGATGAATGAGGTAGACGGTACCAACGCCGATCTAGATATTACCAGCAGCCGCGGTCGAAAAGCCACTGAAGATAGCTATAATGTCAAGCTAGGGGGTGTGAATTACCGACCAGATCCTCCTCAGTTGAATGATTTCGATCAAGAAACGGGCAATGCTCGTCAAGCCACAGCCCTGGGCACTCATGATGCATCACTCGATGTTGATACTACTAACGGCACCACAATCCACGACTATATTAGAAATACACCTGGAGATGACACTCTTGAGGGGTCTTCGTATGCAAGTATACTTGGCCAAGGCTTCATGACAAACCTTCGCCAGCATGTCCGGAATTTACGTGACGTGAAAGAGCTGCAGCAGCGCCAAAGAGGTGCTACAACTCCTTCTATACATGATGACACTGTCCAATCCAACCATCCCATTCAATCCTCCTACCCGCGTTCAACACAAGAGCTAGTTGGTATCTTGAAAAATACCAACACCCGAAATCGGGATGAATTTACCGGTTGCTTGAGCGTCAGGAGCGCCGGTTCAAACGCCCTACATGCAGAAGATTTAACGGACTGCTTGAGTGTGAAGAGTGCCCAGAGCGGCAAGTCACGGAGTCATCATGAAAACTCCCAGGCATCCACATCTCACCGCCGCCACCATTCAGAGACCTCCGTCCATGCCCATACCTACCGCCGCCATCGTACTGAAAAGGACGATATGACGTCTGCTTTTATCATTCCCGACATTGAATTCGGTAGCCAGCAAAATGGAAAGGATCATCCTCGGCTTACGCCAGATGCACGTCGAGTCCTAGATGGATTATGCCAACATAATGCCAGTAACTGCATTCTCTGCCGCCAAGTTACATCATATGGTGACAGTAACGCTACCAATGGAACGAAACAAACTATTCGTATCGATGTCCCAATTCCCGTGTCGGAGCGAATGCCGATTCCAGCCCCATACGAAGATGAACCAACGATTCGACCTTCTGTTCAGCCCGGCCTAGCCCTTGCAACGGTCATCAAGGGACTCCAAGATGAAATTGCCCATCTGAAAATGAGGCAGTCAGAAGTCCAAGTGGCTTATAACCAACATGACTCGTCTTTGGGCCGGCGAGCGCGAAAGACGATGAAGAAAACCCTTGAGGAACTCTTGAAGCAAATTGACCACAAGTCTGATCAAGTTTATGCACTCTATGACGTTCTCGAGGGTCAGAAGCAGAGTGGCCAAGAAATGAGCGACGAGGAGGTGGAGAGGACACTTTCAAACATCGGACTTAACCATGAAGATACAACTAAGGAGGGCGAAAATGACCAGGACGAAACGCTACCCTGGGAGGGCATCGAGGATAACTAGGTTGCTGAAACGATTGGCGATGATTGTACCGTTAACTCTCCGCGGATATAGAAGGTTTGTGTTTCTATACAGCGAGCGGCGTCAGTGCAGGTCTGTGTGTGCTTTGTGTTCTAGAGCAAAGCATAATAGTCGGAGGGGCGTTTGGTCTTTTTTGGTTTTTACAAGGCATAGCATACTAGTATTAAAAGCGTTCTATGCTTTTTAAAAGTGGCGTATAGGTGTACGTAGTTGCTTTTAGTACCGGCACGGGCCTCATTGTATAGAGTAGGCTTCTTATAATAAATATTTTTATAAAAACTATCTACTTATCTATATACTACGATTTTATAAGTATTAAAAGAAATCGCCTTATAATTTAATAAAATAATCAAATTACAGCTATATTATCTAACGACGCTACTGATTTTAAATTAAAAAAAATTTATCGAAGGGATAAGACCGATTAGAACTTCAGAAGTAGACAGGTAATCTCACAGTTGTAAGGACGACGCTATTAATTGATTAATTTATCCTTTAGCATTCTATATAAGTCGAAGGCTATAATTATTACTGTGCTGTCAATAAAAATAGGCAGGCACTGTAATTTAATACGAATCGAGTGGCGATATTGGTGGAGCTCTCTCTCCACATTTTGCCTGCGTACGAGTAAGTAAGTGTGTTAGGGCCCGGCCATACCGAGCACAAAAGGGGACTAAACAATTAAAAAGAAACCCGCCCTCCCAATTCTTGACATGCCTTCGCGTTTGGCCAACATCCTCGAACAGCGGTTGTATGTATTGGGCACCGCGACTCCCTTTACTACGTACACACGAGCACTATGGAGAGAGACAAAGGGGAGAAGTCGAGCCCCGCTGGCGAATACGACACCGACCTGTCTGGCGAGTTAAGCGAGAGGGGGAGGTATGAGAGGGACATCTACGAACTGGGCATCCAGAAGTACAACCGTCTAGGATGGAAGCGCCTGACGATAGTGCTCATCGTCGAGGCGATCGCACTGGGGAGTTTGTCCATCCCGTCCGCCTTTGCCTCGCTGGGCATGATCGCCGGTGTTATCTGCTCTGTGAGCATTGGTCTGATTGCCGTTTATACCAGCTACATCGTCGGCCAGGTCAAAGTCGCCTTTCCACAGGTCGCCCATTACCCTGATGCGGGCAGGTTGATGTTCGGCCGCTTTGGCTATGAGCTGATCAACGTTATGCTTATCCTACAACTGCTGTTTCTCGTTGGCTCACACTGTCTCACGGGCACTATCGCCTTCCAAAATATCACTGGCAGCGGCATCTGCTCCGTCGTCTTCGCCGTCGTTTCCGCCATCCTCCTTATGCTCCTTGCGATCCCGCCGAGTTTTGCTGAGGTTGCGATCCTTGGCTACGTTGACTTCGGCTCTATTATCCTCGCCATTGGTATCACCATCATTGCCACTGGTGTTGAGAGTGCCAACGCACCTGGTGGGCTGTCCGGTGTCAACTGGTCAGCATGGCCAAAGGAGGGCGTCACATTTACTGATGCGTTCATCGCCATCACGAACATTTGCTTTGCCTACAGCTTTGCCATGTGCCAGTTTACCTTCATGGACGAAATGCACACCCCGAAAGATTTTATGAAGTCGATCTGGACGTTGGGGATAGTAGAGATCTTTATCTACACTGTGACAGGCGGATTGGTTTATGCTTTTGTCGGCCAGGACGTCAAGAGCCCTGCTCTGCTCTCTGCGGGGACATTAATCAGCCGGATCGCCTTTGGTGTTGCCCTGCCGGTAATTTTCATCAGTGGTTCTATTAACACCACTGTCCTCGGGCGTCTGGTCCATGGCCGCATCTTCAAGAACTCCGCCACTCGCTTCGTCAACACTCCGAGGGGGTGGATCACCTGGATCGCCTTTATCACTTTCGCTACTATTATTGCGTTTGTGATTGCTGAAGTCATACCCTTTTTTTCTGATTTGCTCTCTATTTCGTCGTCCCTCTTTATCTCCGGCTTCACCTTTTACTTCCCAGCTCTGATGTGGTTCATGCTTCTCCGGGACGGCAGGTGGAACTCCCCAAAAAACTTGGCTTTGGGCATCCTCAACCTGTGTATTTTCATTATTGGCCTAGTCATCCTGGGGGCGGGCATCTATGCTAGTGTCGATGACATCGTAAGTTAGACCCTTCTCGCCTCGTATTTCCCTCCAAAATGGTCACTGACGGTGTACCAACAGGCCAACAGCTACCGGAACGGCAAGGTTCGGGGTGTTTTTTCCTGTGCTACGCCAGAATAGGAGATAGCTGGTCGACCTCCTCTGGTGCAGCCCAGGCTGTATTCTTCTTTTGCGAATTATCTTCCTATAGACTATATATACCAATGCTAGAATCTAGTAGTTACTTCTCTACAGTTAACGTTATACTCGATCGGGTATCCCCATCTATAAATTACAGGTAGGGCCTCTTATTAAGTCCTAGTACTTGAGTTACTATCGGACCCGTGTACTATATATGACATGTCCGGCATAATGTATGCAATCATGTTCGCAAGCGCAGTCTACATACCCTCCTCCTATGTGTTAAATGCTACCCTGTACAACAGTTCCGTGGAACTTTTCAGCGTGAATTAGTACACGAAGTCGAATCTCTAGTCTTAACACCTTAATCTCACAATCAACAAGCCTGCCTGCCCTCTCGCTGCTTCCTTTTGTACGTCTTTGGGAAGTACCCATTTAGATACACGAGGGTTAAATACGGGGCAAACGCGTAAGGTTTCAATGGTGGCGGAAGGGGGGTACAAGGTCAGATTGTGTAGGTGTGCTCTATAGCGTGACTCGACCTAATTTTTACGAAAGGTATAGGTGCGCTACTATACAAAATTAAATTGTTGTTTAGCCAGAGACATCGAGGAAGTCAAAGGAGTGTTAGAGGAATAGGTGAGAACAAGACCTACTGGTCATAGTAATTGCGCTCGAGTATTATAAAGGCGTGGGTGTCCTCGTCTTAAAAACATATGCATAAAATATTTAATTATAATTAATTAGTTATAGTATACTTTGCCCTACTTAGTTACTCTAAGTCTTATATACAGTTATTTGCCTTCTAACATATAGTCCTTCTAAGAAGGCGAAGACTAAAAACACTTCTATATAGTGCCCTCTGCGAACCTAAGAGTTACTCTCAAGTCTCCCCCGAGCCAAGATTTAGTCATATTCAAGTTAGCAAAGCTACTAGGCATAATAATACAAATATAGAATTTATCATTACTATAAGGCCTTGGGTATATAAACAAGACAACTACCCTTAAATTAAAGAAACATAAATATATAATTATAATACCCAAGCACTGTCTATAGACCTCCTCCTAGGCTTGTGCTCCAAGAAATTCGATAGCCGTCGAGTCCGATGTTGGGCCCGATAAGTCAAGAGTGCCGAAGTACCGAGACATGTGCCACAGACGGCGATCGCGGCGATACGTTTGGAGAATACCGGCCCGGGACCCTGGAATGCCCGCCCGGTGAGGACCCTGTAGGGTCGCCCTAAAGCTCCGAGGCAGGCTGCAGGGCCTCTAACTGGTTGGGCAGGCCTATAACCTATTTCTACGAAGTAAACCTATTGCGGAAGTCAACCCCGGCAATCTTCTGCCCTGAATGCCAGGAACCGTACTACGTAAGGGGTTGAGACCCTACGAACTACAGACTGCCTGCCGGGAATTACAGGGTGTCGGGCCGGTATTCTCCCAATTTTCTCCGTACGGTCGCGATCTACATACAAGTGCCGGACCTATCGCCACTCTAATGAAATCCCTTAATTCTCACATACCTATGCAACACATAAAGAGCCGTCACGACAATCATTACGTTTACTAGTAAACCGCAACTAACGGCATTCTACTCCAGGTAAACCGACATTCTGAAGCATGCCTAGGAATTACCGAGGCCCAGCTTCTTCCAATCACTTGACTCGGCCAGACATTTACTTACCTAGGCCGCGACGTATATATCCTTTGGATCTTTGCTTTCACCCTTTTATTAAAGAGATTAATCAATTCAATATCTTAAAAATTCTATGACGTATTATGATCAATGGTACTTATTTGGTCTCAATTATCTGATAGAGAACCTAATACGGAACGTTAACGGAGCCATAGGTATGCCATCCTAGGAATATCTTGTGTTTAGCAATAGTCCTTCCTTAAGATCCATTTTTCTTCTTTGGTTGGCACGTGTTATGTACGTCGGAAATCGTGTGCTGCAAATTCTATTAGCCTTATAACACTCTCCTGGAGTGGGAGTATAAATGCGAACTGTTGATCTCCTCGTCGTAGCCATTTTTACTAGGTGTGGAGAGAATTGAGTCGGGGTGGCTGCTTCGGCTAATTCTCGGGGGTTCCACTCACCCACTCACCCACTGCCGCGCGCTGAAACTACTTACTTCGTACAGCGTTATGGTAGCCAACGGCGTCATCTGTCGATGGAGCCCCTAAGCTCCGCCTGATGTCATTTTTGTGGACGGTGAAAATGGCTCCTCCACATGAGATCCAGTAAACTCCCCAGCTTTGATATGGACCCGGGACAGGTACAGTGTTATCTAAGACGCAATCTAAGAGGTAAATATTGTATGGTATATAAGATGAACATCTGTCTCTCCCCACGGCTGATTTTGCCACATTTTTCTATTTCACTCTCTGCGTTTGACTGCTTCCTACTATACGTATAGGCATCGTCTAGAGCTGGAGAGTACCTAGGAGCAGTCTGTTCCTCTACATTCTTTTATATCAAGTCTGTCCTTCACCGTCTTTTGGCTTACGCCATATATCAAAATGGGTCTCACAAGCCGGTTTAAGAAGTCTGATACGGCCAGCGATAGCGAGATCTCAGAGAAACGTCACCAAGAGCAAAATACATCTTCCCTCGTCTATGATGGCACCAGCAGCGAGGAGGCCACCACTGGCACGCATACCCCAGCTGGTACTACCCATTTTCAGCCTGCCGCCAAAAACCACCTCAAGTCATATATGGGCCTGACCGGTAGAAACCTTCATCTGGCAATCTCCATCGTGGCCACCAACGGATTCCTACTCTTTGGCTATGATCAAGGAGTTATGTCGGGTATCATCACGTATTGCGGCCACTCCTATGACGCCCGGATCGTTAGCTAACAACTCTTTTAGTGACCCTGTTTTCAACGCGTACTTCCCAGCAACCAACGGGAACTCCACAGTGCAAGGTATCACGACGGGTATCTATGAGATCGGTTGTCTTTTTGGCGCTATCTTTATACTCATGTTTGGCGAGTGGCTTGGCCGTCGTCGATCTTGCATCATCGGTGGCTGGGTCATGATTATTGGTGTTGTGATTCAGATCACCGCTTTCACCGGGCATCAGCCCTATGTGCAATTCATGGTTGGACGAACAATTACTGGTGTTGGTAATGGCATAAACACATCGACTATTCCTACCTACCAGGCCGAATGCTCCAAGTCTTCGAACCGTGGTCTCTTGATCTGCATTGAGGGTGCTACAATCGCCTTCGGGACAATGATCGCCTATTGGATCAACTATGGCTCCCAATTCTCCGACAACGAGAGCGTTCACTGGAGATGGCCCATTGCTTTCCAGATTTTGTTCGGTCTCTTCCTCTCCGTTATGATGGTATTCCTTCCAGAATCTCCTAGATGGCTTCTCAGCCGTGAGCGTTATGAGGAGGGTGAGAGTGTTCTCGCCTCTCTCCATGGCCTGGAAAGCCACCATCCCGAGGTCCAGCAACAGAAGGCTGTTATCTTGGACTCTATCCGCGCCGCCGGCGAAGGTGCTAGCTTCAAGAGTCTGTTCACCAACGGAAAAACACAGCACTTCCGTCGCATGATGATAGGGTGTTCTTCACAGCTATTTCAACAAAGTAAGCAAATTATCCGAGACCAAAATTTTCTTTCTGGGTCGAGATACTGGTTGGGCCGTGGTGTGATACTGTCATAGATCACTTACCGCACTTCTGGTATCACCACTCGAGGCTCCCTATATTCTACACCTACTGTTTTTATGAAGTAGCACTTACTAACGTCGGTATTTACTAGTTGGTGGTTGTAATGCTGTGATTTATTACCTCCCCGTATTGCTCGAGGAGAATCTAGGCCAGAGCCGTAAAATGGCCCTCGTCATTGCAGCTGTAAATGTGACCTGCTATGCTATCTTCTCAACATCATCTTGGTTCTTGATTGAGAGAGTTGGCCGCCGTGCTCTCTTCCTTTGGGGTACGATTGGCCAGTGCCTTGCCATGGTTATCACTTTCGCTACTCTTATCCCTTCGGGCATCAAGTCTGATAACACCAGCCCCGAGGCTCAGCAAGCTGCTAAGGGAGGTGTTTTCGGTCTCTTCGTGTTCATCATCGTCTTTGGAGCTACCTGGCTCCCCCTGCCTTGGCTTTACCCCGCCGAAGTCAATCCCATCAAGACTCGCGGCAAGGCCAACGCAATCTCTACCTGCACGAATTGGTTATTCAACTTCGTCGTTGTTATGGTTACTCCAATCATGACTGCGAACATTGGATGGGCAACATACCTCGTCTTCGCCATCATCAATGCCTGCTTCCTGCCTTTCGTCTACTTCTTCTACCCCGAGACTCGGAAACGCTCGCTTGAGGAAATCGATATTATCTTCGCCAAGGGCTATCTTGAGAAAACAAGCTATGTCACTGCTTCACGGAACCTGCCATTACTTGACGACAAGGCAGTTGAAGACTTGGCCAACCAGTATGGTCTCGGTGATGAGCTCCGCAGGGACAGGCACGTCAGTAAGGAGGGTGCTCCTGATGACTTAGCACAGGGTTCTAAGTCGGGTTAAGCGCTTTGCTTTTCTATCCTTTTTCCGACGTTTGCGGACTGTTTTGAGACTTCAAATACCGCTTTAGCATTGATGAACGAGGTACGATACAAATCATCTGGCGTTCTGCAAAAAATTAGATATTAGAATTACTAGACTAGATGTCGAAGTATGTAGATGTGTTTTACTTTCGCTGGCTAAAGTAGAACGGGAGCTCCATTATATAGACAGATACAGGATAAATAGAATGGCTGGGACTGAACTGAAGTACTACTGATGGTGAAATCTTGACGCTGGAAGAGATTCCCGTGAAAAAGTCCCCATTCCGCCCATTACACTAGGCTTATTCCAAGGTCCCTTTCTTGGGTTTAATACTACGACATGCTTGGTGATAAACACCGGGCTGTCTTATAGGTTTGGCCACAGTGTCGGGCAGGGCAATAAGGCAAGCTTGAAAGATATTTCAAGCTCTAATAAGGCGTTCTTCAACGGATATGGCTAAGAATTGAGAACGAACTGTGAAAAGGGAAGGACTTTTGCGGTGACACGTTCCTGTACTAGGAAGGTAATTTGAAATATGTACGGTATGTCTCTTCCTAGGGGATAGAATGCAAATCGCCATCCAAACACACTTCCACCGGCGGGCGGGCAGGAAGAAGGTGCCGTGCACCTGGAGGGAGCGCGCCCTCGGGGCTTCTGAGACGTTATCACTTGAGATAAATTGGAGGGAGGCGGGGCGTCAATAATTAAGATGGAGCTCGGGGTAGCGACAAAAAGTTGGGGGGATTAAGCAAAAGGATGCGGTTTCTCTTGAATAGGGTTCTATTGAATATCAAGGTTGAAGAAAGCGAAGTGGGCTAGGGGTGCAGTGAAAAGAGGGGCGGGAGTTAACTAATGAAGCGTAGGTAATTAGCGGAAGGAAAGAGGTTTAAGGGGGAGAACGAATTAAAATTTGATATTCTATTTCGGCATGAATATGGGACCTTGTACGAGTGATAATCGCACAAGGCAAACCTGCCTCCTTTCTCCGGTGCTGGCGGCTCTTGACCAACTCATCCAATCCTGGCGAGAGGAAAAGAGGGGGTGGAAGAGTAGAGGAAGTGCGTCGTCGTGTCGAGATGCCGCTATAGATATTGAGTGCGCTTTTATCGATAGATGGAGAGCAGCTGGCCGGACGGTAAAAGCAGCAGTGAAAACTCTATGCCCGAAGGAGTGCTAACATGCGAGTGGTAGGACGGCGGTACAATGGGAGCTAGATCTGGCGGCCCGCCAACCCTGAACATAATGCTACGGAAGGTATAGCTCATAGAGAGTAGATGTAAATTAAGAGCTTCGCCTGAAAGGCATTCTTATACCTTACCTAGTATAATTTCTAGAGGGATAAAATAAAATAAAGCAAGAGAGTGAAATAATATACAGATTAATTAATGTACTATGTGACCTATGAACAAAACCGCCACCGGACATGCTATGTACGATAACAAGGGGTATCTTGATCTAGGTATACAGTACACATACATATATGCCCTGCCGCTAACTCCTCGCAAAACCCCGGTTTGAAAATGCTAGCAGAGTGCTCTCCTCTATCGCAGAATGCGTCATCGTCGGTCGTAGACCCTTGCCCATCGTGTGTATCATACCATGCATAGGCCCCCGCAAATCGGGTCCAAACAAGGCAACGTAATCCTCGTATTAATGACAGTAGTCGTAGCTGCTGTATTTCCTCCCATCTGCCCACTCGGTCAATAATCGAATGGTTAGAGCGTTGGCGTCCCGATTGGTTTTTGCGAAGATGGTATCAAAGGGGTGCAAGGTCATGCCGAAGTAACTGTGTTCGTAAAGTACATTGGGATAGTGTGCGCATACATCCTCGTAGTTATCCCGCGAGTGAAATGCCGCCATCATTGAACTCACTCGGTATCCAGCTGCCTTGAGAAGCGGTGTGGCGTAAACCTCGATTGCAACGGCATCCCAATATTCGTGTGGACACGAGTTTATACCCGGGTGTTTCATTTCCGGAACTGGTTCCTTCGGAGGATGAGGCGGAAGAGAGTCTTTGAGGGCCTTGACCTGCTCGTCGGTGGGAAAGAGGAGGGTCTCCATACCGATTCTATCCGTGGCCCAGATCATGGACTGGACGTGGTTCACCGGTGTACAGTGAAAGGTCATGCCGACCAACTACGAGTTGCGAGTTAGTACTTTGTAAGATATCCCCTAAGCAGAGGAAAGAGAGTTGGCATTTCTCTCGAAGATCCTACCTTGACCTTGTCCGTGAGTTTGCTCAAGTACCTGTCACTCCAACATTCATCTGTCCAAACCGGCATAAACGGACCCCTAATGCTAGCGTTCATCGTGATGAATTTGTTGTATTTCTTGTAGAGATTATCGGTGCGTAGAACCTCGGCGAAACCACCGAGGTCGTAGCAATCGTTCGGACGGTGGATGTAGCGGATGTTGGGCGCCTGGGGAATGATGGCCTCGGCTTGATTGTCGCCATTCAAGATAAACAGAAAATCGGCAGCGGCATGAAGGCCATGCGCGATGAAGTACTCAAGGTTGGGACGCGAGTTGTTGGTTTCGAAGTAGGCATAGAGAATGAGAGGACGGTCTGAGGTCGTGTCATTGCTTGCGCCGTCGGGATTGCCCGTCGCCACAGTTGGTTGTGAGGAGGAGGAGGAGGAGGAGGAGGAGGAGGAGGGAGGGAGGTTGTCGGCAACGTCGATTTTGGAGTCCAAACGCAGCAGCCATATGCCCCAGATGAGACATAGAAGCGTCAAGCTGCCCACCCAGTACATGCGCGACTTCGAGCTGCCAATGATCGTGGCAGACATGGCGAAGAATAGAATGCGCGGAGGAATCGAAGCCGAAGAACACAGCCAAAAGTCGAAAAACCGAGGACTTCACGATCCCCCGAGTCCCTGAGCTATCGAAGGGCAAAGGAGGAGGTCAGGACAAGATTACTCGTGGGCCAAACCATGTGGATCTTGGTCTTGATCTTGCAGCCGTCGACGGTAAGGGAGGAGAGAGGAGGGAGGAGGGAGTTAAGTCTGCACGGCGAAGTCTGAGATCGTGGGATGGGAATTCCAGTCGTAAGCCGCGCCATGCTGTGGTGGGTTAGGACTCGGATTCAGGAGTCTTGGAAGTTGGGACTGAGGGCGCTCCCTGCCAAGATGCCCGCTCCAACATCCAGCACCAGATGGGACTTTCGCAATAAGGCGGCTAATCATCATGCCAGCCGAGTAAGATGGGAATGCCGCGCCAAGAGTGGGAGGGAGAAAGAATGGAACCTTTTGCGGAGAGAATGTTTCGCAAATTTGGGTTGCGCGGTGTACGTATCATAGGAAACAAGTCGTGTATTGACTTGCTGACTTGCAGTCTTGCTGAGTCCTGACTCCTGAGCCCCTGACTGCGGCGGTGGACCTAAGGTGGATAGCACGGAGTAAGTACGAAATAGCACGAAATAGCACGAAGTAGCAGGTGTCAAGCGACTGTAGCAGCATCAGCTTATTACAGTACTGTAGGAAGTACAGTAGGTACCTCGCGCTAGGGGACGAAGTACTGAATAGTGCCCGGGCAGGGTGCGGGTAGTAGGGGAGATAGTCAGATAGTGCAAGGAAGAAAATAAATAATAAGATTGCCATGCTCCCTGGGCATCTTACGGAGGGATCAACCTGTCCTATCCAACGATTCCAATCTCGGCACACGAAGTACTCGTGCCTTTAAACGAGTCAGGGCTCAGCAGTCAGGATGATCCATTCTTCGTGCTTGACGCGGTACAGTCATGCCTCGTAAGGGATGTACCTGTCACCATTCACGACTCAGCTGGGTGCTGGGGATACGATAGCTAGCTAGCATATAAATATAAATAAAGCACGTGAAAGAAGTTCGACGAAGTACACACAGCACAGTATAGAGTACCTCCGTAGGTAGTGGTCAGCCTTTTCTTTCCAATAATGGTCCGGAAATGGCTTCTACTTCGTACATTGTATGCACTTCATCTGGGGTCCTGGGACTAATTAATTACTCCGTTTAAGGGGTCGCACGGCCCCAACCGGGTTCCTAGACTGGTACCGAGAATAATGCCCGGAGCAACATTAAACACTCCCTGCTGATAATGATACTACTCTACTCTAACCATCAGAGAAGCCCTCAGAAAGAAAAGGCACATGTATTATTGCCCCTATTGCCCCTATTGCCCCTACGCCACGCTTATCCAAGGGCTCAACTGTACAGTACTTCGTACAGTGCCGTGTCGCATTCATTGCGCATGTCCTACTCCAAGTAGCGAACTCCCCAAGGAAACAGAGTTGGTTATCATTCTCGATGTCACTAATATCACATATTTATTATTCCCAATAAACCACCCAGCGATCCCGGCCCCTTGTACGTATACTTACTATAAATGCTCATCAGACCCCTGCACTCCTATAAGGTCGTAATTTATACTTCGTTTCTCCGTCCAACTCGAGCTCACTATGGCAAATGACTCTATTCAACCACTTCGACCGGCTTTGGTTCTCTTTGGGCCGGCTTAGACTCGACTGCCGGCTGCCAGTGATGCCAGCTATTGGGGGCTGTGGCGAGGTTAGCAATGGGGCTAGTCGTATACTTAAGAGGTATGGGTACCGTAAAGAATGTACCGATCCATGGCCTCTCGGAACCGGCTCTTATACTCCTTTCAAAAGTTAGTTGTTGATCCATAAATAGATAAAGTCAATCAATACCTTCGGTGAAGTTACTGTAGGCCGGTTTCGACCTCCGCCTGCAAATCCGCGATCTGAAACGGTTAACCACAATACGATCAATCACCGTGTTGCTAGTAGATAATACCTTTGATCCAATATTCAAGCTTTTTATCCTGGTCCAATGTTAACAAAATAGTCCTGGTGAAAGTCGCAGTGCATAAGTGCATACCCATGTATATGTTCGGACTACGTCGATAATCCCAACTACAAGTTCCTTACGGGCCTGCTACTATTAGTACAGGGCCAGACGCTGAGAAGGGATGAAATACCTCATCAACAGCAACCATTAACGAGTAATCCATTACATCATTCCGCTGCAAGAATAATGTGTCATTGAAAATAGCAGCTTTTAGGAGTTTCTTGGAATGCTATTGAAATATGAGCTCAAGATCCAAACCTTCGGGAACAGAACTTACCTCGCGAGCAAACAGCGGTGATTCATAGATGAACTCAACCATATTCTCGTCCAGAAGCACCTCGTTTTGTTCGCCAGTTGACTGGATTTTGCGATTTCGCATAGAACCTTTGAGATCAAAGATGCGGGTCAAAGAGCGGTCGTAGAAGAGGTTCTCCATAACCAGGACGTCCCATTTGATCTCCGTTCCTGTAATTGGATTTTTGATGACTATTTGATAAAAGCCAAGCATCTTCGCAATGACAGTTGGGAGTTCATGGAAAAGCGCCTCGGCCATGATATTGAAATATGCCGGGGCAAATTTTAAAAACGCCGCTGTCTCAATAGGAGAAAGCGACTTCACCACCAGTCTGTCATCTAAAGTCTTCAGGAAGACAGACTTAGTCTTCCCGCCCTTCGAATCCCACTTGAGACATCTTGATAATGACTCGACAATACGATCAGCAACCCCACATTTCCTCCGAAGAGCATCGAATTGTTCGGCATAAAATATCTTGCACTGCATTCTAGCAGACCCATCGGAAAAGGAGCAGGAAAGATGGGTGCCAGTGGCGCGAAGTAGGGAGGTTTCTACTTCGGCGTGGTCCATACCGTCCTCCGAAATGTCAGGTGTGCCAGAGTCTGAGGCAGCTAGGGGAGGGTCACTATGAGCAGCTCCACCCTGAGCGCGTATCTCTTCCAACTTGGATTTATAGGACTGAGACTGCAGCGTGAATGCTATGAGCGAGCTTGGTTCATCCTCCCGTATTATGACATCCTCGTCTGCGAATATGTGGTCGCCAGCACTAGTGGGGTAGTCTAAGGGAGTCCAGCCGCTTGCAGATCGCTCTGCCCAGAAATTGGTCAACATTTTCAGTAGGCTTGACTTCTCGTGCTTTGGAACATCTAGGGATATATCGGCATTAGGCGTGGAGAGAGATTCCGCTATCTCGGCAGCTCCTGGAATAATATCGTCCAGCAAGGGATGGTCAACGTCGCTCGTTGCCCCGTCGTCATCAGAGGCAGTTTGGCTGACCGTATGCTGGTTGTCATCAGTTTCCACTTCAGTCGCAGTCTCGTCAGCAGCAGGAACCGTATCAGTCGGGTTATGTGGCGCCGTGTCCGTATTTATAGATGTAGCTTTGAGATTGGGAAGATCCCCAACAGCAGCTCTGAGTTTAGAATCGGGATGCGGTGGTTGTGGTATCACAAGATCTTCATCGCTGAGCCTGCGCTCCTCGACAGCTTCGTTTACATCTTTGTAAACTTCAACAATAGGCTTTGACGATGCCTTTGGAAACGCCCGCGACTGCGTGACCTTTGCAGCACGTTGCCTTCTATCTCGCTGTCGTTCCCGCTCGAATTCTCGGCTTAGCTGCTCGAAGTGCTTGGCCAAAGACGACACCTTTGACTCTTTGCGCTTCCCTTGAACTGACCTTGGGATTAAAGAATGCCCTTTTCGGTGAGCTTTCATGGAAGCCAGGCCTAACCTCTCAGAAAGTTTCTTGTCTGTTGGTCTTATGGGGTCGGTTGCTGAGGGCTTTATTGCTTCGAGAGGCATAGCTGGGACGTCATTGGAAATCTTAGTATCACTTTGCCTTGAGGGGTTGCTTGGTGTATTTAATCGACGTATGGTCCCAGCTGGCTGCGACTGGGTACGATTCAATGGTGGGGAGGTAGCTATACCAGATCGTCTAGATACCCCACGCTCAACTGGCCGTGGGATGCTAGAAGTCTCGGGATGTACCGAGTTATAATCATCAGGGGACGTGGGGGCCGTCTTCCGCAGTCGTTCTACCTTCTCGGTCAATGTATTTTCCAATGGCCCAGATGATAGCTGATGCATGGGCGGCCTTTCCGAGCCTGGCGAGCTTATTGGGCCAGAAACGTCAGTTGGTATCCGGGCTTCGGTTGTTTTTGGGTTCTCGATGACATTGGGCGTAGGAAGCGCAAGGTCAAGATGCTCAATGCCCTCATGGTCCAGGTCAAGATTCTGCGCTTTTCTGGCTACCTCTGTGGATGTCTCTAGCACCGTTCCTAGGGGTAGCGTGTCGGATCCAGTCGGAGTCTCCTCCTCCACAGGAGCTAGAACACCCTGAGCTTCCCCCGTAGAGGTATTTGAGGGATCTGAAGGCAATTCAACCGACGCCGAGGGTGATTTCTCATCCAAATCCGAGGCAACATCATTTGACTCCGCGGATATTACAGATGTGGCTGAGCCATTATTATCCATGAACATTCTTTTCAGCTGAAGTGCTGCCAGCCTTCTGATATCCTTCTCTGACGGAAAGAAATTAGCGTCGAAGTCTGCGAATGCATTGTCCCACTCAACCACCTTCTCCTGCATGTCTCTAACAGCCCTATTTAAAGGAATGATCTCATAATACTTGGATTTCATATATTGTTCTCGGAGCTTTCGAATGAGAGCAGTGTGTTCTTCCTGAGCACGCTTGAGAAGCCTGTCCACCTCACGCTTGCAAGCTTCGGCTTTCTCTAATGAAACACTGTCGACATTAATTCCTTTGATTCTTGAATTGACCGAGGTCATGAAGCGGTTCCATTTGCCTTCGATTTTGGTAAACAGGTCATTCTTTAATCTCAGGTCTTTATCAACCTTCCATGTAATTCTCGTCCGTGGCACAATAATCTCCAAAACGTCGATCGGGTCGTAATGTATGCGGACAGCAACATTTCGATATCCAAAGTACCGCAAGTGATCGCGATGAATCCCGTGGGGACAGAATCCAGCTCGGAGATGGAGTTCACTGCTCCAGAAAGATAGTTCTAAATATTTCCCAAAGGAGTATTTCCACGTACTTTCGGACATTGGCATGACCTGGGTCTCTTTCTGGCATACTTTGCAATAACTCCACATAAGGATAGAGTCCTGGAGCCCCTTTATCTTGCATGGGAACTTTTCCACGAAAACTGTTAGGCGGGCCTCACCATGCACATACGTCCTGTGGTGTTCTGACATCTTACGGTCGCAACCATTAGAAGTGCAAACTGTATTGATGCTCCTGCACAGATCCTCGACGTAGCTGCCAAGTGTGCAGTCAGGGTCAAATTCACGCCCAGGGAGGTCAAACTCTTTATAGAACGCCAAAGACAATAGTTCTGGTCCAGCACAGGGAATAGTGGTCGCAGTGCACACAAGGGTGTGCAAAACTGCAATAGTCTGGTGCGCGAAAGGATCGAAGAGGTGGATATTCCCTTGGATGGCATTCTCCCACTGGCGCTTCTGCGTTTGATAATTGTGTAGAGCCTTGTCATATTCGGCATCGTGAACAGCATGCAGCACCTCCATTATTTGTCGTGGTGCTTTCTTCACTGTTTCATGGACCATCTCGGGCTTTATTAGCTGGAATTTCTGGGGCTTCGACTGCTCATTCTCGGTTTGCTCCTCAAAGGTATCCTGGTCCCGGAGCCGTTTCAAGTATACTAGTCTCCTCTCCTGCTCCCGCGCTCTCATTAGTAGATAGGGCTGTACAAATTTTACGAAAGGAGAGACGGATAAGATTTTAGTTTGATGCTTCGCGACCATATCGCTATAAAATGTAGGCATCGGGATATCTTCTGGTACCTGATCCTCATGAGAGCTATGAGCGTGAGACTCGTGGGCCGAGATAGATTTCGGCGCCCCTACAAGGGGCTGTACAGATTTTTCGTTAAAGAGTGATTGGGACTGAGACATGTCTTCGTTGCTCCCTTCGGCACTGGTAGGCTCTGAGTCGTGAGGGCGATGTCTTCTAGCATCGTCACTGGTTCTGTTGCTGGGTGTCTCATGGCTCCCTCCAGCGTCAGTCACGACTTGCAGATTATTATTTGCTGCAACAAATGCATCACGTGGCGCAGTAGCATCTAGATTCCCTGAGTGAATCTCTTGAGAGGCTTGTTGCAAACTTGGTGACTGACTGCCGCTGTTTTCAGCAACCGATGGAATGAGTACAAACTCATCTCGCATCAGGCAGACCTCAAGTTTGAGGTTGTATACAACGTACACCATAAACTCGGCGATTTGTTTCATTTTAGTGAGTATGTTAATATTTGCTCCCCGTAGAGCAATGGTGCAGCCAAGGTCCTTGGGACAACCAGACAGATATATGTATGTCTTCTTCTTTCCAGGTATATCGTTATGGACGTATGTTTTGACTTCAAAGTCAGAACATTTGCCAATATGGACCGGCCGCAGAGCGACCATGTCAATTGAGCTTATGACTTCGGTCTGAGCACACCGCGACACGGCTTCGATGACTGACTGCTTCACGTTGTATGCTACAGCAATATTGGCCTCGGCGAGATATTGCAGTGCCAATCCAGAAACCTGTTTCTGGACCAGAAGAAGCTGAGGTCGTAACGAAGCAATCCTGTTGACCATATTCCTTAGGAACTCTTTCTCCTGGGCCATGACCGGCTCAAGACTCATAAAATGGTGTTGGTGTCGTTGGTATTCAATGGGAAAAGATACGATCACAATACGTGGATTGGAAATGGCTCGCGGCATACTCTTAAGCGCAAGGTTCTTTGAAAAAACCACGCCCGATACATACGTTGTATCGCCTGGTTTACCCCCAGGGATTTTCTTGAGTTTGACAAAGTGCCGAATATCCATGTCTTCACCAAGCCTGACGTTGGGATTTACGTCATCTGTGCACCGCAGGAGGATAGGTATGAGCGCCTTCTCCCAAGCAGGAACGCAGGGCACATTTGCATCCTGTAGGAGTTGTCGTAGCAATCGCCGGACATGGTATAGACTCGCATCGTTTAGTTCAATACCAGGTGCTCTAGCTTCTCTCATGGAGGTGCCTCGGGTCACACTCGATGGGGCAAGAGTCGAAGCTGACGAAGAATTTTCTATGCCAGTGATCTCTTCATCTAGGCTGCTAAATCCTTGAACAAGTGCCCGGGGCGACCCCCGAGAATGATGTAAATGATTACTAGCAGCACTGAGATTCCGACGTCGATTGGGCCGCGAGAAGCCGCCTTGAGAAGCGTTTCCGTTGCTATCATCAACCCCACGACTAGTGAAGCTTAAACCACTGACACTCTTTTCACCTGTCCGTGACCTATGCCTTTTGCTTGCGCTCAACAATGAGCCAAAACCGGACCTGTCATTCTCGAAATTTGGACTCAACATACTTCCACTATTCATAGTCGCGAAGATGCTCATCTGTTCATCGGCACTTGAACCTTCATCGGACATGTAGGGGGCTAAGTCGGGATCAATGATATTATCATCGTGGAATGCAGGCAGTCGCGACTTCTTCCCCAGGGTTTCAGTGTCTGTTCTGTGAAACGGCGCCCGTTCCTCGACAGTTGATTTAAAGCGCCCAAGGAAATTTTGCTTCGACTGATGACGTTTGTGGCCAGATGAGCTAGGACGCCCAGTGACCGAAAGACTTCTCAGCGACCTCGATGAACTTGGTCGGCTTAATTGAGGCGCATCTATCTCTAGGACTGCCGACCGTCTGTTGGTGGACCCGCCAATTCTTCGAGTTGCTGGAATTGCCATCAGCGGGGTTGGTAGAGGTCCCCCTTTATGGTCCTGGACCGCTCCTGGCTCCTCACGGTTATGATCTATCGCCTCTGCATTTTCTGTCTTCGTCATTGCTTCGAGCTTTGCTTGTTGTGAGTGGAAGAAAGTTGGCAGTGAGGAGTCGTCCTCAGAGTCATCAGATCCACTACTATCATGCCGCCTGTTAATAATATCAAGACATGTCTTGCATACCCTCAACGAACCGTGGACACCGAAGCGCTGGCCAGATACAATAGAAGTACACTTCGAATCAAAGATGCATCCGCATGTCCGACAGTGGTGCTTCCTCCGAAATGCAGAAAACGCATTTCCACAAAGAAAACACTCTTTGCAAATCTCATCGGCCATCCAAAATTCTTTACTGAGAACTTGCTTCCTCATCTGCTCAAGTCTAGCGTTGACGACTTCCGGCGGCCCCTCGATAGATAATGGCCTAGGAATGTGTTGTTTACTGGAGTTTACTTCACCAAGGGATAACGACCCATGGTTAACACTGGTATGTCTGGATGCATCCACCGAGCTGGGTTGGTCAGTGCTACGATCGGTTGATGATGCTCTTGATGCTTGGTAACTTGGTAGATGGGACGGGGTGATGCGATCAATCATAGCTGGTCGGTTTGATCTCTCGCTGTCACCTCTTCGTACGGCAGTATTTGATCGTGATGAGTTTGTTGCTTGTAGTGAAGACAAAGCTATCGATGCATTCTTAGAACCATCGGTGGGGACCCTCCGCATCTCGACTATCTCATCACTGCCACGAGGTTCTTGTCCACCTAGTGAGGCGCCACTCGTTCTCGTACCCTCAGTTACACCACCTTCTGAGTCTTCCGATTCATCAATAGGGGGTTCATCTTCTACAAGCTTATTCTGTGACATTTCACGCAGGACAAATGTTGCTGGGCGTCCGTAAACACTGGTAGGAGCACCCGAGGAGGTTTTGTCGGTATTTTGAATATCTGTTGTGCTGCGTGCATTATCTCCATCTTTAAACGCATTTACATTGACAGGAGCTGCTGCGGAGGCAATTGCCGGAGACACCGTGGGTTTGCTTATAGACGCCATAGAAGGTTTGCTTGATGAAGCAGATTTGGAAGTCGCGGGCGTCGAGATGAAGGATGTTTTGGACGATTTCATAGCTTGCGACTGACTCTCGGAAGAGTGTCCTGCAAAGGACGACGCTGTGGGCGATTGGAGCCGGGAGGATGATGTTGAGAGCGGAATAGGGGATACGGTGGCACCGCTGTCGTCCCTCCCCAGACCCATGGATGCCTTCGAGGCTGGGGTGGTAGTATTCTGGCTATTGATAGAGACATCGTCCGCCGTGTTATATTCTTCTTTATTCGGTGCCGACGCAGGCTTATCTTTCACAGCTCCCACCGCGCCTCTAAAACGACTGTATAGCCCGCTTAAACCATGCTGCATGATATCTCCAGCTAATCCTTTGCTCTCAGTGTTGACGGACGGAGGAGGGGGCGGGGCGAACTCGTTGAAGGTTGTCAGCGTCTCGGACTGGCATGCTGTACTGTGTATCTTATCAAGAGCCTGAGCTAGTTGCTGCTTATCCACCGGCGTTGACCCGGAGAGCGATGCCAGCGATCCGCGGCGGGACCGAAGGCCGAGTGTGACGAAAGATGCTGCTTTCGGGGAATCGTGACTCGACATTTTGGACGATTGGGCCTTTACATTTGATGCGGCAGTTCAATAAGAAGTGAGGGGTTATAGGGTAATAGATGTGGTGTCGCGTCGAGTGTGGTGTTTAAAAAGGTTGGGCATGAAATTAGGTTGGAAACGGGCTTCCGCAAGGACGACTTCCGTAGTAGCAGATCATGTCACAAAGTTTGGAAGCTGGTCGTAATCGTACGCGCAGATTTGATGGGAGAGTACTTTCGCATAGTCTAGGTTGAGTCAGTCATCAACATCAACAACCTTATACTAGCAGGAGTTGGATGCTAACCTTCCGATGGAGGCAACGTCGATGCGGGTTAGCAGTGGCTGCACGCGGTAGGTCGGCGTTTTGGGTCCATCTATCTTTATCCACCCGCGGCTACCAAGGGCCTGTCTTAGTCTGAAGCCTGAATATCATATATTTCTCCTAGACTGCGAGGGGTGTTTGCGTCGGCAGAGCTACTTCGTCGAGATACACCCGAGCATACGTCTGTTGTGGCAGCGGCTACAAGGATGCGGCCGGAAGGGCAGACGCAAGCCGTGTACTTCTCGGCGCCTTGGCTCTGTACTTGTACATGTTGTATTGCGTAAACTTCGCAGGTTGTGTATAGACTGGTGTAGATGACAAGAGACGCAAGGGGCAATATTATCTCGAAGCCGCCTCGGCCTTGGTCAGGCAGTCGTTGGCAGTGCTAGTACGAGTACGAAGTTTACTGTGACGCCGATGTGGCCGGTGTGGCTGCCAATTATTGGACAGCACAGCCACGACTAACTTTATCGGGCACAAACGTCATTCTCACGACCAGTCACCAGCCACCATTGCGGCCAGCCTCGCTCAGCCTCTCCCAGCCTCGCCCAACAGGGCTGGTTGTGCAACACCGCTTACTAATGGGGAAACGACACAGCTACGAAGTACTACGTAATACTACCTGGGTACGTAATATATTACAGGGCTACCGCTACCACTCCGAGGCAACTCAAATCACAAATATCGACTTTCTTTGCGCCTGGCTAACTAATCGGCGGACCACGCTACCACCACTCCCTCTGCCCTCTTCCCTCTTCCATCCTCCATCCTCCACCACGCTTCATGGTGCTATACATCGACGCTACATTGAACTATATCGATGCCGCCATGGCCACCGAGAGTGATATACGAGGCAGTCCATCTGAAGAGTGCTGGAAGTGCCGGTTTTGCGTCAACATAGCAGAATTGAACATGCGAGTAGGCTCATCAATCTGGTGTAGTGCCTCATTCTGAGTTCGACCCGTTGCGCAATATCTCACCACCAAGAGCATTCTTCCACGAACCCGCATAATGATGAGTGACAAGTATCTGGCCTTTGCCACTATCCCCATACTGCTCATTCATCGAATTCGCAAACGAGTAGTCGGGCAATACCAAGACGTCGCCGATGAGTCGTGGTTCTGTGACATTAGATATATTCCCGCCTTCGATCTTGCTATTAAGAGACAAGCTTAAACTCTTCAAAACAGCTTTTGTTAATCTCCGTGGACCTGAAAAGTCCACCACATCACCAATCATATCGATTGTCAGGTCTGCCACGCCAACGTTATGCTCCCGCGTCTTCTCAAGCACCGCCTCTATGCAGTCCTCGACCACCATCAACATATGCGGCGACTTGGGCTTTGCCATAATTGTCCAACTGGCAAACTGGCGTACCCATATATCCACGTCAAATTCAAGTCCAACCACGAGACCTGTGTTCTCTTTATACTGCGCTGGTATCCATTCGCCGATCGGCACATCTTCGCATGAGATGTCTAGATCGTTCCAAATTCCGCCATTTTCGTAGAGGATAAGGTAGCGGAGGATATCAGCTTTGACAATAGGGATGCGAAGGGCCAGGAAGTTTTCGAGGATATCGGGACGAGAAGCGAAATGTTCTTTGACAAAGGCATCGCCGGAGAGATCAGTCATGAACTCGTATTGGAACGTCGGGTTTCTGCCGAGACAAGTATCGACATATCCTTGGAGTTCGCTGTTTAGACCATTTGGACCGAGTTTATACCATAACATCTCTGGAATCTCTGGAATCGCCGCTGCTGGCGCCGCCCTCGAAGTGAAAGATGTTTTGACAGACGTATATGCGTTATTAAGAATCCAGGTTCGGCTTAGGAAGAAGTAAAAGAAACAGAAGCTTGCGGGCAGAGCAAAACGCAGCAATTTAAGCCCTACTGGCCGATGAGGAGAGAATAACATATTTAGAGGGAGGAGGAGGTTTTGCATTCGATATTCCAGGAAGGAAGAGAGCTACGATCTGGTTGAGCTTCTACGTATTGGCCTTAAACGGGCCTCACTGATGTGCCCTCGCAAACTGTAAACACTTTAATTCCTCAACATCCACCAAATATATGCAACACCAACACCAACACCAGGAAGACGAGACGGATCATAGATTGGAAGACCCTTTTGCCAGAGCTACCGCTGACTGTGGCCAATGATATAGCTTTGGCACCGCTGCGCATGCAGCCTTGGGAAAGAGCTGCTGTGCAACGTCGCGTTTGCGTCAAGGCGGTAAAAGCTAGAATTCTATTCGTCGCGGTAGGTCCGCTCTTTCGAGGATCAAAGGATGTATTTTTGGGGGCATCATGTTTGAGCTCTCTGGGAGCCGATTTGGTCCCCCTAAATGAGTAGAGCCCGAGTAGCCTGAGCGGAGGGTGCAGCGAGGCAGCGAGGGTAATTAATGCTTGAGCAGGGCGGCGATGCTTACTAACCGCGTTCGAAGGGATATCGAAAAAATGTCGTCTGCGATTGATTACCTAAGCGATAGGTACCGTGGAACGCGTGTGGAGGAAGCCCGACGCGACTGCGACCGACCTCGAAGTGAGTGACTGGCGAACCGATATTCCCAGCAGGAGAATGTAATGGCCATGCTCAATTCTCCCCCATCACCCCATTCTAAGCCTCCATCGACTCGTCTGCTCCCCGCCAAATGTTTCAATTGTCACAATACTCTCCTCGGATGTTTTCCTGGTCTTCTTCCAAGTATCCCGCTTCCGTCCACAAGACCTATCTCAGTGGTTGAGGCGGCAAGGAAGACAAAGACAAATAGCGGTATCAATCCGACCCGATCAAGATGTCTGACCTGATGCGAAACTGGATCCTCCCCTTGATAAAGGATGAGCTCACGCTCGTAGTAGAAAACTTCCCTCTGTCCTCTACCCGTGACCGGGAAGGACATATGGGTAGTTGTCGTTACCATGGATGCGGTTTCACGGTGCACCTGGGAGCCGGGAAGCCCGTCCAAGTCATTGATGTTAGATATTAGATCTTGAACTGCCTTATGAGGTGCTAATTTCCCAATAGCTCCACGGAAACCACGCCTTTAATGTCACTGTATCAGATGGAATGACCTCCATCCAAGCTAAGATACACGATCGAAATCTGACAGACATCGCCCTAGGATCCGTCATTGCTGTGAACCGTTACAACCTGGTGAGATTTCTCTGTCTCAGCTTTGCGAGTTCTAAGCGCTAACGTCCATTTTTGATCTTTGATTCGACCTCAAAACCGGGAGAACAATTAATCCTCGATATTCTGGACGTGACGGCTTTGGGCTGTGAAGGCTCCGCATCTTTCGGAAAGCCGATCACCATTTGGAATCAAAGCACGATTGGATCCCTGGTGGGTAAGCTCAGCGACTTGTTTGATGGTGGTGAAACACAGCCATCGTTCAGATCTGACTCTGCCTCTCCCCTTCAACTCCAGGAGCTTTGTGGATCTGTAGAAATCATGCCTCTAGCAATGGCATCTACTAGTCAAATCCCTTTTGCAACTCAGATGCAAAATCAAACAAAGAGGAAACGGGACATGGACAACGAGGCCAGGGCTTCGAACAAGGAACAGCTTTTAGGTGTTCTAATGAAGAAATGGAAGCAAAAACCCGCAGTTTGGCAGGATGAGAGTACCACCAACGGAGTAGCACAAGGAGCCTTGGAAGCATTGGGCCCCAAGGCCGATAAGCCGGCGGTTTTGTCACAAGTTTCAGCAGACAAACTTTTGCGCATATCATCCGGAATCGATGCGAACGCCAACGTGCGGCAAAGCCAAGTGTCCCTATCCTCGCAATCATCATTTAGTTCCAGCAACCCAAAGGCTCTGTCTTTGACGGCGGACAGCCCCTACCAAATAGCACTTCCAGCTGTGGCTTCCTACGACAGTGAAAAGGAAAACAGCCTAGAGAGCCTAAAGCCGGCAACGGTTTCTGTCCGTGTCTCTAAATCCAATAGTCCAAGTCCTGCTCTGGATGGCGAACCTAACGAGGCACCAATGCAAGTAGTTGGCCCATTTTTCGGTGATCCGTTCGCAGGGATGAGACGAGTCCCCCGAAGATATGTGCAACTATCGAAGGCCCAAAAAGAACTCTTAGCGCGTCAAGATTCTTGGTTCAAGCCGGGCATGGACTCACGAGCTTCATATGCTATCACCCCAGCCCAAGTCCAAGAAGACCTAATTACATTTATAACTCGAGTATCGGGCCAAGGCTCGGTGCGCCAAAGTCAAGATATAGATACAGGAAGTGGCGAATCAGAAACTAGTCATGAATGTGACAACGAAGTGCACGAGGAGAATAGCGAGGACTATCACAGTTCGATGAACAACGAGAATTTCGGCATCAGTGATAGCCACAGAAGCAACGAGAACGTATCACATTCCCTGGACAGTCCCCTCAATTTGGAGTCAACTTCGCCTGGCAACTCCCCCGCATTGCCAAGTTCCGGGTTAGAACGAAGCTATGCCACTCCTGCAAAAGCTGGGACGGACAATCGGTCCCCGACGGAGCATAAAAGCAGTGGAAGGGGGTGTAGCCCATGGTCCTCAAGTCCGGAAATGCACCTCACTCATACACTAGCTGGTTTGGATAGACGACTATTTCCACTTTTGGACGACACGGAGCAGTGCAATGATCCGGAAGGGCATACAAATGTGGGAATGTCGCCCGGAATGGCAAGTATTCCAAGACTGGCCCGCTCGTCTGGTGGAGTATCTCTGGAAAATTCCCGACCATGTCAGTCAAAACGAGTGCCCGTCGTATTTTCAAGCAGCCCTGCAGCTGAGGAGGAACTTGAACTAGACGTGCTGCATGCGATAGGTGAAGCCCCCGAATATAACGAGGAGGATACAGTACATATCACGGAAATGCCCGAAAACCCACCTTCAACCGCATTACAAATCCCGATGCTAGTACAAGTAGAACAAACCCCTGCTATCAAAACATATAACGACAACCACGACCCATCCTGCTCAGGCTCGGCTGCTAGAGTATTAAAACAAAGAAAGCGGCACCCCCAGCTCTCATCAGATCCCATTATTCCTGCCACGTGCGATGATTCTTCCAGTATTCAACCTGAGGTTTTGAGCTCGGAGCATACGAACGCTGTTAGGGAGTCTATAGCTACTGTCCAGCAGCTAGGTAGGGAGCCCCGAGACACTTTTTCGAAGAGGAGTGACGAAACAACCGATGATGTGGGAGGTACATATGAAGATTGCCCGACAAAACAAATTCCAGCGAGATTGGAATGCTCACCTATCCAAGACGGTACAACTCGGACGGCACAAACCATGACCGCCTTCTGCCTGGGGAAAGATGTAAAGCCCGGTGGTTTCAGTACCCATAGTAGCAAGGATTCGCTTCCTCCACATGACCTTGCGTGCGAATCAAATTCTCCTCAAGCCATTACTACACTCCCGGGCCTGATTTCGGCTAGCAAAGAACGGGCTGTCCGCCAGAATTCACCATCGCCGGTGCACCCCTTGAAGCGAGGTACCGAAACTCTTGATAGAGATCCTCAACTTGCTGGTATCAAGCGACGACGTCGTATGCAAGCGGTTTCAGCCATCGTTCTTGAAGAACCCGCGGAATTGGATACAAAAGCTATGGCCAGAGCTAGTAGACATATGTTCAACAACCAGCTTGTCGCAATTGAGCCACTTCGTTCCCTAAACCGGAGACGACCGGACTCTGAGCCTGACAGTGAAAAAGCCCCCCATGAACTTCGGCCAGCAACTCCATCCACACGAAATTCTTCTGCGAAACAGGTCTCAGGCGTACTTTCTTGTTCGGGAACCCTCCAGTCAACTAAATCGAAAGCACAAACGGTGTCAGAGACTCTTATAGAAGTACCGCAACCGGCTTCCATCGCTGAGCGTACAGTAGGAGAAAGAACGCCGAGTGCCCCTATTGAAGGAACCGAATCAGTTGACCCCTTGACTCTCACCGAAAGCGGGCTCAATTCCTTAACAGATGCAGATATCTATACCAGATTCAAAGCATCTTATCCTGACTTCGCTGGGAGTCGGAGAGCTTTCACTTGGGCATTGGTGTATGTGGAATGGCTACGGAAGGCGAAACAGCTTTTGCACCGGTCATTGTGCGACGACTTTATACGGGTAATTTCTTCTGACTATGTTGAATATGTCTCCAACATTCGGTCCACCGGCGGAGAAGCCATGACAGGCTGGTCATTTTATGACGAGACCGTGGTACAGCAAAAATACTCTCGAGGAATAATTTCTCCTAGTAACTTACAAGACGCTTTAGCTACACTAGAGCAAGAGGAAGTCCAAAGGATTCGTCGGCAGTTCAATCAGCCACGTGTGACGGACCCTACACAATCACGCGAGAAGGAAGTATCGACTTCTCCGCATCCTAAGCAACAGCAGGTCACTGTTGTGAGAGGAAGTACAAGCAAGTCGACCAGACGCCGTCTGCCATGGTCAAATACCACCCCCCTTTCAACCTCAAACGAGGACTTGCGAGGCCCGAAAGGGAGAAGTGCAACATCGACACCCTCACCTCTCTTGCGCCACAAATTCTCTGAATTATCGCAAAAGTCTAAATCCTTTGTGGTACACAGGGGTGCAAATAGGCCACGCTCACCTGTGCCTGGGAACGGATCAGAACCACCCTCTACGAAACCAAGTAAGACACGTCGAGTAGAGTCTCGTACATCACCGTCACCTGACCCAACCCAGTTCAGGACACGGTCACAATCAGCTTCGAATGACGCGTCATCGAGAAAAGGTGGCCAAGGGCATACAATAGATGGCATTACTAAAGTGAAGGGATGGCTCAATGCTAGAGTTGAGGCAGAAACAGAGCCGCCTTCCTTTATGACGTTCATCAAGCGTCGGAAGTCGAGCGGTGGCTTCTTGTCCAACAAATCCACGCCTAGTTCGACCCCGGAGAAGAGATTTTGCACCAAGGCAAAACAACCTATAGCCGAGCTCAAGGAGCCTGAAACTCAAGCATGGGAAGTTCTAATGTAGGAACAGTACGTTGATTTCAAGAAACATTCGAAGTAGTCACATAGATAATGGGCGTTTTGTGCTAGTTTTGGGTTTGGAGCTCAGTGTTGTGGTGTTGTAGCTTAATGTGATTACCCATTGTAAAAGATACTCTACTTCGTAGGCTGACGTCCATTTTACATGGAATTTCATAGTCAGGTATGAACTGCTAAGCCCATCATTGCCGCATCCTGTGTTGTTGTCATACCTAGGTCGCCATTGTACCTTGGGAGGTTTAAGCGGCTTTGCTGAGCTGACGTATAGCACCTTCAAATCATTCGTTGCAATCCCCTTGCCTCCTTGATAAGTGACGGTCTAACACAACTACATCTATCGTGTGGCTTGTGGGCCTCTGGAACTCCCAACTAGGCCGCCCCAACGCTAGCCCCGGGAACCTGTGTCCCCTTCTCCTCCTTCTCCTTCCGAATCAGCGCCTCCTCCTCTTCTGGGGTCTTGGTCTTCAACTGTAATGCGTGGATGCCCCCTTCCCTGGCCATCTCCTCCTTCAAAAGCGCATACACCATCTTATGGCGTGCCGGCTGCGACTTCGACCTGAACGCTTCGGCGGTGACCACGACGCGGAAATGTGTTTCATGGGATGTAGAGTTTTCCATGGGTTTGTGGTGTGCGTGCAGGTGGGAGTCATTGTAAATTTCGAGGTGAGTGGGTTGAAGGGCGGCTGCTATCTGTAGATATGGAGGTTAGATCCTGACTGACTCGACAGCGCTGTGGGGCCTAAGTAAATGGAGCTGCGCGGGCAATATATTGCCTTGGGGATTTCCGTACAGAGCACATACCTTGGAGCGCATTGTATCTTCCATAGGTGATTGGGAGGCCATGGTTGAGAGCGGGCGCCGCGCCAGAGCCAGCAGGCGTCCGCGGAGCATCAATGCCTGTCGCTACCGGAGGAGATTAGATATGTTTGGGGTTCCCAGAATCAAGCTCACTCTCTGATTAGGAGTATCCTAGGGTGGATATGGACGCGGCCGACGGGTGAATCTAGAATATACGGGATGGGCAATGTGATGGGCTTGTGTCTTAGGACTCCAGAGATGTTGCATCGACGTATTATTGATTGGCTGTAATAAACGCCGGCTACACTTCGGACCGCGCTGGCCCTCGCTTCCTTTCGGTGTCGGGAATTATTCTGGTGTCCGCCAATCCCCTTTGACGCTGTCTACTACCTCGGCTTTAAATTCCGTCGACAGCCCCCGAAGTCTTGCGTCTTACGAGCCTTGGAAGCGTCATCCTGGCCCTAGTCTATGCAGCGAAGCAATACTCCGCAGAGTACTTCGTAATAATAAGTTGCTCCTTGCGCATCCGCCGCCGTCTTCCTGTTCCCCTTCTTCCCCGTGCGATGTTTTGCTTGCGAAAGTCAATATCAATATCACTCTTTCTCCGCAACTCCTCTCCCCCCCCGGGACCACCGTTGTCGCATGCGCTCGCTGTTGGACGAATTTCTGCCAAGCATACCTACACTTTTACAGGTCTTTCCAGCTATATCCCTCGCAGAATGGCCTCTACTCTACCCCGCCTACCGGTTTTCGAAGCAATTGCGAGCCATGACCCGCGCTCGACTGTTGCCATACACTCGATCTCGGGGAGGAGATTTGCATACGGCGAGCTGTTGAAGGATGTAGCGGAGGCCAGAGACAGGCTCCTTAGTGAGTCTGGCGGACGGGCAATGAATGGGCAGCGGATAGCATTCCTAGTGGAGAATAGCTATGATTATGTGGGTGCGCAATGTGTGAATGCCGCGAGCTGTGGAATGGGAATTGATCATTGTCTTCTTTCTAGTGACCCTTCTCTCTATTTTGGCTATGCATTCAATCGCGGTTCCTCTATCTGCAGCATTCCCCGCGCCTGAGTTAAAGTACATTATGGATCATAGTCAGGCCTCGATGTTGTTGTCGTCGGCCAAGTTTGAGCGCAAGGCCCAAGAAGTCCTCGATGAAGCATTAGAAGCAACACCAACGTTCGTCAAATTAAAAAAGAGGCTTGGAGGTGGTAGTACTGCGGATGGGAGTGTTGTATTGCGAGGTCCTAGTGATGGAGAAGGGGGAATGATGCTGTACACTTCTGGAACTACAAATCGACCAGTATGACCCATGCCCATGCCTGATTATAGGACCTTGAGGTTACCTTACTGACCCGGTAACAGAAAGGCGTTTTGCTTCCACAGAGGGTTATGACCGCACAATGCAAACCCTTGGTCAAGGCCTGGGAGTATAGCCCCGGAGACCACCTACTACACGTACTTCCGCTACACCATATCCACGGCACCATCAACGCTATATTGGCGCCCCTCTTTGCGGGAGCTACAATAGAGTTCCTCTTCCCCTTCAACGCAACAGCTGTGTGGTCGCGGTTTGCAGCGCCTTTTCTCTCAACTGGTAATAGCGACCTAAAACCTCCCACCAAAGAAAAGATTACATTCTTCACGGTTGTTCCAACAGTCTACAACCGACTCCTGTCTACGTTCCCTGACCTTCCCGTATCCTTACAAAACGCCGCAAAGCAAGCCATCTCTCCACAAAACCTACGCCTTAGCATCTCCGGTTCTGCGGCCCTCCCAACGCCTACGAAGAAGGCTTGGACCGACCTAAGCAGCGGCAATGTCATCCTCGAGCGTTACGGCATGACCGAGGTAGGTATGGCGCTCTCCTGCGGCCTCGCTCCATCCGACCGCGTAGACGGAAGCGTTGGCTGGCCTCTCCCGACCGTAGAGGTGCGCCTCGTAGATACGGAGTCGGGAGAGATAATCCACCCCGGTGAAGAGGTCGGTCCCGATGGACGTGAACGCGACGGTGAGATCCAGCTCCGCGGGCCGACCATCTTCCAAGAGTACTGGCACAATGAAAAAGCGATGCGGGAGGAGCACGTTGAAAGCGAGGATGGAAAAGGGCGCTGGTTCAAGACTGGTGATGTGGCTGTCCGGCGTGCCGTTCCAAGCGCAGGTCACAACGATGCACAGAGGGACTGGGCACAGGGCCCTATGTACTTCATTCGAGGGCGGAAGAGCGCTGATATTATCAAATCGGGCGGAGAGAAGGTCAGTGCCTTAGAAGTCGAGCGCGAGTTGCTTTCATTGCCGCAAATCGCGGAGGCGGCAGTGGTAGCAGTGTCCTCTGGAAAATGGGGGCAGAAAGTCGGTGCCGTGGTCATCTTGAAGAAAGGCATGGAATGGAGCGAAAGTAGGAGTGGTAAGAGATGGGGCCCACTGGATATGAGGAGGGCGTTGAAGGAGAGAATTGCGCCGTATAAAATACCCCAAGTTCTAAAGATCGTGGACGAGATTCCGAGGAATGCAATGGGGAAAAGTAAGTCTGGTACTTTTTAAAAATCTCAGCCCTTATTCTTTTGTCTACTTGTAGGAATAGGCATGCTAACAACGGCGCAGTTAATAAGAAACAGCTTGTCAAATCTGTTTTTGTCGAGGAGGCAAGCGGTGATGAGATGTAGACAGATCATGTACATGTACATATATGAGATGAGAAGTACAGATTTAGACTGTATTATAGTACCTGTATAGACATGGAAGATGGGTTATTATAAATATATATATATACCAAGAATGACTGTCTCGTCCCTTTGCTTACCGTTATCACTTATACTTCAATGAAAGGATGTAAGGTTTCGGGCATTCTGGTGCCCCGATTCTCGTGATATTTCGTAATGATTAAGTCCCTAAGCGTCCTTTATTAACTTAACCTACGCGGAATTGAAGATAGCCCAAAAATGCATGCTGGTGGTCCAGGTGTCAACCAACTAAGCTGTACAGAGTAACAAACGCACTATCAGAACCCAAAGCAAAGCGTGGTTGCTATCGTTCATCTAAAGTTCAGTCTCGTTTAGATCTCGTCTACTGAAGGGAAACCAAGAAGTTCTAACACTGCTCTATTGAAGGCCGGCAAGTGGGGGTATTCATAAGCTTTTATTACTGCGTACGCTGATCTATGGATACTTTGACGAAATCATGGGTCGTAGCCGCAACGCCATTGACCAAGCCGCCCTAGAAGGATAGGCAAAAGGAAACCATGGAGCTGGAAAGACGAGAGCCGTGACCATAGCTCCCGAGCTGCGAGCTTTATGCATATTTACCATGAATAAAAACCCATCCTTGCACCGACCATAACCTTATATTGCAATACCAAATAAAAAGTCCAAGAGAGCAAGGAGCCAGGAACCGGGAGGTGATCAACCACCAGATCAAACCTAACTTAGACCGTGTACTTCGCTTTCGCGCGTGTGCTGCCGCTATGGGCGCTATCGGTATGACCCGAGAAATCGACAGCCTCGGACGATGGTAGCTTCAGGACCTCCTTAAACCTCCGGCCGATGTTCATCAGAATTTCCTTGCCTTTTTCCACTGACCGGCCCTTTCCACCAGCTACATCGCCGTCGCCGCCGTTAGGGATGCTCTTCCCGATAGTGCGGGTCCAGACCGAAACGCGGTAAAATCCCTTTCTCACATTGACAACAACACCCATGACTTCACCGTCGCCCTCCTCCTCGAGGGTCTCGCCGATCGCGGCAAGCATGACATGAAGCCAGAGCTCATCTATCGGCACGCTTCTCTTTTCTTTGAATTGATATGCCCATTTGCCCCCGTGCTTATTTTGCACATCCTCCCATTCGGGCCGGACTCCTTCCTTGAAAAGGTGGTAATCAGACTTCAGCGCAAGTTCAGAGGCGGGAGCAATATTGTTCTGACACCATCAGTTTACGAGGTCCAATCTAGCAAGTTAAGAGGTCTGAACATACGTAGACTCCCCAGAATTCCTCTACCGAGTTAAAAGTGATGACCTCCTTTAGCAACTCGTTCCAGTTATCGCCCTTGTAAAGTATTAGTTATTGTTGCCTCATTCCCGACAGCGGGTAGCCTCACCTTTCCACTAGGTGGCTTTGTGAACCACAAGGTCCACTTGTGCATCAAGGGGTGCTTGACATTGAAGTTATCCTTGTCATGGAAGACAGTAATCTGCTCATCTGCTGCGCTCTCTCCACTGGGCTTCTTGCCATCGACCGTGTTGCCACCATCCGGCGAGATGGGGATAGTAGAGAGATCGACTGGGGACGAGGGGTTGGCGTCACCACTGGCAGGTGCCGGAGCAGTTGCTGTAGCCATGATTGCGGGACGTGAGGAGATCCAGAGACGTTAAATGGTCCCGAGAAAAAGAAAGATGCGCAAGACAGAGTCCAATTATCAAACGCAATCGAAGGTGATGGGTGACGATGGTGAGGATGGCGAGGTGGGGGTAAGGAGACAAAATATTTGTCTAACGAGGAAAACAGTCGGGGTGCGCGATCGATTATTGCTCCAGGCAATCCGTCGTTGTATGTTGTGGGTGTTGGTAGGTGTTGGTGTTGGTGGTGATGTTGTACTTGGGTGTAGAAGTTTGAGTATTTCGAGATTATCGTTGTCCTAAAAGTCGGGATGCGACGTCCTTTTCCGACGTCCAGCCTCGCTACTCGCAGGCTAGTCGTGAGCCTGGCCACCAGCCACGAGCCACCAGCACGTGGCGAGTAAAGTTCAAATCACGTGAACTATATTCCCCCCGCGGAATACCCAAGGTACCTAGGTACTTAGTTACTTTTACCTTCCATGTTATTGGGGACTGAGCTACTCTCTAAGGTATTCTAGGTAGGCAAAACTTAAAGGAGAGCCTTGGAAATTCTCGAGCGACTTGGGGTTGTAACGTATGTATATTACAGCGCTATCTACTGCGTTTTCACTATATAGGTACCTAAGGTAGGTACATACAAGGGCCCCCTACCCTGAGAAAATCACTATCCGCTTTTTAAAGCTTCTGTTGTGTGGCACGCCTTGAACGCCAGTGCTGTGTTGCCCCTCTCTATAAAAATGCTGATGCTGATGCTGATGCCTGAACATGCAAACTCCTTATGATAACATCCATCTCCCGAGAATATGAATATCTACTGAGCTCATGAAGGCAAGGGCACTAGTGTGGGCTGGGAATCGCTTTGGCTGTTGAGGTAGCTAAGGTAGCAGTTCCAACCCAGCGACACAACATTGACGACCAGGACGCGGTGGTGCAAAGGGGTCAACTTGAAATTGATAGCCTGGACGAAAGGCCAAATCATCCAGTTCTTGGCCAAAGCTGTGGCGTAGGTCGACTCGAGCTTGTCTTTCGGACTGGTTCCCTCCATTATCGCCATACTGCTAAGGAAGACGAACATGTTGGTGCTGGCGAATATTACTTGGTCGGCAGCGACTCTCCCCGCAATCTCGAGATTCTTGTTCTTCGAGACGATCTTGTTCTGCAAGAACCTGTACCACGTTGTCGCAGCGGGACCAAATATAGCTGTGCAATGCAAAACCCTTCATTAGTGATGTCCTGTGTTGTGTGGTTCCGTGGTACGGCAGGATGCTGTCTATAACTTACCACCGCCATAGAGCGCCATGCGACCGCTACGCGCCAATTCATGATTTTTCCATCCTTTCTTTTCGACCAATTGCTGGGCCATCACATCGCCAGTTGCAAACAACACGGCTGTCGTAATACTCTGGGTCAACAACGGGCGCGCAGCCAACTTCATCTGGTACCTAGGGGTGGGGGTTGCAGTCAGCCTCTGCAGTTAATGGGGCGCGAACCGTGGTCACAATTAGATGCAACTCACCACCGCAACATCCTGACAACAGATAGATGTGTATTCGTTGCTTGGCCTAAGTTTTGATATTGATGGTACCAGTATGCGGTACTCTGTATGAAGAATCAACGGGCAGCTTTTCAAGTGTCAATACTTTGTATAAGGGTGAATATACTTTGCAAGAAGAATAATAAAATGATAGAGGCGCGCACAGGTGCCCCACCATATATGCAGTCTAGCGGCCGCATCCGACAAGATGGCGGATAGTCCGAATTTGGCAACTCCGCTAGTTCCTCTTGGCAATGTATTATAATGGTACACGTACCTAATCTTACCTTAGGTATTCCAGACCTATGTACCATAAGGTGCGTTCCAACGGTACCTCCTAGGTAGGTACGAAGTAGAGGAACTCCAATTACTGGGCCATTCCCATAGTCTCACAGTCGCAATGAAATTGTTAAATCTTTTGCTGGACTCCAAGACCACGATCAATGCCGGCCATCCCATCTCGAAGTCCGCCAGCCTCAACAAGCGGCTGAGAAATTGCCACGGTAATGTTCTATTATTAATAACTTTCTACAGCTACAGCTTGGTCTCCGAGGTCTGGAATCCATCCCTTTGGCCTTTCACTGCCTCGTATAGTCAGACCGTAAACTGCGGTTTCAACCTTCTCTACACACGTCTTCATCACCTCCATCTTCTTCCCCACGTCCTTGCCTAGCCCAGTACCTCCACACGAGGTTGTATCTAATGCCTCGAAGCTCGTCCTCAAGGCCCTCAGGTCTTCTAGCACGTTATGCTCCCCTGATGACGATTGAGTTCCAGGTAGCGCTCCAGTCGTAGCGATGGTGGTAATAGCAAACCGCATCAATTCGCCCACCAGATCAAAAATGCCCAGCACGTAGTCGTCCGCAGTCAGGATAATAGTGGCCGGCAAGGATTTTGCCGCCTCCTCGATAGTTATTAAAGACTGGTGGCGGAGATAATGTTGGAAAGAGATGGCTTCCATGTATTCCTGGATGCCGCCCGAGATCTGGCGCTGGTATCGCCACGCATTGAGGCCCGCAAGGTCCGGCGCGATAGATTCAAACTGGTTCTGCATTGCTACGGAGCGTTCTTGGACCTCGGACAATATCTTGGCGGGGATTTCGCTTTTCAACGATCGTACTCTGCACCTGTCAGATGGGAGGTGGAGGGAAAAGGATAACTAGGTGGGAAGGTATAGAACACGTGATTAGTTAGTTACCTTTGCAGAGAGAAAATACTGCGTTCCAAAGTCAGTGGGATTGAATGCACCGGCGAGCTTGTAAGGGAGCTCAAAGCTGCTGAAACTCACATCTTTTTGCTCGCAGCGGTTATGTCTCGAGAAGCTTTTATGATGCGCTCCCGCCGGTCATGGTGCTCGTCCAGCTCGTCGCGAAAGGTCTCGAACATGGGCATGAAAGGCGAGGGACTTGCCCCCGCTCCCTTTTCCTTTTGAATCCCATCGTGGTGTCTCTTGACGCCGGACATTGGACTTGCCTTGGTGGACATGATGCTCGGTTGAAACAGTGGATGGCCGAGATATGGAACTATGCTGACGAGATCTTGCTGTGATTAGGACTGGCAGCAATATGTACGAGCAGCAAGGCAAGACAGGCGATCCTGAGGGGGCGGTGTCCACCGGCAGAACTTTCCGACGTGCCACGATGTTGTGGAAACAAAACATCATTGTTGACCGCACCATAACACCCACAGGGCAGACGAGTCACCGCTGTGCATACCGGGAAGAGCAGGGCCGAGATATTGACCAAATCTTAACCTGAATATCTGAATTCGCAGGATGGTCATGGCGAGGGAATTTGCCTGTTGTCCTTGTTAAACCCGGCATTCATTCATTCGTTCATTCTGTTAGAAACCCCTTTTACACTTGCCAGCATGTCACGCTTCTTCGCAAGCCCCGTTCTCGTCTTCTCCTCTGCCATTGCGCTTAGGGTGGTCCTATTCTTCTACGGCCTGTGGCAAGACGCCAACTCACCCGTGAAATATACGGACATCGACTACTTCGTTTTTACCGATGCGGCGCGTTTCACTGCTCACACGCAAGGCTCTCCATACGACCGGGAAACTTACCGGTACACGCCGCTCCTGGCTTGGATGCTCTGGCCGACAACATGGTCCGGCACCTGGTTCTCTTTTGGAAAGGCCCTCTTCGCCGTTGGAGACATTATAGCTGGCTGGCTAATTGTCATTGTCCTCCAGAGCTCAAATCATATGTCTCTTGAGCGCGCTTTAAAATTTGCCAGTCTTTGGCTCTTAAATCCCATGGTTGCCACTATTAGTACGAGGGGTAGCTCTGAAGGCCTACTGGGTGTAATGGTGATTGCCCTCTTATGGGCCATCACCCAGAAAAGGATATCACTCGCCGGCGTTCTGCTGGGACTGGGCGTTCATTTTAAAATCTATCCATTTATATACGCTTCATCTATTATCTGGTGGCTAGATGATGAGCGAGTCCCTTCACACACAACACCTTCTCGGGCCGAAAGCTCCAGCATCGTCAGTCTCGCAATGAAATTCTGCAACAGCGCTCGAATCAGACTTGTTGTGATAAGTCTCCTAACCTTCACAATACTAAATACCGTGATGTACTCGATGTAAGTCAAATACCCTGCTCATGGACCTTGAATCCGGGCTAAACCCTCCAAAAGCTACGGCTGGCCATTTCTCCAACAAACATATCTTCACCATGTAACCCGGATAGATCACAGGCACAATTTCTCCCCATACAACACTCTCCTTTACCTCAGCTCCTCCGGCCTCGGATCCCTAGCCATGAACCTTGAATCCCTAGCCTTCCTCCCACAGCTCTTACTTTCAGCTGTCATCCTACCTCTCGTGCTAGCAAAGAAGGATCTCCCTTCCACGATGCTAGCTCAAACGTTCGCATTTGTTGCATTTAATAAAGTTTGCACCAGCCAGGTACCTCCTCCATTTATTCTCCGGAATCTCCATTCTTCTAGGCTCCTTGCACACAAGTACAACCTAATGCATGCTAACGAACATAGTATTTCCTCTGGTATATGGTATTCCTACCCTTTTACCTTCCCAACTCTTCCCTCCTGGCAAACAAATTCCTCGGACTTTCAGTAGCTGCACTTTGGGTGGCGACCCAAGGATTATGGTTGCACCAGGGCTTCCAACTTGAGTTTCTCGGGAAAAGCACATTTGTTCCTGGCCTCTGGGTAGCCGGTATCTTGTTCTTTCTTACCAACGCCTGGATTCTTGGGATCATCGTTTTGGATATCGGTTCTTCTGCTACAAAGTCTGTCATGAAACCGAAAGCACGTCTATCAAAGTCATGATGATGTATGATTCCACGTAGCTTTTCTAGCTAGTTAACTCCTGTCAAGGATTTAATGTCATGAGTCTAGACATAATATGCGTATACCTGCCGCAATACAAGCCGAAAGAAAGTGCCATATCCTCATTATGCATGCATGAGCCTTGCGAAATGTCATGACACTGGGATATTCCCTTTCGTAACCCAGACTCCTCCTAATGCCGGTAACTCCATCGCTAGCCATGCTTCATAATATCCCTGTTGCTACCTAGTTACCCTGCAGCCCCCAATATTCCAGTTAAATCACAATTTTACCCAGCGCCAAGCAAGCGTAAGATAGTAGCACAAAGATACGAAAGACAAGGGAAGTATTAGGTGATGTTGATTCCACCCGTGAGTGACTGATAGGTTGAGACTTTGATAGATAGTGGCCGAGTTTTGGAGAAAGTTGCAGGAGTCAGAAGCTGACCATCGCTGGGACAGATCCCGCTAAAAGTTTCGGATTTCTCGACAAATGCCGCTACAGGTCTGGTCCGCGAGAGTGTTCCCACAATCGGATCGCTCCAGATTCCAGTACATTGGTTGTTTTGAAGCTGGAAGTAAGGGTTCAGAGCGGGCAATTGCGATTCTGTTCCTGATTAGTGTCAAAGGGAGACTTTTTGAAAAAATGTCACTCACCCAGATCGATGAAGCGGATCCTCAGGAATTCCAGCGCTGGGAGTTTGTCAAGGGACCTAATTCCAGCAAGGACCAGGGATTCGAAAGCTTGGATGAATGGTAGATCGGTGATACCTGTGCCATCATTCCAAACAAATGTTGGTCTACATATATTCTTGACAATGAAGTCGATACTCTTCAGCCGTGAAGTCCGTGGATTCGAGAGTTTTGCTGTATCATCAAAGAAGCAGCGACAAATCCGGCCCGTGAATGCAAGATGCTCTAGAGTTGGGATTGCCTTTGCTAGCTCGGCACAAAAGTGTGTTTTGATACCTACTTTCTTTACGAAGAGAGGAGAGACGGCTTCTCGTCGATAGTCATTTTCGAGGCATAGATTGAGATGTGTAAGGTGCTGCGGGATATTAGGAAGTGTCGCCGCCATGGATATGTAGCTCTTCGACTTCGGTTTGGCGTAAAGGCCATGCCACTCATTGAGGTTGGGCAACGCAGCGACGATATTCTGGAAGTCCTCATTGCATCTCATTATATTCCATTGGCCCTTGCATACCAAGGTCCTGATCTGGCTAATAACAGGTAGTGGCTCGGGGTATGACGGATTGAGAAAGTGCCTGACCATTGGGGGCTTTTTCCTATCTCCACCCTCTAGCGTCAAGATGCAGGCTTCCCCGAATGTCAACTGAATGAATCTAAAGATCTCCTCTAATGTGCAATTATCAGACGGGCTCTGGTAGGTCACAGTACTAATACTCCCCCCGGGAGGCGCATTGGACCGAATCGATGCTGAGCGGTCCGGAGTAGGGACACGAAGAGTTCTGTCAAAGGCTGGGTTCTTTTGCTGAAACACGGGAAACCAGATTTCGATGTGTTTGCCGTAGGGGCAGAGGTGAGGATGTAGGTGGAACCATACGATGGCCTGTTCTACTGATTGCCTGGTGCCCTTGATCTTTAGATGACGGTACAGCCGATCTTGAATCAAGTGCCTCCATTTTCGGCTCACCAGTGCCAGCTCCGCAACCTCTCGTCGTCTCGAGTGTCTTAATGCTGTACCCCAACCTCGCAAAACCTTCGACTGTCCTGCACCCATGGTCCTTGAAGAAGCCGATGCCCTGATGCCAAAAAGGTGGTCAAGGATGCATTCGTGGATCTCCGTTGGTAAGTTGCAAAGTGGTGAACTGGAAGACGCCGAGGGAATGATCAGTTGGGCCACGCCATCCACGCGGGCTCCCTCACTCCAGCGTTGCAAGCAGTGGATGTCCCCTTCGGCAAGGTCGGCCTGTGGAAATGGGGTGCTGCTGGGGCGCACAGGAGGCACAATGTCAATGTCGTCCTCATGGTCGTCAATCTTTAATTGAGCCAAAGGCAAGGGCCGAACGGTTGTTGGAGTTGAGGGGCCTGGGGTTGCCGGTGTGCTAGCGGTTGTCATGAGATGGAGATTCGGACCGGCCTCATCTGTACGGGGATCTTGCGGAGGATCGGGAAACATCGACATTGCAAGCATCCTCCTATTGTGTCCGCATCCAGTTCACTTCACTTGGGACGATTCTTGTTCTTGCCGTCCGTCATCGACCCCAATCTGGAATACTAGGGGTATGGAATACGATCGCAGGTCGGTCGCCACAGCGCCGCGTCGTGAGCCTGGAGGTCTCTGGAAGGGAACTTTGTGTATGGTGTTTCTAGAGATAGGCCCCGTCGATCTGAAATGTTGGCAGGCACTTTGGTGTGGCTGTGGGCGGCTTGAGCAGACAGATCTTGGTCTTGAGTTCGGGTCTCTGGCGCCGTCAGGAAGAATATTCCAGGAGTTGTCGCACAGCAGGCGGTTTATGTCGATGCAACAAACCAGAGAGGCTGTATCGTACCTAGGTAAGGCGTGAAGGATTGAGGAGAGGATATGGCATGCGCGCGTGAGGGGGACAAAGTGAGAAATCGAATAGAATCGGGAGTCGAGAAGGGAGAGGAAGCGAAAAGGCGGCGTTGGACGGGATAATAGTAGGTGCTGCTGGCATGCGTGTGTTGATGTTGATGTTGATGTAGAGGTTGGTGCTGTTGTGGATGTAGACGCGGATGTAAATGTGCTCTTTGAAGGTTATGAAGTCGTAATTGTCGACATCTAATCTAACCATGGCGGCGTCCGATCCTCAGCCGCAACCAGGAGCCACTGAGCCACCGAGCCACCCCACACCTGGCTCTGGCCAACGGGTACAGGATCTATTTCCGTCCAAGTCAAACCCTCCAATTTTTAATATTAAAATTTCATACTCTATTCAGCTACGCTACCCGCTTTGTAGAAAATTTACTGTACTACATTTAGAAAGTGACAGGTTAGATATGCAACCTGCCTAAAGAGCCTACTCGGCACTCTCCTCGCGAATCTCTAGTCAACCTATGATATCTATTACCCAGGAGCATCCGTAGCCTTATGTTATCCTTCCACTAGGTAATAGCTGTCGTATAATTAGGCTACAAGTTATATTTAGGATAGAGCTATGCTGAGTATATGACTTAGAGCCGTCTGTTTTTAAGACGTTAGTGCCGAGCAAATGTATACAGGCTAGGGTAATAAACCAAGGTACATAGTTATTGTAAGGCACGACTCAAATCCTTACAGCTGTAAAGGTATATAAACTGAACAGCCAAATTATTGTAGAAATCATAATTTTTTCTTCCTATCTCGAGCTTCTAGGTTATTATCCGCACATTCTCTCGGCACAGCTCCTTCTCAGCGCTAGCCCAACTTCACTGCTCCACGACAGAATACAAAGGCCGCACTAGCTATTAAGATAGCTCCTAATAGCGCCCTGCAGCTTGGTAGCACCCTCTCCAAGGACTTGAGTCAAATTGTCAAGATCATCGCCAGCAGTAACTCCAAACTTCCTAACAAAGTCTTTAGCAGCACTCTCTAAATCTCCGTAGTCATCTCCCGTATCCAGCTCCTCAGAACGACCGAAATATGCGTTTGACGAGATGGACGAAGCACCTTCGAAACCTTGGAGGCGTTGCTTGGCTTCGGATTGAGCGTTGGGATCAAAAGCGCCTTTGTTGAAGAATTCATCTGATGAGATACCCTTTTGGGCACCAAATTTTTGGCGTGCATATTTCTCGTCATCATCTACAAGTCTGGTAAGCAATGTTTCAGGAGATGTAATCATAATAATCTGACCTTCTTGTGTGGCTTTGATTGGACCAACTGATCCAAATCCACCTGCCTTCTTAGCTGCGGTGGCAGGTTTAGCCCCTCCAACTTGCCCGAACCCAAGTCTGCCCATCCCCATCCCCAGTCTCTCGAGCTCGCTGTTAGTGCGCTCCCGTGCTTGGGACGAGCCATATCCTGCTCTACCTGGGCTGACGGGTGTGGGTGATGCGATTTTAGGTAGATCTGTCGTCTTCGAAATAGCAGCTGGCTTCGTCGTCCCAGCTTCCTCGGCTTCTGGATCGTAACCCAATTTTGCAATTCTCTCTGCTTCTTCCTTAGCCTTGCGTTCCGCAGCATCGAAATCAATAACATCCCCCGTCACTTTCTTTGCGCCCAGTTTTGTCTTCTTGGCTCCCAATACGTTTGCTTTCCGTGGTCCAGTTCCCGTTGTGGTTCCCTTGCGCAGGGCAGCGGATGATGTGATTCTGCTTGCAGCCGGCTTCTCCTCAGTATTTGCCAAAGGCGAGGCCGTTCTAGCGATTCCGTTCCCATTGCCATTAGAACTTCCGGTGTTTAAGAGGGGGGAAGAGGTCCGGCCAACGACTGGTGGCGTAGCCGTTCGAGAAATTGGTGGGGTTGGTCGCTTGATCGATGGCTTGTCCCAGGAAGAAAAGAAATCGTCGTCGGTTTCGCCAGCAGGTGTAGACGCATCCGACGGGGTATTGCTCATGACATCCGTAATCACTACTTCCTCAGGATACCTATATGTGTTAGTGGCGAATATTTTCGAAAGCAGAGGATGCTTACTCTGTAGCATCTCGTGCTGCCCGTCGCTTCAATTCATCCTTATACTTGGTAGCAGCATTGGAGGTGTACTTTGTCTTCGGATCCTTGCTGTTCAGGGCAGCAGTCCCACCATTCGACTGGAAGAACTTCGTTGCAGAGTCGTTGCCACCCACTTTCATTATTCGTAATTGGTCCCATTGCCATTCTGCCAAAAGTCAGTGTATAGACTTTGAAATATTATCATGCGCACATACGGTCAAGGTTTGTGGAACGCACAAATGAAATGTGGACACCCAAGTTGCGGTGATTCGAGGAGCAGTCAAGACAAAGATAGATCCCTAAAGGCACAGATGTCCATGTCGGGTTCTTCTGCCCGCAGTCAAAACATATCTGTGGATAAGGGCCTGGTTAGTAAAGGTTGCAAACAGAAGTTGATGTGCGATGCGGGATGTGTATACGTACCCTGTTCGCTGGCTTCGTTCTCAGCTTCTCAAATATCTTCTGTGACTGGGTCTTTGAAGCTAGGACCGCCATTTTCGGAATCCTAGGAGCGGCGCTCAGCCCGTTACAAGTATGCGAAGTGATGTGGTGAGAGATTTGGGCTTTGGTTGTTCTGTGTTCTCCTATTTGGAATCGAGGCGGCCACATTGCGATTGCGGCACAATCAGTTTCGGCCTTACCAAATCATACCTAGCGGCTATTTCAAGCTTTCCCCACATGTACATATATGGCCGCAGACTTTGACCTCGCAAGCTTCACAGAATTACAAGAAGAGCACCCTCAGTCTCCTCAGTCTCCTCACGTCTTCTCACGATGAACTCACTCGCCCGAACTGCTCATTTTCTATCCTTTCCGGCAGCCCTTCGCCCCCTAATTGCTGCCAGATGGTACGCGACTCAGACTGGTCTTGGAGCTTCGGGCGCAACACCACAGCCGAGAAGGAGAGCTGTGACAGCTTTCAATGATGATGGCAGAGTAGCATGGGGGGATCTATCTCCGAGAGAAAAAGCGTCAAGAACAACACAACAGACATTTAATTTTGGGATGATGATCATTGGGGCAATTTTGACTGTAGGTTTCCTAGAAAGACAGCCTCGATGTTAGCTACTAATCCTGGTCGTAGGGAGGCGTCGCATACGTTATGTATACCGAAGTATTCTCTCTTGACAGCAAGACGGCACATTTCAACCGGGCGGTGGATCAAATCAAGAACGATACAAGATGTACAGATTTATTAGGAAACAGAAAGAAAATCACTGCATATGGAGAGCCAAATATGAGTAAATGGGCCACGGCCAGGCCAATCGCGTATGTTGGTATTCAGTCATCTGATCAAACCTGACTGACGATTTCCCAGATCGAGGATCGAAAAGGATAGGCGTGGAGTTGAGCATCTGAAAATGCATTTTAATGTAAGTTATGCTGTGGAATCTCCAAACCGACGCTAACATCTCTTAGGTTGAAGGTCCACTTAATAAAGGAGTGGTCAACATACATATGACTAAGGGGCCTTCGGACGACGAGTTTGTTTACAAATATTTGGCACTTGATGTGAAAGGCCACCAAAGAATCTACCTCGAAAATGCAGATGCTACTGTAGATAGTCCTGCAAAGAATAAGACCAAGCTATTTGGGATCTCTTGGCGCTAATGGAGATATGAAATGCTGTATATGCGTGTTGAAATAATATTACACTTATTCAGCTATGGGCCATCGCACTTGACGAGGATCCTCCACATATAGTCATCGTTGTTGGGGTAGTGCGGCGGACCTTCCTGGTGACCAAAATGATGGACTAGAGACAATCGCTATGTAGAGAATGTTCATTGAGATGCCAAACGTTTCCGAGCGCATTTATTTGGAGCGGCTCCAAGTTGCGTTTTCTACTTAGGGATGGGCCACTATAATGGCAAAAGCCCGTCCATTGACCTTTTCATAGTATAAGCCCGGCCATTCCTCTCCAATTTAGGCATCCTCGCGTGATTATAGTGTAGGACATATTTGCAGCACTGTGATAGCTGATGGAGAGTTTAGTTACTCTAATTAAAATACGTACAGCAAGTGGTTTAGCCTCTCCAATCTTTACCTCAATCAACCACTATTCCAGGGCCAGCCCCCACAGCTTTCCACCTGCACATAGTTTAGTTCATTCTGTTGGGCCTCTTCCTCAAAGTGCTTCTATCAGACTCCGTGCTGCAAATTTTCCGATTCCCGCTCTTCCCACCATACTGTATCTAGGTGCTGGATCCGGAAAAGCCAACTCCACCATCTCACTAAGTACCTAGGTAACTAGCAGAGCTACCCAACACCAGCCATTAGTCGCTTAGATTTGGTCTTGCTATACCCGGGCGTTGGTGCAGGCGTTGCTTTCGGAGTATTCAATGGATGACCTAGTCATCTCTCAGGTATGGTGATATACCCCTTGCTGATATGGAAGTAATCAGCCCTACCTAGGTAGGCAAAGCCAAGTCAGACATTGCTATCTCTCTGAGCATATGCATGAGCTACCAGCATTTGCTATTATTCTTGCCTATGATAACAATAGAAAGGATGGTGCTAATCGTTGTCGTCACTGTAGTCAGGCTTACCGCCCTTGAGGGAAGCCCGACGTTATAGACCGCAAAAATTTCGTCCATACCAGCCTCTGAGCGAGTAGATCATTCAAGACAAATCCTACACTGCTCCATTTGCAATATTCGTAAGCAGTGGGATTACCACGGCTGAAGCGAGACTGACGAGCGCAAGAATGCTACGAAGTTTGAGGTCAATTTTGAGAGTCGTGCCTGTGCACTTGACGGATTCTGGATATGTAAATAATGTAAAATAAAGGTAAGGTTTGATCTAATAGAACGTGCGAGATACTTGAAGGATGTTGTGGGTTGAAATGATGTGAAAATCGTTCAGAGGGAGTCGAATTCTAAATACCATTCATCCACTTACCTATACTACGCAACTACAAAGGACTTGCGAAAGTCTGAGGCTTTATCATCCTATTTTATTGGGTTTTCTGAGTAGCGTAACACTGTTTATGGGTAATGCTAAATAGAAGGAAAACTGGAAAATCACCGGCGTTTCTATTAGAACATAAATATATCATAAGCCAGACTAGTAGTTTGGCCGGTATATACATAACCATCCTTTGCCTTAACCCGACATTCGCGACGACAGTGCGATGCGTAGGGAGATAGCTAACTATATGGATACAAAAAAAACCGTGTTAAACCAAGCGCCATCTAATAACGGCGGATGAGGGATGTAAACCTGACTTGATAAAAGTTTTTGATTTCTGGCTTCCCTTCTCAGCTCTCCTCCAAATCTCCGATGGAGAAACCTTATCACCTATTCTGTACTTGTGAAGACGCACTGCCTTACGGAGTATTCTCCTAGCCCGTCTCTGTTCAGCGCCACCAAAACGGCCCTTACTCTAAAAGTACGAGTGTATCATCAGCTTCCAAATGCATAGCTACCGGCATATTGAGAGGTTAGACACTTCAGCGGCGGTTAATAAACTAGTAATAAGTGACATACAGCACTAACTAGCTAGGTCCTGCTGGTTGTCTATACTTGAGTACGAGCAACTACGCACTTGGATGCGGAGATTTATAATCCTCAAAATGTAGCTTGGCGAAATTAAAATGCTAAAATGAGAAGATGCCTCGTTACCTTCTGAGAAAAGAAAGGGGCAAGCTTTACAAGAAGCAGAGAGAAGAATACTATTTGCTAATAAAAGTATCTAGAGATACCTAACAAATTTAGGGCCGGTTTGCGGCACTTGCCAATTGCTGAAGCTTGAAGACTACAAACTCAAACTTGGCTGGAAACCCTGCGACAGAAGATGGAACGAGAGCCTCCCCCAGGTGGGGCAAATTCTGTTCTACCAGTGAGCTGACTAACAGATATATAGATATCCAAAACTTAGACTCGTCCAAACTCTTGGCCCGCAGAAGGGAAGGGAATGATCACTCAAGACACAAGACAGGACATGTTAAACAGACCACCACCACATTACAGAGGTGGAAGGCGTCTCACCCGCACGTTCCGTCCATTACAAGTAAGTGATACATCCATGCAGCGGATATACAGATAGGATGTGCTGCCCTCCCAAACTCCTAGTTTTTCAATTGATAAAACACCACCGTGTTAAATATCCGGCTTTCCCAAAGCAGCCTCAGCCGCAACCTTTGCCTCCATCTTCCTCCTTGCAGCCAATATCATTTCTTCCCTCCTCCTTTGCAAGAGCGCCTGTCTCTCACCCTTGTTCTGGCTCCACGCTTGCTTTGCACGCGACTTTTCATCCACTCCAGGGTCCGTGGATATACTCGCCTCCTCTGCGAGTTTTGCCTGCAAGTTATATCGCGTTATAAGGTCTGGTTGCGCCGGTTTGAGTTGCGCAGATGTGCAGGATGTAGATGTGGTGGAGGATACTGCAGCGGGGAGGGGTGGTTGAAAGGATTGTGGAGGCTGTTCAGCAGAGGTATTGTTAGCACAATTTCAGCGGTCTAAACAAAGCTGTACAAGGCCGAGCAAGCTGAGGGTTGCTCTAGCATCCAAATATAGAGGACACGCGTGCATCAAGGGAATGGGAAAAGGCTAAGTCAAGACGTACTACTTCTAGACCTCGCCCACTCAATATCCGCTCAGTAGACGCCACGACATTTCCCCCATTTCGCTGCAAATCCCACATAATACTGCGCCGCGATACCTGCGGGAACATCTGTTGTATACGCTCCACATCCGCTTCCCGTGCTCGTACATTGCTGGCAGAAGATGATGATGTACCGCGGTTGGTTGTCGAGGTGTTAGCGCTACTGGAGAAGAAGAAGTAGCGGATCGCGAGAGCTCCAAGAACGATTATTAAAATGAGCTGCGGGACATTGATCGTTTGGTCCGTAGAGGACATTGCGGATGATAAACTGGCCACGGATGGGCGAACTGGTGAGGGAGGGCAATGGAAGGGTGTGAATGGAAAGGGAGAGTTGGTATGACAGTGGCGTTGGACTGAAGGGCGTAATGATGTGATCTTAGGGTTTGAAGTGGTGAACGATGATGATTATTTGGAGAGATGAAAAGAGTTCCCAAGCACCGTGGAGGCCCATGAACAATGTATAGAAATGTTCGGGCTCAGAATGAAGGTGATTATTGATTCCGAGCTTATCTTTGACCCGCGATGGACAGGTCCAAAAGGGGATATTCGGTCGGATAATGGCCTGTGGATATCACGTGATAAATTCGTTGGTAACCCCGCCAGTATACCTCAGGTAGTACCTAGCTAGCTACCTAGAGCAATAAAAGTACAGTGGATAGATAGGTAAGTAGGTATGTTGGTAGATACCTACATGACTATATTTTACCTAGACATGTATTGGGGACCCCAAATGCTAAAGAGCTTAGGTTTGAAAGGCTCTCCGTACAATATCAAACATGATCAGAAGGAAAATTCATAACATCAAGGCGGTGCAAGAGACGCGAAACATGGCTATTTATGTCTCACGAGACTTAAGGTATTACTAGATCGTTATGCACACCTCGCCGGGTTGCAGGAACGCCTGATGCACTGGCAAGATCCAAGCCAAACCTTCGCAGTTGCATACTATATTTGTATGTAAGCCAAGAGAGTGACTAAACGCCATCCCTTTGAAACCCATGTTTATGTAGGCTTTTGTCCCTAAGCTAAAATAGCACCTTGCAGTTCCTTTCCCGTGCCACTCTGATTTGCAACGCTACATATCAAACGATACATTATGAAACCCCCCAATAAGATAGCTAGGCAACAATCGACTGAAATATGCTGATTTATGCAAGCGGACCACGAGCACCGCTTGGAAGGCTCTCGAGATCATCGTAAACCAAAGTTAGTTCTCGCTGGGTGATTGATTAGCCATGTCCATAACAGTATATAAGAAGTACCCACGCGCTCTCGTTGCCACTGTTTGATGTCAAAGAAGATATAATACCCCCGCTCCGTGCCATTTCCGAGTGCCTGAGGGACCATCATCTCATCTTTGGTCAACCACTGCTGCAGCTTCTTATGGTAACGCCAATTGCGAGTATGGCTAAATGTTCGATATATCAGCAGAGATGGGGAAGCCATTCAAAAGATATCTACTCACAGTTCTTGGGCTGCCATTATTTGTTGAATATCCCCCGGATTGCTGTAGAACATAAATATTAAAGCCTCATCATTGAAGTTCTGTATCTTGCTTTCTAACGGTGCGACATTATGAACGCGGTAACACTCAGGAAGGGTGAAACGTGGAATGGCCGGTCGACTTGGCTCATTGTCCCACAGAGAATAGATTTGAGTTGAGAAAGGCCTTGGTTTAGTTAGCATAATTATTTGGGAATGGCTCTTCGGATGACGAGCCACTTACTCAGAGGAGTTAAGGTCAAAGCCAAGGTTCGTGATATCCGAACCACTGACAAGAGCAGCGTAGTCTGGGAAGTTGTTCATCAGGTAAGACCACCCTTTGAGACCCCACTTGTCAACCTCGCTCATATGCGCCAAGGGATCCTGAACTTCTGGTCCAGGCTCTTCTGCGTCCCCAGAATCAAGCGCCTGCGATCGCGGCGCCGACACATCTGGCTGCTGCACGGCATCTGACCGTGAGTTTGCTCGTACGTTCATGTTGGGGTGCGACGCAGATTCTTCCCGTGTTGTCGAAGCTGCAAATTGTGCATTTGAAAAGGCCTGGATGAGTTCGGTTAGATAGACTCAACAGAGTTCCATAATGGGAATCACTTACGCCTCCGCTCTCACCACTCAATCCTTGCCGGCTTTTCTCTACTGTCGATCTCGAATTTGATACACCTGAGGAATTAGTTATTGAATTTCCCGGGGGGGGGGGGGTGCTCTCGTCTTACCCGATATGCTCGTAGGAGACGGAATACGATTCCCAGGAGGAGCACGGTTAGTTCCTGATAACGCGTTCAGGAGACCATTATTCCGATTGGGCTGTGGGGGGTTTGTAGAGCCGAATCCTAAGTTATTCCCCTGCGCGCCAAAAGATACGTTTTGAATCAAGTTTGAGTTTCGATCCTGGCCAATGTCCCCATTCACATTACGGTTAAGGGGGGGAAACTCCTCAACGGTGCTTGATTGGGAGGCCTGCCCAACGGCATTCTGGCTGCCAAACCGAAACGCTCCCTGGCTACTGGGCAGTTGGGAAGAGGAGTTGAAAAGGTCATCTTGCTGTTGTTGTGTCTGCTGCTGAGCGTTTAATTGCTGCTGAGCGGAGAGTGACGATTGTGGTATCCGCATGTTTGTCGATGGTCCGATGTTGCGGCTTCCTGACGCCGCCCAAGTGGACTGACTTGGTTGAGGTTGGTTGTTTGATAATGAAGGAAACTCGCTGAGAATATGGATCAGTGAAAGTGATGGCAAGGGGTATCTAGAAAACTCTAGACGTGGACGGAAGTAGATGATCTCCTAAAGGCTCATATGAGGAACGAAGCACCGGGGAACTCACGAGAGGTCCAGAGGCGTTGCTGGTTGGGACGAGCCACCGATTGTTTGAGCAAAACTCGTCATGGGCCCATTGTTCGCACGAGGATTCCCTAAGCCTTGACTGCCCATCGGTACTCCCCCCCCAAATGCCCAAGTTGCTCCGTTGCTGGCTAAAGCGTGGGCACAGATATCAGCACAATTCATATTCCCCCGACCCATTGTGAGTTGTCAAAAACAGCCATACCCATCTTTCCACCTGGTGGTAACCTGCTAGAGACGCTTCGATTCTGAGGTAATTGTTGCTGGCTTGGGAACCCCGTCGGTAGGCCACGAAGGGATTGAGGTCCAACAGCTAGAGAAGTAAGATATCCAGTCAGTATTATCTTTCCGAGGGAGTAAGAATCAGACAATGAAAGGCGCGGCAGAAGGTGTGCATTGGTGCAGCAGCCAGCTAGCACCCAGTGTCATTCCAGGAGAAAGAAGTGGGTTCAACCACTTTAAAACCAAGCCTTGCTTGAGTACCAGCAAAACTCTCACAAGGTGGCTATGAAACTTCTCAGGCATCGAGTTCCGCGCCAAAGAGGATACTAATGCCGGCGCAAGATCATTCACCTGCCTGTCTGCTCAAGTGGAGACCCTAGGCCTTTGCTGAACAATGACAATAAGGCGCCAGCATGCAGGCAGGAGTATAGAGGGCCATAACAGAGCAATGCGCCTGTATTGTATCGCCCACCAGAAGACAAACAGGTCGTCCAACATCGGGGTTGGCTTGTAGCGCGGGGACGGAAAGGACAAGAGATATGACATTCATACCTGGCCGATTCATCGTTGTATGGTATTCGTGGTCCTAATCTTTTGGGATCCTTATGAGAATGCGATCGGGAGGGCGTCCATAAAATGAGGTGGTAGGCTGCGCGTTGTGGTTATGGTATGGGATTGTACTTCAGAAGTATGTATCGGGATGCCAATTCTGTGAAGTTGCATGGGGGCAATGGGGAGCCAAGCTGCAGTGGCGCCATGCCATTTTGGGGATAGCCTTGCGGACCTATGTGTTGGCGCCTCAGGTTACCGCGCCCTAGGAGAGTAGAGAGACTGCGGTGCTAAACGGCTTTGTATAGGGCAAATCAAAAGGGAGCGGAGCAAAGATACTATTAATGTTTATATTTATAACTGTAAGAACTAATAGCGGTATGCTTAGCTATAGCTTTTTTATCGAAATTTTGTGCCGATCTGAAATTTCTAGACACTTCGAGCGATTCCAAGTTTTATCAATAGTTACATATCTATGAAAAATACCTAGGTACCATATATAGGTCGTGTACTCGTGAGTTCATCCAAAATCGTGAGACCAAAATATACTGTAACAGGCGCCCTACTGTAAAACAGACAACCATCGCTGCCAAAGCCTGCGGTATCTGTAGAGATTATTGGCAGAAGTGCGCGAGACCCCATTGCGTTGCACGCTTTGTGCCATCAGACTTCTACTACCCAGTCGGCGTCCCTATTTTGGATCGTCGCCCATCTACTTGGAGGCTTGCATTCCGTTTGATTCCAGGAAACTGGTCGTGCACGCCACTTCATCCCAACCAGGGCGCACCGCCGTCCACTCTAATTCGACGTAACTTAAATATCTGATAGGCGCCTGCCCTGGTATATATGCTCCATGGGCGTGTTGCCTGGCCCCGTTAGCGAATGATCTTCGGGTATCCCTATAGCACTAGCAACCAAGGGGTCCGATCTAAAGACTTGCTAGGCGTCAATGCCAACCGCTGTAGGCGTCTGCTTCCACAATATCGGTCATATCTTCCACGTTCCCTGCCGTAGTCGCAACGGCTATGCTAGCCAGGGCCGATGTACCTTTGTGTTCTTCCGGGTCTGCGATGCCTTCATCGAGCTTCATTGTGGCGAAAATGGCCTTCATGTCCCGCAAATCCTCACTGGAAACATCCTTTGCAGGCGAGGAACGCTCCTCGACAAATTTTCGTATGGAACGGATAATTGGCGGATAGCGCTCTTCGTTTGGAAGCCACCAGTGCATACACGATCGATCCCCAAAAAGGTCTGCCATTTTCGATCGAAAAGTATGCGGGAAAATGTACCTAACGGGATATTAGCTGTATAGTTCTTCTGAAAACGGCCGCAAGCTCACCCGTGGGATTCGATGGTAGCAAGCTTTCGCCGAGCCCACATAGAATGACGCTCATCTTTTGGAAGAAATAGACACGAAATGCCGAGGCTTGCTTGACAAGCCACGACGGCGCCAGGCACACTACCAGGCCATAATTCCATAGCCTCGAATAACTGGCAGATTCTATATGCCTTTTGCATCAACTCAGGGCTTGGTGGAGATTTCGTTGTTAGGGCGGTTTGATAAGTATGCATCAGGTCGATAGAAAGCCAGTCAATCCTAGCCATGTTCATGGCCCAGAGAGGGCCACTATAGATAAGACCAGGTGCATAAGGATCAACAATATCATCTGGATCTCGAGGCGGAGCGCCCGTGAAATCAGTGATCAAGAATCGGCTATCCTTCAGAGCCGGGTCCATTTTGCTTTCCCATTCCTCGATTCTTCTACCGAGATCCGCATTTTCCCTCAAAAACCGATCCATGGATAATTCTCCTTTGCTCATTCTTGCAAACAATAGGGTCATATCTGTCGCAATGAGGCGATGGTGGGCAAGTGCAGTTTCGATCTTCCAATCTAGGTCGGTCGGGTCCATTATGGCTATCTGTTGACAAACGCCGAAAGATGCGGAGAACCAGTCCCTCGAAAGGACAGTCTCAAAACCCCCCATCAAGCCAGCAAAGACGTCGAACCGCATATACCATCCAAGAATGATACGGGATGTTTCATCTTGCATCACTGTTTCTGGCATATACAATTCGGTCAAGATTTGGTATGCAGCTTTTTGATGACCAAGTAGATTTATCCAGTCACCCAAGAATTCCTGCAAAATATTAGACGGGGAATAGGCAGGAGCATGATCTACCTTACCTCGATCGTTGCCAGCTGTAAAATCGCCAGCAATGTCCCATCGTTGTGCCGTTCGCCCCTTTTTAGCGATCGAAGGAGCAAGGACACGGATTTATTGTAATACTGGAGGAACCCCTGGATATTGCGGCCGGGGTGGTGCAAGGTGTGTTGAAAGGCCGAAAATCCCACAATAGCGTAGAGTAAGCCTTCGTTCTCAAGCGCAATATCCAGGAACCGCGTCCGCATAAAATCCTCAGCATCATACTTCAATGAGTAATGGTGATGGGTAATATTTTCGCAAAAGTAAGTTAGATAAAACCGGAGATCTTGTGGCAGATAGGACCAGTCGCCTCTATCGGAAGTAGAGGAGGTCGGTTTTGGGGGGAGCCGAGAACCAAAGAGAGTTTTATATGAAGAATAGCCGACTGAGCCTTCGGTCGACGGTGTTGGTGATGAACCTTTGTCTTGCACTAAGGACGGGGCCTCCGAGCTATTCCGAGTTGAAGACTTTGGGCCACAAGAAGGCTGGCTGGCATTTGTACGTTGGGCCGTTGGTTTAGGTATACCCTGCGGATGGGTGGGATCTCCATGGAATCCGTCTTCATCAGGTATGGGCGCCAGTTGTCGCTCAGAACTGTCCGCATCTTCGAACTCGTCCGATGAAGAACCTGGGCTTTCACGAGTCGAAACTTGAGAGCGTTTAGATGGTCCGCTCCCAGAGGCTTTTGATGACGTGGGGGGTTGCGGATAGACACAATCTCGACTGCCTTTACTGCATCCTGTCACAATATCAAATTAGAATTGCATGCTGGGCTCAGGCTGACTCCTCTTACGTTCGCAAATCGGGCGTGCCTCATCGCACTACAAAAAATAAGTGAGTGTCTCTCGCAAGTTGGTTCTGTGGATATTACCTTCACCCGCCTACTTCTACATGTGTAGCATCCAGATCGAGTCCGACGATGCTTGGTATGCTCGGAACCTTGGGTGGACTTTCGACGGTTGCGACTAGGCTTTGGTACAAGCATTGCGGGGTCTTGGGTACCGAAGAGATAATTCAAGTCTGCATAGGAGCTTGCGGAGCTCAATGGCTGCGATTGTAGAGAGATATGTTCAGGATGCTCCTCGACTGGTACCAGTGGGTAGGTTGTAGCATGCGCGGCTCGCGCTGCGTGGTGGTTGTGATCGTTGGGACTTGTCATGACGGCTCTAGGGATGGCCCAGTTGTTAAGTATGCAGCTGATGGCAATAGGTTGATGGGATTCTAACGCAATCAGAGAGGTGATACTCGATGTCCAAAGGTATCCTGGCAGCCCATCTGCACCAAGGAGTGTCTACTAACCCGAAGGGGCCCACGAGAGGTAAGGCAGTGGCTGATGCGTGCAAAGCAGTCTACAGACGTGTTACGACGGAGGACTTTTGCAAGCTCGGAGACAACCAGGAAGCGCTCAGGTGAGAACCTTGCCAACAGAAGGCCTAGCTCCCAGCGTCGTCATTCATACGCAGGCGTTCTAGTCACCCCAGCAGTCAAATTCAACCCCCCCCTGGCCCTAGGGAACCTGGGTAGGTGATGCCGCAACGATCTCAGAGCTTATCGAAGTGTACCGACGGGGCTGCACTCCAGAGGTGCCTTAATCGGACTACTCCCTATACCTATCAGGCTTAACCTTCCACAAAAGGTGATCTGTAGTTATACCAGCTATCTAATTAAGCATTGCTCTGTGCAACGGTTCGAGATAGCGGCTTCTTTTGACGGATCGTGCTGGGCCTACTGCCACGGCCGCGGACTTCTCTAACGGATCCCGAGAATAAATGACCCCGGGATACGGAGTACGTCGTCTTCAATACGTGAAATGATCTGATGACGGGATCGTGAGCTGCAGCGGATTTAAAGTGGGATGGTGGCGTCTCTTCATATAATAAGACGTTTTCTTCTGGGGGCGAGGCTAGGACTTTCCTACTTTCATCGGGCCTTGGTCTTCAAAGCGCCGGACGGACGAGATCGAATGGCAACCTATCTGATCGGCCTGACCGACTCTAACGCAAGTCTTTCTGCAAGCGTCCCGAGACTTCCCAGGCACACCGTAATCCGTAGCCCTCGGGTTTCCTGGTCCAGGGAAGAGCAGAGATTGCGGTCCGCAGGCCGGCTGTTTTGAACGGGCACCACAAGGGAAGACAACTCTAGAATCGTGGTCAGCAAGCAAGTTCTTGCGGCAGTAGGTAGGAGCAAGCAGCAGAGCGCAAGTAAATTACCAGCCAGTGCCGTAAGGGATGAGCCCTTGAGGGTCACACACAATAACGGTATGGTCTGCAATGCCAGGATCGTTGCAGAGCCCGCAGAATCGGTCGAATAATCCGAGCAGCAGAAGTCGACAGCAGAAGTTGTTGCAGGGAGAGAGTCAGGGGCTTTTTTGGGTTCTGCGAGGAGGTTGACATATGAAAGAGATATTGATGACAGGAGCTGGAGGGGTGGTGAGCAGAGCCAATAACTCCGTAATGCAATGCAGCGTGCACAGGGAGTGCCCAGTGTGGACTTGCTATGGAGTATGGATAGTGGTGGAAAGTATGGATAGTGGATAGTGTGGAGCGCCCCCATAATCCCATATGTCGGATTCTGTCCCCATATAGTACAGTCTGTGCAGAGCGCGCAGGCAAGACTCCGACAAGACTCCAGACCATGGAGTTCCATGGACCAGGGCTGCTGTTGCACACCCACGAACCCCGTTCGAGGGCAGCACCAAGGACGTATCGGTAGTACCTCCGTACTCCATAGTACGAAGTAGTACTAAGTACGAAGTTCGTACGGAACTTCAGCAGCTAGAGCCTGGAGACTAGAGGCGAGAGGACCGCAATTCGCAATTCGCCCTCTTCGCAGCTTGGCCTGGATTCCTCGAAGGCTTGAACGCCAGAAGGCCGGGCGACTTGTGTGGTACGAAGTACGAGGAGGACGGAGACTACCTACAGGTAGGTAAGGTAGGTAAGGTAGGTAATAGATGGACCAAATCGTCTGGCACACAGCCTCCCTTGCCTTGCCTTGCCTTGCCTTGCCTTGCAGAGTTGCACAGCACAATACAGCAAGAAGCACAGAAGCAATCGCCGCTCTCGATGGCTCCCGCATCACATTCACATTCACATTCACAGTATGGACGAGGTCAAGGCCAAGGACTCCGAGAGCTGCAATGCAACAGCAGAGGCAGATCACCAATCGGCCAGTACTTCGTACAGTAATGTACCAACACAACGCCTGCTCAACAGCGTGAAGGGGTCACTAGTGGAAGCGCACCATGGGGAATAGTACGGGTACTAGGTACCACCTACTGTATTTCGTCCTGTACAGTACATGTCCCATTCGGATTCGCAGATGGTCCAGCACTACTGCGTACCTTATGGCCATACCGGCACTCTGTCCAGCACAGGACAAGGAGGCGGCGGGGGGGCACCAAGAAAGCTGCAGGAGGCGTTCCCAGGAAGTCGAGTTGAACTGATGGCCTGTTGCTGCAGCGCTGGGCCCGGCACCTTATAGCAGGCGGAATATAGGCTGCTCCCGACTGGCACGTACAGCGGGTCCCGGTTGGCGATGCTCATCACCCCACTGCTCCCTACTGGCAGCGACGGACCGGCCATGAGGATCGGGACACTTCCCAGAATCCTACACAGCGGACACCCAACCCAATCGCCGGCGGCACGGCAGACGGGGGCTGCTGGAGGGTCGTGCTGCTCAGCGTCCATGCTCGATACTCCATACTCCATATCTTTGTACGCCACTCGTCCTGCATATTCCTATATGGAGTATGGCCTCAGGGCCCCCGGAAAGGGACGAGATGACCGCACCGGGGCCCCACGGCTCAGAAATCAGCACAGGAAATTGGGAATAGAACAGAACGGCGGGAGAGTCTCCCCAAACGGGCATCTCAGCAATATTAGCCTACCCAAAAAAGAACTCGACGGGCCCCAGCGCTACTGCAGGCGGAAATCCTCGCGGCGGCCTCCAAAGTCCTAAATCGAGCTCGCGCTTCTGGCGGCGCCGGCGTGGCGTTGGCGCTGGCGTCTGATCAGCCCGCAATCAATGCAATCAGCAAAAGACTAGCTCCACTTAATCAATATATATATATATATAAAAAGGGCCTTGCATACGGTATAAACTCGGGTATCAAAAGCTAATACTTTACCCATTGGCCCAAGACATAGAACCTAGTGCCTAAATTTATATATTAGTGCCTAGCTAGGTACTCTATGGCTACAAATTGAGTGCTTGGGTCTAGTGATTTGCTTATTAGGGCTTGTAAATCACGTGTATGTAAGGTAAGTCAGTTAAGTCAGGTCTTCAGTTATTTATCCCATTAATTTACATAATACTTCGTACAGAGTACTGTACTGAAGTAATAAGCCAGAGAAATTGTGCTCGAGCTCGAGCTACCAAATCCGAGAGGCGTCATTTCACTAATAGTACTTCGTACAAAGTCCTACCGGTACTAAACCAACGAAGCCGACGGAGTATTCCACGGTCTCCCGTTAGATCGCTCTACGGAGCAGAGTCTAAACCCCAACTTTCCACGCCCGTCTTTGGCCACAACGTGCGTGGTGGTCTTTTAATCAATATCCGCAAGCCGTTCCCGTTTGCCGTTGACCTCGAGGTCTTGCGGCGCCTCGAGTGGAAGTGGCTCGCTGGTGGCTTGACGTCGGTCTGCAGTGCAAATTGATGTGCAGATTTCTAACTTTTAGCCGCGTTACATGCGCCGGAGATCACATAGACACAGTCTCGAAGATGCTTGAACAATCTGTCTCCAATAAGAGTTGCGGCAAATTTTGCAGAAGATGAACATGGCGTCTTTTCCTTTTCACTGGTGCGAAACTCCTGGAAAGAGGAACAGCTTCACGACCAGGCGTCGGAGACACGGATGATGGACCTGATGCGGGAAATGGGATGCCCTCCAGGGAGCTACGGCACGCAAGATGATGTACGTAGGAACTGAGATCATGTACTTCGTACTTCGTATGGGGGGGGTAAATGTTGGAGGATAAAGGGGTAATAATGAACGACACTTTCAGTTCCCATTCGAGGGCTCGTGTGAGTCGTGTCCAAGGCTCCTATAGCAAAAAGCCGTCATATGCAAAGGGCCATCGGCGGTGCTTTCTCAAGAAGCTTGCTTGCAACGATCCACTCGTGAAGCCATGCTGCCATGGACCACTCCGGAGTACTTGCGGTGGGGCCGACACTAGAGAGGATATCGATGATTGCCAGAACCAAGAACCCGGGTCGGCAGCCATCCTTGCTCCCCCCTTATTAACTGGTCTCCTACATGTACAAGTATGTACGAGTCTGTACGAGTAGTATAACAAAGGTGCTATTGAGTTGCAGTGCGTGGATCCTGGGGTGTTGCATCATGGCTCGGCCTTCCTACAGTCGTACAGTACATGTGGCGAAGGAGAAGTGCTCTGCCGTTGAATTTATGTACCTTTAAGGGGATAAAATGAGGATGCACGCTCACAACGCCGACGAATTATGCAGGTACGAATAGAGCGCCTACGGCATCTGCAAAATTCAAACGCACAGAGATCCTCCGCTCCCAATTTAAGGCTTTCTGGAAGAGCTGTTAGTTTTCCCAGCAATAAACCAGCATTCTGTTATAGGTCACCCATGCTTCCAGATTCCGGAAATTGGGTCCCCCATCCCTTACGAGGGACGTCTCTTTACGGTGTACGAAGTCCACATACGGATTGCGGCACTTTCCAAAACCCAGACTTTTAAAGGTACAGCCTCATTCGACGGCTTAAGGCCTGAATCTCACACTTGACGACGGCCAGATGCAGCCCACGTTCTTTCGTTATTCTTACCCCGATTCAGACAGCCATTGCCGAGCTACCACCCTGCAGAGCAATATAACTTTGCACATCATCGTTACATCCCCTTCTCTCGTCAGATAGGAGATAGGGCATCCGGTTTTGCCGGCTGACGCCCCAAGTAACAGGAGACCACGTTACAAGTTAAAACATTGTAAGGGACTTGCAATGGTGTACCGGGAGGTGCCTCTCGATGGATAAAGGCCCCGTCCCTACGAAGTACAGCTATCCAAAACCTCTTGCGGACAGCCGCCGGGCTACGAGTTACAACTTACAACACAATGAGTGGCTTGGGGCGACAGCAGTATTTGAAAAACGGCAGATGGCGCATTACCACCCTATGACCCCGGAGCATATCCAATCACAATCGACACCACCACTACGATTAGTAGTCGATTGCCTTCCTAAGGAACAATGGTGCACCAAAGTCAACGCCTCTGCATCAGCATCCCCTCCGGCTTGAGGGTCTAAAGCCGAGTCTGAAATCAGCGTTCTAGAAAGCTGTGGATCGCAATTACCATGGCAGCTGAAAACAATCCGATCGTTGCTGAATTTCAATTTCGGAATCGAGAGGGGCAGTCAGCTCATAGCGCCTTGAGTTGTCCAGATACTTAATCCCCTCGATGTAGCTTCGCCCATCTCACCTGGCGTTGTTTGGACTCCCCTGGCCGCAAACCTGTACACCTAGGCACCCAGAAACTTGCAAGTGGTTGTGGATGGAGTGAGACTGTGAGGGAGTTGTCTTGGCTTGCTCCGGCCATGCAAGCCGGGCATCTTGGTGATCTCACAGGCGTGCCCACTGCTCTAGCGTACCAAACAAACGCAATACAAGTACAGCACTTCGAACAAATCCAGCGACAGAGCTGAACATAGTCAACAGACTAATAACCCAACGAGTAAACCCCCTCTTCACAATTTAGGCTAAATGCCCTCTTCGCCCTAATCGGGTTCCAGACATAACTGGGAAGACGGGGGCGCATTGCACAAAGCTTTCTTTTGCTGCGAGTACTTTCCACTGCGACTTGATCGGTACGACACTGCGACGAGTACTCCGTATAGTTACGAGTACGAGCCAAGCTCTACTTCGTACGAATACCGTATCCCCTCGAGACCCTCGCGCCCCTTTGTTAGAGTATCGGGAAGCCAAGTACGAACTACCGGGAGGTACATGTCCATGTACAGTTCCACCTCCAACTTCCAAGATCACGGGGCTTGAGGTCTGACCGTGTCCTCTAAAGTTTCAAAGTTTCCGTATCAAGCCGTGCGGTGTCACTGCTGCAAGCACCGCACAGAACAGTCTTGTCGCTCTTGGATGTGACACAGAGCGAATCCCTATTCGTTACCAGCCTGGCGGTCAAAGTCCTCCTCCCGGGTATCGGGTCAGCTCTAAAACGTACGAGTAGTCCTGTTTCACTTCCATGGGACGAACTAGGCCTCTGGATGTCTCACTATGCCGGAACTATTTGGGGCCTAAATTGTCGGGGTATCGCCCGCAATGGTATCGGAGTGGTTTCAATTCCCGCCTCTGAAAGTTAACTACAAGTTGTATTATATTGTCATAATCTCATAATGTTACCCCAATCCACGCAGGTAATCTCCAGAGTGGGGGTTTTTACGTTATGTATAGAGCTAAGTCTACGGAGAGAGGTGGAGGCACGGCTATCATCGTATGTTAATGGTGGCAACAAGCTCACGTATTACTCATTCATTTTAATTTATAATATATGTCGGGTTAAAAAACATATACTTAGTCTTGCTAAACCTCTTGCTATGGCCTACGCGATCAAATTTGCTTAGCGATATATTTATTATAGAGGAGAGGGTATAGCTTATCGCAGTCGAAACTGCGTCGTATGGCTGTGGTGATATCTTTATGGTTCTAAATGGTGAAGTCTCGCCATAAATGGTACATTTTCTACCTTTTTTCTCAGATTGCCTACCCACCTACTACACTATAGTCAAATACGCTTGTAATTTGCAACTACATCGAGAGCACCGGAAAGTTCTTTGGTTTGTACTGCAAAGCATACTACCTACTTCTAGTCGCTACCTACTTAAGAAGCATGGGATATTGGACACTCTTCACTTACCGCTCTCCTCGACTGGCTCCAACGATCGTCCATAACGGCTGCTAGACCTTAGTTCACTGCGAATGGGCCATATTTATAAAGCAGAAGTTATTCTAAACATCTCCACTATGGGGCTGGAATATAATACTCCTTGTTTTCATTATTTCGTGAGCGCGTTCTTTAGGGGTAACTCAATTTCCAAACCCAAATTCTGTCCAACAGCCATTAAAAATTCCTTACCGCATCCATGGAGTTGAGATAAGCCATGCCATCTAAGGAACCCAACCAGGACCACTATAGACAAAAATAGCGGTACTATAAGTCCCCCATAGTACCCAAAGAGTCTCAGTTGATTATTAGTTGATTTCAGTAACCCACTGCAGTCAAGACGTTCAACTAGAGCTAAAATCTTTGAAACATAGGGATCTAAGCAGTATGTGTCCCGTGCTATATTACAGTCCGTAGACTAGCTCGCTGTAGAAAATCAGGCCGGGCAATAAGTCTAGTTACAGTGTCTTAAGTTAGGAAAATATTGATTCGGTTTTATCGAGGATCATTCCCGACCTATGTATATTCAAGAGAACCCGAGGGATTTAAGTTCCGTGAAGCCGAGACTACTGTAAATATATGTAACCCATTAAACGCAAAGAAGTGCCAACCTTTGTATTTTCACCGTCGTAGTTGCTTGCTGAGAAACTAGACTAGTGGGAATAGTGCAGTGAGAGGGGATGCTGTTGCTCTTGCAGCATGAATGAGAAATAACATGGAATAGAAATGGCAAAGGCATACGGTTTATAATAACGCCTAGCATAACAAGATAGTATTGTATATTCTAGAACCATTCATCTAGTCTTCTGGCCTAATCTACCCTAGCTCCTGAATTTAATCCCTTGGTATTTATTTCCTTCCTCTGAGCAAGCTGTGAAATGGATATCTGGTCTTCAAACGCCATTTTGGTTTTACAAACTTTTACCGTTTTCTTTGCCGACTAGAGATATTACCATGTGGATCTACGCCGAGACTTATTCGAAGCATGCTGATAGCCAAGGGTTAACATGTAGAGCGCCTTCCTAACATGCACTATCGACTGATACTCATTCGGTTATCAGTGCCAGACTGGTGGTCATTTGATATTTTCCCCTGATCCATAAGAAGCCCCACAGGAACGACGACGAGAACCTAGGTCGTAGTTCCGCGCTGTGAGGTCGTGGTAGATGCAGTATCGAGTCCAGCATTCACAGCCGCCATAGTCGGCTCAGAGCTACTCGCCTTCGGTTGAGGCAGCTCGTCCATATCGACACCCAGATACTCCTCCCCAGATGGGCCACTAGGTTTCACACCTTCCTCGGAATCATTATCAGTATTCTTGGTTTCGCTCTTCACACTGCTCGCTTTGCTGATTTCAGCGCTCGCAGGGCTCTCAGTCCTCAACCCAAGATCCTTCCCAAGCCCAGGGGAAGTTCCATTGCCACCCTTCCAATCCGCCGGAGACATCTGTAGAAGGGGTGAATCAACACCGGGCTCGCGAATTATCTCGTCCTTCGCACCGTGACCGGGTCCTGGGTCACAGGCTCTCCAAACCACTGCTAATCGATCTAATGCCCGAGTTCCTTTCCTGCTTGAGCCTTTGATTCCATCCATCTTGTCCCAATCAATCTCGAAAACACCACTTTCGTCAGGTCTTCCGTTTTGTTCTGGGCCATTTCCCTCGAAGTATGCGTTGAACCAGATGTGGGCAATTGCGGTGACCATCGTCCACCCCATCGAGGCTTTGTTCCGGCGTTCGAAATCGATATTGATATCACTGTTCGGAAGAATAACTGGGCTAGAGGGCCTGAATATGACTGCACTGCCGCCAGCTTCCTCTTCCTCATTCGCCGTGGTGCTGGTGTCTGTGGAATTTAAACCAGTTGGTGTTGATATTGTGGAGGTTTTGTTTGGTTTACTGTCGCCTGCACCATCAGGCCGAGCTTGTGACTTTGTTTTCGGCAGGATGACTTCGTCCTGTAGACCTGCCGCCATATCTGATATCATATCCTTGATACCACCACTACCAGGAGCACCACCCTCCACAATTACTCTTTCCTTCCTTGAAAAGGCATGGAATACCTTGATTTTCTTCCCTTCATCCACGTATCCTTCAATCTGGACCTTAACACCGTCTCTCAGACCCCAGACATGGACCTCCATAATCTCAATACTCCTATCCATGTACACCTTGCCAGACTTCGCCCAGCGATCAACATATCCGACCCATCGCAACTGACTCGGGATCGAGACACCCTGTCCAAAACCAGGCCGCATTCTCCTCTCCGTAAATCTCGCCAATGCTTCATCAAGTTTCCATCCACACTCCGAAATCAGATAGCTGCAAGCCATAGTCCCACTTCGTCCCTTCCCAGCCTTACAATGGACGACCACTACCCTCTCGTTCCTCGGCTCCGTTTTCTTCTGTCCCTGTTCAGGCCTTTTCTCATTCAGCCACTTGTGCATCCCGGCCATAATCATAGGGACAAGTCTGAATGGAGGAGGATGATGATCCGGCCAAGGATAATGCCATACCCTCCCATAAACTTCGGAATCTGGGTATCCCGTCCCTTCAGCCCTGAATTCCCATATGGCCCAATCTTCACCATGTTTGTAGTCCAGGAATTTGACCAGTTGATCAAGAGGGTTGCGGTACGCTCGCTGCGGATAGGTACCGCTAGGACCCGACGTTGCGATTATTTGATCCGTCACGTAGCAAAGATCTAGCCCAGCTTCTGGATGTCGGGAGCGCGGGCCTGCGACGATTTGGCGGAGGAGAGAGGCCATTCTACCGATGATATGGGTTATATTATCGGGGCCGGTATGGGTATTGGAGCGCAATTCGAGGTATGAGCATTCTTATTTATTATTTATGGTGGAAGAAGTTTTTGAGATATGATATACTGTTTCATACAAGCATGTCCCTGAATTCAGGAGAAATCAATGACGTCGGGCGGGCGATTGAGGGGAGTACTAGCGCTGCGTTCAGTTGTGGCTGTGCAAAAAGATCAACAACACCGCAGGTGGCCGCAAAATTAAGTTATAACCTAATTTGTATATTAGAGATGGATAGAAAAGTTGTAGTGAGTTCGAAAATAAATTTCTCCCTCCCTGATATCTCGGTCTTTAATTGTGTCTCGGCGGAGCAATCCAGGACCTACTAATAGTCCCTATTATATTGACTATTCCATATCCCGATGCGGTTTGTACTTAACCCTATCCTTCAACACACCCTCACGAATAAGCATAGAGCAGACGAAATAGCGAACAGGGAATAGCCTTTGTTGTGCACCATCATACTGTACCTGGTAGAGTAGGAAACCATTACCTAGCTATCTTGCTCGCTGGTTAGCCATACCGCGAGAAGCTATGGCCTGCAGGATCGAAATTTGCCCCAGCCAAAAGTCTGCATATCTTTCTGCGAGAATATGCACGTCTGTGGGTCGTGAGTAGGATTAAACTATAGACAGTCTGTGGGATTGCTAGTGAAGTCAAACGTCTAGCCTAGATAGGAAATTGGAGAACCTTGGGAATTGTAATTGTGTATAACGATACTTGGTATTAAGAGTATTAGAGGTGTCTTAAGAATGGTATAGAGCGCCAACGCTATGCTGCACAACGAACGCCACTCACCCCGGACCGTGCCGCCTTATAAACTAAAGCTCGTTTCCGCAATCATGGAATAATGGTAGATAGGGAAGGGGTCTCGACAGTTCCACTCAGACTGGCCGGAAGATTTTGTTGTTGGCTTCCAATCTCACTGCTTTCCACTTCCGCTACCAGGCTATCCTTAACCATGGACGCCTCGGCAGGGGTCAATTCGCTGTCCAGGTCCAAAACTGTTCTTCCACAGCCCATTGACTTCTGGGCACTTTTGTTACCACCAAAACTCCCAAAACATGTGTCTGTATCCCAATCTTCATCAGCACGAATTTCAGGAGAGACCTGTCTACCAGCTCTCTCCATATCCTCCAAGGCGTCAATTATGTACTGGTTGAGGGATAGAAGGCGGAATTGTAAATTCTCCAGTATGCAACGCTCTGTAAAATTTACCTGTTCGCATGACCAGAAGCCTCTGCCCCAATTACCGGCGTATTCTCTCGTAGTTCGCTGTCTATCATCCAAAAATTTCGTAGCTAAAACCAATGCCGCCAGGACGATGAGCTCCGGATGAATGGAGTCAATATGTTGCACCTCCTCCCGTTCTTCGGACAGACTAAACGGAGCAGGCGGATGTGGTGTGATGAGAGGACAACCCTGCCGCCAGGAGAGCGCGAAGCGAGAACTCAGCGAGTCTAGAATGCAGACTGCAAGTGCGATAATCTCGAGCGGTAGGTGGGTTCTCGTGAGTATTGCGTGGACGAGCGGAACGGATGCTACAGTCAGGGAGGTGGCCGATGGTATAAGATTTGTGAGGTGGGTTGCTGGGCCTGCGTGCGCAATATATGTTATTAGCCTGAGTTCAATACCGGCCGGGGGATCTGGAGAGCTACATACCGAGGAGATCATGGTCTAGCGTTTCTCCAAGAAATAGCAAGTTTCCTGGGGCTGGAGGGCAGCTCGAGTTTGAGTGGGAGGATGGCGGTGGGGTAGGTAGATTTGAGAGGGGGACATAGGTCTTGAAGAAGTAAGATTCATCGAACGACGAGGTCGAAGAACTTCGCGATCGTGAAGTCATTGGTGGGGTCATGAGATCGTCCATAACTGCGTAGAGTGGTTCTGAGGTATCGAGGTGTTGTGCCAGGCGGTGGTGTTGACTTTATATGGGCGCTGGATAGGGGGAGGTTGCGGGGCAGAAGGCCATGATCTTAAGTTGTCTTTGAGATATGGAGGAGCCAGGACTTCTTTATCAACCTTTCTCGAACAGGAGCACCATCAGACAGGTCCAATTCTCCATCCACGGGGAATATGGGGTCGGGCACCGCGGGTATTCGTTCCCAAGGGTCTAGAAGGCCGGGAGCTGTAGATATGGATATTATTGCGAGTAGGCTTGAAGCACGACAGTCGATCTGTAAAACATCTCTTGCCGCATACAAGGACTGTTCTTATTAGGAACCCTTTCCTCCAGCGCTGAGCTAGGCCAGGCTATATAGAGGACGGAGTAGGAGGATGGTTGTCTGGACACAGTGGGCATCGCTGGGGGCGGTCTGCAGCGCAGTGGAGAAGCCGAGCGGAGCGGTGGCTTTGACTAGCACTGGCATGTTGACATGTTTGGAGCCACAAATTCACAATCAGTTATTCGCTGGTGAATCAGTTCCATGCCAATTGTCGGCAGCCTCAATGCGGCTGACAGGCCTCGCTCGCACTTCTCGAGGGGTTTAAAATGTCTAAGAATCTGCCTTGGGGGTTCTGCGGCTGTATCGCCCATCAGTCCAGTTCCCTCCCGTATGCAAGTTCCCGGAACGATGCACTTACTCGAGTCCTACCATACAGCATAGCAATCATGCTCGTGCTACGAGTCCCCAGGAGTCAGTACTCGTATGGGCAACCACCTACAGTAGCATACCCCGTTTGTCGTGGCTGCTGATGAATATCGGAAGATGCACTGGCGATGATGCTATGCTTCCCAGATCGGCGGTGATCAACAGGAGTTCTATCAGATTGACACGCCAAGAACATCGACGTCCCTCCCTGCCTGACTTACTGATGCATAACTAGAACTATCCGGGCTGGGGCGGGGTCCGTCGGCATTAGGGCAATTAAATGTACCAAGCACGGAGTAATGCATGCGAATATTCACTGGCACGAGTCAAGCACCTCATGTTTTCTTGTGATATACATTACCTAAGCTAGGTACTCGTACGTATACTGTATGTACGCAGTAACCATATCCCATATTCATACTTCGTATTCCCTATGCGCTGCCAGTGAGAGACGACTGCTGATGACGTGGATGTCGTATGTTTGTCCCTTGCGTCCCCACAGATCATGATCGACTGCCGAGGATAGAAAACCCTGTCATGATCGGATGCTACCAATGTACGAAGTACGGTTCGTGTCTATTTAAGGAAACTCAGAGTACACCCGCTGTTCAACGATGCGGACGGAAGAGATGGATATAGCTTGTTAGGTGTTTTAATAGGCTTGATGTGGTTAATGCTTCCTTTATCTACGGCCAGCCCAGTAAGGGCGACTTTTCAAGAAGTAGAAATAAGGAACTCGCCTTGCTTTAAACAATCCTACATAGGTAGCTACGAATACATCATACAATTATATATATTCGGTTAACTCGACTAATTCGGGTCTAGGTGTCTCTATATTACATTTTATATCTACCAAGCTGGAGTCATCATCCGTATTTCCGGGCCCGAGGTTTCTCGGATTTCGGTTGCAACCCACCGTCGTGCTCAAATGGTTGAATATGGCCAAGTGCTGAGGATCCAAGAAACTGCGAGCACCAAAATGTCCCAGGGCTCTATATGGCTAGCTGATATGCCATTTAATCAGATCGTCTTGGCTCTGGGCGATTCTCCAGGATTGGGGTCATGGACCTTTGCATAACTAGAATATTGCGGACAAGTGTCAAGTAAGATAGAAGTGATCACCTTCTCCTTTCTTCCCCACGACCCCCAATCTCATCTTCCTTCTGAATCTCGCCTCCCTCTCCTTACTCTCCCTCTCCTCCCTGTTCTTCTTCTTGCGCTCATACACGGCCCGTACGCATCGCCGGGTTTTTTCTTGGCCTTCCGCGAAGTTGGCTTTTGCAAGAGCAACAACTTGATCAACCTGATCCGATGTGTAGATAAAATTCCACTAGATGATCCGAGATTTAGCATTTAGCATTAAAGCCAATTTGGGGGGGGTTTAGGAAAATGGGGTACAGGGCCGCTTTGAGTTAATTATGAAGGAAGTATCAAATGTGACGGAAAAACGCAAGGTATTGGAGGAGAGCAACGACTTACAGTGCTCATGTAATCACTTGTTTCTGGATCAACCCCCTCTACCTTTGGATTACTCAAAAGAGGGAAATAAACAACCGAAATCCCCGCATTGGGCTCCATTAACTGCCAGTCTTCCTCGACGGCTTTGGATGGGACGTCGTCTGTGGTAGATGAGCGCTCTTCCGTGGTGCCAACCCATACAGTGCAATATCCAAGATCGCTCGGGCCCTTCTTACTATCTGAAGTGGTTTCTTTTGATTGCCCCCCCGGATGCTGATTCTGGTCCTGTTTGGCCTCTTCTAGTTTGGATTGAGCCTCGGCTGCAGTGCTTGGTTCTGCTTCGTCTAGTTGTCTGCCAGTTTCCTCTGGCGAATCTGTCGGTTTAGGCCAACCAGCTCCAAGAGGCCATCCCTTAATATCTCGCTGACGTGCATAGCCGGACGCCACCGAGAGCCAATTTTCAGTCCTAATATCAGCAGAGGCGTCAAACGCAATTAAGATGTCGACGTCTCGGCCTGGGCGGAGAAGTGGATAAATAGGCAAGTTGTTCGACATCCCTGCATCCATAAGCTGCAAGTGTGTGCACTTGTAGAGACTTTCTGGAGTCGTTTTTGGCAGGCGTCCTTCCATACCGTATGTAAAGTTGGGAATAGATGCAGGATCTATTGGGTGCACTTTACTGAGATCCTCATTTCTCCCCTCAATCATCTCATCAAGGCCCCCAAAACCAATAACCCCTTTAAGTAGTGGCTTAACCTCTTTATAGTAGTGAGACAAAGTGGCGCAAAAGGCACTCCCAAATATTCCCAGCAGTAGTGGTAGGCGGACCTCTGGAACATGATAGCCAGTTTCATCGGTGACATTCTTTCCATCCTTAAACTTACGCCCAATGGCCCAGGTCGGTATTCCCGCAGAAAATTCTTCGCAAAAGAACTCGTATGGTGTGATCTCCATCCACTGGAAATATGCTTCACGCTTGGCTTTATCTTTGGTTTCGTCGGAAGGGGCGCCTGTTTGCTGTTCCTGCTCCGATTGTTCAATTAATGGTATCTCATGCCGTACAGCAGTATAGATTGGCATTGGATTTTCGCCATGCTTGATGTATTCTCGCTGGTTAGAGATTTTCAAGTCCTTTTCATCCACACCAATCTCGCCTTTGGGTATAAGGAGCCTTGCAGCTAGGAGAAGCCCATAAATATCCACGAGGCCGAAATTAGCGTCCGGGTCTCCTTTCAATTTCTCCACAAACCCACCAAGAAGGAATTTATTCGTTGGGGCCTGGTTAAGCGCTGCTAGGGCAGCAGGCGGATACGCAATATGTATTCCAAGACGATGCTTCAAATGACTAACCATCCTATCTGGCCGCCTTCCGCTGATTGAAGAGTTGTATAGTGCCTGGAACCAACAACTCCCGCTGACGCCGGCTGTATAAGTGACGCAATTGAAGAGCCCAGCCTCGCTAGCTGCTAACATAGAACCTGTGCCAGCAACTAAAGCCCGGAGACCACCGCCTGAGCCGACCATCGCTATCGTTGGAACGTCATCAGGGTGTACCTCTTCCTCTGGGATGCCGAGATATTTCGCTAACGCAGTTGTGGTCACCTTCTTCCGCTTCCCTAGGAAGATTTTCTCCTCGTCACAGAGGTCGGAGGAAACTCTGACAGAAGCAGAAGACGTAATTTCAGGGTTTAAGTAGGGATCATGTGCTTCCTGCCAAATTTCATCGGCCAATGAACCTGGGGCCATCGAGAGTTCTCTCTGGAGCTTCCTGATGTGGTCGGGAAGGGGTTTTGCCCATTCCGGCAGGACAAAATCTACCATTTTATCTGACACGGATCCCCATTGTACATCCGTAATGGAGGAGAATGAAGCAAATTTGGCGGCGAAGCTTCCCCATGCTGTATTAGTCGAAGAAGCTACCTCTGCTTGATTCTCTTGTTGAAATGATAACGCCGAGAGTTGTTCTGCGTTATTTGCGGCAATTGCCTCTTTCTTCTCCTTGGTAGCTTCCCGCTCACATCGCTCCGCGCTGATCTCACTTCGAAGACGAGTGGGTGGTAGAGGCTGAATAGAATCATTTCTGAATAAAATGTAGGTGAGACTCCCCGCCAAAACGGCGGAGGTGGCACCAATCAGAGTAGAATTTGCGGTTGGGATTTTCTGCTTGGGTTTCCCCCGGGTCCTTGTAAATATGGATCGAATATGTTGTTGTTGTTGTTGTTGCTGCTTATCATGACGAACACCTTGTCGCCAAGGTCCAGTGTGAAGTGGTGGCCCTCTGAGCCTTGAAAGCAACATCACGAAGGAAGGGAGCTCCGCCGCAGGTCAATCACGCCTATAGAACATGATAAATGGGTGGCGGGACGAATGGTACCTATGCAAGAGATATGGCTATGGCATGGTTTCGATTGCCAGTAGTTTGGGACGAGCAATTGTTGTAATTTTCGAGTTCGATGATCATTTTGTTCTCCATGTGACGTGTGGCTTTATGGTGGGCTTGTGGCTGTGGTGGCTAGTGTATCCCCCCCCCCAATCCGCCATCCATTGGAATCAGTGACAGTCGGTACGAAGTGCTTTGTACTCTAATAATAATAACCTTGAAGTTATTGGCAGTGGCAGCCAGTGGCAGATCATGTTCATGCCACCTTGGCATACCGGTTGGCTCACGGTTCTTTACTTATTTATCGTGGTATCTCGAGTCTTGGGTACTATGTACGAGTCGATGATGATTATCTGGCCCGCAGCCAAATCAACCTGCGACAACGCAATCCGAGGGCTGTATAAGCATAAATCAAAATGCTCTGGGGCCCGGCGAATCTGCTGTCGCGGCTGCCACGAAGACGTGACATGGCACCGGGTGATAGGAAAAGGAAAGTATTCTAGTATTCTATCATGCCTATGATATAGAGGTTGGTAGGGACGTGACCGCCACACAGCACATTGACTGCAACTACAAGCGCCCAAAGAGACCTAAGGAGGAAAGAATGAAATTGCCGCTCTTGCTCTTTTCCTTCCCCCCCCCCCCCCCCAGACCCTTTCTCTCGTCCTCATCTTCTGTCACTGCACAGCAGCATAGCCCATTACATACCTACGGAAAACGCTCATTATCGTGTTCGTCCCATGATTCGCGAACCAGCCCAAGCTCAAACTTGTCGCAGCTTTCTGCCAAAGGCGGTCTCCGCGCGTGAGGCCTCTTATGGCCTAGCGCAAACCCGGGGTCATCGCCATGTACCAGTATGAGTATCTATCCGAATGGAGTACTTGGCGACAGCAACACAAGATGGCCATATCTCTGGGGTCGAGACACGCTGCGGATGAGGAGGCCCGCGCCGAGGTTGAGGTGCTCAACTCGAGGCTCGAGAAGACTACCCAGTTGACTAAGAAGATTCAATCGTCCCTCGGCCGCCTCGAGTCCAGTGGACGAAGCGTTCAGGATGCCGTCGGGCCCCTTTTTGGCAATACTCAAAAGCTCCAAACTCTGGGCACCAGTATGTTCTTTCGTTCTGGTTGAATCACATCTCCGAATCATGTTCTGACTGTCTGCAGATATCGATGCGGTGCTCTCAGCGATCGATCGGATCAGACAACCCTCAGATATTAAAAGTAATGAGGAAGAAATCATTCGGAAGGGGTCGGTTTCTCTAGAAATGAAGCAGACAAAGCAGTTACTGACTATTGCATAGGCCAGAAGAGGCAGGCCTGGCCGCTTTTCTCAGTTCGATGAAGCGTGTCAATAAAGCGCTCTCAGAGATGCAGCAAACGAACCTCCGATCGAATCAACAAGCGGCCGCCGACCTAGGCAGGCTCCTCAAGTCCGGCAACACGCAATTAGAAGGCCACTTTAAAAGATTACTGCAAGAAGACTCTATGCCGGTCGAGCCGCTACACTATATCACCAAGGACAAACCTTTCCCGGTACTCTCCCAGGATACAACCACTCGCCTAGGGCTCATGAACTCCTTTATAGCTTCATCCACGCGACAGTCTAGTATCTCGGGGGAATCGCCGATAGTACAGGCATATGCAAGCGTCCGCGGTCCATACCTCACATCCACACTACAAAACCTAGCGTTTGCGTCGGTCAACACGGCGAGAAAGCAAACTCCTGATGCTGTCTATAGGCAAGGAACAAACGGTATGGGGACATATGCACGAGGGATGGAAGGGATTTTCCTAGCTGAATACGACAATATATGTTCCTTGTTCTCTCGAGACGAATTCGGCAGGGTCCTAAATTTGACTTGCCAGGGAGCTATCTCAGAGCTTGCAAGAACCCTCCGGGAGCTGAACACACACATCAAAGCCAACCTCACCACCGATTGCTACCTTGCGTACGAAATTATTGAAATTATGTCTAATCTATCATCCAACTTGGATAGTAGGACAGGGGAACTAAAGCCTTCTTTTGCGGCGGCACTCAAACCTATACGGGAAACGGCGAAGTGGTCACTGGGCGAACTGCTGGAGGATACCCGCCGGCGTATAAGCGCCACGGTGAACATTCCACTAGATGCCGCTGCCGTACCTATAACATCCGAGACAATGACCCGGCTGCAGACCATGGCCGATTTCTTACGTCCTATCTCGAGCATCATGATCTCCTTAGGTGATGGGGGCTGGAAGTCAGGCGGATCCAGTAACGCTTCTTCGGATCAAATTCCCAGTCTCAGCTCCTTCGATATCGGAGCGGATGGCAAACAGATCTTTGCGCATTATAGTATGGATACCATTGACACACTCCTCAATACACTCGAACAAAAGGCCAAATCGACCCTGCAGAAAACAAAGTCCACCATCGGTGTCTTCATCGCCAATAACGCTACTATCGTCGATCGCATGATTCGAAATTCGGACCTCCAACCCTTACTCTCCCCTCGCATGGCGGATGTCGAAAGATGGCGAAAGACCGGTACCCAGATGTATACGATGGCATGGCGCGAACCATCTACCCATCTCCTCGATGTCCAATACACCAACCGGGGTTCACAACGGCCGCCCTCGGGTTCCGCAGCGGCCATTGACTCGGCAGCTATCCTGAAGGGTCTTAGCAGCAAAGACAAGGATGCTATCAAAGATAAATTCCGACTCTTCAACGCTAGCTTTGATGATCTGGTAGCTAAGCATAAGAGTTTGAGCATGGAGAGAGAGGTGCGCGAGACCCTTGCGCGGCAGCTGCAGCAGATGATCGAGCCATTGTACGGTCGATTCTGGGATCGGTATCATGAAGTCGACAAGGGGAAGGGGAAGTATGTCAAGTACGACAAGGGCAGCATCTCGGCGGTGTTCCTGAGCCTTGGATAGTGGTATGGGGGAGGCTGCAAATAGTTTGGGCATTTTACATATGGGCGGACATCGGAGTATGCACTTCTATTAATATGGATGGGATGTGAATGATACCAGGCACAGGCGTTTTAGGTCTCATGTGGAATAATTTATGAGCTAGTATATAATCACAAGCTGGAGCGAAAGTTGCTATCCGCTACCCTTCCTTCCCACTTTCCCTAGTGGAAGTCGTACCGTTTCATGCAATCCAATCGCATAGCGTGAGAGCCTGCGTTGGTGAACTCCGAAAACCCCCAAAAGAAGCCTTTCTTCCCCATGCTATGCCATGAACCTTGGCAGACACCTTGCAAAACCCAATCCCCAGATCCGATTTCCAAGATCCAATTATTCCAAGACCAAGAGCCCATTCCCATTCCCAAATCCCAAATCCCAGAAAACCAACCCAATCCCAAGCGCCTTGGTATAGTAACTCCATCCCATCCCATCCCATCAGCTCAATCCGTCGAGGCGAGCAAAAACCAATGCTTGATAAAAAACAGCGTCATCATTCCCCCGTAAATGGAGCAAGTCCCCCCTCCTCCCTCCCCTTCCCCCGTCCACACATGCAACATTGAAAATGGTCACGGGACGTAAAAAATGTAAAGAATGCAAAAAAATTGTAAATGCAGATAGAGTAGGTAGGCGTAAATGAAACAACCGAGGGAGGGCGTGGTATGAAAGTACGGCTATAGACAATCGGTGACGTCACACCAGCCGCAATTCTCGTGCGTGCCGTATTCCTCGGCTTTGCAGCAGTAGCCACAGCAGTGGTTGGTGAGAGGTTTTGGGGTGGTGACGGCCATTGCTGGTGTTGGTGTTGGTGCTAGTGTTGTGGAGGGAGTAGTGAGATAGTAAGGTAGTGAGGTAGTGGGGTAGTGTGGGTAGTAAGTAGGCTGGAGGCAAATATGCAATGTGGAATTGCTATGAGTGCAATAAGGTATGCAATGAGGACAGCTCTCTGATCTTTGTTGAAGATGAGGAGAGAATATCTATTATTTGCTGGCGTTGGCGGGAGGTGTGGGTTATGAAGGATGATATTTATGTGTTTGTAGTCTGGTAAGGTAGTGGGGATTGGGGCGACGCTTGTGGTGGTTCGCTGGTTGCTAGTGTGTTGCAACTTGTAAGAGTAAAGTTAAAGTAAAGTAATTGGGGCCGGTGTGTGTTCTCTACTTTGCTGGGGAGAAGTAGAAGGATCCCAAGACCTCTCCGATGGTCTCTATATATACCCATTCCCAACCCAACCCAACCCGACCCAACCGTGACTCGTCGTTCGCTATTTCATCATCATGCTGCTGCTGGCTGCTGCTGCTGGCTGGTGGCCCTTTTGAGTTTCGTGGGACCGGGACCCGAACACCGAAATATGTGCATAGTATGATACAGAGTTTCCCAATCAAAGTATGGCATGGTTCCCCCCAATCGCCCGTTCATCAGCTGGTCACCGGCGACAAGGCTCCACCTGCACGGATTGTTGGTTGAGCGGTGTCTCGCTGTCGTTCACTGCCTGGCTGATCTCACCGATGCGCTGCGCTGCGCTGCGAGGCGATGCGATGCGATGTACGATGGGGGCTTTAGGGGGCTCTAGGGGGTTTTAGTTTGGGGGGAGGGGCCCTATCATATCTGGCTGCGGGCGACGAAACGAGTCAACGACAAACAAACACACGGTACCGGCACCGCGCCCAACGTGCGCTGCCTGTGACAGGTACCTTACCTAGTGTCTACCGTCAACCATCTCCCGTCTGCGGAGCAGTGAGTGGTACAGACCGTACGAGGTAGTGGGATGCAGGCCGGCGGCGGCGAGCGGTGTAGAGTTGAGTGGGAGACTTGGGTGAGAGTGAGCGTGAGCGTGAGCGTCATGGAACGGGGCGGAGAGCAGCGGAGGGATCTCAGTGAATGGATGCAGAGTGCGAGTGCGAGTCGTACCACGCCAGATACCAACCATCACGATCCAGAGCCATCCAGTGGTGGAAGCGGAAATGAGAATGAGAATGAGAGTGAGGCTGTCCGGTATAGGCGCCTACGAGTCCTGCGACGAGTGGTGAGTCTGTGGAGGGTCTGCAGTCTGCTGAGTACGACTTCATATGGTACAGACTGCATACGGCGCGTACTAAAAGGGGGGGGGAGGGGAGAGGGGAGAGGGGAAGGGAAAGGACCCCTACGAGTAACGCTATACAGCAGCTCCTGTATTGCAGTATTGCAGTATTATTGCTGTCTTGCTGTACTACTCCCGGTATACTCGTACTGTACCTTGGGGTAAAGGCAGTGAGTGTACAGTACAGTACAGTGCAGTCCAGTAGAGGACAGTGCACTCAGTCCCTCAGTCCCCCCTCACTCACCACAATTTCTATTTCTCGTACTGACAAAGTACGTAGTGCCAACCACCACCACCACCATCATCACCACCACCAATGCCACCAAACGCCCCCACGCTGCCAGCCCTGTGGCCCACTCCTCTGGAGTCCTGGGTCCTGGGTCCTGGGGCCACAGGGAATACCAGGGAATACCAGGGGATACCAGAATTACCAGAATTACCACAATTAGCTCACACAAGAACAGAATCGCCATTCAGCGGGGGCCGGACCGATGGGGAGTTTCATGTCCTGATTGGGGGAGGAGATCAGTCCATCGTCTGGAGACTGTAATATACATACAATGTACATACATGTACCATTCACGATTGATTGCCGTTGCCCGGGAGAAACCATACCATACTATTCCATACCATGCCAGACCGCCAGGACAGTCCGAGTCAGCATTATCAAGAAAAGAGTCGCATCCTCCACAGAGTCATAGTCGTCGTCATCGTCATCATATCATATCATCATCATCGCTATTATCACCATCATCCCGATCAAACAGAGCGCAGTGCAGTGCAGAGTACCACTACGGCCTTACGTACGAAGCAGGCAGAAGCACCGCTGGCCACGTGCATCAGTTTTCCCCTCCTCCTTCCAATGTTTCCATGCATCACACTGCGCCCGGCCCTGCGCCGCCCCTCTTCCTGCTTCTGCTCTGTACTACATACATATACATTATTATACATACTGCTGCTGTACCACGATGCAGACACCGATGCAGACACCGATCCAGATGCAGATGCAGACGCAGACGCAGATGCAGATGGAAGCCCCAGATGGAAGACGCAGACCCTTCTCAACTCCCGAAGTACAGTACTTGGATCACTTTTGATGTACCTGCAAAGTCTATCTGCACAGTTACAGTACAAACCGTGCTGCATGCTTCCGAGCTGAGGGGAAAGGGAAGGGCCCTTTCTTGGCTCGCTCGACTCGACTCTTCCCTCGAAGGGATCCCCTCTGCCCCCTCCGGATACAGCGGATGCTTAATAAAAGTTGGATAGATGAGGTGCGACGAGGGGAGAGGAGGTGCAACCTCGAGCTGCTTCACCGTCGGAATAATGGGGATAATTATTAATGACATGATGGTGCCATCCTGACTCCTTCCGCTGGTACTGGACAACATCGACCACGTGGCTGCCTCCACGTATCATCGGTATCATATCATATCCTATCGCATCGTATCGTACAGTGCCATCGGGTTCGCCGTTCACACTACGAAAGTGCCACCAAGTACTCACTCGTCTCCAATCTCAGGTACGGAGGGTGGACGACGGAGGAAGAGCAGACTACGGTACCTATACGGAGGCACGGTACCAAATACGAAGTCAAGTACTACTGGCATCGCTACCTGAGTGGATGGATAATTCCCAGGACCGGAGTACTCCATCGAGGGGCGGTCGACGGCTTAGTCCTAGGCGCGAGTGTTCCACACTCCTCGCCCCGTCATATGTGCTTTTTCCAGAATCCTGTATGCTTACATACGCTGCGCCCGGCTACAGGGGCGGTCTGCTCGCTGGGAAAACGTCCAGACCGAGTCCACTTCACCTGTCCGTGCTTCGCCATCTGAGCTTGATGCAACTGCATTCCAGCTTTTCCGTGGGCGAATATGCACGCTGTACGCCGTGTTGTCAGCTGGATGAGTACGAACTCCGGAGCCGCAGTAGCGGTCCCCAAGATGTACTGCGGGATGCTACGATGCCTATCGGCCAGCCAGCCCCAAACGATGGAGGTGTCTCGAGGCCCCTCGAAGAAGCTTCGAGAGGACGGCTTGAGTTCATACCTGCTCCCATTTTCTCTCTCTGCTATACCCTCCTCCTGCGGTGCTCCTCTCTTCTTGCTTCTCGATATTATCTGATGGCTCGTTCTCCGCATCCGAACATTCAGCCTCTCAACTCGAGGTTTTCCCATCCGTTTTCCTTAGCAAACAATCTCCTGGTCTACAGTTGCTACAAGGCAAGAGAAGATCAGGTCCTAGCGAGATAAGCTTGTTTAATTCAGTCGACGCTAACCGTAAGTACAAGCCACTGTCGATGCAGTACAGGTCAACGAGAAGAGATATCTGGCGGTAAGTGAGATTTAGTTGGGGAAATTGTTGGCATATGATTCATACAGCTAAATCACGTATCGACCTGATGCAAAACCTGTTTCTATACCTAGGTAGGTATACATTCAATCAATCCTAGGGGACCAGTTCTCCAACCGAGTGAAGCTGCCTCCCAAAGAACGCTACACATTATAAGAGTGTAGAACTCCTACATTCCACAACGAGATTAGGACCCAAAGTGCTTCCTATACCGCTGTCTAGCATCAGTGTAGCACCGTTTGGTCCAGAACCTCCCCAGGCAGCTCGCAGAAAAGCAGAGATAGCTATTTAGTAGATACCGAAAAGCCTGGAGTACTTATCCTCGACTCCATAGCCGCCAGAATAACCAATCTTGCAGATGTATAAACATTTCCGCGAAACATCCAAGGAGCGACTGCACGCACTGCCATTCGATTTGGAGGCGTCGTTCTAAAAGGCAAGAGAGAGGCTTCGACCGCGTAACCAAACTGATAGGATCAGATAATCTACAAGGGCAATAAAATATTATGGGTGTTTCACAAGGATCCGTCGCCCGCAACGACAAGGAGTTGGTTGACGCCATCATTGAGCATTCAAAGGCCATGATGACGCCCTCGTGGTGGTTGATTTGGCCACGGCCGCACGACGGGAGTGGGTTGGTATTAGTGACTTGACAACGGCTGCCCCGATCACATGGACGATTAGGAATGCGGTGAATTAGATTCGCCCCAGTTCGAACTACAACATGGGGTCGATAAACTAAAAGTAGAGACTGGACGTTTGATCTAGTTAAGATTATCGAGACGTAGACAAGCTAAGTGTTGTTAAAGGAGACCCATGGTTTCTCTCTGACCAGCTCCGAACCGGCGGACGTGTCTATTATTAGATTACAGAGCAGAGCTTCCACAATGGAACGCCTTAACTCAAGAATGTCAACTATAAGATGCAGGTTTCGGTGTGAGAAGCTTGAAGCGATGGCTTCAAAAATCCTGCTGGCACGAACAAGTCCCACTTGATAGCTACCATCCTACCTACCTAGGTAGGTAGGCAAAAACCCTTCTTATTTCGTGCCAGGACTCCGGTCGATTATGGATGTATTTCTCTCCAACTAGCGTCCGTGGAATAGGATAACCTGCGAAGGGAGAAATGCAGTGGTTTCGTATCACTAAAAGAAAGTTACAATCTAATGGAATTTCAAAATATCCCATATCTCTTGACAACTCGCACAAGACTTCATCACTGTATTGGGCGTTGCCTGCAAGAACGAAGTTGACTCTGCGCCTCCTGCATTGCCCCACTAGCCTCGGGCCCTAACCTTAATGGGCCCCGCCTTTCTAAACCTCAACAACTAACCCAACAACCACCCACCACAACAACTAGAAATCCACAAGTCAGTATAACCACTATTCCAGCCCATAATATAATACTATACGTACTGCGGCTGACCACAACATTTCTGGAATCCAGAACCACGTAACGAACATCCCACCACCATCATGTCAACATTTGAAACCGCAGTCGCCGACTCGAAGAAGCTTACTTCCAAGCCCAGCAATGACGATCTACTAGAGCTCTACGGTATACCGCCCTCGGATGCGTCGGAAAACTAAAACATGACAGTTGTGCTGATGGTCCACATATAGGGCTGTACAAGGTTGCGACCGGTGAGGATATCACCAAGGCGGATAACCCAGGCACCTTCGATCTCAAGGTGCGTTTGATTGCGGTCTACACTTAATACAAGGAGGAAGTTTCTGATAGCTTTCGTTTTACAGGGAAAGGCAAAGAAGAGGGCGTGGCAGGCGGTTGTTGATGAGGGTATCGATGCCGAGACTGCGAAGGCACGATATGTCAAGTTGGTTGAGAGCATGAAGACCAAGTACGGCTACGACGCGGACAAGTCTCCTGAGGCCGTTGGCGGTGCTTAAGGGATGGATAAGGAATTCCATACCGCTAGTCCAGTTACTTGATTTGGTAGCGCGGTAGATACCTCTGGCGCGGCAATATTTCATGGGGGTAGAGTAGATTTGTATGCATGGCATGGAAGCATCACGGCTTTAGGAATCTTATTCTTCAAAGCTATATCTCCAGCAATTTCTAAAATATCGTGGCAAGTTAAGCATAGTGATACAGAGGTTGAAGGATGTCAAGCTTCGCCAGGATTGAATTCCTACTTAGTTCCTCCATGTCTCCCCCTTCCACTATAGTCTCACGTCAGCATATCCATCCTAGTCGAACGAGCAAGGAAAAGCGAGCAAGTAAGTCTCACGGGTGTGAAAACGAAGTTGGGAGAGGAGAGAAAATTAATAGTCTGAGAGGAGCTTGCCTACGTCTGGTTTAGTGTATGATGCAGTCGCACACCACGGCTCGTCGTCTTCCCCGTACTTGAGGAGAGGGAGGTCATATGGAATCCGCGCCCCAACAACAATGTGGCTGGCCACATCTGACTCGGCTTTGGGCATATCGGTCTTGAAGGTAGGAACCATAGTAGCCCCCTCCCCAAACAGCTCGGGCCACACCAAAACCCCGATTTCGTAGCTACATATTCGAACCTTCCCCGAAGCATTTATCGGGTCTCCCCATGCTTGCTTTGACATGTTTGCGGAAGTCACAAGCATCCAGTCAATCGACGACCGGGTTTTGTCTGCATAGCGAACATAAGTCTTAATATGGGGGGCAGCTCTTTTTCGTCCAGCATCCGAGATATCCTCAGAGGTTGCTAGTAATCATCAGCTTTTCCCTCTCGAAATTTTAGATCTGTAACAGATGAAAAGTGCATACCGGTATCGTTTTGACCAGCATCTCTAGCCCAGTGATATAATAATGGTTTCAGATATTGGAGCTGTTTTGCTTGAGCAGCGGATAGTATTTTAAGATGTATGGCACTGCCCGAGCGGTATCCATTGAGACTTCTCCGAATTTCATCAGGGGTCGGAAAGACAATATGAAATTTGGACTTGGATTTGTTTCCGTTCTTTGAGGTATTGAGAGTTGCAAAGAGAATATTATCGAGCCATTTGTCGGTTGGCCCAAGAGTTCCTATTGAAGAGATCTGTACGACGATTTCTGGCTCGTTTCCTTTCACAGGTACCGAGCTCAAAGCGGTTCTCAACCCAGGCCAACCCCAGGTAGTCTCCGAATCTGTTTCAATACCTTGTCTAGCAGGAACGCTGGCTACCAATGCCGCACGAACCGTTGAAAAGTCATACTTTGAAAGTTGTTGGATCAAAGGTTTGCAGATTGTTCGTCTACCATCATACGCTTTCAAGTAGTTGAGAAGGTCAGTCTTGAATTTACATCCACTGCCCATCTCACTTGATACACTCTCGGGAGGAGCGTTGCTAGGGAGTTCTGGCAAAATTGGTGATTTCCAGATTGCCTGCGTCATGTTGGTCCAATCAAAAGGAATCATATTGGCAGTATGAATAATGACTTGTGCACACGCATCATGGCGTAGGAGAATAAGCATCTTGCATCCCAGGTCAGTTGAACTGCCAACTCTCACTCACTTCGAGACTTGAAACTATACCTTTGAATGATGAGTTCCAAACATCTCGGGCATGTAGGCGGTATGGAGAGTTATATTTGCGTACTTGGCAGCTTGCAACTGACAAACCATGTCAACCAACGGCAACAGAAAGCAAGCCCATCCCAAGAAATGTGTGGTAAGAGACCTTCGAAAACTAAAGGGGCTCAACAAGCTAGAAGAGCACCTACCTGCAAGGCTTGACGAGAGGGATCTTCTGATTTCCAGAATCCATGGACCACGTGAACCTTGACCAGATCTCTCACATCATTGTCAAATGCTTCCATGAGAAAATCAAGATCATGCAGATAATTGAACTCCCAGCATTCCGCAATGAGCGGGTCACCAAGAATATCTTTGAGAGAGACCGCATCAACATTGGACGATGCAGGAAGATCGCGCACCCAGGTAAGCTGGAAAGGGGACGGAATGACCTTTGGAAGTTGGGGGACTGGAGGCCGACGTGCCGGGGGCGGAGATATCGAGCTGGCCAGACTCATAGGTAAGTTTCTGTCTTTGTGGTCAGTATCATAGTCGTCGCCACTGCTTAATCTTCGTCTCTTCCGAGGAGGCTCCTCATGCGTGTCCTCCATCACTGCGGTGGTGGTGGGCTGGTAATGGATAAGCAGAAAGAACTCCCGAAGGCGCTATTCTGAAGCTGTTTTGATATGTCTCCGTTAGGATCGTAGTAATCGTACAGCCTAGGTAGGTATGAAGTAATAAGTGGTTGAGGTCAAGGTAGAAGCCTCAAGCCTCAAGGTCACTGGTATTCCTCACCTCGCTTACTTAATCTCGAGCTAGTCGACGGCGGGTGGCTTAGGTGGTAGCGGGCGCTGACTCAGCAGGGACCTTGGCCTTTTCCAGTCCTCAGGGGTTACATAAAGGAAAGAAGCTAGTCTACTTGAAGTCTAGCGTTGCCAATATGGCGATCCTGTTCTAATTGAGCGTCTTGGAGCAATGGTGTCGGATACAACACGCCTGGACTCGCATTCACTCTTTACTCCTTCCAGCGGATGAGCAGCATTTTGTGAGGCCTGGTTCACCATTTCTTACAGCTTCAACGGCATTGCTCAATTCTGCCGATTCGAAACCCCGGCGACTGCTACCTCTCTCCTTTCCCTGACGGCGTTCTCGCCGGCTTAAAGTCGTAGGAGAACGGCACCGCCACCAGGACTCCATCAAGATGCGGCTCCTTGCGCTCCCGATCCTTTGTGCCCTTTTCGCTTCTGTGGTAACAGCAGAGTCATCCGAGCCAAAACCAAACAGCGATATATCTGAGAAGGGTTCCACAGATGTTCCGGAGCCTACAATTTTTAATGGAATCGAAGTACCACCTTTGCCGGAAATAGCTGGAGGCGCGTTCGATTCTACAGTGAAGGACGGCTACTGGTTTGTAAAACATCACTCGTCAGTTATCCTCATGCGCGAGCAGCTGGACAAAATCATAGTGGTAGCTGCTAACCTAGCTTAGACCTTACTGCCCACATTGCTTAAAAATCGCGCCTATCTGGCAAACACTGTACGAGTTTTACTTGACCTCGAAACCTGTGCCCGCTGGCTCCTCCGAAGATAGCGCATCGACTTCTTTGAACACATTCCCCGCTTATTACAATTTCCACTTTGGGTCTCTCGATTGTTCTGCTTTTGGAGACGCGTGTGGAGAACACGACGTGAAGAACTGGCCTACTTTCATTCTATATAAGGATGGAAAGGAAGTGAAGAGAATGTCGGGGCCCGTAAGGGCCGAGGCTATGAAAGCTTTGAGTGACTTCGTTGAGGATACACTCGAAACCATCAGACCTGGTTCCCGGCCAATTGGTGGGCCTGAGCTGCCAAAGGCTGGAGCTAAGGGTAGCAGTGATTTACAGGCTCCGGCATCTGCCCCGCCCAAAGGATCCAAGAAGGGCAGCAAGGGCAAATCGATGTCACCGTCAATCAGCACCGATGTTTCGCAGACGAAGACGAAATCACCAGCGCACAGAGCCACGCCTGTAAAAAAGAAGCCAGCAAAGCCAGCCTCTACCCCAAATCCGCTTGGCGCATCTGTGCCTTTCACTGCAGAGAGCTTCCAGAATTCTGTCACCATGACGCAAGACCCTTGGTTAATAAAGTTCTACGCACCCTGGTGTGGCCATTGCCAGGGTATGGCTCCCAACTGGATCCAACTTGCGAAGGAAATGAAAGGTAGACTGAATATTGGCGAGGTCAATTGTGATGTCGAGACGAGACTGTGCAAAGACGTCCGGGTAAGGGGATACCCATCTATTTTGTTCTTCCGAGGCGGCGAACGCGTTGAGTATGATGGCTTGAGAGGATTGGGTGACTTCGTGTCATACGCCAATAAAGCTATTGATGTCGGGGATGGGGTTAGAGATGTTGACGCTGAAGAGTTCGAAGAATTGGAAGAGAGCGAGGAAGTCATCTTTGTTTATTTCTACGATCACGCCACCACGAGCGAGGATTTTGCGGCCCTAGAAAGGTTGACATTGAGCTTGATTGGCCACGCAAAGTTAGTCAAGACGAAGGATCAAGCTCTTGTCGACCGATTCAAGATCACGACCTGGCCCAGAATGTTGGTCTCACGAGACGGCCGCCCCACGTATTATACCGGTCTAACGCCCCAAGAAATGCGTGACTTCCGACGAGTCCTCCACTGGATGCAGTCCGTGTGGCTTCCAATCGTCCCAGAGCTAACAGCCACTAACTCGAGAGAAATTATGAACGGAAAGTTGGTGGTGCTTGGTATCCTGACCCGTGAACGGCCGGACGAGTTTTTAATGGCCAAGAAAGAAATCAAGAGTGCTGCTTTGGAATGGATGGATAGACAGACTGCGGCATTCCAACGTGAGCGTCAAGAATTAAGAGATGCAAAGCAGTTGAGAATCGAAGAAGCGGAAGACCGTAATGACCAGCGAGCTTTGCGGGCGGCCAAGAGTATCAGAATCAATATGGATCAATCCCAGCAAAAGGAAGTCGGTTTTGCCTGGGTCGATGGGGTGTTCTGGGAGAGATGGATACGAACAACGTATGGAATTGAAGTGGCCAAGGATGGTGAGAAAGTCATCATCAACGATGAAGATGTGAGTTCCTATCCCTATCCCGAGAAAATTTCCAGGCTAACAATAAAAGAACCGCCGGTATTGGGATACAACTATCAGTGGCAATTTCATCATGCCATCAAGAACTTCAATTCTTGAAACTATCGGCAAAGTTGTTCACTCGCCTCCAAAAATCAAGGCCAAAACTACAGTTTCGAGCTTTGAGAAGCTATTCTTTGATATCCGAGGGGCTATATCCGGACATCCTTTCTTATCGATCGGGATTTTCGCGGGTATTGTGCTTGGTGCGATGACCTGGGGACGCGGGCGTATAAGGAAAAGTCGAGGCGGCTTCTTCAAACTGGATGAGAAAGATGGTCTACTGGGCGGGAATAGCAATGGAAAGGTGGATTAGTAAACGAATTATAATTGTATTATAGCGGGTTCGGTCTCCTTGGTTGTCAAATGCATTGGATTTTTCATGATATAAGATAATACTTATGAACTCTGCTACGGCCGCTCTACGTTTATGTAAAGGCTTCAATTGCAAACTCTGGCCTTGCCTATTAATACTAGTATTGCTTTGACTGACCGAACCCCGTACCAGTCTTCTCATCGCCCCCAGCGATGCAACAACGTAAAGACCCCACCGCTTCCTGCTACAACACACCAGTTCCCGGTATTACTCCATGCCAAACTTCGTCCTGTGAAGCTCACCCCCCTAACGATCTCTTCTTTATGAGCAATAAGCGCTTCAAGAACATCCCCCATCTCGTACTTCCCCGCCCAGTTCTTGAGACTCTTATCCCAATCAACTTTTCCTTTCTCCTTATCCCCCGTCAGAACATCGCTACCAGTCTGGCGACTGCTGCATGACTCTGTGGGACTATTTGCCCTCTGTTTTGATATCTGAGCGGGAGTGCCATGCATCGAAGACTGATTCCGGTGCTGAAATGGGTTCAGGAATGGTGGCCGGGTGGCAGTTTGTGTGAGATCTGCTCCTGAGCTTAGCAGATCGTGATATGCCTCAAGACGACCCAGGTCCCAGAACAGGGCTTTGGAGGTCGCATTACAGAAGGAGAGAACGGGGTTGTGGGTGCTATCGCCGGGATAAAGGGAGAAGCGGGTGAATGTGATAGCGCTCTCTGTAGTTTTTGGGGTGTCGAATTGAAGAAGGCGGGTGTATTGGTTGGAGGATCCGCTGGTGGAGAGGGTTGATGACGAGAAGGCTGATCGTGTTTCCCGCTGTGTATCATGCGGCGTGGGAGCAGAATCAGGTGATGGTGGGGTATTTTTGGAGTTGAAGTTGGTGATGGACCAGAGGACTATGCATTCTTCCACGGCGACTTTAGAGAAGATCAAATCTCCGTGGAATGCAACACTATGAAATGTTAGTAGGTAAAATGGAAGGCTAGATCCTCTTACCAGTCTACTATATTATGATGAATTTCCGAAGTAGAGAAATGAGGATAGTGAATGCGGGTAGGTTTGCTGGTGCCGGTATTTTTATCTGGAAACTCGGGCAACGTCCACTACTCATTGTTAGTTAGGAGGGGAGAAAGCACATTTGACGACTTGTTAGGCTTACTAGGTTAATGATGTGATCAGCACCACCTGACAGCAGGTATCGGCCAGTTGAGTGAAATGCCTTTGTACGTCAGAGGGGAAACCTCAGCATCCTATCCTAGAGCTTACTATAGACAAAACCGCTTCGCGATGGCCGACTCCTTCTAGAATCGCAGCACAAGGCTGGTTTTCATGAGCGGGATCCAGGCTCCATATTCTCACGGTATAATCGAGTGATGCTGATGCTAGAATGGTAGGGTTCAAAGGTGAAATAGCCAGGTCATAAATTTCCTTAAAATGCTTTAGCAAGATAATTCTTTAGATATGGAAGAACTCACCCCTCCATGGCCAGTTAATGTCTATATAATAGTTAGCGCCATGTACTATTAGAAAGAAAGAAAAAAGGATTTCATACTCTCAATAGCTTTCCCGTTAATGCATTGATGATTTTAATATTTGCGTTATGCCCGGCCACACAAAGCAATGGCTCGCCGCTCTTCAAGTCCTTCGTCCATGCGCAAGTGAAAAAGTCTTCTCCGGGCTATATTACACATTAGAAAGAAACCCAATGAGTAGAAAGGAAGCCACACCTCCTTCTCGACTACAAATTGTATGACCTCAGCTTTCGGATTATCATTTCCTCCAGGCGGCGGAGGTCGGCAGATTAATATCTTCAGCCACATTAGCTCTAAATATAACCATTAGGGATGGGAGCGAGGGCAAGCCTACATGATCCCCGCCCACAACTGCAAAGACGTCGTCCACTCCTGGCTTGGTGTAGGGGTAGAATTTAACACAGTAGAAGTCTATGAGCGGTCAGGCCATTACCATGTGTCCCATCTGGGACTGCTACATACCATGACGAAAGCCCTATAGCGTCCTATCTATTAGGTAACGATCCTGGAATGAGGATATTGCTTGCGACGAGTGGTTGAAGGTAATACCCATAGATCATTTTACTTACGGGTAACTGATGGACTTCTCTTAGAGATGGCAATTCCCACTCGGGCTTGTGCAGTCTTGAGGCCATCTTTAATTTCTTCTGTGCAGTTTCCCCCGTTCTCTGGGGGTTGGCGAAGGCTGTGAACGGCAGAGGAAGGCTGGCCAATAGCGGGATAAGTGGAGCCACCAGATCGACTTTGTATATAGAAGATTGTGTTGTTGTATGCGAACGAAACTGTTGATAAACGGCTGGTCGCCAGTTGAGCGACCTCGGATAGCTGGCGCTGAGCACTTATCGCAAAAACCACTCCTGCATATCTGCGATTCAACATGCAGCCTAGAATATAGGGATCCGCATCAGCAGGTTTTCGTGAGTATGACTATCACCATGTGCAGGGTCGAGATTGTTGGGTCCACGGAGGAGAAAGTCTCCTTATCATTATTGTTATTGTTCCAGGGAAGTAGAGTGGTGCTATTGGACTGGGTCTGGCAGATCCGAAGTGTAAGACGGGGAAGCGAGACGAAGTGGATAACACAACGTGGATCTGCTAAGCCCTGTTGGTCAATTTTGCCCATTCGTCAATTACGCCAAATACCTTTAATATCTTTTAAGGGCGTTTAATATTAAAATCCCGAGAGTAGATAAATAGGTGATTTGACGCGGAAAATTCGCTGACAAATTATAAAAATTTGCATGTGAAATTGACATACGGGGCATCCATTTGACCAATTGGCCAAATTGACTAATAGGGCTTAGCAGATCAAATGCAAGACATACTAAAGTTCGGGATCTACATCAATGCAGCTGGGCGTGTACAACGCCGTTCGCCCGTTCGGCCAACTTTTATCACTGATCACTACGGAAACTAGACAAAGGACTACTACCTACTGTACCTGCGAAGTACTCCGCTTTGGGCTGATGCTACAGTACGCTTATCATGTGCGACGGCAGGGACCTGTTCGGAACACAACAGCCTTCCTTGAGCTAACACAATACCTATGTCCAAGCTTCCACTGGTGGCAGAGGGCTGGAACTCGTCCAAGACTCCAAGGTTAGTATGGCGAGCGGGAGGCCGGCGGACAAAGATATTGCACCAAATGCTGAAAGGTGGCGGAAGGCGCAACATAAAACAAATGCAACCTGCCAATATTCCCTGCGCAATCAAATTTCATCTCTTCTTAATTTCATTTTCTTTCATCATGCACACTTCGCCGGAAGTTCCGAGGTGAAGAAGGCTTTTGAAAGGTGGAAACAGATATATTGCTTTTCTCTTGACAAACTATTTGTCGATAGGATACCAAAGCTGGCTTATTTTCCAGGTGCCAAATAAGCAATTCTACCCACTATTATCACCCCGAAATGGAAGGAGGAGTGGAGAAGCTATGAAGGGACATCTTCAAGGGCGGCTATCTTTAAAGATAGAGTAGCAAGTGCACAAATCAAAACCCAAATTGGAGACCTGCAATCCGGAGGCACATGCGGCCCATTCGATATTCTTCGAACGTCAGAGGCGTATGCCACATGGCATACATGCTGATGCATCCGCTACACCAACCCATAATGGCCTTCAAGCGTCAGAGGCGTATGCCATATGGCGTGCTACGCTGGATTTGGAGAACCAGGACGTTAAAGATACGGGTTGCTTTCTTGTAACGGAAGTGATCTACTGGCAGGGCGAGACAGACCGCCAACTCCATATCCCCCCATGGCTTTCGGCTGGCTGAGATCTGCAGCCGGAACCTAAGGAGCCTTGGTCTTCCTACGAGTATCTTCACATCCTAGACGCTCTACCTCATGGCGGTTTATACTGGGATGCTCCGCGATGCCTCCCATACACCGGCATACAATTCAGCCATTCTAGCCTCCCGTTCTCTGCTTTCACGAGAATGCAATGATGCCTCGGGGATCCCGGCGTCGCTTTGGCCATTGCCCGAGCCTCATAGTACGGGCCAAGATAATTCAACTTCAAAACAAAACCTAGAACGTCGATTGATGTCATGCTCAGACCGGTATCCTTCCTGCGCACTAAGGTACAGCCTTCGGAAGTCCACTCCCATTATGGACCTAAACCAAAACTAAATCTTAAAACATATCAAAGGAGCTTACGAATCGTCGACCAAGACTCCCATACAGACGGAGGAGTACGCATTCATAGGTCTGCAGATCCACAAGCATATTCCCTGCGGTTTCCTTGAAAGTTGTGATGTATCATCTCACCGGAGGACTTTAATGGTACGATTTTACGGTCTGTCCCATGCAATTCAGACCAATATCTTGTTTCGCGAGCTACTCCGTTCTGCTATAAAGTATTTCTCAATTCGGTTTTCCATGTAGAGTTGCTCTCAGTTTCCTGTTAGACTTTGACCGAAAATGATCTGGGTAAATTGAAAATTTCCCTTTATACTAGTGGACAGCGACCCCGTTATGCCCTTTCAAGTTGATTTGAAACGCTGTATCACTTAAGAACTGAGTATCGTTATAAGCTACAGAGTTCAAAATGGAGATGACATTCATCACTATTCACAGTGCGCACCAAACCCTGATCCGCTCTACTAGGATGACTATACAAATTGGTACGTAGCTGACATAGCTATTAGACCTCGGCCGCGATGCAAACATTTTGTTTGCATCCGAGTCTATTGTCGACATTCTAGGCTACCACCCGGATCAGGTAATAGGCAAATCCTGCTTCGATTATTTTCACCCTGATGAAGTTCCTTTTGCTCGGAACGTCCATAGCCGTAGCATAATGATGGACAAGGCGGCTATGCTTCACTATGCCAGAATCCAAGGTCGTGATGGGCAATGGATTGGCTGTGAATGCGTCTTCACTATTGTTTATGAGGTCCTCATTGCATGTACAAGCATTTACCGAGGAGATGCGAAGAACGAGCGTACGGTACCTAGTACTTTACAGTAATAATATATCGTAGTTCAAGCTGACGAAGTATTAGGGCGAGCTGCCGAGGCGCCAGCTGTCCGCCATCTCTTCACCTCATCTCCCAGAGATCCCCGATACCACATGCTAGAACATCTAGCTTCGAAGTTCAGGGCACCTCCTCAACCATCACTCCTTGAGCCCCGTGCGGCTCTCATCCTCAATCGGTTCACGCGTACCTTGACTATTATGTATGCGACAGATGCCATCTCAACGATTGTTGGGCTTACACCGGATCAATTTAAAAACAAGAGCTTCTATGAATGCATTCAGGAGAAATGCCTGTCGGAGGCTATCAGATGCCTGTCAGATGCAAAGTCTAATGATTCAATTGCGTATCTCCGCTTCTGGTATCGCGATCCCCGGGGTGAGGAAGACTTCGAGGAAGAGGCGGACGAAGCTAGCCAGAGCAGTGATTCAGAAGACGAAGGCGCCGAACCCCATGTCTCCATGGATGTTGATACGGCCGCTGCTGCAGAGACTAATAGACCTCTGCAAGGGGCCCCGTTGATGTCTAGCAGTAGAAGCAGCGCTGGCCACGAAGTCAACCGGCAAGCACCACCGCATATTCCAACGACTTTCTCAGAGGCCAATACTGGCATTGGACACGATTCTTCCGACGCCTTCCCCGGCCAATGCCAGCCCCAATCCTCTTTTCTGGTGGGAAGTGGAGCAAAGAGCAGAGGGGTAAGGACCTCCCGAAGGGCGCAGCCTATCGTGGAGCCATTTGAACTCGAGGCAGTTATATCTTGTACTTCAGACGGTTTGGTAGTTGTACTCCGACGTGCACACCCGATCATTCCTCAACCATAATCCGGGATATTCGGTGCACCGTGGGGGCTCAACGCAACTCGGCCCCGTATATACGGCCCGGACACACAAGCCTCGTTTCCTCAACGCCTAAATAGCTCATCATCACAGCTAGGCGGGCTCACAAGGAAAGAATTTATGAGTGCGATACAAGAGGTTGCTGTGTTTGCATGGGGTCTTACTGGAATCAATGGAAATATTGCATCGTATGGCCAAGGAGTTCCTCGGGGGGAAGCTGTAGCTCCCTGGGGGTTGCCGATCTGGGATCCATATGCGGATCCGCCGGCTGGTTTTCTACCGCCTGAAAACCAAGCCGCTCAAAGATGGGCGCATGAGGAAGTCGTAGTAAATGACCCATATCAGCATCCACAACGGAAGCAAAATCCAAGATGCTAGTTTAGTCCTAATCATGCTCTCATGACCTTCACGTTCATGGCATCACTAGCTTACAAGCACGCCAACCAAAACGAGGAGACGTATCATCACTCACCGGGCTTGCGTGACCGTACGCAAGGAAATTACCATTACCACAGGCAGCAGCAGCAGAACCCATATCCGGCGAATCGTTGCTAGAATGCTGATCATTTCGCTGAATAACCAAGTTACGGACTTGCAGAAGGTTTATGATAGGTACGTTTGGGAGTGGGCCGATGGTAGCAAGGGAATATAGTTGATGGCTTGACGCAAGATAGCTTTGAGAAAAGCGGGATACATTATTAACGCAAAATACTTTTATCGTTGAGCATCTTCAAAAGCGTCTTATTAATGTATATGGAGTGGATCCTAATGGAAATGGTTGATTGTCGTTATATAATATAGGGGTAATAAAAGCACGTGACTTGATCATCAATCGATCTAAGCCCAATTTGCAGTAGCGCAGGTACGAGTACAATGATACGGACACTTGGCCGAGCTTGGGCCAGCTGAAGCCGCGCAGCTCGAATTCAAATGAGGAAACCGTGGAATTCCAAGCAACACGACCACGCTCGCCTACACCTATTCCCGCCAACCCAGCGCAAACCAGACAAACCACCTCGGTGCCTCCACAAGGTTAGGATACAGACTTGTAAATTTGTGCTGGCTTGATCAGCTAGCATTCATAACAGAATGGCATCCTCATCGAATCCCTATGAACACTACAACTCTCCCGCGGTCGAGGACGATGATTTGATAGATCCAGACGATGGTTTGTTTCCTCCCGCTCTCCGGCCTCTGCACTTCCAATCCGAAAGCTAACCGCTGCCAGCTAATCTCGATGACCTGGACGATCCGCTGCAACATGCACAAACCCACTCCTCAAGGGCACCCCTCACTGGAAATATGTCCTCGAGCTCTTCCCAACCACTAAACGAATCGTACCTCACGTCCCGTATGCCTGGCGAAGACCGCCGTGCGCCAACCGACACGATCGACGAATCTGTCTGGGACACACTGCGCCGGGATCTTGTAGCTGTCTGGTCCAAAATGCGGGAAGTGCTGTATCCCAAATATCTCTTTGGAGGTTCGATGCTAGAAAACACAACAAGTTTCAGAGGGGCGTATGAGAATATCAGAGGCGGAGGAATCAGCGGTGCGAGAGATGAGATTGTTGGTCTGGCGGGCAGAGCGCTAGATACAGAAAATCTACTCAGTCAGGGAAATATGTCGGAGGGTTTACGGGACTGGGACTTGTGGGGTCCGCTGGTCTTTTGCTTGCTGTTGAGCTTGCTTTTGAGCTTCAACGCCGCTCCGGACCAGAAGAGCTTAGTATTTTCGGGTGTCTTTGCTATGGTGTGGATTGGGGAGGCCGTAGTCACAATGCAGATCAAGCTATTGGGTGGTAATATGTGAGTCAAGACCCTCCCAAAGTCTATATAGATTTGCTAACTCGCGAGATAGCTCCTTTGCCCAAAGTGTGTGCATCATTGGATACACGCTCTTCCCGTTAGTCATCGCAGCCCTCCTCTCAGCCTTCAACCTTCCTACAATCGCGCGAGTACCAGTCTACCTTGTTTTAATCGCCTGGTCCCTAGCAGCAGGTGTCAGTATCCTTGGCGGTAGTGGCGTGGTTAAGAACAGAGTTGGCATTGCGGTATATCCGCTTTTTGTATTCTATCTCGGTTTGGGTTGTTTATGTTTTATTAGCTGAAGGCGGCATGTCTCGGAAAGCCTTTGCCTTTCTGCTTTCTTTTACCGATCAGGTGGTATCTGGCGGGGTAGGCATAAATGGGATGGAGCATGCTGGTGTACTTTCAGCGGCCCTGGCCTTTTTGATATAGAAACGAAAATACCATTTCAATTATCTTCACCCTGTCACAGATTACGCTATTTATGGCATTATCTGCTACGCAACTCCTAACTGGCAGTTGCTACTTGGTTCCAGGCCGCTCTGCGAGCAGTACCTACTGGGACATCATTGGGGAGCTAATAGGTGATACTTCCCATCGCCGTTAAATGTCTTGTCATTGCTGGACTGGTAACCCGTAAACCTAAGATTTCAAGTTACGAAGATGATATTGATCAGAGAAATATTTGGAAATTTAGTAATTGTGAAAATAGAAGAGAACTGCGGGGGAAAAAGAGTGATTTCATTCCCGACTTTAGCGACGAACAACCTATGTGGCATAAGGCCATACGCACTTAGCCCCTCGAAGCCGACATTTGTCTGAGGCTAACTTATTGCCAAACTCGAAGAGTTTTGTAGTTGTACTGCCTCATTAGGAGACAACTCGTAGGAATGTAGATACCGCAAGATAATGTTAATAGTTAGGAATTCCTCCGCATAAAGCTACGTGGATGTCTTTTGATTGGACTCGTTTTTGCCAGGTCGTATCATAATGTTGGCACCAGGCCAGTTAAAAAGCAATTAACTCGGCACTAAGTCAATAGAAGGCGTGCGCTCCGAAGCTTAAGAGAGATACCCCATGAAGTAAGTTATTCTATTCTTTGCGGAAGATCGAGCCGCAGCCGCAGCCGTCGTGAAAGTGAAGAGAGTTGGTGACTGGATCCCCTATATAAATGCGTTTACCGATTACATTCACGGAGGAGCTAATAAGCCTTGCTCGCTACTCGCACTATGGATCTAGTCGCCTCCGTCGAGTAGCACGCTGCGAGTAGCGCGTCGACGAGCGGTCCACGACACCAAAACTCCGCGCCGCACGATCGTGGTAGGGTCGTCACTCGAGTTGTTTCCGAGGGGCAGACCGCACTCGCAGACAACACACCAGCACCAGCACAACCCTTTGATGAGGATCCGAAGCTATCACCATCATGTCCTCAATTGCTTCTGAAGAAGCCACACTCTCGCGGGCCAGTACCAGTGACCAGACGCAGCCAGATCCTCGCGACACTGATGTCATCAAATCCAATCATGATTTGCCAGCGCGGACATCGGCCGAGGAGGGACGCAGTGCAGCAAAGGAAGATCCTGCCACCATGGCTGCCAGTGAAGAACTAAAGCACACGACTATCTCAGACAGAGTAATGCCGACTTCTCTACGAGAACCACAGCCACAAGGCGTCGAAGGCGACTCTACCGCAGAAGATAAGGATATGGAGGGGGCCGTAAAAAAACGCACACCTGAGATAGATGCCACTATTATTCAGGATGAAGAGATGAGAGAGCGGATATCCTCACCGAAGAAGAAGAGAGGCCGCGATCAGGATGACGATACGAAAGACCTTGCAGGCAGCGCTCTCGACAAACCAGGATCTGCAGCCGACGGCAACACAGTAAACGGAAGTCGAACCACAAGGTTAGAACCAGAAAAGAAACGTCCTCGTGATGCCTCCGAAGATAAGGTAGCAGATGAATTAAAGGCATGCATTCGCTCCTAGTCTTCCCAATTTCCATGGCTAAAGCTAACCATATCCTGTGTAGGTAACAGCTACTGACTCCTCAGATACCAAAAAACAATCCTCTACGAATAGCGAGATGTCAAACAAACGGGCGGCATCCCCGCAAAAGTCCGCGTTTGGTGGCCCCTTGGGGAATAAATCACAAACATCTGCAACCGCATTTGCAAGCTCTGGTTTTGCCTCGCTAGCCGCCTCTAGCACATCTCCATTTGGCAGTCTTGGTGCATCGAAGCCTAGCATTTTCGGTGGTGGCTCCCAACCGACTACCTCTGGGTTTGGCGCTCTAGCTGGTGCAAAGTCGTCGAGCGCAAATACAGATGCCCCAATAGGCGGGACAACAGCATCAACACAGAAATCGGCACCAAAACTAGGATTCGGGGGTGGTGCAACGTCGGGATTTTCTGGTCTCGGAAGCGGAACTGGCAGCGTCTTTGGCTCAGGCTTGGGAAATGGATTTTCTGGAGGATCAGGTCCAAAGCTCTCAAGCTTCGCTGCTCCAGGCAAAGAAAGTATAGTATTAGGCGCAAAGCCAGCCAAAGCCTTTGGGGCCCCTGAGAGCGAAGAGGAAAGCGACGGGAGCGATAGTGAAGCAGCTTCCGGTACCGACGACGAGGAGGGTAGTAATGTCATTGCGGATGATAAGAAGAAGACAAAGATAACCAAAGGTTTGTTCTTTTGCCATAATTTACTGGATCGGAGAAACCTGCTATAAATGCTAAACTATTTTACAGTACACGTCGACAACGGGGAGTCTGGCGAGGCCACACTTTTACAATTACGCGCCAAACTTTTCCGGCTCGAATCTAAAGAGGTTGGGTGGAAAGAACGAGGGGTAGGCACGTTGAAGGTCAATGTTCCAAAAGCTTGTGCAAGCTTTGATAATAATGGGAGGCCAATCCCTGGATCATTTGACATATCGGGGCTTGAAGAGGAGCCGGAGGATCCAACTGCCCCCAGAGTACCGCGTCTTATTATGCGTCAGGAAAATACCCACCGAGTAATACTGAATACAGCGATCTTCAAGGCGATGAGGTTCGAGGATAAGCCATCTACAAACGCGGCACAGATGATTTTCACAGCATTTGAAGGCACTACGGAACCCAAGCATACCAGTATGCTCGTCAAGGTTTGTTGTCCTTTGACACTGATATAGCCCTTTGTCTAACTCCTTCTCTAGATGTCCGAAGCCAATGCGAAGCTTTTTAGATCCGAAATTCAATCGATTCAGCGTGAACTATGAACCCTCCGCCTGCAGGAGACATAGGAAGGATCCGCTATTATGGTGTTCTCGGTCCACCCATCTCCGTCATCATCACTTAACATGATTTCTTTTGTCCTAGAAGTGCTCCAATATAGGTATGCGTCGTCTCAGATGAAAATGGAAGGTTTGACCTTGGTGGTACCATGGGTGTTTTTGTTACGGAGTTTGGCATACCAACAGCATAGCGTGGCGGTTTATTAGGAGGCAACACCGATACATTGATGGAAATATGGAGGAATGGTCGGGCTGATGGATGAGTGGATGAAATCCCCGAAATGAATGTGTCCGTTTGCGTGCGTTGTCCTTCGAGATACGTTTTATATGTTAGTAGAATGCATGGAGGGAGGCAAATCAACGTAACAGCTGGATTTATAACTTCCCCTTTGTTTTCTTGCACTCTGTGCTTAGGCGTATATTTAAAGATAAAAGTCACTTCAATGTCCGTAGTATTTCCAGCGCCATCACCGCAGAGGGGAGCCATGAATTGGGCACGAGAACACCAAAGAGCGACGCTCCAATCTCTCGTTCAGGATGATGATCGCCAGATAGTACCACTCTAATTTCTCTTTGATATGTATGCTTTCCGAGATCTTCTTTTTATGTTGTTACGAAAGGAGGCATAGCCCGGTGCTGGTGGCGCCACAATGATTTAGCGCTAATGTCCCCAGCTGGGGCCTAGGGGGTCCGATCTAGATTTATAGCTCGCTGGCGTGATGTTACGGACGAAAGGAGGCTTTAGCCCATCATACATGCGAGTTGAGTTAGGAAATTTCCCATGTCTTATTCTCCGGGCCCAGGCCCAGCGAGTAAAGTGCCGGGGTGGAAATCTAGACGAAAATCAGCTGCGGCGTTGAATCAGCGTAGGATCATGTATTTGGAAATTGGGGGGACTGAAGACAAGCTTGGAGTTAATTTTCTCTGAGGACGTTCGATTGTAATTGATCAAGTAGCTATCGCAAGGGTATTTTCCAAACATAACCAAAACTTCTTCATTAAAATCAGAGCTATATTCCAAGTTGGGCGTTCGTGAACAGCAACCAACAAAACCTCCGTATACCACGCATAAAATTCCTGTACCATTTTTTCTATCACATTCCCCGCGATTACATCAATCCTGAGATGATAATATCCACAAACAGACAACCTGGTCCATAAGATTAGGCCATGTGCTCCACAGCTTTCATTCTCTCACTATAGCCCTTGATGACCGTGCTTAGGTCACCAACGGGGATTTGGAAGGGGAAGTCCAAAGCAGCAAGCATGATAGCAAAGAAGATCCACCAGCCTGAGAGAGCAGTTATAAAGAGAATAGCGCCCGCGGTGACTTGTAGCCGTCCTGCCAGCGCGGCAGCACTTGGATCCTCGTACATAATGGAGTTTGCGTTTTGCCAATAAGCGCCGGCAAGGAGGCCGAATGCGATGACCAGGGTGAAGAAGATGACCACAAAGACGACATTGGTTCGTAGGGAGCAGATGAGGAAGACCAAGCAGAGAACACCCATGAAGAGCAGGAAGAAGGCGAAGGATGAGAGGAAGCCAACGGTTGCCATACCTGCTGAGGCGGGCTGGCCCTCGGGAGCGTATAGCGCGTAGGCGTAGAAGCTTGGTTGTAGAGTGCCGCCAAAGGTGAGCCAAAACGCGCCGAAGGAGCAAAAGACTACAGAGGGGAATGTGTTGCCAAGGAAGAATTCTAGAAGACCGCCTAGAAACATCGTGATACCGCCGAAGAACATGTATGAAGCACTAAAAGGGGCGTTAGAATATATTGACATGATTGATCATAGGGGTAATTAGGCTCTTACATTCCAGCGGCGCCATTACCGCCTGCTCCTCGCCAGCCCATTAGGTCACAGCAGAGCGGAGATAAACAGAGGAGGAAGCCAACAAGAGCGCTGTGTCCCAATTAGCTGGTGATGTGGCCCTAATTTCAGTGGAACTTACATAGGCGTGGGGTTACCAAATGTCTTCCGTAGATCACCCTTTACCGCATTCTTAGGGGAGAGATAGATTTTCTCGAAGAGCTCAGGCGAGATCGAAATGCTGCCTGCAGTATGAATCCTCTTCATCGCCTCGCCCTGATCCATGTTGTCGCCCAGGTAATAGGTGTTGGAGAAGTCCTTCTCCAATGGCTCGCCATTGGAGGGAGCTTGCTTAACGTGATTTTCCGTTGCCATTGTCAGATTTAAGCTCGTAGCTTGGTAAAACCAGGTGTAGATGGAAGGTTCTCCTTTTTCAGATGTATGAAGGATTAGGTGGGAGAGCAGAGAAGGAAAATAATTAAAGAATCACTTGAAATTAAACACCGAGCGGACTGGGGAATAAGTAAATAGATACCAGTCGAGAGGACCGTAGCTTATATTAAGAAGTCATAGCCCAGTAGCTGCTATGAGACAAGCCCCTTTCCTTTCCCCCTCCTTTCGGCTCTCCACAAACTACACGGACTGCATGGATTCGTACCCCAGACCCACTAACAGCCAGTTTACCTCCTTGCTCTAGCCAGCTATGAGACTATCACAGCATCCCTATGGACGCAAATCTCCATTACTCGGCTACTTGCCCGGGGCTGATATGACCTGACTTGAAGCATATAAGCGGGGGAGACCTTACGCTAGAGCCTCCTCATACTAGCAGTACTGGGGGAATGCACCCCAAGAGCACTAGTACACGAATAGGGCGACAGGAAAGGTGGATTCGGGGAACTAAACGGGGTTAACTACACCTCAACCACAGCTCCATGGGATATGTATAACTCGGGAGGAATCTGGTGAAGAATGGACGAAGAGAAATTGTAACAACATCGAAACAAATAACATCGTAACAGTACTTGAAAAAAAAAGATCGAGAGACCTAGGCATTCACACTTCTGAAGGTTTGCTTCCAATGCTAGTTCAGCTGGCTCGCTGGGCATGGCGTCCCCAACGCCTAGTGTTTACCACTGACGTTATCCTTGAATGTTATGGTGATGTCTCTGCCCATAACCCATCACTCAAGGACCAGTCCTTGGCCGATCAGCGACGCGATTCGAGCCTGTCCCCTCTGAACATGCTACCTCTCTGAACCCCGGACGCGGGCGAAGGGGCGAAGGGGCGGAACAGGCTCCGCTTGCCAGCAGCGCGAGAGCACGACGTGTACTACTTGGTACGAAGGATGTACTTGCGCCTCTTGATGCTACGCTTAAAACGACACCCGCGGTGCAGGACACAAAATGCCGGCTGAGGGGAAGAAAGAGGCACGGAAACGTGGTTGGCTTGCGTAAGGCTAGGGTAGTGAGTGCTTGGTGCAGAGTAGAGCAGTCGAGTAACGGAGTAGTCTGTACTTCGTAGTCCATAGCCCGTAGCCCGTAATCGTACGAGTAGCACTAAACACCTACTATTCCAGCCCAATCCAATGGGACGGCGCTCACGTTCCGGCCGAGCGAGAACGCGGGGAAAGGTGGGTTGCTGTGCGAAGTATTACTGGACAAGACAGCTTAAAACTCAAAACCCTAATAGTAACACTGTGGTGACTTGGTTTGAGTATTGCACCTATGAGTCCTGCTTTGTACAAAGAGCTGTTCACAACTTTGCACAACTTCTATACGCAACCTAGGTGGTTAGCTCGTAAGACTCACGGAGTATTATTATTACTCCGTAGTTCAACTAGGAGGCTATATGCCTCCGGTCGGTTGAGCCTCTCCTTTGAGTTGTCGAAGCAGTGTACTAAGATTGCTTCTCGAGGACGACGTGACAAAAAGATCCAGGGCTTCCTTAACTGCAGTCTATAAAAAGTTAGACTGAACTCAGAAGCGTGCCTTCAACCCGAACGTGCAGGCGTTCTCAGCCGTCTTCTCGTCATTGCTGCTGGGTTTGCCACCAGGGCCGTACGCCCACGATACCTGTGTACTGTACTGGGTACTGTACCTCCGAAGTCTATCCTACACTGCTAAATAATGACAATAGTAGAATCCTGGAGAAAAGGGAGAGGCTGACGGCGTAGGCGCTTGGTAGTCCGGGGTGATGGGTAAGTGATTGATTGGTACGAAAGCTGGCTCGAACATGTCGATCCTTGTAGATAAAACGCGGGGGCGACATGAAGATCTGCATTGGCAGTTGCTTCGAAGCGCAGTGCGAAGTAAAGTCGGATCTGAGTGAATACTACTGGGAGACCACGACTGAAGCGTGTGTTATTTAGACGAACGCGATAACGAAGGATGAGGATGTGCTTGATCGTCGGGAAAGCAAACGGATTCGGGAGACGGACAGCGGATAATCTGCCATCCGTGGCAGTTTTCCGGGGATGGAGGGCGCTGCCGTGGCCGAGCTCAACGCACGACTCCACCGCCTCTGGATCTTCCATCTATGATCTAGTGCTTCGTAGGCTCTCATCTTCCCCAGTGCCGAGGCTCTAGGCTCTGGCTTCATTGGTCTCGTGGAAACCAGTCTAGCTGCTTGGTTCGAAAGCAATGCCAGACTTTACGAGCAACGCCGAATCCCGAATCACAGAAATGCGAGTGGATGTTATTCTCTCATATATTGAGCCTTGGTATTCAAGTTTCAATGCCAAACAAAGATCTACAAGTGCCAACCTGAACGACGGACATCACTTGATAGCATATCATACGTATGATGACCTGGCCATCATACACTGTTGATCTGTCAATAGCCTCAAACCCTACGATTCAACAGCTATCATTGTGTACGTACCTAGGCTGCAGATACGAAGTCCAAGAGCAGTATCACGAAGTTGGGCGTTTCTGGGCGTCTGGGCGTATAGCTTTCCAAGGTGGCCTCTGATACTATTCCTATTATTATCCTGATTCGACTCATCTTAGCTTCCTTACTACAGCAATCTGGAGTTGCAGGCACGCCTATGGACAATTTAATTGTTAACCTATCATGCCAGTGCAAAGTGTTTTGGGAGGCTCCTGCACATCCCAGTCTTACTGTTCCTGTTAACCGTGCTCTCAATGAGTACCGGGATTGTCAAATCCTGTGGTTTTACTTTTTTTTTCCGTTGAACCGAGTTGAGTATTATTGACTAGTTACTTGGAAAGAAGGCTGAAAAATCGCCAGTTCGCTGGGTAGGGATCGCAGAGCAAGTGGCTGATTTAAAGGGGTCGTGTTAAAATTACTGGTTTTAAGCTGAACTTCTTTTTTGGGTTTGTTCCCTGTTGGTTTCAAGGTTGGGATCAAGGTGTCCTACATGTATGGCATTACGAGTAAGGTATCTGTCCACTGTATGACCTGCAGGCGTTCCAGTCGAGCGAGGAGAGGGGCTGCTCGCTACAAAGTTTCTACCGGCAATGGAGAGGCATAGCTACCTCGGTCTTAATTATCCTTGTTGATATTGAATCCCAAACGGTGGAAAATATCGAGTCCCGTTCAAGATCAGTCAGTGCCTTGTTAGTTTTCAGCATCCATTTTCCCATTCCGGGCATAGATGACCCATGGACTTGTAAGAAAATTAACCTCTTAGCCAAGTATGTATATTCCTCCCAGTATATACTTCTCCTCGTACTCCTCATCATTCATTCTATACAAAGATATTGCCCGCCGATAAACCCAAAAACGCCTCGGTATCCATTTATAACCTTCGCATCAACCTTTCGTTTCCTCAATACTATCACTCGGCCTCACGGCCGTACTCTGGGGCTCACCACTACGCTTGGCTGGAAACTCAACCTCCTCCTCCACCTCCCCCCTCTCCGAAAGATCCCCCGCCAAACTCTCCGTCTCTTCCGACTCATCCTCTTCTGGCAGCAGCAAATTCAATGCCACGGCCATAAATCCCGTAACTGCAAAGCCAGTCTCCATAACCAGGGTAATAGCATCGAAAAACCCCGCCTTCGCTTTATTATCCCCAGTATATGTGAAGACATACGAGAACCACTCTGGCACGAGGATGGCTCCGAAACCAAGAGCCAAAGCAGCTGCGAGGATGAAGCGAGTACGGCGTGTAAATGTCACGGTAGAGATGATACGCATTCCCGAGACAGCAACGCTGGAGAAGAGGAAGGTTGTCATGCCTCCCAAGACGGCATCAGGGATAGCGGTTAGCGCAGCAGCGAATTTTGAGAAGATACCCATGATGATGAGGAAGCAGCAGGCTACGTAGCCGGCTTTGCGATTTGCGCACCGAGTGAGTGAGATGACGCCGTTGTTTTGCGCAAATACTGACATGGGGGTTATTGTGCAGAGACCGGCAAGCATGCCGTTTATGCCATCGGCAAGGACGCCGCCTTGGATGCGGGAATCGAAAAGTTTGCCTTCGACTTGGAGGCGGGAGACGTCGCAGGTGGCGGTTATGTCGCCGATGGTTTCCATCATGAGGATGAGGTATATTGCTAGGAGAGGAAGGACTAGGGGCCCGTAGACAGAGAGCTTGAATGTCTTGACCCAGATGAACGATGCGGCTGGAGCTGAGTCGATGGAGCTGTTGTCGAAGTATCCACATGCAGCTGCGATAATGCAACCCACTAGAAGACCCAGCACGACGCTCACTGCAAGAAATAAGTAAAGCCCCCCAAAATCGGGATAGTAAAGGAATGACTTACAAGATTTCATAATAGGGGCTCCAAATCTCTCCATGAGAATAATGGTGATAAAAACAGAGAAACCCAGACCAATAAACTCCGCACTACCCCAAGGCAAAGCATGAGGGGCAGTGTTGGAAGGACAAAGCATGAAAGGTCCCGACTCGGGCCTACTCATACAACCTCCAACACCACCAGCCCAGCTACCAAGTCCGCTTTCAATCAGCGAGACGCCGATGAGTGTCACCGTGGGGCCGGTGACGATTGGTGGAAAGAGCTTCTTTAGTAGCGAAGGGGGCATGAATGACAGTGCAATCTCCAACAATGCACAGAGCGAGGATGTACCGAGAAGTGCCCCATAGCCATCTGGACAGGGCAGAGGATTTCCTTCCGCGTCCGAGGGGCACATTCCATTTGCGTACATCTGAGCAAGACTCTTGGTGGCAATCGGGATGATAGCGAATGAAGTTCCAACGACGGAAATCAGGCCTGTGCCGAGATAATAGGGGGTCTTCCGAATATGGAATCTGGTGATTTGAATAGCGGAGAGGATACCGGAGACTATTAAAGAAGTCGATACCAGATATTGCGTAGTCTTGGCGTCAAAGTTTGCGGAGCTAGCTATTATAATTGGAGGCGTGATGATTCCTGCCAGCATGGCAAGAGCCTTTAGGGTTGTCAGCTCGTGTTCATGCGTATAGCAATGCTATATATTATATTAGAAGATGCGTAGATATTTACATGTTGGAATCCTAGGAGAATCGCAAGAATGACTGGCATCCGATCATGAAGCCCGAAAAATGGTGCCCGTCTCTTGGACTTTTTCATAAACGGAAGGTTTGGCTTGAAGAGAAAGACTGTGTTATATTATTAGCCCTGCCAAATTACATATATCATCTTGTGATTTTTCTTTCGCACCATAATCATAATTGCCTAGCAAGCCAGCCTTGGTAGTAAAAGCCTTGACGGAGTGGTTGATGCGTTCTCTGAAGGGCCTTTTCTGTGTTTGATCAGGCCCAATTAGATCCGGCCCATCTTGGGGCCCATTGTCGATTGTAATTGACATGATATGGTGATTGATGACTGGAGCAGGTGGTCAATGACAATTTTACTGTGAAGGCTAAAGAGGTAGGGCTACGGAAGCCAAGACCAAAAAAAAGAAGTGGATCGCGAGCGCGAAAATCCAGACGGTCGCATACAAGGCATCCCCTCTCTTATATATATCTACCTTATAACTCGGTGCATAGTGAATTACTTACAATATATTATCACCACTTATTAATGACCGCCGTCGTTATCGCTTTGCTCGCATACAGCAGCCCGACTTTCGACCTTGGAAGACTCGTGATTATCGGGGGTTGTGGAGGCGAACGAAAAAATTCGCGTGTCCCGACAATGGTACACGACGGCTGGCCCCGTCTTAATAGAAGCGGTAAGATGGGTCTTATAAGACGGATGAAATTGCGCTCTATAAGATAAGGTTGAAGATGGGTCCTTTGAGATAAGGTAAAGTGATGGAAGGGTCCTATAAGAACAACTGAGATGCTATAGATAGCTGGGCGGGGTTGTATGAGATAGGCGGACCTGATATATTGCTATCCGCCAATTGGCGTTTGCCTATTGCAATGATTAAATGCTGCTTCAGGTGCTCGCCAGGGGCCACAATCGTGATGTCAGCTCTTATCAGAGTCTGATCGAAAACTGTGGAGAGTTTTTTTTACATAAATTCTACTGCTACTAGCTCCGTACTACAATACTCCGGCACCTGGTCACGATACCCCACGATCCCTAATCACCCTGAGGAGTTCGCGCTAGGCCTCCACAGATGCAGATTTAGAAGTCGCTAGGAAAGAGAGGCCCGGAGGCCGTTTGCTTCCACTTCCGATTGTGCCGCAATTTGGTGTGGAATACTGACGATCCTACGCTGGAAAGTTCAGGTCGTGATTCTGGCATCGGTACACGAAGCAGACGCATTTGATGTGATTCGGTTACATTGTTCACATGATCCCAAAATACGAGTTGTACATTCGAGCTAGATATGATATATCTTTTAAGCTCTCACATCTCGCAGGTACATCGTCCGGTTTTTAGTTCCACACATATGCCCTTTCCCTCTTTAAGCCCAAGATCCTGAAGAACAGGAATCCGAACGGCAAACTCCTGCTCCGTATAAAGCGACTAGAAGGGTTTTATGAGAGGAAAGGAAAAGAATCATCATAATATCTTATAATATCTGTGCCATCGTTCATCGATAGTGTGATAAGGGGTCATCCTCATCAGCTAGAGAGAGCCGTTTGGGGAAAACCCCCAATCCTCCCTTGAGGTTCCCCTATCAGTGTCCAGATATATCGCTTTCTCCCTGCCTCCGGTAGGGACGCCCTGATCAAGCCAGCCACGCTCAGAGTCGTTGATTCGTACCTTGAGTGAACTTAGCAGTGACATAACAGAAAGCCATGTCCTTGTTACTGGCGTTTTGCAATTGTTCAACATGCGTCAGTCAAACCATCAGTCTTTTGTCTCCTAGCAACTGCTTCATGACCACTCGAGTTTGGAGCTGAAACCGATTCCAGCTTTTTTCTATTCAGTTTTCCTGTGGTTGCTTCTCCCAAAACGAACGAACAATTTCAGTATTTCATCTCGATTCATGAACTATGAATAGCGACAAGAAAAGTACGGAGCAGTTAATATCAGTCAGTATCTTTGATAGAGCGTATGATAGTCATAAGGGTTTATAGTAGGCGAAATCCACAGTTTTTGAAGTATCAAGCAACCAAAAAAAAAATTTCTCTACCCTCCTCTTGCCGAACTCATTTTCGAGCCGAGACTCCATATATCGTTGCAATGACCCATAAACGCAAGTCAACATTCATTTGACGGAGCCGAACCTAGGTAGGCTTTTAGGTTAGAAGAGAGGGGTATGAAATGGATTGTCACATTTATGGTTCCCGGGAAGCTCAACATCGATATGCCTTGCATCCTTGACATTTTCGCTGAAAACCACATACGTAGAAAACGTTGACTATAAGTCCCAAGCAAAATGGGCAGAGAATTCGGGCATAACCTCTTCATGTATAAAACTGTCAACCCTAAAGCAGGATAATTTAAGAATAGACTAAACTCAAGATTAAGAAAATCCGTGAAGGCGCCTGGTAGCTCTTGCATTGGATAGTACGAATGCCTGAACCACTTGGTCAGAACTGGAAAAATTGGAGACTTGTTAGAACAGGAGGAGAGATCCATCCGTTGCAGCGAACCACTCACATTTCGCTCAACCAGATGGGGAGCGATGAATATTTGTTGACATTTGCTGACATTTGTTGGACATCTGATGAGGTGATCTTGGGGTGATAACTGAGCTCATGCTCCGGAGAGTGATACGTAAAGCTGTGCGTACTCCCCCCAAAAGAGGCCGAGGCTGTTGGAAATCCCTGACAGGTTGAGGCGGGGTGGCGTGGGCGATAACAACACGTGAGGAATCACACGTGCAGGTGGGGATGACCTTGAGTGATGAATCTGTTGGGGGGCGCTAGACCGCGTGTGGACAGGGCGCAAAATCTTGGAAAACATGTGCAAAAACTCGGATGGACAGGGCTACGGTGGACTGTACGGCATACCTACGTACTTTCCGCAAGGGACTGGATGCCCGTAGCTGTATACGTAAGCAGGTACCCGCACGGAGGATTCCGTGATTGTGTAGCAATCTGCATCTATTATTGACATTACGATGTATTGTAAGCATAAGCAGCATCTACTAGCTACCAGCTACCAGCTCTGCGGAACGCGCGCTTAAGATCCTCCTTCGTCTGGATGAAATTTGATGAAGGGAGATGGAATTGAGGATTGCAATTGCAATTGCAATTGCAACTGCAACTGCAGAGAGTACCGTAACTAAAAAGAGGAACAAGGAACGAACGGGTGGCGAATAGCAGGAACTGGAATACGGATAGATGGGCGCTGCTCATCTTGCCGTCCCTGCATGCGAGACTCAAGCACGGAGTAGGCGCACGCCTCCCGCCCAATGGGGCCCGTCGTCAAGCTGCTAAGGGGCGCCAAACCGGATTTTATCGTGTAGAAGACGAGATGGTGGAGAAGATATGGCCTCGTAGGCTGTATTATTATTAGGTTACTAGGTACTTGTTTTGCTGTTGTTATTCTGTTGATAGCTTGATGCAGAATATTATTGATGTTGACGGTTGACGTTGGTTGCTCTTGCTGTTTGATGTTGCCCTCCCCACTCGCCCCCAGATCTATGCGCAGTCCCTGCAACGTCCCCAAAGCAGAACCGAAACGGTCGCCTATTGCCCAATGGGAGCCACGCCTGCGCCACGGCCCTGAGAATTGTTGAGGAAGGCTCTTGGGGCGAGTGAAGCTTCTGGCATCTGCGCTTGGCCTTCTGGAAGAATGTGAGAGCATGGTCTTTGAGTTACTGGTAATTGATATGGACGATCTAGATACCACAATAATATCAAACTCACAACAAAAGAACACGCGGCCAGGCCATCAATTGCACCAAAAGTCCCCGGGTCGCAGGGCCGCCTAGTCAATGCCAATTACCCATCCAAGTTGATCCAACATTGCCCATCCACATCCCTCTCCCGATCCCATCCCATCCCATCCCTATCCCCGATTCCCCATCCCCAACCCCTATCAAGGAGCCATCCGGGCCCGAGACGCTTGCTTCCCACCAAAACGCGCGAGCTCCATTCCTGGCCATCGCTTTTGCGCGCTAGCCACTGTCACTACGCCCACGCGGTTGAATAAATATCCTCCCTCCTCCCCCCCGCCACACTCCTCCTGTCCTCTCCACATTCTCCCTCTCTTCATCTTCACGCTCTGCCATCACTCACCATGGCATCTCCAGTGAACTCCTCCGCGCAGCCGTCGTCGATGGCGGCCAGGTCGGAGCCCGTTCGGAACAAGAGCCACGACCCCAAAAAGCCTCACATTACCGACCAGGCCATCACCAAGTCCAACTGGTACAAGCACGTCAACTGGCTCAACGTCACCCTTATTATCGGAGTCCCCATTTACGGGTTCATCGCCGCGTACTCGACACCTCTCCAGTGGAAGACGGCCGTGTTCACGGTGGTCTACTATTTCATGACGGGTTTGGGTATCACAGCTGGTATGTTGTTTTCACCACCAGGAACACCAAACTTGTTTCTTGCTTTTTGCTAACTCATTTTGCGTACAGGTTACCACAGACTTTGGGCACACACCTCATACTCCGCACGCCTACCACTCAAGATCTATCTCGCAGCCGTGGGCGCTGGCGCCGTTCAGGGGTCGATTCGATGGTGGTCAAGAGACCACCGAGCCCACCACAGATATACCGATACCGACAAGGACCCGTACTCTGTTCGAAAGGGTCTGCTCTACTCGCATATTGGATGGATGGTCATGAAGCAGAACCCTAAACGCATTGGACGTACCGATATTTCAGATCTGAACGATTGCCCAGTCGTTGTATGGCAACACCGCAACTACATTAAGTGTGTCATCTTCATGGGCATGATCTTCCCCTGCCTCGTTACTGGCTTCGGCTGGGGAGACTGGAAAGGAGGCTTCATCTACTCCGGCATCCTGAGAATTTTCATTGTTCAACAAGCCACGTTCTGCGTCAACTCCCTGGCCCACTGGCTCGGTGACCAACCCTTTGACGACCGCAACTCTCCCCGTGATCACGTCGTCACCGCCCTCGTCACATTGGGAGAGGGATACCACAACTTCCACCACGAGTTCCCCTCCGATTACCGCAACGCGATCGAATGGCATCAATACGACCCTACCAAGTGGAGCATCTGGATGTGGAAGCAACTTGGCCTTGCCTATGACCTGAAGCAATTCAAGCAAAACGAGATCGAGAAGGGCCGTCTCCAGCAACTGCAGAAGAAGCTCGACCAGAAGAGGCAGACCTTGGATTGGGGTGTTCCTCTTGAGCAATTGCCAATCATCGACTGGGACGATTATCAGACCGAGGCCAAGGGTGGCCGCGCCCTTGTTGCCGTAGCAGGTGTCGTCCACGATGTCACGGACTTCATCAGGGAACATCCAGGTGGAAAGGCCTTGATCACTTCTGGTATCGGCAAGGACGCCACTGCCATCTTCAACGGCGGTGTCTACAACCACTCCAACGCCGCGCACAATCTCTTATCGACGATGAGGGTTGGTGTTCTCCGAGGAGGCTGCGAAGTCGAGATCTGGAAGCGAGCACAGCGGGAAAACAAGGATATTTCTTTCGTTAGCGACTCTGCCGGCAAGAAGATTATTCGAGCTGGTAGCCAGGTTACACGCATCGCCGAGCCAGTGGCGTCAGCAGATGCTGCATAGACCAAGGGATATAATTTGTAACGTTGAATATTAATGAGGTCGATGGCTGGTAAAGGAAAAGGAATTTGTCTTGTTGGTTGTTGCGTGTGAGCGTTTTTTTCTCTAGATTTGGTCGTGGCGTTTGGAGGCTGTCTTTCACGGTTGAGACATATGATTCAGGCATTCATTCTGTATGTTAAGGAATGGCGGGTTGCAGAACAATCGCAGAGAAGAGCGACCAATACCCTAAATAAGTTACCTATAAAACATGGAAAACTTCTCGATAATTCAGAAACAAAGTCTTTGTTTTAAATATGCCCTTGGTTTATGAGTTTTCATCCCAACAGAATCCTTGTACCACAGTATCCGGACATTGTCTCGAGTCCAACTTCGAGTGTTCCATGGCATAAAGGACGTTTTTAACGCCCCAAATGCTGCCTTTCCCCAGAAATACAAGGAAACCTTGTAGAACCTCGCATATATTAATACGATGTGGGGAAGACAAGTGACCGATGCTTGCCATCCCTTTGATACCTTCATGGCCTTCATTAACCCCTCTAGCTCACTGCTTTATGTATTCGCACGGTTCGAAATAGCATGTTCAGTTCAATGGTGTACTTGGTATCTCTAAGCTCATCCAATATCTACATGTCTACCAGCTCTATATCCCTTGCACACTCTCTCTAAAGCCTAACCCCCCCCTACAACTTCGACGCAACAGGCGGGTCAATGCTAACCTTCCCATGCTCACAAACTGCCATAACGGCGCCATCACTCTCCCTCTTCATCTGCCCCTTAAGCGCACACAATCTCTTCCCCGCATGCACCACCTCACAGTCGATCAATACCGTCTCGCCAACTGGGATAGGACGGATATACGTCACAGATAGGGTCCGCGATACGCCTGCGAAGACCCAGAATCCTTCTTTTGCAATGGGTGCGAGGGATGTGGTGGTGCAGATGTCGAAGAGTGTTGCGGTGCAACCGCCATGGAGGTTGCCTAGCCGATTGCAGTGCGAGGGTTTGACGGTGTATCTGAAGACCACGCGGCCTGGGTTCGAGGATGCAGTTACGAGTTGGATGTCTTCGTGGACGAGGGAGGCGCCCCAGCCCTGGGTGAAGAATGTTAGTGGTGAAATGGGCAGGTTTGGAAATAAAATTGACGGGAACCAACACAAGAATCCTCATTGAAGACAGAGCGCGATATAGAATAAAGCTTACCTGGAAGATATCATCCCCCATTGAGCCCTCGAGTATGGATCTCACGCGATCCTCGGCAGAAACGCCATCTCCTATACTTATTCCCACCACTTCCTTGCCCTCTGCCACACCAGGCATAGAAACCTGCACTTTCTTAGGAGGAGCCATAGCTATTACACTGTACACTCAACACGCAGAAGGGTATAGTAGAAAGTATGTGAAGGTCACCAGCCATCCCCGGAAACGGAATCGTAATCGTGGGGTATCAATAGTTACCGAACCTTACTCATTTCATTTCCATCGGGTATCTCGAATTCTTGGCCGAGGTTGGCTGATTATGCAAGGGTGCCTGAGAATATGTTGGTTTCTGCCTTGTCGCGTGTTTTTGTTGACTTCGCGTCTGCGAGCTGTTGCGCACACCGCACAGCAACGCAATACTCGACCAGCGACAGGATTAACGACTCCATTTCGCAAAAATGAGGGTCGTGGAGGTCATTATAGATGTATGTAATTTGCCCGCTTGGTCTAGGGGAGGATGCATGCTGATGTATTTTGTTTAGGGGTTTAAATCCTACGCTGTGAGGACTGTTATCTCAGGATGGTAAACAAAACAACCCACTCTACCACTTATCCTTCGCCGCTGACACCCCTTTAGGGACGAGAGCTTCAATTCGATTACGGGGTTAAATGGTAGCGGGAAGTCGAATATTCTTGATGCAATATGTTTCGTTTTGGGTATTACGAATATGGCTACGGTCCGCGCGCAAAATCTCCAGGTACACAGCCCGCTCGAATATTTTGATGGCCTAATTTCCTGACTCTTGATTCTTAGGATCTCATTTATAAGCGTGGACAAGCGGGCGTCACAAAAGCTAGCGTAACGATAGTCTTCGACAACCGCGACAAGAAGAAATCTCCTATTGGATTCGAGGAATATGCGCAGATTAGCGTCACCAGACAAATTGTTCTAGGAGGGACGAGCAAGTACCTCATCAATGGCCACCGAGCGCAACAGCAGACAGTACAGAATCTGTTCCAATCTGTCCAACTCAACATTAACAACCCTAATTTCCTCATTATGCAAGGTCGAATTACCAAGGTGCTGAATATGAAGCCAGTCGAGATCTTGGCTATGATCGAGGAGGCCGCAGGGACACGAATGTTTGAGGATCGACGGGATAAGGCATTCAAGACAATGGCGAAGAAGGAGATGAAGGTGCAGGAGATTACAGAACTACTCCGCGAGGAGATTGAGCCGAAGCTAGAGAAGCTACGAACGGAAAAGAGGGCGTTCTTGGATTTCCAGCAGACGCAAAATGACCTCGAGCGACTCACCCGAGTAGTAGTGGCACATGATTATGTGAAGAATCAGGAAAAGCTTAAGCAGTCCGCTGGAGATCTCGAGCTTAAGAAACAACACCAGAAGGACTTGGAGGATGGTGCTGTTCGGCTAAAGCATGAGATTGAGAATCTTGCGGAAGATGTTAAAAGAGTAAAGGCTCAGCGGGATAAGGAGTTGAAGAAAGGCGGAAAGGCACAGGCGCTCGAGGACGAGGTCAAGAAGCACTCTCATGAATTAGTTCGACTTTCCACTGTGATGGATCTCAAAAAGTCGAGCATGACTGAGGAGGAGGAACGGAAGTCGACCATTCAAAAAAGTGTTGCTGAACTCGAGAGCCTGTTGAAGCAGAAGACAAAGGTTTATGAGAAACTCCAGGCGCAATACGACAGCGCCAAAGAGGATCTGGAAAAGCAGAATTCGGAGGCCGAGACTAAGGAGGAATTACTCCAGACGCTGCAGACTGGTGTAGCCTCGAAGGAAGGCCAAGAAAGCGGGTACCAAGGACAACTCCAGGATGCGCGGAATCGAGCGAGTGCAGCATCAACGGAACAAGAGCAGGCCAAGCTCAAGACGGCACATCTTGAAAAGCGCATCAAGGAAGACCAACCCCGAGCCAAGAAAGCGAAGGAGCAAAACGCCGGTCTTCTCAATGATCTTGAAGGCCTCCGGTCACAAGCCCAGAAGCTTGAAAAGGAGCTGGGAAAACTAGGCTTTGAACCTGGCAAGGAGGACGATATGTACAAGCAGGAATCTGCCCTCCAACAGAGTATCCGAAAACTACGGGAGCAATCAGATGTTTTGAAGCGCAAAGTTGCCAATATCGATTTCAATTACGCCGATCCCACCCCGAATTTCGACCGATCAAAGGTAAAGGGTCTGGTGGCCCAGCTGTTTACTCTGGATAAAGATCGCACGGAAGCTGGAACCGCACTTGAGATCTGTGCTGGGGGTCGGCTATACAACGTCGTTGTTGATACCGAAGTGACAGGCACCCAACTCCTCCAGAACGGCAAGCTGAGGAAGCGAGTGACTATCATTCCACTAAATAAAATCGCCGCCTTCCGAGCATCCGCAGAGAAGATTGGTGCTGCACAAAAGATTGCGCCTGGTAAGGTCGATCTGGCTCTGTCCTTGATTGGCTACGATGACGAAGTATCTACGGCTATGGATTATGTCTTTGGCAATACTTTGATCTGCGCCGATGCGGCGACAGCAAAACGGGTGACGTTTGATCCCGCTGTTCGCATGAAGAGTATCACTCTTGAGGGAGACTCATATGACCCTTCTGGGACTCTTTCCGGTGGCAGCTCGCCGAATTCAAGCGGCGTATTAGTTACATTACAGAAACTCAATGAGTTGACCAAGGAGCTTGGTGTCCTAGGAAACAGGTTATCGGAACTCCAGGCAACAATGGCCCGGGAGAAGAAAAAGCTCGATCAAGCCAAGAAAATCAAACAGGAGCTAGACCTCAAGTCCCACGAGATCAAGTTAACAGAGGAGCAGATTGGGGGCAATTCATCATCCTCCATTATCCAGGAGGTTGAGAATATGAAAGCAACCATTGTCCAGTTGAAGACCGATCTAGTTGATGCGAAGAAGCGGCAGGACGAGGCCAACAAAGATGTTAAGCGCATCGAAAAGGACATGAGGGATTTCGATAGCAACAAGGATGGGAAGCTTGTCGAACTGCAGAGTTCGTTGGATGCTTTGCGGAAAACTCTCGCCAAGAGCTCGACGTCTGTCAAGGCCATGCAGAAGGAGCTCCAAGGGGCCCGTTTGGATTCGGAGCAAGTGGGCGGTGATCTTGCTGCGACCCAAGAACAGCTTCAAGATGTTGAAGTGACGCTGAAATCTCAGGCTGATGAGATTGCGAGCCTTGAATCGGAGCAGGGCAAAGCGAAGGTTTGTGTTTCACCCCATGATTTCCAGCAGACTGTACTAATTCGGCTAGGACCTGCACGATATTGCTCAAGCCCACTTGGATGATGAGCGAGCAAAGTTGACTGGATTCGATGAGGAGCTGCGGTCGCTTGAGGAAGCCTCACGGTCTAAATCGGCACGTATCACCGAGGAAAGCCTCGAGATGCAAAGGCTTGGCCACCAGATTGAGAAATTCCATAAGGAACAGCAAGGGGCTGTTCAGACAGTGGCTCACATGGAAAAGGAACACGATTGGATTGCGGATGAGAAAGACAACTTCGGCAGAACGGGGACGCCTTACGACTTCAAGGGTCAGAATATCGGTGAATGCAAAGCATCTCTGAGAAACCTTACCGAGCGATTCCAAGGGATGAAGAAGAAGATCAACCCTAAAGTCATGAACATGATTGACAGTGTGGAGAAGAAGGAGGTTTCTCTCAAGAACATGATGAAGACCGTGATTCGGGACAAGAAGAAGATTGAAGAAACCATCGTTACCCTGGACGAGTACAAGAAGAAGGCTCTACAAGAGACGTGGGAAAAGGTGAATGGAGACTTTGGGCAGATCTTCGCGGAACTGCTACCCGGTAGTTACTGCAAGCTCGATGCGCCCGAGGGCAAGACGATAAATGATGGATTAGAGGTCAAGGTGCGTACACTCGCGATGTTTTGATTCTGACAAAATAAGCTAACTCAGGCATCGATAGGTCTGCCTAGGAAAAGTATGGAAACAAAGCCTTACAGAGTTATCGGGAGGCCAGCGTTCGCTCGTCGCGATCTCCCTGATCATGGCGCTGCTCCAATTCAAGCCGGCGCCGATGTACATCCTGGACGAGGTCGACGCGGCGCTGGATCTTTCGCACACGCAAAACATTGGACGGCTCATCAAGACGCGGTTCAAGGGCAGCCAATTCATCGTGGTCAGTTTGAAGGACGGCATGTTTCAGAATGCCAATCGCATCTTCCGCACGAGGTTTAGTGAGGGTACTTCGGTGGTTCAGGCGTTGACTGCAGCGGACTTCAATTGAGAGGTGCCCAGCAGAGCGAGGAGGATCCGTAGACATTGTGATGCTGCAATCAGTATGGTAGCTTTATTACATAGGTACCTAGGTTTGCATCTGTGGGATTTTGGAGTTTTGGATTGTATTATATGGGGGTATAGGAAAGGAAAGGGGCTAGCATTGGTATCGGGGGATCATCTCGATTAGGGGGATTATGAGCGTATGACACAAATGAATATCAAGTGAAGTTTTTTGACTATCATAGTATCATCTGAGCGCAAGACCGCAGCACCACTAATCGTAGCATGTCAAACCCAGCAATGTCTTTGTAAATTACGAGGAAGGCGATGTACGGTTCTCCACCGTCCAGCTCGGTGACCTCGGCGGGACACTTCACAACAGAGCGCGAGGTTTGTCTCGAGGATAAGAAATTTATCGGGAGGATAAATGATGCTGGACTGGAGGGATAGACCCGTCAGCAAAGGATCTCTTGGACGATAAGTGGTTCGTTGTGACGATGGGGTTGAGCTGTAGGCAGATCATTAAGCCATGTTTTTAGGATGAAAACTGCCCACACTACCTGGGTAACATGCAAGAACAACTTCTGCCTCGAGAAGAAGTAAAATGAATGGAAAGGGGGCAGATTTCAGCCGCGTGATGATGGGCTGTTCAATGCTGTAAAGATGGCCACTCTACCTAAGATACAAACGATAGGGGGGGCCACGTGGGGTGGTACAACGGCCTGCACGCTCGACGCCCTCGCAACCCAAATGGGATAACAATATTTTCTAGGATAGAACTTGGGTGGCATTGTAGACGCTGTGCTGGCCCAACTAAGCCAGCACACTTCGAACTATAATACCTAATAACTTGCTTTGGGTTGCGTTTCCAAGGAGATTCCGCATCAACACCATTGACAACATATTTATACTTTCTTATAAGCTACAAAGGTAGGTACAGTACCTAGATAGTGGAGCGCGTAAGGTAGGTTGCTATGGCTAAATAATATACTCTACCCTAACAAGAGCTACGTAGGCAAATGCTAAAGCTAGAATGCATCTAGAAGGAGAAGCACATTGACGGACAAGGTACCTCTTTGAATATGGGGAGTGATACGGCGCGGATGTTGCTCTGGTCAACTCTCGAAAGTTGGCGCTATTACTTCGTACAACTTACGTATATCTCCTGGAGGCGAGGGACTAATGACGTGTCGAGCAATTCCGAGACTTTGTAGTTACAAAGTAGAAACTGTAGATCAAGATACGGGTTAGTTAACAGGTTTGTGAAGAGATCTACTCCCTAGTTCTTCTAAAAACAAGAATAGGAATTCCAGCGATCAAACAAAGATCCCCCTGGCCCCTTCTCCGCATTTTCCTGTTTCCATGTCTCGGGGCAAATCCGAAGAAGGGTCGTGAACCTGGAAGGAGACCCTCGTTTCCCCATCTTTGTCTAGGTGCAGTAGGTGCAGTAGGCGCATGTGCAGCTCATGTACTGTACATTTACCCCTAGGCACCTTAATTATTAGTTTCCTACTTGGTACGGAGTACAGCAGGTAGGTGTCTAATGATAAAATGATGCTGGACGGTTGATCATCCACCAACCAGCGCACCCTCGCAATTATCACAAGCAATTCGTCGGACGCTGCGTAGTACCTGACACTGCTTCCTCCACTCTCGTGGCGTACCGAGGGAAAGTGACCGAAGGAGGCGCAGCAGCAGCAAGCAGAAACAGAAAGCAGAAACCGCCTCCGCGCACCACACCGCGTAACCGTTGGCATCTCCGAGGTATTTAAGATTATGTGTTTTTTTTCCTGCTAGCGGGTTGACGGGTTGAAGTGCCCTTGGCCCTGTGGCGTGCTTCTGGCCTGGGCAACAGAATACTACTAATAATACTTCGTACTCCCTCCTTCGGAAACCTGCTTGCGTCCGAGTACGAAAGTTACTGGGTTGGACCTTTGGACCTTGGACTTTGGAGATCCGGGATGGAGAAACGATAGATGCCGAGTACGAAGTGCCATAAGTCAGGTACTTGTACGGAGTATGTACTGTACAGCAGTACAGTATCGGGTTGCACTTCCTCGGTCGATCTAGTGCCCCCATCAGCACCATAATCATCATCATCGATCATCGATCATTCGTGTATGTCCCTATGCGTCCAGGGCGTCTCACGATTTCAGGGCACCGCGGTCCGGAAGGCCAGATGCGCCGGTCGTCTGGTACCTTTGGAGGTGTCGGGGGCCCGCGCCTCTGAGCCACGCCGATCGGGCCAGACCCTGCGTTTTATTTGGTTTTTGGAGAGGGGCGAATGTTGGATATTGGATGATGACGATGATGATGATGGAAAGATACATTCGTTACTGTACCTGTGAGAGTGTATAGATATAGTGCTGTAGGGAGATACTGTACATACTGTACCTATGCCTACCTTTTGGCGGGTTGACATGTTGTTTGATGCTCTGCTGTGCTTCAGGGAGGAGAACGGAGAAGGGAGTGAGCCTAGAAGATCTGCTACCGTACTGTACTGTATGGACGGGGGGACCTGCCTACCTGAAGCTACCTGAGGCTACCTAAGGCTACCTAAGGCTGGAGGTGTGCTGGGCATTCTAGGCATATTCTAGGCGCATTCTAGGCACTGTAGACGCTGGAGAGAATGTCGACCGTTTGTAGCCACTGGAGCCACTGTAGCCACAGCACTCCCCAGGGCTCTCTCCAGGCCCTTCGATCCCCTATAACCTTTGTACGACGAGTAAACCAGAGTGCAATGCAATCTTGTACCTGACTACTTACTTACTCTACGGTGGCTCGGAGGCGGACCCAACCCCCGGGGACTTCGCGCTGGAGGGACCCCCCCCGATCGAGTGCGCAGCAGTCGCCATTTAGCAGCCCACTGAGCATTTAGCAGGAGGTGAGCATTGGCTTATTAGCAGCAGTGGTCGCAGAGCCTGTCAGGCCACGAGGAATCATTCGCCCACCACACCACACGGCGGCGCCCACTCTAGCAAACCCCCCCAACTCCTCCTCCACTCACCCCCCACGGAAATATCCACCTTCCCTCTCCTTCTCCTTGTCCTTCGCGCTCGCTCTCGCTCTCCAAAGCCAACGCCCCCCTTTCTTCTTCTTCCCATATTCATATTCGCCTTCCTGCTACGGGCCCATCTTGTTTTCCCTTCCCTTCCCCTTCCCTTCCTTCCACTCGTTAAGGTTAAGGAGCCTCGACTCTTAATAATTGAAACCGAACACCCATTTACTTTTCCATTCCCTTACTTGTTTCACTCCCCTTCGATTCCTACACTCGTTTACGACCCCCCATGTACTGGTCTTCATTTGGTGAGTGAGTAGCTTTGGTAGATATAACCCATCAACCCATCAACCCCCCCCCCCCAAGAATTACCGGCCATTGCGCGGTCTGCTGCGCGGTCTAGAGTCCCCGTGCTAACACAATCCCCAATCCAGCATATAGACAGCACCTTCCGTGCCTTTCATTCCCTTCCCGCACCTCGTCATGAACATGGACGCCCTCACCAACCACTACCGCGACCTCCTCCTGCAGTACTACGAGCGCTACTCCCAGCAGCTGCTCGACCGGATCCCCGTCTTCTCCACCACCACCTACGTCCTGACCGTCCTCGCCATATGCATCCCCCCCATAATCGCCCTGATCGTCTACGAGCGCGAGCAGGCCAAGTTGCTGGCCGAGCAGCCGCAGGGATGCCGAAAGCTGGGAATGAACATCGAGAGCAATCTCCTCAATGAGTTCGACAAGAAGTTCTCCGAGGGCCGCCCCCCGAGCACCGAGGAGACGTCGGCCGAGTGGTGGCGCCTGAAGAGCATGTGGATCTATCCGGTTAAGAGCTGTAAAGGTGTCGAGTTGAACAGAGGAACCGTAATCGCGACCGGCATGGAGTACGACCGCCAGTTTACCTTTGCTCAGCTCAAGAGCCCCTTCCCCATCGCGGAGAACACCCCGGAGAAGGAGAAGGCCGCCCATAAGTGGGAGTTCATCACCCAGCGACAGTTTCCTCTGTTGGCCAGGGTGAGGACCGAGATGTGGATGCCGGATCAGAGTGTCGACTCGTACAAACCCCATGCCGAGGACGTCGAGAGCGGCGGTGTCATCATCATGAGTTTCCCATTCCAGGAGCCAGGCTGGAGAGGCAAGGTGGCAAAGTGGGGTGCATCGGTGATGGGCAAGGTCCCAGAGAAGCAGTTCAGAGTGCCCTTCGACCCAACCCCGGTTCAGATCGAGAAGGCGGGCTATTCCTACGAGGACATGACCATCTGGAAGGAGACCGTGCGTTCGTTGAACTTGGAGATCGAGATCCCCGAGGAGCTGAGATATTATCTCGGCATCAGCAACAAACTGGGCCTCTTCAGAATCGACAACTCCAAGTTACGGGAGGTCCACCGAAATGCGCCCAAGAAGGAGACCCTGGGGTATCAACCCGTCACCGGATTCCAAGACGCGGTAAGTCCATTTTGGTTCTGACACGCTCCCTAGAAAGTTAAGCTAATTCCTTTTCTAGTATCCCCTCCATATGATCAATCTTGCTAGCGTCCGTGACGTCGAACGCAAAATGGGGATGGGGAAAGGAGTCCCCCGTCTGTCCGCCAACCGCTTCCGCGCCAATCTCATCATCACCGGCCCGGATGCCTACCTCGAGGACAACTGGCGCCGCATCAAGATAGGATTCTACGAATACGATGTCTCATGTAGGACGGCGCGCTGCAAGATGCCCAACGTTGACCAAGCCACCGGAGAGAAGCACGCCAGCGAGCCCGACCGCACATTGAGGAATTTCAGGGCCATAGACGAGGGTACGGGTCCAAATATCGGGTGCCTGGGCGTGCAGATGGTTCCTATTTCCCGGGAGAGCGCGTTACGTGTCGGTGACGAAATCACGGTTCTGGAGACGGGAGACCATTGCTACATCAAGCAATGATGACACCGCCTCTCTACATAGCATACATGCTTCTTTAATGCAATCTCTCGCGGAGTTGTGGAGTGGATGGATTCATGGATTGGCCTGGGATAGGAGTTTGTTCATTGTGCATAGTGCATTTCCGGCCTCCTGACATCCGGGGAAAAAACATACAAGAAACAGAGCATTTTGATATTTGGGTTTGGCTGGAAAGGCATATCTCTAGGAATTGAGAATTGATGATAAGCCTCTTGTGTGATTAATTGAGGATACCCCTTACGTATGGTCGCCTTTGGTGGATGTCGCAAAAACTGCGAAATACTAGTCATCTTAGATGTTTGTAATAATATTTTTCGCTCGCATCTTAAGTGCTTGCTCATTGTCTGATGATAATTTGGTTGTACATCTGGCCTCTCGTGGCACCGCACGCGTGTTTCATTTATTGTGTCTTTTGGGTGGACTTGATAAGAAAGAAAAACATATCTATCTCGCGATAGCAGAACACTGGGGCGAATCTTGGGTGGTGATATATCTGTTTAATTCTTCTCGGCGTTGTACATACTCTCTTTGGGGGCCGGTGGCTGTTTAAGAGCTGTATATTATCTCACAACCATCATTCTAGTCTAGAATGCAAGAAATGTAGATGTTATCTATATGTTAGTAGTGACAACTGAATTGTGAGCAAGATCTTGTAATGTAGGATTGATATGGTGATGTACGGTCGTTATTATTACTTGTAGGATGGTCTTTGCATTTCGACACCACGGTCGAAGTCAAGTTTAAGGATAAGAAAAGCCGCACTATAACCATCATTAAGCCAAGTGATGAATTTATAAAAAGGGATATTGATTATAATTAACGTTTGGCTTTTGAAAATTTCTATCAATGCTAGGATATTGGTCGGTGCAACCTTTATTACCTTAGACAGCGAGAAGCGCAACGTTAAGGTACATAGGTACCTGGGTACGTAGTGCTCCACAAACTTCAAGTCGCCGCTAAACCCAGCCAAGCCCTCCCTCCATCGTCGCTCATCAACCTCCATTCCCATAACCACAACCTCAATTGAGCACATCACCCACCAACACGATGCGCCGCACCTTCCGCCAGCTGGCGGCCGTCAAGCCCGCGCAATATCTCGAAGCTGGCGCCCCCACAGGCATCACCGGCCTGCGCACCAACGCATCACCACGCTCAGCGCTCCTCTACCTCTACTCGCAAACACTGGACAAGCTGTCCCAGATCCCCGAAACATCCCTCTACCGCCAATCCACAGAGGCCGTGACGAAACACCGCATGGCAATTGCAAATGCCATCGTGCCTGAAGGCCAGGCGGCGTGGAAGGCGAAGACGGATCAGCTGGTGAAGGACCACCCGGAGATTTTCGCGGAAGAGAAGGAAGTCGGCGGACATAATGTTAGTATTTCGGGGAAGGTGACCAAGGAGACGCATGGAGGGAAGACATTCTTCACTACGAAGCCTGAGAGGAAGGCTGTGGAGGCGGAGGGGATGGAGTGGGATGGCGAGCCGAATTTGCAGGGAGGCATTGAGCTGGGCGGGCATATGCATTTTGAGGCTGGGACGGAGAAGATTGAATTGCCTCCCCAGCCGAGGTTGACGGCCCAGCAGTAGGTTCTTCCCTTTTGCTTTTTTGAGTTTTAGGAACTGGCGAGTGAAAAGGGATGAGTTATGCTGACGGTTGAGTAGAGTTTCTGAGATGGAGAATCAGATTGGGGCGGGGCTTATTGAGGAGGTTATTGAGGTTGCTGAGGGGGAGCTGAAGCTTGTTGATGTGATGCTGAAGGCGAAAGTGTAAGTCGTACCTTTCTTTGGTCTGGTTGAACGACTACATGATTGTTATGCCAATATGGGATATGGCGTAACGCCTAAGGTCCTTAAGCCCAAGGAGGCTGGAAGTTGGACATGCTACAAATCGAGATATCTTGGATAAGCTCCAAAGAGGGTCTTATTTTCGACCATGATCCTCTTGTTCTGAGATATTGCCCTCCAGCCTGGTGGTAACCACCATCTCCGAGATTGGCGGCAGCAGAAGCATATCATATCAATCGCCAGGGAAGCAGAGCTCGGGGATTTTCAGGGTCTATTATAAGACTGCTTTATAGAACATTGGCTAACAAACACGGTGATAATAGCTGGGAGGATCTAGTAGAGAAACCCGTCGAGGGACAATGGGAATATTTCATGCGGGGCCCACCAATACAACCCGCGCAACCGCCTCCTCAGAAGTAGATTCTCTTCCGCAAGGGAAATAGACATGGAGAAATATGGTTGTATAGTACAAAAAGACTTGTAAATAGATTATGCACCACCAATAAATGTCCCGTTTCATAGGTTTCGAAACATAACCCCTAGTCGATCTGTGACTACCCTGGGAACCGCTAAAGGAGCCGGAAGATTTGCATCTTCGGCATTTGGAAAGGACAAGCTTTTTCAAATGTGTGGAAGAGGAAGGTGTTGCGATCGTATCTCATCTATATACAACAAACTTCCATGCGCTAGCGCCGCATAGTTCCTAATACCCATTCAATTTACGTAGTACTACCTATATTCAATAATAATAATGAATTATAAATATCAGAAGCAAAAGTCCTGCCCCTGTTTTGCAAATACACGACGATTTAAAATTGTTTCTTACAGGTCCCGGCCCAATCAATCCGTGACACCGCAGGTCACTTTCCTGGTCTGTACATTGCCGCTGACCGGCTCCCCTGCCTCAATCATCAGCTCCTCGGTGCTTCTTTACGAAGGGCGAGGTAAGGCTGGGGTTCGCCAGCTTGTCCTCCGAGAAACATCAACGTCCTCTCGTCTGACCAGCGTCCTGTTTCACCAACTCAACGACAGAGTCAGTCTCCCGAACAGCTCGTTCTCGATCAATGGATGGGAACCGATAGCTGCTAAGTATGGCGAACACGAACAAGAACCGATCATCCACCTTCAGCCTCTTCAGCAAGGCCAAGCGCGATGCCCCCGAAGCGCAACCCTACAGCGGCCTCGAAGTCGTCCCTCTCTCGGACGAGAAGATCGTCGTAGATCATGAGGCCGACGGCGACTACAGCACATTAGAAGTCGCGGTGGCCAGCGACGAGAAGATATGCGTCGCGGACGAGCCCCAAGATTACAGCACGCTGGAAGTAGTAGACCCCGCTCTCCAAGGCGTCAACTACCCCTTCGCGACCCGACACCATATGGCTCAGACGCACAACCAGGACCACGACCCGTACAATGCGCCGCTGCCCCCGCTGCCCAGCGAGCAGCTCCAAAGCCACAATCCAGATGAGATCTCACCGACGACGAGTGATTCTCATAGGAGGTCGAAGAAACATCTGCTGCGGGCGAGATTGCTCAGGGAGTGCGGGATCTGGTTCGATAAGAGGTTTTATGCGGGCGAGGAGGGCATGGAGATAAAAATGAGCCGCAGCGCGACGCTCTTTCGGGATATGCAGTGGGAGGTTATGTGTGGGGAGTCGAGCGTGATGAAGATTCGAGGGAATCCGAACTCGTGGAGTGAGAAGAGAGGTATGTCCACTATAACCTTTGACCTAGTATTTATCTATTGCTCCCTTGGTTCCGAACCATAACGGGGAATAACACCGTACTGTTCGTACTTTTGCTTACGGCATGGCCTAGAATTTATGGACGCCACGGGAGGTCCACTGTTCAAAACGCGAAAACAGGGCTCTGGTAGCCGCGTTGCGGAATCGGTGCACGGACAAGTCGTGTTTGTGTTGAAGGAGGATACGGAGAGTGGTATGTTGTGGACGAATCGTTTTGTCTGCCCGTGTTGGTATGTTGGTATGTGGCTAATGGACGAGTAGTGAGTTCAAGTTGGACTGTCGATTTCACCAACGCGAGGGATAAACGGACTATCAGGTGGAATGTAAGAGGGAGTGCCACAACGAGGGATATATACATTAATGTAAGTGAACTATATTTCCACCCCTCTTACAGTTTAAAAGTCTAACTCTCAATCAGTGCTACGGGATCCCAATCGGCCGAATCACTCGGCCGGAAGACGGCATCGACGAGTTGTTTAAAGAAAAAAATATTGTCCGTAACCCCCTCTTTTCTCTCCCCCATAAGCTTCTACAACTAACCAAATCACACTAGTATATTGTTAAGGTTTCTCCGGGGATTGATTTTACGATTATGGCGGCGCTAACGGTTGCTTATGATGATTTGAGATTGGAAGGCGGGGCTGCCTTATAATGTGGATTTTTGTTTACAGTACATGCTTGTATTATCAAATAACCCGTCATGTCTAATGAGTTTGTTCCAAGCCTCTCAAGACTATCTACTGTGTGTTGATGATATATTGAAGAAAGTCCTTTGGAGAAATGAAATGCTCATCCCACCTAATAGAGATCTACTCTAATCATACAAGGGACACTCAGGAACCTTGAGCTGGTTACCCCCCAATATCAGGAATATGACTACCTCCTACTTTCGTCACTTTTCACTTTTCACGTAACACACCACTCATCTACTCGACCGGCCGCCGGAGCATGTTTCTCTTACCACACAAGGTATATTACGAAGCAGCCACTAAAACCCCCAGATATACGCCAACCGCTTCTCCTCCCTAGATGAAGAGAACTTCCTACGTGACATACAAACAAGCATATCTACCCAGACCTAGGCACACTTGGCGGGAGTACGCCTTACTCTAACAGCTCCATTTATAGAGCCAAGTTTTTGGATAGTTGATAGTTCGTACTAGCTAGCTAGGACCTACAGAGATACAGATTTGCGGTATATAGCTTAGGCTTATGAGCGTAGTGGTGGATTAGTGCTGGGAGGGTTATAAGATCAGATACCTTGGGTTGAGTGAAAACGTATCTGAAGGTGACCCTCCCCTACGGTAGAAAATCGTGAGGGTAGGGAAGAAGCCCCCTAGGGGAATGAATGGATTTGGGGTAATATTTGGTATTGCTAAGTCGTTTTGGTGTGTTTAGGGGCGTTTTAGGTCGGGGGATGGTTTAGCATTCTGAGGGTGCTAGGGGAGGTAAATCATGGGGATTTAGTGAGGGTAAGCTAAGGTACGGTCTTTATATTTCGGTGTTGCGTGTTGGACATCTACTAAAAGGGTAGAATCAAGGAGTTGTTGGCATGGCAAGGCAGGTAATCTCAGGATGGGAACTTCAAAGATATGTCTATAATCATGGTACGAAGAACTTTCTTTTCTATGTTCCGCAATCGCCATCTATGTTTAAAGACACGTGAGCCGCGCATTATCTCAAAAGAAACATCTGCTCAATGTAGACAGATACCATCCCTTCCCGCCTTTCCATCGTCATCAAAAATCATTATCATGCGCTTTCATTCCCAGGGTTATCACTTCGACTCGTCAGCCGGCTCCATGATCTCATCCGGCTTAGTGGTTTCTTCAGCGTCCACCATCTCCTCGTCTTTGCCGCCTTTTGTCGCAGCCTCCTGTGCCATGGCAGCTTTCCTAGCCGCCTCGGCCATCTCGCGCTTTCTTTGGATCTCGGCTTCTTCAGCTGCCCGTATCGCGGCACGTTCTGCCTCTACTTTGTCAAAGTAACGTTGGACGATGGGTCCAGCAACGGCGCGGATCTCATCCATCTTGGCAACATAGATGGCCTTTGTAGTATCCTCGCCCTCATCGTAGAGCCAGTCCTATTTCAATGTTAGTAGGTATTTTCACACTTTAAAAAGGCGGAATAAATTACCTCGCTGGTCTCAAGCTTAGCCTTTAACTTGACCTTCTCGTCTTCGCTTGCGAACTCTGAGTATTGATCATCGATCTTGTTTCTCATCTCGTAGATGTAGGTCTCGAGTTCGTTCTTCTTCTCCTCGGTGTCGGCAACAAGCTTGTCCTCCATGACCATGGAGGCTTCTAGCTCGGCATCCTTGTCCTTCAATGACTGATCGAGAGACGAAGTGCCTGCGACAATAGGAAGGTCGCCCTTTCGAACTTGCTTCTTAACTTTGCGGGTCTTGGGCTTCTCATCGGTGTCCATTGCCTTGTGTGATGTTAGTGCATACTCTTCCAGACGTGAACGCTTAACGGGACGCTGGTCTTCGCAAGAAGCTTGGGGTGGGGATTGGGGTGAAGTAAAGCTGGTTCTCACATCTGCGTCCTTCTTATCTCCTTTCTTCTCGCCTTCCTTTTCTTCGGGAATTGGCTCTTCAACCTCCACATCCTCAACGTAGTACCCCTGCTCCACATTCAGGATACCGTGGAGGTTCAGGCGTGCCTTCAATTTGCAGATCATGAAGTCATTGTTGGAATCGGCCTTGACACCCTTGACCGAGAATCGGCCAATCCATGGGTTAATCTTACCCGGTAGCATTTCGGGCTTTGCGTACTTCGCCTCGAGGTTAAATGCCTCCTTGCGGTAGAATGTTAGGATCTTGGTTGATGGCATAACATTGCCCCGGTTGAAAACGGTCAGGTTAGTATCCTCATCGGGAATATCTGGTGACTTCTCCCATGTGAACTCAATGGGATAGTTGACGATATCGTGGATGGCGAAGTCGCGGACGCGGAAGACGGGGGAGAGGATAGCACAGCTGAAGGCACATCCTCGGGCGATGGCCTCATCTTGGTTGAGGGTGAAAGAGAGGGGCTTGCCAAAGAAGTTGTGGATGAGTTCCTTGAGGGCTGGTACACGTGTGCAGCCACCAACAAGCTCGACGATGTCGATGTCATCCTTGGTTAACTTGGCCTCGGCCAAGGCAGTCTCGAGAGGGACGGAAGCACGGTTAAGTAGAGGGGCGACCAGGGCTTCCAATTGCTCGCGCTTCATCACGGTCGAGACATCGATGTCGTTCATTAACGACTCGATGCTAAGAGGGGCTGATTGATTGGCAGATAAGATCTTCTTCAGCTTCTCTGCGGCTGCGGTAACACGGACCATGGCCTTGGGGTTGGTCTTGATGTCAATCTTATATCTCTCCTTGAACTCATGGGCGAAATGGTCCACCAGCGCCTTGTCGAAATCACGTCCACCGAAATGACGATCATATGTGGTAGACTTGATAGTCAGTTCGCCCTTTCTGTACTCCACAATAGAACAAGAGTAATCGCTGTGGCCGATATCGACGAAAGCAACACGTCTTGGCTTTTCCTCTGCGGTTGGGAGATCGGTCTTTGTGATACCATAACCCAGAGCGGCAGCAGTAGTGTCGTTCATCAGGCGAAGGAGCTTGAGTCCGGAAATTTCACAAGCATCCATGAGAGATCTACGCTGGGCGTCGGTAAACCACGCCGGGACGCTCATCACCAGGTCGGAGACTGGGAGTTTTAATTCTGTTGAAGCGGTGGCCTTTACCTTGCCCAAGAACATAGCGATCAGTTGGGTTGCTGTGAATCTCTCCTTCTTGCCCATATATGTAACCTCTGCGCCGACCTGGCCATTGATATCGACGAGGGGTGCTGAAACGAATTGCTGCTCGATCTGCACATCCGGATCACTCAGGCTCCGTCCTGCTAATCGCTTCAAGCATCCGACAGTATTCTTCAGATTGGAGATCTCTTGTGTCTTTGCCGCCTCGCCGAGGTATCGAGACTTGGGGCCGAAGCCGACCAACGATCTAAAAAGAGAATCAGCTTGGTGTTTGGAGAACGGGGTTGGGGATCCGGCGGCTTACGGTGTGGCTCGATTTGAGACTTCATTGGTGATCTGTAAATAAACAATCAGTATACCATAGATACCACATGCCAGAACAACAAATAAAGTATGGCACGTACGACATCAACACCACGATTCCGAGCAACAGCAATAACGGTATTAAGCGATCCGAGGTCAACGCCGACGACTATAAAGCGAGACGTTAGCATATCTCTAAAGAGGCTGCGGGGCAGCGATTGCGATTGTGATAGTGGGACATACCGCTCATGATGGCGGCTCTATTGGTAGTCTTGCGGTGGAGGCTGGGAGATGGGATTAGGGAAAACCCGAAAGTGAAAGATTCTCGGGATGAGGAGACTTTTGAATTGGCGATCCGAGCAAAATCACAACGTGTGCCGTAATGGAGAGGGTAGATGTTTTGCTTGGAAGTCGCAAAGTTGTGCGAAAAAATATCCTGGAGGCCGCACAGCCTGACCTAAGCCAAGGTACGAGTAAGGCACCGCTACGCCTCGCTAGTGGTTCCACCGTCTTCTTCGAAAATCCTGAAGGTTCGAGGTGATTCCGCAGCAAAACAAAACAAAACAAAACATAATGCCAACCTCTGCCAACCCAACGCCAAGCGGGCGCAATAGCGACCACAACGTGTCCGATTAATTACAAGTCACCAGGCAACTATTCTGTCTCTTCTAAAGTCTCTCCCTCTGCAAACACGTCACCAACAGTGGCTTGTCGCTTCGTTTGTTTTCACTGTTGCACACATATTTAATATCACGTGTACGGGCAGTCTTTATCAATCACCTATCTCTAATCAGCACAGCCACTAATGGCAACTGATAGTTGCCATGATGACGCTGGTGGTGGGGCTAAGGAAGTATCGATAAAAGTTAAACAGCAGGAGCTAACCAAAAGCGAAGTCATGATCGTCTATAGCAATATCAACGTCACCTCGTCTTGTATACGGTTAGCGACTTTTTATTACTGTGTAGCTTGGCTCAGCATCGGTATCAGTATCTTTAATTCTCGTTATTCATCCAGATCATTACTTTAACAATTAGCTAGCAACGCAGTATCATAAACCTTCCAAGTGCTGGTATATATCCCCGTCTATAGATAGCCACGAATGACTGGCAACCGTACCGCTTTTTGGCGCAAAGCAAATGCTCCCTACTTTCCCAAACTCCCTGCTCTCCAAATGCAATATCAGATACACACAAACTACAAGATAAGGATTCCATGGTTAAACATTCCTCTCATCTCCATTGAGACTGTCCGCGAAGGTGTTGCGTATATGAAGCCACCCGCGGCTGCTCCTCCAGTTCTATGGCACTCTCGTTTGAATCGGCCCCGGAAGTATTGGCTCGGGCAAGCGGACTTCCCCCACTGCCTCGATTTGTATTATTGGATGCCGTCTGGGGCACCTGAGGAGCAGTTAAAGGTTGTGCTGATGGTCCAGCTTCTGGCGAGCTATAAACATCTGCATCGCTGTAGTTGGCATCGCGTTGCCGCAATTCCGGTCGGTCGTAATAAGACCCAAACGATTCAACAGAATCCTTCCAGTCCTCCCTGGGATCTGCTTCTGAAATTTCATAGACCTTGCCTCGGGGAGGGCCGCTCATATAAGCGCCTCCTGCCGCCTTCTGGGTCGCTTGAGCCATTGCATACTTCTTTTTATCTTCGTCTCCCATAATGCTCTCCACACGTCGAGGCATATATACTGAGCTGTTGTTGGTCGGTAGCGAGAAGCCACTATCGAAGGAGCCCCGTGAATGTGCTGGAGGTCGCCACTGACTAGATGAGCCAAAACCTCCAAACTCCGTACTCCCAATAGATTCATTGTCCTGATGGTACCACCCACCTGGAAGCCTCTCGGGTGCCGTGAATCGGCCCTCGATCTGCTCAGGAGGCATTAGAGGTACACCAGTGCGGACCATACGATTCTTTTGAGCCTCGGCCGCCGGCTTGAAGGTTTCTGGGACAACGTTGAGCTCATCTCCCTCGGCAACAGCCTTCTCAATAACCTGCTGGGGTGTCATGCTTGAGTCAGCAGCACCTGCATCTGCTCGAGGGCCTCCCCATGTTCTCTGGCCGGCGGTGAAGATGCCATATACCATATAGTACCAATTGAAGAAGGGGTTGATAATGAACATAAGGGGATATAACCAGATCTTGAAGCGCCTCAGTTTTGCACCAAAGTAGATCATCATGACCCAGTTAAGTCCGAGCGAAATCCCAATAAACCCAACTGGAAGATCCTGGACTTTCTTTGAGGTGGAGATAATGGATATTATCATTATGAAAAATAGGAGTGCGGTCGTCCGAATGGTGTTTTGCATGAATCTGACCACAGCTAAGACTGGGTATCTCTTCCAAATTCGAATATCCGTCAACATACAGACTTCATTTGTGATAAAGCCTAAGAACCATCGTCGCCGCTGCTTGATGAGGGATCGATATGTTTGGACTGCTTCTGTTTTGCAAAAAGCAGAAGTGCACATTTGAATCTGATAGCGCTTCTTTGCACCAATCATGAATAGATGAGTAAGCCATCTATCCTCCCCTAAATGGCATTTTCCGTAATCGAAGAGATCCTCACATTGCTCTGCTTTATCAGCGAAGTAGTACTTGGCCATTCTTCTGAAGGCGGAAAATCGAAGCATCGTGAGCGCTCCAGGTAAGCAAGTCACAGCCCCGCATCCGGATTCAACTGTGCGCTCGAAAAGCTGACCGTGGATATACTCCATGTCCTGAAGGAGGGTAATAAGACTGTGTTTCTTGGTCGTCGAGGTGATGACGCCGGTCATTGCCAACATATCTCTGGAGTTGCCCGGGCTGAGTTCCATATCGTACACGAAATTCTGGAGGCATACGCGGTCCAAGATACAATCCGAGTCAATGAAGAGAATGAAGAGGTTATCATTTCTTTTCAGATACTCTGTATAGACCTTGTCGATAAGCTTGAAAGTAGCTTTCTGGCAGTGCCTCTTCCCCCCATGCGGAAACCGGGATACTGTGATACGGGCAGTCCGGTATGTTACGTCGATACTCTTGGGGTAGGTATCAAGAGATAATGGCACGCCCAGTTTCTCGATAGTCTTGAGGTATAATTCGTCCTCTTGATCACCGTCGAATGAAAGAAATACGTGGATGCAAGATGGAGGATAATCGCAGTCCACCACGGAGTCAATTGCAGTTACCAGGGTATCGGGATCTTCCTTGTAACAGGGCATGACAATAACCACTTTTGGCGCCGAGTGCTCATCTAAGACCTGTTTTATGCGCTTGGTTCGACCAAGGGAGTTGGTAACAATTTGATAAACGCAGAGGAGCCAAGGGATCGTCAGCAGAGCTGCAAAGCTCCAGAAGCCGAACCATTGAAGGACGGTGACTAGTGAAAGCGGGAAGTATTGAGTTATATGGCTTGGTAGCGGAAGGGTGACAACCATGATGGGTAGGAATATGCACCTATACGTATTGCTTAGCCCTCGCATCTAGTTTTATATTCGGCGGGAAAACAGGAATAACATACCTCAAGAGACTGAAAACGGTACCGACGACCACGGCTAGGACTTTTACAGACCAGTGTTCAGCTTTGCTGTAAACCTTAACTAGGCAATATATGAATGCCGCAAGCCAAAGGAACCATTCGAGGAAAGCTGCAATCATTACCGAGCCTACGACGCTCGTATAAACAATCTGCAATCGATATCTGGTTAGCACTTTTCCATAATATAAGTGTCGAAACACCAAATAATAACACATCAACTCACATCTTTGACCGGCCATGGCGACGTATCGTACTGGGTCATCTTGGGTGACGGATACCGGCGAAAATCAAGGAGAGTCGTTACGATTGTAACGCGCAGAGTGTTTCATAAAAATTGTCCGGACTCCTTTGAAGGCCTTCGGCTTGGCGGGTTGCAATGACTGCAGGATCCCGAGACAAGGCCCAGCTAGTAGAAGCGTGGCTGCAGATTCCGATGGATATGAGGAAAGTGGTTGTTGATATTCCCCGGGGCTACCAGAGATTTGAGAGATCCGGGGAAGATTCCTATTCATAAGGATCTCAGCAAAGGAGGTTAGTCATTTCACCATTTGTTTCTGGATTTGTTTGGCGAGTTGGGTTTAACTGTGATTGTGTTGGTTGATGCGTAACGAGGTGTATTTCTGGAAATCGTGACCTAAGCGGGCAGTGCGTCCTGCAGCGAATTTACCCGTCCCGGTGGTTGGAATATGCGTTATCGAAGGCGACGACGATCGAATGCCTTAGGTCTGAGCTGATGAGCAGGGTGAGGCTCAAAGGCAAAATCAGAGGTGCGACGGCGAGCTGCAGGATCCGTATTTTCGTGGCGGTTGCAGTTCTAGTATCTCCGTCCAGGTCGATGTAGGACCAAGAGATTTCCGGCAACAACGGCGACGAGGTGAATGCAGAGAGAGGGCTCGTGAATGAGAAAAGAGGTTTCACTAGAAGCAATGGATTTCAAGGGCAGGTCACATGTTGGACAGCATGACCTTCAGAGGAGAGATTTGAATAAGGCCGGTGCTGTGTATATGACATGCAACGCAACGCAAGCTTTCGGAGATCAAGCAGGCCGAACCACGATTATAACAAAGGCCGGGGAACGGCAATAGAGAAGTAGAGGATGGATCTGATGAATGAATGAGATTAAGAGGAGGATGAAGAGCAGGAGCCACAACAGGAGCAAGAGCAAAAGCAGAATCAAGAGCTGGAAGCGAGATGCAAGACATTTTGAGGAAGTATCAGGCTGCCCTAGCTCGGAAGGGTCAGAGATATTCTATTCACGATGTTCCGGCCTGTGAGGTGGGGTCACGGTCAAGGTAAGGTTGGGGTTGTGGTTGGGAGCGCCTAGAGTTAGAGGGTATATGTAACATGCTAAGTTACGTATCGTGCATGTGTCTGAGGACCGATCGATGTGCGTCGTCGATACTTACGGGCCACTTGCCACCTGGGACCCTATAGAGCCTAATAGCTGCAGACGCCACTGTCGGCTGCCTCGTAGAACACCACCATTAAGAAGATCTCCAGGTATTAAGTTGTCTCTGCCTCTTGCGCTCTTGGCCTCTTAACCTCTCTTCTTCTCGCTTCTTTTGCCCCTAGGAAAGAACCAAGTAACACATCATTATTCCACTCGTCGCCAAGCTCTCTGCCCACCAAATCGGTGCTGTACCAGTATCCGTCAATACGGAGAGGCGACGCAGACATGGCAAACGTCTTACAGGAACTAAGTATGTACATACAGGTATTAACAATCTCGTACTTGGGTCCTAGCTAGGTACAACCTTGGATTCTCTGTACATTGTACATTAGCTAGAAATATTTTTGGCATTGCGGCATTTTCACAAAAATAAGACGATACAGGTACTCATCTCCGGGGTTGAAGAACACACGCACTGTCCTGTTCCAACTGAATCCGGGGGGGCAACATGTCGTTCCTTTTCCCACCACCTTATTTGGTACGGAGTATAGGAAGAGGAGAAAACGCCCTCGGCACAACCCACTGTCCAGTACCTACATGTGCTCCTGCGTCTCCTGCATCCCAACCCGAAGCACAGCACAGCCTCACCCCCCTTGCTGAACCAGCGGCTCGCTGTGTTGTATGTATATTATTATTACTGTTTCCGAACCCCCGAAGTTACACAGGGAAGTATCTAAGTAAGATACCAACAAGTCCAGCCTCTGTCCCGATCCTGCAGACATGTCGGCCCAGTCCCAACGGGTACAGGTCCAGTTATTGTGAAACCAGAATCCAGAAAAGCTTTCACCAGGCAAAATGTCGGAAGTTCATGACGTACGAGGTACGAACCAATCAACCAACGTGGCGCCCGGGGCCAAGACACCCTCGTATGTGTGTTGTATTTTTAGCAACTCAGACTAGATTTGCGTATACGAAGTACTTGGTACGTGGTACAGTACAGCTGTGCTCCGTCGTGCGATATCGTTTTTTCCTTCCTTTTTTTCCTCTTCCAGATCCCCACCCTAAGTAATTAATTGGATTGCTAGAGGCGAGTATGTGTTATAGCCAATGGAAATCGAACTTCTGTGCCAATGATATTTTATGTGTTTGCGATGCAGGGGTGATCCCCATTCTTCAAATCCAGTGAATATCCCCTTTCGGTACTACATAAGGTATGCTTTTTGTATTCATACCTACTGTTACAGTCGGATTCTAGAGGCGCATGGAGGAGAAAAGAAAGAAAATAACATAACCGCAGCGAATTTCGAGTGTTACAGGTCCCGCGCAGAATTTATTTGGCTATCAGCGAGCGAGATACTAGGTAGGTATTGAATGAATAAATGAATGACTTGAGTAAGTGCGCAGTACAGCAATTTTTTTCGTATTTTCGACAAATTCCTCCACTTCCTCCTGATTTGACGAACCATTGCCCCTCTCAACTGGGCATGCTATCAACTCTCTACACCACATGTGCATCTGTCAATGGAGGGGGCTAGCAAACCTCAAACTTCCGTCCGGGTAGATCGGCCGTACGTTGGCTACAAAGCGTAGCGTTGGTTGAATACACCGCCGGCCGTGAGGTGAGCAAGTGAGGTTTCTGGATCCCCAGTCGTTCTGAGGAGGTTCGTGGGACGGGGGATGGATGAGTCGCCATCATCGCTCGAGGTGATTCTCGTCGATATGTGCAGAGAAGAAGTAATAGTCATAAGCGACCAGAGATATCTCGGCCGCCATCAAACTAATGTCTCAATCAAGTCCTATTATGCCCACATCGAAGGGGCTATCATCAGCACTCATGTTTTGAATAATCGTACATAATAAGGGCAACTGGAAAATATATGTCGTATCTTGAGCAACTATTTCTCGGCTTCGGCGCTGGCAGATTTTAGAGATGCGTGTGCCTCAAGAATAGCTTTCCTACTGAGTCTGCCTACTGGAGCGGTAGCCTTTGGAGGTCGGGCATCAAGCTGGTTTTCGGTTCCCTTAAGAGATTTAGGTCCAGAGGGAAGATCACGGCCTGTAGTAGTAGTAACAGAGCCGAGCTTGCGTGTCGACCCGCCTCTTTGCATACTAGGGGTTGAATCTGGAAAACGTGAAGAATTGTTTTTGGGGCCATACCAATCGACGTCACTGAGTTGCAACTTTCTCGCGCGCTGGCTACTGCGATTACTACTAGACTTGTCAGGTCTAGAATAATTGGTCGCAGCGGCCTTGTCGAGACCTGCTTTGGTATTGTGAATATTTGGATTCGGAAATAAGGGGGCCATTGGCTGTTCACCATCTTGGTCTTCGCCTTCACGAAGATCGTAGTTTAGAACCAAGTTCTTGATCCTTTGCTGCTCCTCACGTTCGGCCGCCTGTTGAGTCTTCATGGCAACGGCGAAAGTCGAGTCTGAAGGGAGGGCGACAGTCCGGGTCTGATTGAAAGTGAGCAAGAGCTCTCCACAGTAAGGGGCAAAGACAAACCTGTTGGCGATTGCCACGCTTCGTAAGAAGAGAGAATGCCATGGTACCGCCGGCCTGAGTATCTGGAGCGACAGGACTGTCATTCCAGGTCTCGTTTGAGCCCGTCGCATCACGGTCTTTGCGTCTGATTGGAAGTGGGACGTCAAATGTAGATTTGCGTTCGTGCTTTCGGGATTCTAGACTTTCAGCCATCATTTTTGCATACTCACGCTCGAATTCGGCCTCAGCCTCTGGATCAACTTCCTCCTCCTGGCGTGTCACAACAATTGCTTCATCCTCGGAGTCGGTTGCTTGCGGAGATGGGGCTGTGTCGCCGTTTCCATCGGTCTGTTTTCACGGTGAGCACACCTAGCATGGATTGTTATTTGGAGAATACTAACATCTGCTTCTTCGTCGGATTCTGAATCTTCCTCGGCCTCAGCGCCTGCTTCGGCTTCGGCTTCAATCCCTGCCTCCGCTTCACCGTCGCCAATTCCATCATCTGAACTCCCATCACTATCAACCTCATCGGGTTCAATAGTTTTGTCAAGTCCGGCAGTCTTTTGATCCTGGGCCATTGCTAGTTGGAAAGCCCGGCTAGCTTCTTCCAAATTGGAAGCAAGTTTCCACTGAGGTCTTGTCAAGGAAAAGACATCTTGAACGATGAATTCAATATCCATAGGGAGAGTATCCTTGGTGTAAATATAGTACTGGAAGAATGACAAAAAATAGTCAAGCTTTTTGCCAGCAGCTCCACGATTGAAAAAAATGCCACAAGTCTCAAGGAGAGTCGCCACTAAACGGATCCGGAAGAAGTCATCTGGCATGTCAAAGGGATTGATCCGACCTGGTATAGGTGGACCACCATGGCCAAAGGTCATGATTCGATACATGGTATCGAAAATCACAGGATGGTCTACCATACGATAGTTGTACAGTTCGCCAAGATACTTGACCTCCGCGAGACGGCGTTGATTGAACTTGAAGTCGTTTGATTCTAGCCCAAGGGCAATATACTCCACAAGATTGTCGATAATCGCCGTGACGAAATCCTGGTGATACCGGTAAAGCGCACTCACCAGAATCGCAAGCAGATGAATGTTGCCATACTTGACTTTGCCCGGCTTCGAGAATATTTTCTCCAGAATAGCAACCACCTCAGACTCTTCCCAGTGCAATCTGCGGATCTGCTTGAGAATCTTTGTGTAGTTGCGGTTATTCATGTCTAGATAGATCAATTTTCGGATAAACAAGTCAATCGGTGTTCGCTCTTTCTGCTGAATGGCAGCCCTGACTGGGGGGTCGACATAGTAGACAGCATTTTCTATAAGCATCCGTTCCTGTTGGCCGATATGCTGAACTGATTTCTTGCGCTTCAGCGTCTCAAGGAATGAGGTCATTCGTGGCGAAGTTTCAGGGTTTCGGAGTAGATATCGACCGCAATTTTCGAGCAAATTGCAGATGATCTCAATATTCATTCGGGAGAAATCGTCCAGGCTGACCTTCAAGCAGTGGAAAATGACATGCTCAGGAACGACGCCAAATTTTGTTAACTCAGCAAGATAGCGAATATTTCCCAATCGAGCTTGACCTAGAAATTCCTTCTCCTTGCGTCTTTGGAGACTACGAAACTCTTGATCGAGGTGATCGACCAGGCCTTTAGGAATATCCGGCATGTATTTTCCAAGTGTGGCGACGAGTCGAGAATAGGAAGGGAGAAGATCACTGCGACCCTTGGGTATCTCCTGGACTGCTTTGATCAAGCGGTTTCGAGACGCTTTGGAGTTAACAAAGCAAAAGTCGATTGCAGCCTGGTCAATCAATTCTTTATTGGTGAGTTCCGGAAGTCGCGCCAATAAAGCATCAACCTGGGCACCGATGGTCCTATTAGCGATGGATGTGGACTGGTCGTCTTCAGTTGTCTTGGGTGTTGAAACTCCGGCTTCGGTTGTAGTGGATTCTGCAGTATCTGCTTTCTTCCCAACCTTGTCGTCGCCGTCTGCCTTCTTCTTCTTCCCATCTTCGAGTAGCATGCCAGGAACCTTGCCTTTGAGATCCACAAGATTTTCGTAGAATCTTCTCTCATCCTCATCTTCCCAGATGCCAGCGCCATCGCCTTCACCACGCAGGTATTCTCCAGTCTTCACCAGCCCGATGCCCCCATTCCCGGTGACCGAACTATCCTCGGAGTCCTTCAGGTTAGGCATTTCACCACCAATAGCATCCGCGAGGACCTGGGCGTTCGATACCAGTCGCTCATGGGCCTTGACGGCTTTCTCGTAGCTTGCTTGTCTATCCTCAAATACTTGGCCGGACTTGACGTAAGCCTCTGCATCTTTTCGGGCTTGTTTGCTGATCCCCTTCTGGTCACGGATGAGGTGGGCTTTGACATCCTCGAAATATCGGTTGAGAATGTTACGGAATCTCTCCTGAAGCTCAGGAGATGCAAGAGGTGGGTCTTCAACAAGATTGCTAGGCGGGGCCATTTCCACGGGAGAACCATCGTCTGCGTCTTCTTCTACTGCACCTTCGGTAATGATTGTAGCGCCATCTTCTTCAACAGTCTTGCGACCTTCGCTGCCGGCTTCTTTGACACCTAGTATATCCCAGCCAAAAGCCTTCACGAAGATGACAAGCAATGGTAAATTGGCGTGCTCCCTATCGTGGCCCAACAGATCCTTGAGGACTTCTAGGGGAAAAGGTTCAGCGCCTCCCCCTTTGGCAACCCCGTTGGTCTTCGATTTGGCATCCGGCGCTTTAACAGACGAGGCTAAAAGGGGTTCCTTACCCCGAGAGACATCGTCTGGGCGGCTAACATCATCTAGAGTTCTCAAAACCCCCACGAGCCAAAGCTCGGTAACAACTCTTAGAAGCACTCTCTGACGAGTGATCCGTTCTTTTTCTTCTTTCTCTCTAACATCCGCGGCAAGAGTCTTCAATAAGGATTTTTCCGGTGTCGCTAGTCCTTTGCCGACAAGCCATCCGAGATACTCTGTAAATTCTACGGGTCCAAAGCGCTGATGTAAGGCGCTGACAATTTCCACCCCAGCCTCGATTTCACCGGGCGACTTCAACCTACACAACCCTTCGTAGCATGCTGATATAATTTCTGATAGGTATTTGTGTAGGCTTAGCGTTCGAATTTCTTGTAGGAAGGTAGCGAGCGTAGCGGCAGAAATTGCGGTTCGGAGGCGCTTTATAAAGGCGGTATTCTTCTTGAGAGAGGAGTCCAGGCTTTTGTTGACTTGATAGATATCTTCTCATTGTGTCAGAATCATGGCATCCCTCGCCGGGCGGAATCACGGACCTTTTTCTCCATCCCACGCCCTGCTGTTCAATTCGCGCAATTCGCCTAGGTGACATCAGCACTGGGTTGCGGAGATCGGGAGATGGAGACATTGCGCGGTACTCACGCTTCCTGTTTCGATCCATGGGGTCCAGACGGAGCCTACACAGGCTGGCTCGCGTGTACCAAGGGACTTCCGTGCGTTGTAAATATCCCTGTGCCCCCACATTCGTGATTCCTAGGGACGCATCAAGGTCCGATGAAAATATGATCCGGCAGAGGCAATGAAATGCATCTGAATGGGCGGGAGCGGAGCAGGAAGGGCGTTGTCGTCCTGGGCGGGTTGCTGTCCGAGAAGCTAGTATGGAAACTGCCGTCCCTTTGCTGCGGTTGCCAAAGTTGGTGCGAAGTATTTGGGAAGTTTTATGTTTCTGGAGGGAGAGCTCTATCGATTAGGGTCGGGATCGCGTCTAATAGCCGCGGCCGCCGGCTAACCAGATTTGGCGCTGGCGTTGGGTTGGCGTGTATTTTGTAGAGGATGGTGTGGCTCCTGGTCATGTTTTCCCTTTCTGTTGTCGCAAGTCGTGTTATTATTATCCACAATCACAGCCGCCTTTCACTTCACTGCGTGCGTCATTACAACGGCACCATACAGTATACAACATACATCATTTATCATTTATTTATCTCTCATCCACCATTTTATCATTCACCATTCGCCATGCTATGTGACGCCAGTTTTACTTGACCATCACCAAAACACTGTGAAGGCGGTACTTTGGCCGGCTAACACCAAAAAGCTTGTCTCTCGTCACCCCTCACCACTGCGTCCGATGAGCGAATCAGGATCAACATCTATGACCGATATAATAAAGTGCACATCTTTCATCTTCATCTTCATCTTCAATTGCCTGCCTATCCATTCTTACCTATACAATAACCTCCTCCTACCCTCCACCCCCGCACCAAGTTGGGTTCTATTATAATTCCTCCCCAGACTCCTCGCGCAACACAACAGAAATATGCTCATCCACAGCCGGAATTCCATCGCCAATCCAGGCCAAAAAGCCAGAACTGCCGAAAAGAACACCCCCACGCCTTTTCGAAGCACTGCCTTCAGAATGGACAGAGATTTTCCAACGTGCTTCTCCGAACTATAATGATGATGAACACAGTTCACCAGAGAACAGAGCGATCCCGTATCTGTCAATCTCCGGGGAACATCTTGGGAACATTCCCGCATTTTACCCACCGGCGACAGAGACTATTCGATACATCTATCTTATCCACCAAGAGCTACCATTTTTCCGTGGAGAAGGTCTCGGACTACAATCAAGCGGTCTTTCCAAAGTCATGAATGACATGTTCAATTCTCGTGATGTCTTCTTTCTCGACTTTGTATCTTTCCAACCTAAGTCTTGTCTTGGGCAACTTATTTGGCTATGATACGTTCTTAGGTACCAACTGAAGTTCTGGCTTATTGTGCTGTGCCCTGCTACATAACGTTAGACAGTCCGCTGGAGGTGCTGTCACATATTTCAAGGCATTATGGATGACGGACTGTCAGCCCGAAGTTTTCGCGATAACAAGTGAGTCGTGTTCGTTTCGGGAATCCAGATCCTCGTGGCCAGGACGGGTATGATATGCATGGTTTCTATCTACCTGAAGCCATAGATAGATCACGCCCCCGCTGTTCCCCCGCGATTTTCCGGCAGTGAACGCGATAAGTCGATATTCGCATCGCAAAGTCTGAGGATTTCTTCTGCGCTATTGGTGTAGCTCTGGCCCGGCCGTAAGATATCGGAGGAGTCAAATTGCAGGGTCCAGCGGCCTCGCTTGATCGATATCAGCCAACCAGCGCTGCACAATTCCTTATCAGTTCGAGCCTCTCCTTCCGGCCAAGCACCACTGCTCAACCAGTCTATCTTGCAAAGATTTGCTCTCGAAATCCGCGGAAGTGTCTGAATGCTGTGATGCAGGTCCAATGGCAGTAGTACTGTGCAAGTATCGTAATATCCCACATTCTTATCTCGAAACATCAGCCAGAATACACCCTTCCGCAAATAATCATCAGCGACGGTCTCCAGGATGCCCGGGCAATCTGGTCGATGAAGGATTCTCCGCGGTGGGTGTTTATCACTAGAGAGTATAGTATGGTAGTAAACCGCTCAAGCTACCGCCGGCCTTCTTCTAGGCTCGTTTCTTTGCCTTCTCAGCGTGATCAGGGCCCATTTCATGATCCTATCTCTTTCTCCTTGATTATTCTACATTTCTCTTCTTTAACTACTGGCGAAATATACACCATACCTTGATCCAGCCATATGATTTGCATGGGACCAAATCTGGCCCATACCCTGCAGCATATTGCCGTTCATCTAGCGCCGCCCTTTAGGTAGCATGAGCCATGTCTACCGATACTTTGTCTGACTTGCCTCGACCTTCCCAAGGAAACAGAAAAGCATCTGGAACTCTGTACGGAGTTGCCCCAGTCCACTTACCCCCCTCTCCACCAGAGTCAATCTATGTCGGCAGCGATGAATCCGACCGGTCAAATCCAATCTCGAGACGGGCCAGCAATGCTCGATTACACCACCGATATCCACTACCTCCGCCATCAACCCCGCCTACTGAAATTCTGAAGGAGGACCTTAAGACGCCCGACCGCCATGTCCCGAGAGACCCTCGACTCATACGATTAACCGGAATCCACCCTTTTAACGTCGAACCCCCTTTGAGCAACCTTTACGATGAGGGCTACCTCACTTCTCCGGAACTTTTCTACGTTCGGAACCATGGTGCTGTCCCAGAAGTTGACGACGCCACAATCCTAGACTGGGAATTTTCGATAGAGGGGTTACTCGAGAAACCAATGACTTTGACCTTGAAACAACTTATCGACGAGTATGAGCAGGTCACTGTGCCTATTACCCTTGTCTGTGCCGGGAACCGTCGAAAGGAGCAGAACCAGGTTCGAAAGTCAAAAGGCTTTTCATGGGGAGCTGCTGGTGTCTCCACGGCGCTTTGGACTGGTGTTGCACTCAGCGACGTGATTAGAAGGGCAGCCCCAAAGCGTGGAGCGAAATATGTATGCATGGAAGGTGCCGACAAACTCCCAAATGGCTACTACGGCACATCGGTAAAGCTGAACTGGGCGATGGATCCAAACAGGGGGATAATACTTGCGTACAAAATGAATGGAGAGCTGCTTCGACCTGATCACGGAAAACCGCTACGGGTCGTCGTCCCAGGACAAATTGGAGGCCGTAGTGTCAAATGGTTAAAGAAGCTTACCCTCACCGCCGCACCTAGCGATAACTGGTACCATATTTATGACAACCGAGTTCTGCCCACAATGATCAGCCCGGAGCAAAGCGCCAATGAGCCCAAATGGTGGACGGATGAGCGGTATGCAATTTACGACCTCAGCACCAACAGTGCCACGGCGTATCCTGCACACGAGGAAAAGCTATGTTTGATAAATGCCACAGGCACCTATCGAGCAAAGGGGTATGCTTATGGCGGCGGTGGAAGGAGAGTGACGAGGGTTGAGGTAACTCTGGATAAAGGAATGTCATGGGTATTGGCGGATATCAGATATCACGAAGACGATTACCGAGACAATTCCGAAGAAAACGAAATGCTCTTCGGCGGCAAAATCGATATGGGATGGCGAGAAACTTGCTTTACATGGTGTTTCTGGGAAGTCGAATTGAAGATTGAGGACATGGCGATCTCATCTGATATCATGGTGAGGGCGATGGATGAAAGCATGAATGTACAGCCTCGAGATATGTACTGGAGCGTCCTGGGGATGATGAACAACCCCTGGTATCGGGTCACTATTACCAAGGAGGGCGACTACATTGTGTTCGAACATCCGACTCAACCAGCTTTGATACCAGGAGGATGGATGCAAAAGGTCAAGGATAAGGGTGGAAACCTCGCAAATGGTTTCTGGGGCGAGAATATGGGTACCCAGGCAGAAGAAGTCGTTGAGGTGAAAACCGAGATTAAGATGACCGACGATGGGGTTGCAAAGATCATAACGATCGATGAACTACGGAAACATAGTGACGAACAAAGCCCTTGGTTCGTTGTAAATGGACAAGTCTATGATGGCACTGCATTTCTCGAAGGCCATCCTGGGGGGGCAACAAGTATCACCGGCGCGGCGGGGCAGGATGCTACTGATGAGTTCATGGCGATCCGTAAGTTTCGGTTTGCGATCCCTATGACCTATTAGGCACACCTAACAATACATAGACTCGGAAACGGCCAAGGGAATGATGCCAGCCTACCATATCGGCTCCCTGGATGAAGCATCCCGTGCCATCCTCGCAGCTGGCGAAGGTGCTCCCTCCGAAACCACAGACGAACGCCCTATCTTCCTCCAACCTAAAACCTGGACAAAGGCCATTCTCTCCTCCAAGAAGATTATCTCCTCTGATACACGGATCTTCTCCTTCACCCTGGAACATCCAGGTCAAACAACCGGCCTCCCAGTCGGGCAACATCTCATGATCCGCCTCCGCGACCCGGTAACGAGAGAGGCAATCATTCGCGCATATACCCCCATCTCGGAAGGTACCGAAAATGGTATCTTAAACGTATTAATAAAGGTTTATTTCGATACGAAAGAGCATGTTGGTGGGAAAATGACCAAGGCACTCGACGCCATCCCGATTGGCCATTTCGCAGACTTCAAAGGTCCTATCGGAAAATTCGAGTATCTTGGTCGAGGAAAATGTACAGTGGGAGGGCAGGAGAGGTTCGTGAAAAGATTTATTATGATTTGCGCCGGTAGTGGCATCACCCCTGTTTTCCAAGTTTTAAGAGCGGTGCTATCGGATCCGCTGGATCAGACAAGGTGTCTTGTACTTGATAGTAACCGCCGCGAGGAAGACATTTTGTGCAAGGAGGAGATTGATGGCCTAGTCAAGGGCAGGGAAGATAGGTGTAGGCTTCTATACGCGCTTACGCAGCCTGAAGATGGGTGGTCGGGTATTAAAGGAAGAATTGGAAAAGAGTTGTTAGAGAAAGAGGTGGGGAATTGTGCGGCGAAGGATGGGAAGGATATGGTGTTAATTTGTGGGCCAGGGCCGCTGGAAAAGAGTGTTCATGAAATTTTGAATACGATGGGTTGGATGGATCAGGATTTGCTTTTCTTTTAGGCAGGAATGGAAAAATTCTTTTCATTTTGCAGGAAGCGGGTTTGTTGTGTATGCATCGATGCACATTTGGGCTATGGGTTTTTGTATGTCACTGTTTAAGGCATACCTATAAGTTTTGTGCTACATTGTGGTACAGAATCTTAAAATAGTTGAATTGAAATGAATCATGACTAGACGTTCTACATAGAATCGAGATGGGATTATACCTTATCTACTCGATCTTCGACAGCGCTAAACGCCCAATTCGATACGCATCCGGAATGAATTATAAAATACACTGCTACAGGTCAAATACTCATTCGCTTTTGTATACGAAGTACTTTAGGAAAATATTGATCTCTGCAGCTAGACGACAAGTCACCATAATAATATGTGCAGCCATAGGCAATAAGATAATTAATTTTGTTATCTACCGAAACCAAACCAGCCCTTCTTCTGTTGAGCTTGTTGTTCCCCCTTACTAGCTGGAGCAGGCTCATTCGCCTTGCTTGGGGCCTCAGGTTCGACCTGTCGTCCAGGATACTCGATATAATTCCACGCCGCATCGAAAAACAATGGTTTCACTGGAACTGGCTCCAGTTTCGGTGGGTAGGTGACAAGATTCGCCAAATCTACTTCGCCTTTGGCCGGGTATTCATCTAGGCGCTCCACAAGTGGTTGTCTGGTGGCGCTTTCTTTATTCAGGCCGCTGAGGTTAGAGAGTTCAACCAATGCTCTGTAGCGCTGGACTTCGCCGTCTAGCAGGTCTTTGAGAAATTGGGCTTCCGAAGATGAGATTGAGATATTTGGGGGTGACGAGTCAGAGGTATCCATGGACGAGGAGAGATGCGTATGCGCCGCATTACATTTTTCCGAGGCACGGCAGAGGAGAGCAAGCGCATTTCGGGGATTTGATAGCAACGCGTGAGAACGAGCTATTGTTAAACACCTGTAGAAGCAGCATTAATACATGTGTGTGAGCGGCGAGACAACAGCATCGGACTTACTTAAGGGCTGAGAAATAGTTAGATTTTGCTTCCAATTCCTCTACAAATTCTGAGTCTGCAGCAACACCGGGTAGCTCTTTGATTGATTCAAGACTCTGGAGTATGCCCTCATAAAGCACAGCTTTCTCCCGTAAATGTGCAAGCTTGCGGCCTGTTCCCTCCTCATTTGATTTCTTCTGGTTGGTTTTGTGTTTGCTGGTGGTAGAACTGGCTATTACCGCCCCATCCCGCTCCCCAACAAGGACCCTGTTCCGCCCTATACGCCAACTGATCATATCATAACTGACCGCAGTACGCGTAATTTGTAGACTTTGCAACCGTTTATCTCCTTGGTCAACACCTTCCGCCACTAATTCGTCTATAGCATGTTTTGTCGCATCGACAGCGTCTTGACTCGAGATAAGAACATCATCATAAGCCGAGGCTTTATCTTTGGGTTGCGCAGCACTTGCCGACCCTAATGCTTCCGACAACTTTTTTGTCGCACTGTTCACTGATGCTAGAGCAGTTGCAATTGCAGCGTCTTCTAAATCAACTGTGCGAGATCTCCAGGTGATCGATTTTGGGACAGTTTCTGTATCTGCCGCCTCGGATCGAGCTTTTGTAGGCTGATCATTCAGTACTTCAGGATCCAATTTCTCGACTTGAGAGACCAACTCGGCATCCGAGCGAGGGAAAAATTTCCGAGCTATAACCGGTGCAGCTACTGTCCGTGGTATCCTCAACTGATATGCTCCATATCGTATACTGACATCAACTGGATCTGAAAGTAGATCTTTAAATATGTCCGATTTTGTGGCTGTAGCGAGTGCGCTATATATGATTCGAGCTTCCGAGTAACTCGTCACACAGGCTTTCCAGCTTTGCTTCTCGAATTCCATAGCCCCAGCGAGGGAAGAGGCATATGCACGTGCTTCGAGCACATCCCCATTACTCGCACCTGTTGTCGCCCGATCCTCTAGAAGTTGGAATAAATTATTCGCATAGACGGTAGCTTTATGAAGACGGGATATAATGTGTGATCGAGTCGATCCAGTTATCCCTTTCGTTTCGGTGGAGTGCGTCTCCCGCATCGACATGGCATTTGCCCATGCTCGTTCTGCGGTGAGTAGGAGAAGCTGGACAAACCTGTGGAACGCAGGTTAGCATAGAGTCAGGAGAGCCAGAGCTATTATTAAAAGCCAAATTGACTTACTCGTGATTGCGAGCAACATCTTCTTTTGTCACCGGGACATTGCTTGTGTGTTTCGCCCGCGGCTTTGCTGCAATACCTAATTTTCTACGGAGATTGTGGATGCGGTTTGATAGCTGTGATCGGTACGTCGCATAGTCTCCATAGAGCTTCGCCTTGTCGCGCCCATCGACAACAAACTTAGTGATTTCCATGACTTTGGATATCGTTGAATATCTCACAAGCCCCCGTTGCAAGATCTCCAAGGTAATTCCGTGGTGGTGGTGGGCTCCTAATCCGGTACGTGGGGTTAACTTCTTGGTGCCTGGATTTGGAGACCCTGGATGCCTGACCAGAAGTCAGACCATTCGGCGATCGGGTAAACTCCGGCAAAACTAATTGGCATGTTTTATTGCTCTCGAGAGATCTCGGAGCTTCAAACCTCTTGCTTCACTTCATTACTCTCCCTGCTCCGACTCAAGTTCATAACTCTCCACCGCTTTGAACTCAATTCTTCAATCGCTTAAGGTACCGTCGGTTCTATAAAGCCACCATTCAAATTACGCCCGAACGGTTATTCCATGCCGGCTTTTGCATTTTCCATCCAGTGGCTAATGCAACATCAATCTAGCTCGATAGCTTGTCCACAATAATACTATTTGCCCACCCACAACGAGATACTCTCTCAGGCTCTTTTGCCTCCATTGGCATTTGCAGGGCATGCTGGAGCGCACCGCTGGATGTCTCGAACCAGCCAGCCTCTGGCGTCTGCTGCCAGCATCCAAAAAGTCCTTGAGCCGTCGTCGCACGCTCCATCCAGCGTTTTGGAACCATGCAACAGGTGCTCTTGAGCTTTCCCCCTTATGGGCCGCCTTGGTTACGAGTTCCGATACACAACTAGAAGAGATCGCACCGGAGCGGCGAGGTTCGGGTAGCAGCAGAGACAAGTTTTTAGGAATTTTATATCCTCCGGGGACTACCAACTTCCTTCGACATTATCCAGGATGGGTATCGGATAGGCAGGATTGCAGGCGAAGGGCAAGACTTGCAAAACTGGGCCAACGATCATATTCGTCGTCTGCCAATGATGCGTCTACTACTGTCGTTGTTGAACCGCCTGAAGATGGCACCGAAGTACGTGGAATTCAAGGAGATATTGTGGGAGATGGATTATTACGCAACAAGCTAGGTCTTGACGAGCCATACGACTGCGATGAAGCATGGCGGAAATATCTGTCACTTGACGAGACGTCCCAGAAGCTAGCACGGAACATTATGATGGAGTACTTCTCGCTCTCGAGAAAAAAACGGGAAGCGGAGAGGATAATCGACTTGTTTAACGGATTGGATCTTGAAAACCGTGACGCTAGAGCATATCACTACGCAATCCGCGCCCACTTGAAATTACAAAACCAGGAAGGTGCCTGTCAGCTATACGAAACCGTCCTCTCTAGCCTCCGTCTGCCTGTGGGATCAGATGAGCTTCTAGCTTACTTGATGAAATCGGCCTCTTGGGAAACTGCCCGCGATATATGGTCCAGCGCCCGTCAGCTACTAAAGCAGTATCCAAATCGCCGTTTCAAAATATACGCGGTCCTCAAACAGCAGCCGAATTACGGTGATTTACTCTGCCAATTAGCAGAACATGCCAACAACACTATGAAAGATGCCGCTCAAGACGCCAACGAAGATCCTCTAGGGGTTTTAAATTTTGCCAAGGACTTGGTTGAAAGAGCCTTAATGGGCGGCCATTCATTAAGCCCAACTACGCTCGATACACTGTTAGGCTATCTCCATCAATGGGATGCTCTTTCGCCCAAAGCTCTCCAGCGAGCTGTTACCAAGCTTTTCGAACTAGACGCACTACCGCTTGCTGTCCAGTGGTATCGGAAATTGAACGGGGAAAAGGATTTTAGTTTCACCCGCACCACGCTTCACACGCTTCTGAAATTTTTCTGCGTTAATCAGCATACTCGAGGGATGCAACAAGTTCTAGATGACTTCTTCCGCTATCACGGAAAGCCGTCTCTCCCCGCATATAAAATGTGCATGACTGAGTTTGCTTGCCAGGGCGACGTCGAGACAGTCCATGGGCTTTTTGATCAACTTATAGATCATCATACTAGCCATGAACATCCTTTGAATGACCCCGACTATATTGCACCTATTCTTCACGTTCACTCAAAGCGAGGCGAGATAGCCAAAGTTATCAAGACTTTTAATGAGATTACCGAGAAGCACAATCTGCAACCCTCTATTCTTTGCTGGAACATTCTCATCGGTGCATACGGTAGAGTGCATGATGTTGACACCGCCTTTGCAACCTTCGAGTCGGTGCTCAGTTCGTCCGATCTTGAACCCAATGACCATACTTTTGCCACTGTCATGGGTATCGCAGTATCGCGCGGTGATCTTGAACGTGTGGCTGAACTCCATAAGCTTGCTGCAGATCTTAACGTCAAAAATAATTATGCCATGGTCGACTGTGTCGTCCAGGCCCATATTCAGAATAATGATCTTTCAACAGCTGAGAACGTGTGCGAGAAAGCTGCCACGTTGGACCTTGATGGCTCTCCAACTCGGATGTGGAATTATCTCATTGTTGCTTACGCTCTGCGTCGTGATCTGGAAAATGCAAACCGGATACGCCGCCGGATGTCCGAGTTGCAGATTAAAGATGACCAATATACCTACGGGGCAATAATGCAAGCTCTGTCAATGGTTGGTCAACCTGATCAGGCTTATAGGATCCTAAAACATAGTATCCCAGATGCAGGATTCAAGGTTACCAATTTTCACTATGCTGTTCTGATGGGGGGCTATCTCGCCGTTGGAAATGTTGCCAAAGTCTTCCGCCTATATGATGATTGTGTTGGCCGGAATATACCCCAATCAGCGAGCACCAATTTGCTGCTCATGAAAGCCACAGTCAGGCCAAATTCACATTTATTAGAGCACAACCCGGAAGGCGGGATGTTTCAACGTGCAATAGATATGTTTTTAAACATGGGCACGCAAACTCCGCAAATTTCCGAAGGCCCTGAGAAAGGGACCTCCTCCCTGCCTCTAGATATAGCATACCCGGCTGCTCTTCATAGTTATTTGATGTATGTGGCCGCCCAGCAGGGCGAGTTGCAGACAGCTCGAGATCTCTATGAGCGCTATAAACTTGTCGTTCCCGAGGATCGACGGAATGATCCTCCGCTTCAAATTATTAGCGCGTTGATGGCAACAAAGTGGCAGGAACGTGATCTAGGAGGTGTTCAAGAATGCTGGGAGCTGGCATTAGCTCGTGCCCAGCAGGCGGCTGTGCAGCCCCGACATCTTCCACGTTCGCTTTCACAAAGTGACAATCTCGCCTCTGAAGATTCAGGGAGGATCCCATACCATCGGCAGCTTGATCTAGCCAAGTGTGTTTCGTGGTACTTGCAATCCCTCGGTCTCCAGGGTAATGTTGATCAAATGGCTGTTACAATCGACGATCTCCTCAAGATAGGATTTGTCCTTGACAACCACAACTGGAACATTTACGTCAAGGTTCTTTGTTCTAAGTCTAAGGCGAAGTTAGCCTTTCAAGTGTGCGAAGATAGACTCATGCCCGGGTTCACAGGCTGGTCACACATACGGCGGCAGTTGCCTGTGCGAAACAGGCTACCTATTGAAATCCGTAGGCTTCGGAAAGATCCACGTTATTGTCGGCCAGCGCCCTCTACCATATTAGTACTAGCAGATGTCTACCTCATGATCCAGGATGCTGCTATAGAGTCGCCGGCAAGTCAATATTTGCTTGAAGAGATAAGACGTTCCTGCCCCAAAACCGTCTCAGCTATGGAGACGATGCCACGCACGAATGACCCTATGGAGCGAGAAATATTAGGCGAGCAATGATCACATGTATATTACAGTTAGAAGATGCTATCTTATTGGTTGGGTGTATATTTAGTCGTGTATCAAATAGTTGTGAAACAGAGCATCTATAGACAAATTTAATCCGCAGTTCGAGGCCAGAGTAAATAGCAACGCGACTGGGATCCACTACCTTTACTGTGGACAAAAATGCCACGGAACAAAGCTTGCTTCCGATTATTCTAAACCTTATTAGATGGTATCAGCTATCCTAATCAACTCCTCGCGTAATTGAGGGTTTTCAGGGAGAGTAGGTGCCTCCATAAACTTTAGGATATAGTTAGATCTTATGCTCCGCCCTCTAAGCCCCCCCGGTAAGGGTTCGCTAGAGATCTTTACAACATATCTACGATCCGGAGAAAGAGAGGAATGCATCCTCATTGCTCTGTATACTAGGGACTCAACTAATGAAACGACTTAAGATTGATCTTCTAATTTTCTCATCTGCTTATCTGAAACTCATTCAGCTCAATATATACACATCTAAACGCTAAACTACAGCCTTTTATATACCTAGTTCAGGGACATCAATTCGCGAGCCCTGCTTCTATTCGAAATAAACCAAAGGCCCAGTGGCTGCTCTCAGTAATATCTATCAATATTCTAGCCGGGGTCTCTTATATATATAAGTCAAAATAAGCAGATCTCTTTTAACTAGTATAGCGGTCGCCACTTGGCTAAGTAGTTCAAGTAATGTTATACTAGTGAGTAGTTGAGGTACAAGACGTGTAGGAATATCGACACCTGATCGAACCGTTTTACCATTCAGAATTCTTATAGTTTTATTGTCTTTTGTTTCTGTTATTTTAATCTTCGTAAGTGGTTTTGTTTTTGCTGGTATTGTTATTTGTCTCTTTTCCAACTCCCTAAGTGAGGGCTTAGGTGAGATATATTAGTGCATGGATTGGTAAATCCATAAGTAACCCATCAAAATGAATGAACAGGTATGATGCTTTTAATCATGAGATTGATTATTTACATTTATAGCTATTCCCGATAGACATTCCTGATAGATATTCTCGATAGACACGACCTTGTAGATGCGTCAAAATGGTCCTCCTAGAACCGAAAACTGAGGGGTGTATCCTGATCACAGCCCAATATACTCCGTCACAATCTAATCAATATCCCAAGCCTATAGTCCCAAATCCGGGTACTTACTCCCCATACCATCCAATTTACTCCTGCAGTAACTCAAATACCATCCATGCCCTCTTGGGGGCCCGGTACTCCAACTCCCAGATCACGGAGCTTCTTTGCTAGTAGACCTTCAGCCACAACTTGCCTTCCATCCGGAGAACCCGCAAATGGATTGCCTCCGTACCCAACATCTCCTTTGTTAAGCTTGTCATAGCCACCAATACCTGTCGAGTTGCTATTCCAAGACATGGAGTTTCCCAGGCCAATTGATGTTGGTGATATACTGCTCTTATTTGAGTCGGATGACTGAATATTCGAGGGTCGCTCCTGACCGGAATCATCTTCACTCCGAATGGGCTTTCGGAAAAGACTGAACGGAATGGGCTCAATCGGCACAGCGCTGCCATTCTCCTGCCCAGGTGAAAATGCCGGGCCATTGTTGAATCCCTTCTCAAGCGCTTGGGTGATTCCTTCCATACCGTCGTAGGCTCGGTTTGACGGCCCGAGGGCAAAGCCCGAGCTGCGCCTTCTATATGCCTTTTCTGCTGCGAGGTTCGCGCCCGCGCCGCTCATTATACTATGTCCAAGAGTGGAATCCCGTACCGGTTTATATACACTGAATCTCGGGTCCGGCATGGATATTTCATTTCGTAACTTTTCCTTCCCATCTGGCACGCGATTTGCGAAAACAACTCTAATACTTTTGTATAAATAAAATCGTCCCCGAGAAGGGGAACATATATGTAGATGTATAAGATAACGAAGTGTCGGTCGCTCCACCGAGTTTGTAGCAGGAGTTTGCTGCGATGACGACAGTGCCGAGTCGATGATAGGGCCGGTCGAATAGCTCCGCTGACGGATGAAAGTCTTGGTTCCAGGTTCCATTCCAGTCAGATCGTAGGGAACTAGAAAGAGTTTCACGGCCGTCTTATTTGGGTTCTTGATGATAACCTGGAGTTGGCCCTTCTCTGGTATTCTATAACTACCGCCAGGAGGTGCTCTAGGCGAGGCTGATCTGCGCTTCTGCTTTTCAGCCCTCCGGATTTCTCGGTCTGACGGTTGGCTGGTGCTGTGACCGTCGGCCGCTTCCAAATTGTCTATACGACTTCGCCCTATGTTGGCATTCCGTTGTTTCCGCTTGCTATCTCTGGTTTCATCTGGATTTGGAAGGCTGTTCTCCAGATCTATTTGGCCAACATACGGGCTAGGTCCATCTTCAGACTTCGCGGACCGACCATGGGTTGTAGTTTCATAGCTATAAAATACAGCCGGAAAAGGTATCATGACGTGTGCGGGGCACCGGAGGCTCATTTTACACTTGCCAAGCCCCAAGACGCCAATCTGAGCCATAAAATCAAGGGGCTTAGAGGGCGTGGTTGACATTCGTCCTCGGAGGATGCTTTCTTCATATGAGCCCACCATTGAAGCGTGGTTCAGAGGCGAGTTTTCTGATTGATATGACGGTCTCCTTGAACGCAAGAAGCTCGGTGTTTGAGGGGATGGATTGGATGTGAGGGATCTTCTTGGTTGGTGGGCTTGATAGGGATGTGTATTATCTCGCCGAAGATGCGGCAACGGCCTGAAACTTGAGGCCGTAGCGACATTTGGCGTTGAATGGATAGAATGCGATGCCTGTAAAGTGTGGCGGCGAGAGTTCCTTTTCTGGTGCGGTTCAATGTCTATTGGGTTTATACTTGATGATAAATCCAGGTCATCATTGCTTTCAGACTGAACCAACGGACTAGTGGGCGGTTTTAAAACAAAGCTCGATGAATATGACGATGACAGCGAGGGAATCCGTGACCTGGCTTCAAATTCTGCATCAAGCCTGTCGACTGGTGGAAATCGAGGATCGAGTTGGAACGGTAAGAAATTTCTCGGGGGAGAAGAGGCAAGCCATGCCGACTTTTGGGACCCGAATAACCCGTAATCATCATTATGAGCCCTTTGAATGCTTTCTTGCGGCCCCTCCGTGAAATCACCACTATGCAACGCTGATCGTGGTCTTTCAATCTGCAGGCCGGCTTCCGACTGTTCTATATCGACTGCCGCGGTGCGTTGTGACTCGAAAATTTGCGGTGAGGGTAATAACGGCGGGGAACCAGTGCTATCATCAGGAGTTGTTTTCTTTGGAGTAGAATGGCAGTCTTTAAGTAGGGACTCCAGCTAAGATCTGAAGTCAGTCTGAGAATACTTATAAAAATGCAAGCGTGCAACAAATCCCGACTCACATTCCTGTTTGGTAACCAGGTCGGGCTCTCCCCTTTCTTAAGCCGGTCAATAAGTTCCCCTCGATCAAATGTTCCATGTCCATGAAACGGGAATTCGAAGTCAGCATTCAAAGTGCCGACGGGACGTGTTGCCTGGTCCTCAGGAGTGTCCGGGAGTGGGCCCTCACACAATTCCGTCCGTATGCTTTCTTCAGAAAGCCTTCGAATGATCTGAATCTGGTTGAGCGGCGAGCTCGTCCGAGGACACTTTGCCGGCTTGTCTGGCTCTACACCTTGGCCGGCGCCGAGGTCGTGGTCGTCTTGGAAAATAGGCATCTTTGCGTCCCCAGATGCTCTTCTCGTTGTCATATAAGCATCGTAGAGATACGGGAGTTAACCCTCAGCGAGTTGAATGGTAGGTGAGGGAGAACGACGTTGGAGTGGCGGAGATGATGCGATGTGAAATGAAAGCGGGGAGGTCCACGTCTGGGTCCACGGCGGTGTTTGTGACCTCGTGGCGTGTGTAATGATATGCAGAGTTTCACCAAACGGGCACTCCAGAATATTGGTCTCACTCGATGTGAACCAGAGCCGACATGGGATAGTAACTTATAACATACAATCGCTGGAGAAAGTCGGTGAGGGTAGCGGCATCCAGAGTATAGACCGGGAGAAGATGCCAAGTCGTGGGTTCTTATCGTCATCAGCGTTCTGCAATCAGTTGCCACCAGCCCACCGATGACACCCCTACAAGTCCTTGCAATAATTTTGTGCACCGCCTAAGAATGCGCCAGACCTGACAACTCACTGGCCCGTCAACCGCGACATTGGCATCTGGGCAGCTCAATATTCTCTCTATTAACATTAGCAACAAACACGCTATGTCGTCCAAGAGAGGTCTTGAAGGTGATGATGCAACAGCACCATCGCCGAAGAAGCATCGCTCGGGATTCAAAATTGGCCCGGACAATCTGCCCGATGGGGTCCATCGAAGAAAAGGTACAGCGCAAAAAAGACAAGACCTGCCGTGCTCTGCCCTACCACCTCCGATGCCAGACGAAGAGCTAATATATTCCCTTCTATCTAGTAATCAAGATAAAGAAAGATTTGATCCATAAAGCCAAAGTTAAAAAAGCATACGCAAAAATCAAGGCGCAAGAGCCTATGCTCGAAACCCCAGCAGTGACTTTACCTCTCCCAGAACCCGCTCCTCTAGAGTTACATCCTGAGCGCCAGGCTATGCTTGATGCTCTCCGTGAGCCCACACCGCCTCCAGACCAACGACCCCGACAGGCTCAACAGAAACGAGCGACGAGGAGACCGGCGTATTTCGAAAAGCAAGAGGCAGAGGCCGCTCAAAGGAAGGCCGAGGCCGAGGAACGGAGAGCTGAGTTTGAACGGAGACAGAACGAAAAAGCCACGAAAATTGAAGAGAGGGATAGGTTCCGGAAGGCAATGGCAAAGGCGAGGGTAGGTGGGAGGAATGGGCAGAGGAAGTTGGGACGCGAAAGCCAGGTACTTTTGGAGAAGGTCAGGAGGGTCGTAGGCGAATGAAGCCAAGGCAAGAGAGCAATACAAATATGATACCCTTTTTTTGGCGCAGATGGCTTGCCCCCAAATATTCGGTTTGGTTACCCTGTTCCGATGGTGTTGAGCGCCAACTGAGTCACGGGTGATGGGATCTAGTGGGAAGGAAGCAGGCCTCGGTGAGTCTGCTGAAGAGATCGTTGTTTCTCCTCATGGCGTACACCCTAGGTGAGCGATTGGGGGGCGGTGGGTTAAAGGCTCACAAATATCAGTCTGTCGCATATCAACATCCCTAGTGGAGATATCTACTAAGGATGACCTGTTCGGTTGTTCTGTTGCATAGTTGCGATAAATATTACAATATCCCCAAATAGAGTTGAAACATTCTATTAAGTTCTATTTTCGAATCTATATGTTGACTCTCCAAACTCTACGTATTCCACATATATGCTTCTAATTTTACCCTTGCCCTACATCCCTAATCCTGCTTCAAACTGCTAGAATTGAGAAAAGCCTCGAGATTCAAGAGACGACGGCCAAATATACACGGCCATGATGTGGACGTCTGTATCTTAATATGCTGACACGGCGATCGGACAATAGATTTTGCAGTTTTTAGAGAGCCAGGCAACCAAGAAGTTGGACCAAGTACAGAAACAGGATTCCCGATACCTTAATATATCGTACCATTTCATATATGAAACCTGGCAAAGGTGACTTGTCTCTTTGGGAGCGTACTTATCTTTTTACAGCATTGCTAACGATCCGAGAAGATAATCACGTTCGACCACCGCAAATTGAGAACCAGTAACCCACATCATCGCCTCGAACTACTATCCACTCAGGATCCAGGTGGTCGGCCTAATATCCAATGTCCAACGCCAACGAGGCCCTCTCAAATAGGACAGCCGTTTAACCCCGTTCACCTTCGCCCGTCTCCAGAGGTCGGGAAAGGGGAACTAACCAGGGCTAATCATTGGTCTTCAAGCTCCAAACAAAATAACGATACTGGGCGCCTTCCCTGTATCAGCAGATATCAGCAGATATCATCAAATTATTTTGCGGTATGTAACACATCCGGGTCGTAGCTCAATCTCGACCTTCCTTGTGGTTTTTCATATATTCAGGACATTAAAACACCCGCACGATTATCAGTCATAGTGAGCAAGAAGAGATACTAGTGGTCTTCATGGAGGCGCCTTTGATGACTGCTAGTAGCAGTCTTACCGCCTGATGCCCCGATATCTATAACCAGATTATGCTACCCGCCCAAAATACTATTTTACTTCGTGTCGAGTGTTATATATACAATTAAGATCGATCTTGAGGGTACGAAGTAGAGAGCCGGCATGGAGACTCCCGCGGCCTGTCGGCCCTACTACAACTGTACTGCCAAACTCTGATACACCACTAGAATGCAATCGTAGGCCGTATGGCTCTAATTAATGCTTATAGAGCCCGTTCTTAGCAGCCCTTTCTTCACAAAGCATTTCTTAATCCGTTGAATGCTTGTTGCTGTCGCATAGATATTGGCTGTTAATAGCAGAACGTATTGTCAGAATTTCGTCATTGTCACACTGAGAATCATCACATTCATTAACTCGTTCGCCAGCTGATTCCATTCAATATCTAACCCCTCTCCTCTTCCTCCGCTCCGCCAGTGCCAACTGCTCCCCCAACTCCGCCAACTCCCTCCTATACAGGGCCTTCTCCGCCCCCGACATATTCGCAATCTCTTCGGATTCTGCGTCCCCTCCAGGGAAATAGTCGTGTATAACTGAGTTCCAACGGCCCGTCACCTCCACTGGCTTCTTTTTAAGGCTCTTCCCATATCGCAGGCGCTCCTCTCCGTCAAGGTCGTCATCTGAGTTATATTCGCTCTTCTTGCGCTTTGGCTTCGGTTTGGGTTTCTATAAACCTTGGTCAGTCCAATTATTAAAGTAAACGGGTTATCGCAAGTATAGATGTGGAAACTGTTAGACGTACGCCTGCTTCCAGCCTTTCTTTCTCCCTTCTTGCCTTCATCCGCTCTATTTGTCTCTTCTCCGCTGCTGAGAGCGGCTCCGGTAGCCGTTCAAGTTCTTCCTTTAGTTCGGCTAAGTAAACCCGTTAATAAACTGTCTAGCCATTATTGGCGCCGCATCGCCGTAGTGAACGGGTGTGAGTATGTAAGGACAATATTGGAAGTGCTTGACTTACCCCTCATAGTTCTGTTCTGCTCGCCCAGCTTTCCCACCCGTGCCTCCACCTCGAGATATCTGATTTCTTGTTGTAATGCCTTGCGTTGGCGCTGGATAAGGCTTCTTTCTTGCATGTTTGACTCATTCGCAAGAGTGGTTAATGCCTTCAGCTCATCCTTGAGAAATTCGATTTTAGCATCAATATCCTTCTGCTGCCGTGATACAAATGCGGGCTTTTCTTGGATAGTTGGCGGGTTCTGAGCTAGAAAACGTTCCAACTTTGCCTGTTGGATCTCTTCCTTCGTAGGGACATGCTCCCCGAATACACTGTCAACCTCGTCACGGGCCTGTAGTCCGGAAAACAAAGCATTGTCATTGTTGATAGATAATCGATTCTCGGATTCTCGCCGATCTGTAATAGACGTAAATGGGGGAGGTGTCGGAGTGCGTCTTGGGTCCTCCCGAGGAGGTTTAACCCGAGTCTTGCGAACTTCTTTGCGAAGGAAGGTATCTAGCTTCCCCATGTTGAGCAGGAGTGGGCAGAGAATGCGGAAAGTTGAATAGAACGTGTTATTGAGGGACACGTGCTGTTGAGTGAGATTTGCAGTTTAAAGATGTCGTACTCTTGAATAAGATCAGAAGTTTGAATATGATGTGTTGCGTTGTTATAAGAGGGTAGAGGTTGAACACAGCGTGCTGTTAACTGAGGTGGGAAATTTGGACACAGCGTGGGGTTCAGCCGTTGAGAGAGGTCGGAGGTTAGCCACAACTTAGTATTAAGACAGATCGGAATCGTGATCACGGTTTGGTATTTGGAGCGTAGTGCTGTGAGGTTGGAAAGAATGTTACCGTTGGGAGTTTGATCACGGCTGGTGTTGAGAGCGGAGTGGTGTAAACTTGGGGAGAAGGTTGTTTTGGGAAAGAAGATGAGATGTGGAAGAAGGGCAGCTTAAATAGAAGTCAAGCCAAACAGTGAATATCCCGCCCCCCTCTGAATTCCAGAATAGGAAAGACAGTCCAGCTTACATGGGCTATCTACCTAGGTATATCAGACGAGTCATATGAGTAACCCCTTCCTCAATTAACCAAGGTTGTTGTTAAGAGACCGGAAGTCTGATCACAGTGGGGGTTGAGAGAGGAGAGTGATGTGAAGTTGGGAATAAGGTTGTAGTTGGAAAGGAGATGGGGATGAGCTTAAATAGAAGTCAAGTCAAATAGTTAATATTCTAGAAGATAAAAGTGTACGAGGCGAGTCACATGAGTAGCTCCTTCCTCCGTTGGCCACCTGAGGTATATAAATCAAAATAAGCGATTTGTGTGTAAGGAAGACAAAAGGCGGCCACTTGGCTAAGTGGTTCAGGTCAAATTGGCTTCTGGAGAAGGATCGATAGGGGGGAAAAAAGCGACCAAAACGACAAAACACCAAAAGCAACCAAAAAGCGACAAGAGATGTAGGCAATCGCCCGGGCCGAACTCTTTTGCTTCCAGAGTGTATGATCCTGTAAAAAATAGTTTTGCCCCTTTTTCTCGTCCTGATCGATGTTTAGTATATATATATATTTCGCCTATTGTAGGTCGAGATTTGGCGAGGAGAGCTTACGTACTCCAATCACTTAGCTGCCTGACACGCTCTCCGCTTGGGTATAATGTTCAAACTGTTTGGAAACGACTTGCTCACTTCCTAAAATTGGCCATCCAGTGTGTACACAGGCGTGGACATGAGATAGGCCTGGTGGAGAGTGTAAAATTCAAACGTAGGGATTACAAAAGATGCTGAAATCGAGACTAGAAGTAAACCCCCCCCTCCAATATCTGATGCTCAAAGTCCAAATTCTTGTACAGCACACAAGATCAATAAGAGATTAGACTTCTAATTAAGTTCTAGCTTTTCTCGAATACAAAGACGAGGCATATGGACAGTAGTAGAGGCCGAACTACGGCTATAAACATAATCAATAATACACAAGATCAGGAACCGCATTCGAAAGCGCCGCGCGATGCTCATCCTTTCAACATAACGGGTCGACAAAAGGCTTTTCGAACAACGACAAAGGAGTAGGCAATTCGAAATGGACGACCCGAACTTTTTTGCCTTTTTAGATCTTGGTTTTTATCTACATCTATATTACTGTAATTATCATCAATTAGTACGATGTTTTTGTTTTTGTTTTATTTTTATTGTTGAAGACGGGAGCTCGGCTACTTTGGCTAAGCGAAGCCTAAAAGGGGGCTGGGGCAACAACAAGTCAATTCATTTAATCATCGCTAAAGCGGGGTACGTAAAAGCAATATCTGCTACATCGATGGTTTTCATTCAAATATATTCCGAGCTAATTTGGCATTGTGCTCCGCGAAATCAACCTCGCAGGTTCCTAGGAGCCTTGATACGAATTGAATAATTGAATTTCCTTTTCACCCAAGTTTCGTCCATCACGACAATTTTCAAGCTAATAAACGCGCTTTGGTGGCGCCGCAAAACAAATAATGGGGGATATCAAGTCAAAAGCACAAAGCTAGCTAAACCCCGCAAAACCAGCAGGAAATGGGTGGGAAGGGGAAACGCCCGAAAAATGGATTAAAGTCAAACTCGCTATTCCAACGCAACGCCTGCCGAATTCTGGCTAGGATGGGTGAGATGTACATTTCGTAGAAGGCTAAAAACACAGTCGTGTGCAAGTGTGATAGCTACCTAGGTAGGTAGAGAGGGGTGGTTTAGGCGTTGCCGAAGATTTCGTGGCTGTTCTCGATAATGAATTGTACGGCGTTGTTCTTTGCGTGCATGTCTGTCATTTCACGCTCCAGACTGTGATCGCGCATGATTGTAGGCGCGAATACAACAGCAAGATTCTTGGGAGTCATCTATAGTGAGTTAGTTACGAGCCCTGCGAGCAGCGAGGAATTACAACATACCAAGTTCTCACTTTCTCTGACAGCCACACGAGCAAGATGGAATATCAGGAATTCAAGGCAGTCCCGATGTTTGGGAGGAAGGCTATTGAATGTCTTCCAAAGATGAGAACAACGCTCTTTGTCATCCTCGATAGCTAAAATCATATTAGCCAAGTCCAAAAACGACATAAGAAGAAGCTTACAGGCTGATTCTAGAACGCGATCATAGACGTCAAAAGTCAAGAGAGGTGTGGGTAGCCTGCGGAAGTATTGCTTGAGAACACTGGTCACAGCAGTGATATCCAGTCCAGGATCGGATATATCGAAATCCTCCATTCTGTCAAATCCCTCTTGAATCATCTTGACTTGCCCACTTCCACCGGTCTTCCTGTAGATACCTTCAATATCCATTCCTCGAAGCTCAACCTCTTCAATGCATCGGGTGACCACGCTTGGGATCTGGCGACGTTCATACTCGGCTCTTTCGACGAGGTCAGATCCAAATAGAGTTGAGGGGGCTTCTGCAGCTGCAATGTTGCCATTTGACATGGATTTTGGCATAGCGCTCCCTTTCTTGAATAGCCCAAATCCTTGTCTCGACGGGTCGTTAGTGGCTGTTCGTGGAAGACTACCGGATGACATGCCCCCAGCCGAGTCTAGAGGTGTGACTGTCATGTTGTACGGCATCCCAATACTATCACCAGTCTGGCCTTGCCACTGCTGGTTGGTAGGTTGCACCGAGCCAAAAGCACCCTTGAAGCCCTTGGAGACGCCCTTCGCCACAGTCTGTCCACCTCTCTTCCAGTTGAACTTCTTTGCCTGGCCCTTCCGAATGTTCACAACATGTGGAGCCGACAGGACGGTGGCCGGTTCCATATTAGGATCATGATCCATTGCTTGTGGATAGGCATTGACAGAGCTAAACACAGTGGTGCCGGTCAATGGCCGAAGGCTTGCATCATCTATAGATATAGTGGACTTGTCCTTGCTGTGGTGTGTATAAATTCCTAGTCCATTCATTGGCGGCCGCGGACTCTCCATGTGTCCACTTTGAGCCTTGAATCGTTCTTGAATTTGGTGTGTTAGATCGTTGTTCATGTCAGCAAGCTGTGCGTTCTTAGAGGACAGCTGCTCAAACTCCACCAGAGCTCTGTCGCGATCTGCCACGATCTGATTCTTCTCCTCAAGAAGCTCGTTGCGCTCTTCGTAGAGAGCCTCCACGGCCCCAGACATGGTTTGCTTGAGCCGCTCTAATTTCTGGACAAAGTCTTTGATGGATGACTCTTCTAACTCCGCAATGTCGATAGGTTGCTTAGAATCTTTGGCCTTCTCCACATAACCGGCCAGAACCTCCAATTGTCGGATCATAATTTCGGTTTGCGAATCCAGTACCGAGACGGTCTTTCTCTTCTCAACCAGCTTCCTATTCAACTGCTTGAGATCCTTTTCACTGGCAAACTGTCGCTCCAGCTCAGCAACTCTTTGCTCAGAATTGCGGAGCTGCCTGCGTAGTAGTGCAGGATCATCACCCGGCGTAGGGGAGGAAATCGAAATAGGGCTGCTAATATCTTTGGTATTTACGCCTTCCATAATGGGTGTTTTCGGCCATCGTGGCGATGCTACTGTCCGGGCCGTTGTCTCGCTAACGCTGCGACCGTGACCTACGTGACGACCAGCGCTGCTTGCCTCACTGGCATTTCTTCCATGGCGCACAGCATTTGATACACGGCGAAGTATCGACTGTGAGCCCTCATCGGTCCCCCCCAAGATCCGAGCCATATCCTCATCCATGGTGAAATCCCCACCGGCACTCCACCGGGGTAACTTGGGAGAGGGTGGTGCACCATTTAAGGAATCCTTTGGTGTATGCGGCATTCCTGCCGGGGGCGCTGGAGGAGCTCTGGGGGCCATGTAGGTGTCGCTGAGTTTTGGCGCTGGGCCAGCTGGACGAGCAGGCGCACGGCTTGGGATTTCGAGATCCTCTTCCATGGGAGACTGCAACAGCGTAGGTCCGGATATGGCCTTTCCATTGAGAGTAGGGGTGTGACCAGGAGTATCTGACGAGGAATCCGTTGATGGTGATGTTTCCGCTCCAGAAGAAGAGCCCATAGTACTCACAACGTTCTTCACAATGCCTTGAGGGAGATCTTTACGGGGGATAGATCTTGAGGCAGGAATAGATGAAGCATTCGAGTCCATGGATGGTCTTGAACCTATATCATCTCTTGTTCTAGACTCTTGCGACGAACGAGGGGTTCCACCTCTCTCAGTGCCGAGGTGGACATGGGGTGACTCTGTCTTGGGGATACTCATCGTCGAATCCTTGCGCGGTGGTAAGGCAGGCTGAGCACCACTAGATGTAGAGACTGGGGACATATCTTCGGTGTCTGGCTGCGAGCCCCTTCTGGGGGTGCCAGTCTTCTTGTTCTTCGGTACTTCGCCCAATCTAAATTTCTCGCTGGACGATGGGTTCTTGCTGCTCGAACTTGAGCTCTTGGAAGAGTTGGCATGCTGTACCCGGACATCGTCACTTCCAATGGCAGGAGAGTTCCTCGCAGACACCTTGCCTCCTGCCTGGGCTTTGCGTATGCTCTCTTTGATCTGTGATGTTTCATCTGCAGAAGGCTGGCGGCCTTTGTCCTGAAAGGCGATATGGGGTGTTGAGGAAGAAGAATTTACATCCGCGGTTTTCTGGGCCTCATGTTGAGACCGCCCGTTGCTTTTGTTAACACTGAAATAATCTTTGTCGCCGGCCTTACCCTCCCTGGTTCTCCTTGGTGGGTCTGTCAAGGTGTCTGAGGTGGACCGTGGGGTGATGGCTGGCGCGGGGCTTGGGTCGAGCGCGAGTGGTATAAAGAAGCTCTCCCCGTCGCCGTTATTGGCATCCGAAGCCTGAGAGATGGCAGAATGCCGATTGTTGCGGTAAGTGGTCGTCGGCAGAGTAAGGCCATCCTTGTGGGGGCCCTCGCTCGGTGTGCGTTCCGGTGAGTGATCGCGAGGTCGTCGGGAGCTACTTCTTGAAGAGGAGTCGTTCTGGTAAGTTTGGCGAGGCCTGGGAGAGAGCTCAGTCGGCGCGTCTGTGTCGAGAGAACTCGGCGTTTCTCGATCGGGTGGGAAGTTGTTCTGCAAAACAGCATTGGAGGGGAGGGCCGGGAGAGATTTGTCCACCAGCATCGGAGACTGATCTTCTTTTTTCTTGGCATTCGCCGCGGCTCTCGATTTCTTCCTTCTTCGCGCCATTAATGATTCGTGGCAGCTCATGCAAAAAATGCCTTGGGAGGTTCGGGCATATCGTAGGTTCTCGATCTTGCGTTTGCAGTTCCGGCAGCGGAAGCAGGTCGCGCAGAATGCTTGGTCGCCCGTGAGGATAGCCAAGTCCTCGATCTTATTCCCACACGCATTGCAGCTGTAGGTACAATTGTTGCATATCAGCGAGCCGTCGCCGAGGAGGAGGAGGTTCGCGTCCGAGTCGAGAAGCGTCTCGCAGGTGTTGCAGCGGAAGCAATTCAGATGCCATCGGTTGCCGGCTGTGTGCTGGTCAGCTCTAATTGATCTCGACCTTGAGGGGGGCGGTGACAAAAGCAAAAAAAAAAAGCGATATCAATTCAAGAGTGGTGAATCGGGGACTAGTAACGAAGTTCACCTACCAAGCTCGAAGGCCTTGCCTTCCTCCAGAACCTATACCAAGCTCGTCAGCATTCCATGGCCATTCCGCGTCGCGAGTTCGGGTGGGCTGGACATACCTCTCCACACCCTTTGCACGGATATGCCACATCATCACCATCCATGGGAGAATCCATATAATCGGCCGGCGATTCCATGTTGGGTCGGGTTGGGTGTGGTCGTCGAAACGACCGCCTGTCCTCCTGCTCCCTCTCCTATCTCTGCCTGTGTCTGCCTACCTCTGCAGCAGCTCGTCCTGACCTCCGCGAAGATTGCGACTTGAGGTGCCGATCGGGTCAGATCATGAGACGCGAGATGCGATCTATCGTCGTCGCTGTCGACGAGGAAGGGGAAGGGATGCGCGGTCAAGGTGTACTTGGAGGGTATGTTGCAGTTGCAACTCGTCACGCACGGTCGCAGGAGAATTGAGTGCGCAAGTTGCAGGGGCGCGGCGGATGTGACTATGGGTATTTAGGGGATGTGGAAGTGGATTTTGGTGGATGTGGTGGGTGTGGATGTGGAGTACAGTTAGATGTGGAGGAGGGCGATGTGGGCGCTGGGAAATCGGAAATGGAGAACGGGGGGGGTTAATTGGGCGGGTTTAGCAGATGATATGCTGTACAGATGTGTTTCTGTATTGTTATGTCTTCTGTGGGAGAGAGCTGAAAGAGCTGAAAGACAGTAATAATTATGTACGGGGGAACAACACAGTAGTGAATTTAATAGCGACTCTGTCCGTAGTCCAGGAGATGTTGGTGCTGGATTAACTCCAGGTAGCTTGAAGGCCAGGCCAAGCCAAGCCGCGGATTCTCCCCCTGGTGGCGTGGCGTGGCGTGGCGAGGAGTTGCACAGGAGTGCCGTGGATATGGGGGAGATACAGAGTAATTGGGGAGTAATTGGGGAGTAACTGGGGAGTAATTGGGGGGGACTATTTGGTGGCTATTTGGTGCCTTTGGGAAGAGGAGAGGGCGGATACTTGCTTAGGTGCTACGGATCATGGTGGGTTTACTTTGATTACTTGATGACAGCTTAGCAAGATGGTGCAGTCAGCCTGTATCAGTCGCCGGGTACTGGAGGAGCAGCACGGGTACTTGAGTTATCTGACAGCAGTAATCTTTTAAAGGCCACTTACTTCGCACCGCAACTTGAGTTTTGAGTACGAGTAAGTCACTGAGTGGTGAGTGGTAAGTGGTGTAGCTAAAATAAGGTACGCGGCCGGGTTGGGATTAGGAGCAGTATTTTGGTACTCGTACTGATTAAGCAGGGGGCCAGAACCTTACTCGAATCAAATATCCTCTCGCGGATCAGGTTGGATGAACCAGGCAATTCCCGGAGAGCGACCTGTCTCGACCACCAACAACAATAATAATAATAGCAGGGCCAGGCAAAGCCAAGACAAGACAAGACACAACACAAACACATATAGAAGCACAAACATCAATTATTACCACGGCTGCACGAACTTATTAAAGTACCGTATCCAAGGTTGGTTTCTTCCCCCCCCCCATTCTTGGGTGCAGGAGGACAGGACAGGACCCCTACGGAGACAATCGACTCCAGACTCTAGGCTTGACCGAGTAGTACGAAGTACTGGGCACTACGAAAGTACCAGTAGTGCTAGTGACAGTGAGAGTGTTTCAGATACATGCGGGCCAAGGGGCTGAATGAGATCCATCATCCGTATCATATTTACAGCTATTTCGTAATTACAGTACCAATATAATCATACTACATAGTACAGTACAAACACGCTTGCGCGAAGTACCTACAGTAAGTAGGTACTCTGTACCTGTACAACTTCGACTTTCAAGTTTTGGCTCCCTCATCTCGGTCGCTGCCAGCGCATCCATTCATTCCCAGCAAGCACCCCGCGTTGTCCCCATGTACTGCAACTCGAAATCTCTCTAAGCCTCACCTACGCCATGCCAGCCAAAACTGTTTACTGTTTCTCTTGAGACTCTTTCTTCGACTCTCTAAACACGTCTTGACGAGGCACTGCGCCTCCTCCCCATCCTCCACCACCGAAATCCACAAACCACAAACAAACCAACGGCCCCCTTTTAAACGAATGGCACTCTGGTACTCCCCGCATAGATCGTCTGTGGCACAATGCTCCGCACTGCGAAACGAACGTCACATCTAGTTCCTGACGATCTCCCTCAACCAGGCGCCTAATCCTGCCAGGTTGTACGATCTCCTTTGCGGATGAAGGCTTGATGCTTCCACTGCGGTTCCAGAATCGAGATTCGCGTCGCAAGCCGTCAGAGGCAGTGGCAGTGGCCGCGGCCGTGGCCGTAGCATGGGCCGGTGGAGAAGGCCCTGAAACCTGTAACCAGATGCTGATTACGGAGGGGAAGCCCCTTTTAGAGTTCAAGGTTCGGTGTGTTTGAACACGCAGCTGTTGGGGAATCGGTTGATCGCTGTTGGGGGCGGTGTCCACGACGTTCGTACTTGGGAGGCTTGAAGCTTGAAGTTTGTACCCCGTCGACCACCACCACGTCGTGCAACACTCGATCTCATGTTCGGTATCGCTACGCAGGACGCAGTATAAGCATAATCATCTAATCTTACGATAGCAAACGCCTCAGCTCCCAGCCTCACACCCGCGATGCTGTACACTCCCACACGCAGCACCGCGCCTCCAAACACACCTCCATGCAAAACACGCCAATCCTCATCCTCTCTCGCACATATCAGACGCATCTCAACATGTTGGCAAATCACCTAATAAACCCAGTGTACACTACGTACGACGTCCTTCGTAGTACCCGATGTGTCCCCAATCTACTTCGCCCAATCTTCCTGGCCCAACCCCTGCATATGATTTCCCAACTTGCCTCGTAGCCTACAGAGTACTTCGTACAGGTACGAAGTACAGACGGAAGGAACTGTAAGCTTGCATAATCCAAAACAGCAACCTTACGAATATGGGATCCAGAAAACGTCTCAAATGCCCTACACTTTCACCCCCGGGACGTCTCAAATGCCCACCTGCTTTCGATATCCCGTACTACTACTTGCAACTGCGTACAGCCTCTCACCGCTTCTATAGAGAAGGTGATTAAATTTCGTATATTTACGGAGTGGTCATTGCCGTGGAACTCGAATTATAGGAGAGTAACAGAGGAACTATTTTAGCGGACTAGACGTCAATAGGTACCTACCTTATGTTGTCCAAACTAATAAAAAAAACCCCCAGAGAGGTGCCACTCTACGGCCCGCCCCATCCCCATTGCTAATGACTTCCTGGAATAGAACTAGATATACTATGAGGCTCAGTCACGTTGCTCCCCTTTCGTACTGCCGAACCAACGATACTAAGACGGATGATGAGCTTTCAGATGTCTCGCAGGATTTGGAATTTCTATCTCAACATCACTGTGATGTAGACTACAATAACCTAGAAGAATATATATGCCGTACGTTCCTTTTATACTATTCATATACTCGTACCTAGTCCTATATTACCTATACTTCGCCGGATACGTTTACTTTCCCCATAAACTCATCCATGAAGTACCGATGACTTCAGACTTCATCTCAGCGAAGATAAGCTGCTCAATTTTCACCAGGCCATGCAAACCCCCCTCCACAGTCCATTGGTTGTCTATCTCCATCGTCCCAGCCACGTGTATAACCGCTATCGAAGTCAATAATCTACATTGTCCTCTATATCAATAAGGACGTTATCAGCGTTCGCATCGCACCATAATACTCCAGCACTATGCAGCCTCATCGGCGTATCTGTGACTTAGGTTGACAATTGGTGTTTCAGAAATGCTGGTATGTGTTGGTCTCGATAGCAGATGCGAGCGCGCTCTTTTCGTCAATGTAGTAAAATAGTAATCTAGATATATATTTAAGAGACCTCTTGCAGGCCTGCCCGCCTCTACAAATGTAGGCATTTAACACGACCTCCCGGCTTGGTATTAGGGAATACTGGTATTAGTAGAGGGAGAAATTAAACGCTGGGGAGGGGACAGAAGCGGAAGCGCTGAACTATGTTTGTAGGGTGTAGATCCTATTGCTTGTCGCGTAGGATACACATTTATAGAGTAGAGTTTAATATGTGCCCGTGACTTACTTAGACCAACAAGATAGTGGAGTGAGTGGCCTATTTACTATTGGACATAGGAACATCCGTAACCCTTAGGAATCCAGTTCGCCCAAACTTCTTTTAGAAATGTACTAGCAAGAAATGGAGATTCATATTCTCCTCTCCTAAACACCGATACAGAGGAAGACGGCTAGTCCATTTCCTCTAGTTATGATGATAGCCCAAGAAACTTCTTTCTAGTAGCTTTTCTCATTTTTTGTAGGGCCTGCTGTAATATCTCGCCATGATGTTTCCTGTTTCTTCTCTGCCTCTTGCAGCAAGTGGAACATGAAAACGGCATGTGGCTTATGGAGGAAGCGAAGAAAACTCGAGCGACAGGAGCAGCGGTACTATTATGGTGTGGAAAGGACCAACCGTTTCCGGGGTTTTAAATTGAAGAGAATAGCTGATGCGAACGCCAAAACAAAACCCAAGTTTCTCCTATGAATTATATATACCTGGCTATGGCGCCGGCGAGTACTCCGTTTTCCTCCATAGCCCCTATTCCAAGCAATTGTATTCCCCCTGTACCAACCAACACCTGCCCAAACACCAGGTCGCCAATCAAGAAATTTAAATCAAATGATTCGAGATGGCTAATAGAAAATCTAATGATGCGATACCGCAACTGGAACTGGAACATCATTCTCGCTGACCACACTGCCAACTTCGGTCCAGCTCCCAGGGGTGCTGATTCCCTCACCATCAACGCTCATGATGTCAGCCTCGCTGGTAGCACCGCTCCGCGGCCCCCAGACCTCGCGACCAGAACCTGCAAGTGATGCAGAATCCGTAGTGGGCGTCATATCACCTGGGACAGATATGGGAGGGTCGTTGAATAGAGGCGAGACGGGGGAGGCCTGGTACTGTTCTTGTTGGGGAGACGCAGCTCTGGGAGTGACAGGTAGTGGGGAATAGAAGCTGCTATTTGCGTTATCGGCCCAGGCGTGGATCGAAGCGTAAGCGGATTCATCTCGTGGATACTCGGACATGTTGGTGAAATTCGTGTCAATATCTAGAGAAGGATCTGGGACAGGCGGATCAGGAACAACTTCAGAGATGTCGATGAGCTGCTCGGCGATGGTAGCCGGTGCCTGACGGGAGGGGCGGAGGTCTTCGCTGGCATTGTAAAGATCCGACATAACTTCCAGCCTCTCGGACATTTCGGGTGCCATCAGACTGGCATCTATAGCCCGTTGCTCCTCGAAGTCGACATGGTGCTCGTCACCGAAAGGATTAGCGTATATCGCTGCCCGATCGAGGCCTTTGACACCGCGGTTTCGAAGCCCTTGGTCTGATTCTTGGTGGACATCAGCGCCGGTATTGTACACATATGCTCCTTTCTCGGCCGTATGGTCCTCCTGCAAGAAATCATCGAAGCTCGATCCCCGGGTTCTGCTGGCAGGCCTGGCTTCCGCAAGCCTCCGCTCCCTCTCTATCTTTTCCGCATTCCAATACATCAACTCCTCGCGCTGGCGTCTTCGGGATTCTTCATCTGCTTCGACTCCCGGCATGGCATTGCCGGTGCTCTCCATGAAACCCTCTGCATCTTCTGGGCGGTTGAATCGAGGCTCCCGAGGTGCGGGGTTGATCTCGTCGCCCAGAGAGTGCAGGGCGACGGCTACACGTCGTCGGACATCTTCAGCAAATTGACGTGCCTGTTGGGATTCGTAGACGGCGATTGCAGCCTGCGGGAATTAGCAGAGCTACATTACAGGAAATGCTGGGAAGAACTTACGGCAACGGCGACACTGACGACGATGATCGCACCTGAAACGACCGGAGGATTAGGCATTTCTTATAATTTCGCGCAGACTTAAACAGACGCTGGAACTCGGCTCTAACAATCACAGGATTTAGAAGGAAGGAAAGTGAACCTGCTCAGGAGAGAGGTTATAACAGTGATCGAGTGACGGAGGCAACTTCATGATGGCGTCTGAGGGCTCGGGGATCACTTGCGCGGCCTCAATCGTCAACCCACGCCACCCTGCCTTGCAGGGTCTCATGATTCTGCCTCCGCCAACCAATCAGATAATTCGTAACATAGCATGGGGTTTTCTGGGTCTACATAAATACAATAGGTGCTGTGGCTGACCTTTTACCACGACCGCAGGCATTTTGTAATGCCGACTGCAGACAATCTGGGAGTGGTGAGGGAAACGGCAAAGAAGGGAAATGGTGACAGAGGTGAAAGGTTGCAGTGGGGGTTACGACGACCTTAAGAACCTGTGACGGAGTGGTGGATAATGGGCCCGGGTCAAGCCTCATTCGGTGGGGGCTACGTAGTCCTTCGTAAGTTCGCAGGTGGTGTCGTCAAGCAATGGCGGCTGCCTGGCTCAGGTTGTTTTTGGAGGCGTAATTGCAACTACAAGACAAGCAAGTCTAGGATCATTTCAAAAAATATGGGGAAATATGGCAAATATTTGGTCGGAAAGTCAGTTATATTTATTGTCAGGTCATTCTTGAGGCCTGAGTTATGGCCTTCTCTTGATGAAACTAAGTACATCTAACGACCGTTATAAGCTGTCACATTTTCCTAAACCACCTAGCAATGCGAAACTCAGAACAGTACTACGTATGGATTTACTCAGCTAGTCTAGTAGCATTGAAAGGGAATTTACTTGCGGCTTTCATAGGCAGATAAAGTTAGCTATCAAGGTCAACCCGGATGACACCGGATGCGCATCACATCACATCACATCACATCACAGGCCTCAGGAACCGAGAACCAAGCTTCTGTTAGGGTGCCTATCTAGCACCGTTCCACATGCAGGATCGAGATTTCTCAGCCTTGCGACAAGTTCATGAAAAGGTTATGCTAGCTCATCCTCATACTACTGTAGCATTCCAAACGACTTCCGAAACGCCACCCGCTGATCAGTCGAAAATCCTTCGAATAAAGAATCTACTTGGAGGACTAGGAATTTGCCGTGCCGATTGTTCCATGACTCGCTCCGCCAGCAACTGATACTTGCTGTTGGAAGAGCGGGAAAACGGCCTAGTCGGTCCCGATACAGCTGTCACTGTTCTCAAGATGGCTACTCCGTAAGTTCATCCATCGTAGCGTTGTCAGGGGATGAACGACGGCCCGGATATAACGGGGATGCTCCTATCTTGATCTTGTTATTGCTGTATCTTAGATACCGGAGTCCCGGAGATCGGGCTGATTTGTCTGGGTTTGACCTGGTTCAAAGATGCTTCGTAATTTCGCAAGATCGGATCTGGGCATCCGGTGCAAAATGGTCGCCGCTCGTTGAGGGATATATATATACTACCCCAGATCCCCCATCTTTTCATCCCCAAAACCCACTGCCAGTCCACGATCTGCTCAGGAGAATCCCCGGTATACCATTTTTCAACCGACACGAACCGGAGGATCCGAGATCGACCGAGACAATATGCCTTCCCCACAAAATTTCGATGAGCAGATCTACGAAGTAATGCAAAGAGGCAGAGGCATTACCTTCCAACTCCAGACTGGTGGCGTGAAATATAAGGCAGTGCTTCAACATAGGGAAGCTCGGTCAGTGTCCTTCTTCTAGTCCACATCCCTAGCAACTACTAACATCATGCACAGTGCATCTGTTGCAGGTTCAACGTCCAAGCCTAGCGCCGACAGTTCAACGGCGTCTTCAGTAAAGAGCCCCCAGAGCTGATCCGCCAAATTCTTGGAGATGAGGGAAAGCAATAGACTGTTGCCAAGCGACGAATGGATATGATGGAGTTATATGAAGGGGTTTTGATGGAGTTTGAAAGAGTCTCTGGCTCTGGACTTGGAAACGGCGCATTTGCTTCGGAGGAAATGAAAATAACGGTTGTGAGAAATAGCTGGTAGAAAATTTGATTCTACCTTGCAGTGCCCAAGATCTAAAATGCAAAGAACTTAGCATCTGTTAACTGATATGATGCAGCGATACGCCCCGTTACTCCTCGCTAATGTACCCCAAGCCTCCGTCATTTGCAGCTAGGTAGCCCTGAAAACATAAAGGGAACCGTTACCATCGTTTTCTTAAAAGTATAGACTTTCCATAGGAAGTGATTAGTCTGCTCACCACTTGGGATCTGGCTGCAGTCATGCAGCCTCCTACTTTAATCTGCGGTGTTGTTAGCGACTTAGCCGCTTTTTGGAGTAGCGGCGTCCTCTCGCTCCACAAGTACACACTCATCCTCATCAGCCTTTTTTGTGTCCTTCTGAATCGCTTCCCCATAATCTGCCCATAATTGATCCGCGGGGCGCCCGCATAACTCTGTCCAAAATCTCTTTTCCTCATATCGCTCGATGCGCAATTTCTCGTTCATCCTCCGAACGAGGCCGGTTCCAAATCTTTGCTCTAGATATTCAAGGAAATAGCCGGTATGCTGGTAACCGGCGTCCCATTTGCCACTGGCTTCCCTTTTCCAATGGGGAGGACTCAGATCTGCGTTTAATCGTACCCAGTCGGCGATTCCCTCAACAAGCCCCCCAGGGCACGTCCCGAAACCATTATATTGGTAGCAATGGACCATTTCGTGTGTGAGAACTCCCATAATCTCTTCGGTCTTGCGTGAAGGAGAAATAGAGGAGTGGATGTAGTCGAGAGAGAAATGTATTTCTTTATGGTCGGCGTCCAGGTCGCTGCCAGTAGTATAGGCGACACCTGGCATGGAGCGTAGAATCAAGGTCACCGATCGTGTTGGAGGAACCGTGGTTGTAGGCGAATTTGGAGACTGGTATAACAGAGACAGTACATCCTGGGCTGACTTCCGAAGGGCGTCGCTGGCGGTCACGGCGGTGAGGAATGCTTGAGATCCGCCATGATGGAGATCACGGATCTCCAGGCGCAACTTAGGCAGCGGGAACTGGTGAGATGGCCGTTTCTCAGGCGCTGGTGTTTCTTTGGGCGAGGGAGGAGCTGGAGCCATATTGCGGTGCGATTGCGGAGGCATCAATACCAGGGTAGGTAGTGGAGTTGATCTTGGGACTTCTGGCATGGCCGTCAAGGTTGAAGGCGTTAAAGAGCACGGGGATTATTCCTTATGGCATATACACGTCTAGTATATATATTCGTATGGCAAAGAAACAATCACAGCAGACCGGAAGAATGTGCAACAAGGCGTAGAAGGGCATCCATGACCATGATGTGCGAGATGGAAGTTGCTGCGTGTCAGATATGTCCGAAGCCCACGTACTGATACTCTCTGGTTCGCAGTTTACAGCTCCAGCGGGGCGTATCCCGCGCCGGCACGTGCGCTAAGTCAGGGGTTGCCCGGGTTGCGGGAACGAACTACGTACTACCCAGGCCTAGCGTATCGCGGTTGCTCCAAACTCCTCAATGTTTTGATGCGCGACTGAATTGTCAACTTCTGTCTGCTGTGCAGTCTTTCCTGTGAGTATTCCTTCTGATTCCGTATCTAAACTTCGAGTCCCTGCCCCCATGAGTGGACTGGGATGGGCCATAATTTATCAACTTCAAGCACTCCGTCAACAGCGTTTGGCGGGCACTTTACTGACAACCGACCCCCTAGAACACATCAACACAGGAACCAACCTCAAAATGGCCGAAAAGATCACCGAGGAGCAGGTTGCGAACCTCCAAGAAATACTACGAACCGATGCTTCCATTGACGCCAAAGTTCTTCAAATCAACAATGTCAAATCTAGCATTAAGCAACACAATGTGCCAGAGCTATGCATACTACCAGTCTTCGAAGCTACACGGACGGTGATGAAATCGCAACATGCTGCGATTGCCAGTGCTGGGCTCTCCACCTTAAACCACCTCCTAACCCGATTATCTCGCCAAGAACCAAAATATCTTGCGAAGGAGGCCGGTCGAACCTTACCCCTAGTGGTTGAAAAGATGGGTGACCAGAAGGAAAAATACAGGGCAATTGCAACGGGATGTCTAACTACGTTCTGGAAGGAGGCACCTGTGGACGTGGAGAGGATCATCAAGAATGTTGGGCTTGTGGGCAAGAACCCAAGAATGAAGGAGTCCTCACTGAGCTGGATTGTTCAGGTAGCTTCAGCCAAGCTCTTTCGAAAGGCCCCGTTCCAAATGCTTACATATGATCTGTTTAGATGCACCAAGAAAATGGAATGCCATTCAAGGGTTACGTCTCAACACTTATGGAGCTTCTCGAGGATGCGGATGGTATGGTTAGGGATGCGACTAGAAACTCAGTGATCGTTCTTTTCGAGTAAGTTTGCAGAAACAACCCACTATCAAGTACTGACAATAGAAAAAGAAACGCGCCAAATGCTGCTAAATCCGACCTGAAGAAACAACTAAAGAATTTTAATGTCCGTCCCACAATAGTATCAGCCATCGTGGCTCATCTAGCCCCAGGAGGGCCTATAGAGCCAGCAGAACCCGAAGCCCTTGAGGCTCCTCCACCGCCGGCCTTGGCCAACAGTGTCTCCTCCACCGCTACTCTCAGGCCGTCGACACCAGCGATAGAAGCGAAAGTGGAACACGTTGATCCGTCGTATGTGAATACTCAGAGGGAGCTAGATGATACTTTCAAGCAGATGCACCAATACTTTGAGGGGAAAGAATCGGAGGCAAATTGGTCCAAGCGAGAAGAAAGCTGCACAAAAATACGCCGCTTGAATGCCGGTAACGCGCCTAGCGATTTTCGGGAAGCTTTCCTTGCTGGTATCAAGGGCCTGTTGGATGGCATTTTGAAAGCGGTAAACTCCTTGCGAACCAGTCTTTCGAAAGAAGGCTGTAGCGTAATTCAGGAGATAACCAGGACTGTTGGCCCGGGACTGGATCCGATGGTCGAAATTCTGCTCCAAAATCTGATCAAGTTGTGTGGAGGAACGAAGAAGATCAGCTCTCAACAAGGCAATGTTACCGTTGATATTATCCTCAGTAATGTTTCATACAACGTACGAATCCTGCAACACATATGGCTAGCCTGTCAAGATAAAAACTTTCAACCACGAGTCTATGCGAGTGGCTGGCTGAAGACTTTATTGAGGAAGGAAATGCATCACAAGAGCCACCTCGAAAATGCTGGAGGTCTTGATTTAATCGAAAAGTGTATCAACAAGGGCCTTAGAGATGCAAATCCGGGTGTGCGGGAAAACATGAGATCGACATATTGGGTTTCTGCACTAATGTGGCCTTCTAGAGCAGAAACGTAAGGCTAACATCTACTTTCATAAAAACTCAGGCTAACATTAACTCCAGTATCATGGCAGGCCTAGAGCCATCTCACCGGAAGCTGTTAGAAAATGCCCCAGATAACCCCAATTCTCCTAAAAAGGTTGAAAATACGAATCCCCGACCAGGCCTTGGGTTTTCTAAGAGTACAACTGGGCCGCCCAAGCCGTCTTTAAGGGAAACTATGCTTGCGCAGAAGAAAGCTGCGATGGCTAACAGAAAGCTACCCGCGCGGCCCGGCTCTGCAATGTCAACCTTTTCCCCTGTGCGAACTGTCTCGTCCTCGTCGACAAGCTCGAATGTTTCGGATGCAGCGACATCAAGAGTGAAGAAGCAAGAATCGAGCAAAGTATCCCATGGCGGTCTGTCCGTGGCACCCATGCGTCCTACGAAGTTACGCCCTGGCGCCCGTCCAGAGCTTATTGCAAGACCTGCCACCGCTGGACCATATTCTGTTAGACGTCCTGCCCATGCCTCTAGCAATAGCGACCTCAGCACAAGCCCACCAGCTACCAGGGTATCAAAAGCAAGAGCACCAAGTGTCAGCAGTAATAGTCCGCAGAGGCGCCCAATCCCGAGACCAAATACAAGTCAATCTAGTCATGCCTCTCATTCCAGCCACGCAAGTCCAGTGAAAAGTACGATCAACAGAGTTGCTCCGTCACCTCGCACAAGCCCGCCAAAGCCAAAGCCAAAGCTTACAGCCAGCAAAACGATGGGATCGAGTCCATCAAGAGCTGACGAAGAGTTCACCATGTTGGTCCCTACTCTGGCGGTCCACAAGGAGCCAGTAGCTGCTACTGTAACACAAGTGATCGAGTCGTCGGGTGATGAAGATACAGCGATCCCGAAGCCACCTTTGCAAGTCTACGAAGATCCTTTCTCTAGCACAGACGACCAGACGACTCCTCGACCAATAATTACAGCGCCGGTGCTGGAGGAGGTTGCAGTCAATGAAGATGTTTCGAATTTGCTTGGGAATGGATCGAATGACAATGAGTCTCCAAAACCACCACCGATGTCTCCAGAACGGCTTAAGCAAAGTTCACGGCTACTCGACAGTGGCATTACCAGAATTAAAGGAAAGTCGCTTGATGTCCATGGTTTCCGTAAGCTTCAGACCATGATCAGGGAGGACAAAGCGGCGTGGTTAGATGATAAGTTCAATGTCCTGCTATCCGGCCTTTTCGAGTACCTCGAAGATCCCCTAGCGACTCTTGCTCCCGAGAGAGCCCAGGATGTCAAGGCACAAATCTTGGCAACGATAAAACTCATGTACAAAAAAGAGCGTGGCGCGTTCCGACCTCATGTTGCCAAGGGCCTGGGCTCTCTCTTCACAACGCGTAGCTGCTATGACTCTCGCACACACATCGTCAGCGGTCTTGAGCTTCTTGCAGATGAGCTCGTCACTCTTGCTGAACCAAAGCAAACCACGAAGAGTATCATCGAACGGCTCCAGAATGAGCAGATGACCGTGGAAGGCTGCAGGAGCTTAAGCATGGGCTTGCACGTCCTTAAACAGCTACTTGATGCCCAGACGGAATTCATGCTGAGTGATGAGGAGGTGGATAACATCTGCAAACTCACAACAAGGTGTATAGACAGCACTGAAAGTGGGGTACGTTTGGATGCCGTGCAACTCTGTGTCACAGTACATTCTAGGGTCGGAGAAGACAAATTCTGGGGCGCCATGGGCGGTGTTAAGGACGATCCGAAGAACCTGATTATGTATTACATTGTCAAGAGACAGAGGGAGGCTGCTAACTAGGCGTTCATCCGGGGGGCCTTGGGAGCCTAAATTAACTTGAGTCTGGCCAGCTGACGATTCGAAAAGTATTCATTTTAATATAGACTGCTGGGGGTATGTAGAGTATTTAGCGACCACAGTCCGGATAATAAAAATCCATTGACCATTATTCCATTACTCGGACACTCTATGACGTTGGGAAAGAGTGTAGCAAGAATTTCTCAAAGGTCCTCTCAGAAAATGATCCTATTTTTTGGATTATATAAACGATTTGAGACATTTTAGAGCGTAGCAAAATAAAACATATAGGGGGCCTTTTAGAGGCGTGATGATTATTGCTTTTGGAACCATTAAGTCATGCTAGGGTATGGTTACTCTGTTTCCATGTTCATATATCCAGCATCATAGCAATTATTTTCTAATCCTACACATATTACAAAGATTCGCAAGTACATAATCCATCTCAAAATAAATACATATAGGAATTCAAAAAGTTCAACCTTATGATGGTACACCTTCATATACAAGACCATTATCTATTCTCTTCTTACTCCTTCTCCTCGATTTTCTATTCCCGACAGCTTTCACAAAGATGGTTAAAGCCGTGATAACCAAAACGATAACCGTCGCAATAGTGGCAACCTAAGTAGAAGTATTTATTAATACAACGATTGTTTTGCCTTAAAGGGGGGTGTGCTTACTAAAATATACTTCTTCCTTAAGTATGGATTTTCGGAAGAAAAGTCGCTATATACGCAGGTGGCATTCTCACCTCCTGTACTCCAGCAACCCTGTACTTCCAAACAGTTGAAATCAACCCATATCCCGTGATTGCCATAATCCCGAGCAGTTTTTCGCACTGCCTGGTTCAGGTAGCTGTTTTCCAGAGCTGTCCTCGGGGGTGAGAACACATAATCAGCTGGACAGGCCTCTAAAGCGGAGTAGTAGGAGGTAGGGTTGTCTGAGATGGTCCAGTTGTATGAATGGTTCTTAGAGCGGCAAGCAGCGTAGTATTCCTGTGAGCAGTCTGCCACTACCCAGCGACCTGCAAGATTAGGATTAACGGTCGCGCAACGAAACATAGAGCCAGCTGTTGAGCCACTGGAAGTGTAGTTTTTCGGTTCGCCAGGCGCCCAGCTCCAGATCGTGGCGTAGGAGAAACTCTGATAGGGGCGGTAGTTTTCATGCGCCGTGCTGTTTAATAATGTAAGGTTCAATATGGGAGATATGCCGCAGTTGGTTGTGTTGGTGGCGAGGGTAAGGAGAGGTGTAATATCTCCTGAGGTTGCCGTGGGATAGTCGCTAGGTGGTATTGTGGCGGCAGCCCATGAAGAGTTGACCTGAGATAGATCATCAGTACTTTGTAGGAAGCAACCGATCGTTGGACCACCTGAGCTATTCGCAGCGAAGTCCGTCCGGATATTTTGAATATAGTCTTTGGCAAAAATAGTTTTCGAGTCATTCCCCAAATCATACCCCGCCATCTCTGCATCCACAGTCCCCCATCCTAGCAATAAACGTTTGCCCCTGGAGAATTCGACGAAACCCTCTGATGGCCACCCATCCTCGGTTGAAACAATATCGTGTTCGCCTTTTGTGACCGAGTAATAATCTTCAATTGGGCGGTATCTTTCTGTGACAGTGTACCACGAATCATTGAGGTTGGCTCGGTCCAATCTGAGATCGTTCGGCGTATAGAGAAACGCAGATAAATTGCCGGAGAAATGATTTCCAAGAAGGTTGGATGAATCTGGCAGAGAGGTCGTGGTTGGAGCACTCTGCGGCTGTGCGGTGTTCGAAAGGGCGGCGTGCATATTAAGAAAGACATATAGAAGATGGGCATCCAAAGTGTTTTGTGATTGTTGAAAATAATCAAGTAATTGATGTATGAAGACAGAGATATCGATAGATGTTGTACAAACATAACGTCCAGCAGAAATTAGTGATGCGCTCGGGTTGTTTGGAAGACTGGCGGAACTTGATGAGGTATCACCAAGAGAGGTTGTAGACGGCTCCGAAATCATAGATGTGGCAGGAAATGGCGAGCTGGGATTGGTAGTTGTAACTTGTCTTGCGTTTAACACTGAGCTTGGTGATAAGGTCTGCTCAATAGCCAAAGTCGGTGCTGTAAGAGAGGCCGAAAATACAGTCAACGGAGTATGTGAAACCAGGGCGCGTTGTTGAATAGAGCTTGATGTAGCCACAGGGCAAAGTGACCACATGCCGCTGCCTTGGTCCCAGTACAGGTCTATCTCAAAACGGCGGAAGCCAACGGCAAGGAGGTTTGAGAAACAATCATTAAAATCATCGTCCACGTATTTCATATCAGAGAAACAGGCAGCGGTGAGGGATACCCCCGGAGATGTAACATAATTAATAGGTATTCTGAGACCCAGATCTCTCTGTGACTAGGGGTTATGTTAGCAATATTACTAGACCAGAAGGAATACCAGTATTCAGGTTCTACGTGTGGTGGTATCTTACAAGGAAAACCGTTCCATAGGGAGATTGAGGCACAGCCCCTGGATCTGGAGAGTAGGTCTCGCTCATTGTCCATAATTGAAGTCGTTAAGGATATGGGTAGAGAGGGAACATCGGAGCAACCGGGATGCGGGAACATTGAGGAATGTAGGACCAAGTCCGAATCACAGCTCGTCGGGCTTGTTCATGTCTAATAAAACAAACGTGACAATCTCCCTGCCGTTGCCAGCCCCAAGAATGCTAGATGGACATCAATGAAAGGAGTGGAAAGGCATTAGATTGACGAGGAGAGGTCGAATATTTTGCCAAAGCAGGTGGATCGTCGGGAGTTTATTTACATGACGCGGAGTTAATTATTAAAGCAAACGCACTAGCCACAGTTGGCTACCACCAGCCACCGGTATCCAGCCACTGTGGCACCCCTCTTCCCTGCAATATGACGGCTGAGGACAACGCCCGGACACGTTTCGCGAACAATATTCCGTTCTCTCCATCTGAACAGGTCTCCCTCTTCCTTCTCACAACCTTGACTTCTCAACCACAAAGAAGCCACCATTAAGGTTCCACCCCAACATTCCTCGACTCTGATAACGGTAACCGCCAGCAACATAGTCTCTCACAATGGCAAGCCAAGGGCCCCCACCGGGGCAAAACCCTTTCCATTTGCAGCCCGGCCAGCAGCCAACCCCGGAACAGATTGCTGCGATGCAAAGACAGTTAGCTATCGATGCGGAAAAGCACGGAATGACAGTCCCTCAATTTGTCCAGAAACTAAAGGAACAAGCCATGGCACAGCAGCAGGCTCAGCAACAAGCTGCCCAAGAAGGTCAAGCACAACAGCAGCAGCAACAACAAGGGCAGCCACAGCCCATAACCCCAGGCCCTCCAAACCCCGCCGCCATTGCGGTAGCAAAGTTCCTGAAAAGCCAAGATTTGAAGACGAGAACATGTATCCTGAATGGTCAGCGCAAGGACATGTTCAAAGGCAAGTCTCTCCGTTTCCAGTAAGTGAGTGAAATAGTATCCTAACAACAATGTAGTTAAGCGTGCCCTCCGCGCACTGAAATCCCCAGCCTACGAGAAAGCCCGCAAGAAGAACGCCCTCCTCCCCGAAATCACTGACCAAGCCTCGCTGGAAAACTGCTTCAAGCTGCTTCCGCTCTCGCTTCTCGCCCTCCGCGTCACTAAAATTGATCCCCACGAAGGCCATGACCACGCCCCTGGAGCGCACAAGACTAAGCGTGTGAAAGGTCTCTGGACGGTCCGGATCGAGCAACAGCAAGAATGCCGCGAAGATCTACATTTTGTCTGGCTGTACGAGGGGGCGCAGATCAAGCAGAAACTATATGCCGTCGGAGCCCTAGCTATCATCTTCGCGGTTGTGCTATTCCCTCTCTGGCCAATGAAGATGCGTCTTGGTGTATGGTATTTGAGTATGGGTATGCTTGGCTTGATTGGTCTGTTCTTCGCAATGTCGATTTTCAGACTCATACTCTTTGGGATTACCATGTTCGCTGTCCCTCCTGGATTATGGCTGTATCCAAATCTATTTGAGGATGTGGGCTTCTTTGATAGTTTTAGACCTCTTTGGGGCTGGCAAGAGGTATGTCCACTGTTCCAATATATGCAATACTTAACGGACCTGCACTAACATGACTTTGCTACAGGAGAAGAAGAAAAAGAAGAAGTCCAAGCAATCTGGCTCTGCCAACGCAGGCGCTGCAATGGCGGCAATGACTGGACAACCAGCACCTGCAACAGCAACCACCTCATCCGCAGCTCCTCAAATGGCCACCTCAACGCCACAGCAAAGAAATCTATCTCCACGAGTGGAGGAGGTTTTTGACGAGGATTAAGAAACGGTGGTATTTGGACGGTGTTTCTTGCATCTACTTTACTTGTGCTTGCAGGGGACAGGGCCTAGGGTTGGGGCGCTGGGGAATTAAAAAGAACTAGTATTTTCCTGCTCTGTAACATAATGATAAATCATAGCTTGCCGTCTCTCCTATTGGTACCAAAAAAAAGGATTATTGCATCCGTTGTTTACTTGTGCCTTGTGATTACTACCTCTAGGTATCAAACATGCATAAGCTCTCTTAACGCGAAGCAAGTGTACAAACCAGAATATCAAGGCTCCCTTATCTCCATATGACCCAATCAAATTCAACAGAGTCTATTAATGCCGGCCTATGTAAACTCTATGATTATCAAAGGACTCCCCTCTGTGTTAAACCATGCACCTCCGGTTATAGCCTGGAATTATCAGACGAAATAGTACATTACATCTCCTTCACACATCTACAGCGACAATCTCTGCCAAAAAATCATTTTTGAATAATATCATTATATTTTGATTTCATTTACTCTCGCTCTCATAATCTATCTACCTTATGCCCAGTCTTATTTTGGTCATAAATAATTACCTTATATATATAATAAAAAAAAGGATTTTCCCTCCCAGCCATATCTCGCTCGCCATTCGCCATTAAAAAAATCACCACTCAAGCCCCGCCGCCAGCACCAGTAATACGAAAAAGGAAAGGGTGGCATGTGTGGTAGCCAGTTAGTGGGCATAGTTTTGCACCATTCGGGGTTCGGTCGATCCACCCTTCCGTCTTTCGCGATCGCTCGCTCGTGCCTCTCTCTATATATAAAAATGAGGTTATTGTACAGATTAGAATTAAGGAAAATTGAGCCAGAAGTGGTTTATAACATTCGAGGTATATCATCTCAACGTATCGTCGGAATTAAGCAATAAGAAAATGTATCCGTGTAGATATTTAAAAGATTGTGAGGGAGGATGTGCATTTACGCCTGCACCGGGATTTTCGAGACTGGTTTCAATCCCGCGCCCGGCGGCGGCAAGGGAGGCAATGCACAATCTGGCGGCGGCGCTGGAGGTGGTCCAGTCGCTAGCAATGGCATACTCTTCCTGCTGGCCAAGCTCTTTGGATCATCCTCCGAGTGAAGCTGTTGCAAAGCCGGTATTGGAGCTGAGGCGAATGCGGGAGATTTTATATCTTGCTTAGGAGTTGAGCTCGAGGCCGAAATGGTTTCAGCGGCAGCATCGTGGCTTGGCGGGGAAAGCAGTAGCGCAGATCGCGAGGGCCTAGCAATGGGACGAGTCGAGTTCATAGCTGAGTTCGACGAGCTTCGTATTTGCATGCTCACGGGACGACGCAGTTTTGGTATTGCGCTTTTCGCACGCACAGGTGAGCTCAAGGGCACCTTTCCCAACTCTGGCTTTGCCACATGCTCCTTGCGGCGATTTGAAGAGATGGGCAGTGATGCTAATAGAGGGCTGACCGCGGGTGGTGTCGGTGGTAGAGCGGGTGTGATAGATGTTTCGGTAATCTTCTCGGGAACAGTATCACTAAATGGCACATCTGGATCCGGTTGGGGGAATCGAAAGTTGCTCATGGCTGTATCCGAGGGATCAATAAGCATTAGACTAGACCTGCGCTCAGGCATACCAGTTTCTAGAGATGCTGTGTTTGGCCTAGAAGACCGAGCGTTGTTGTCATCCCATGGAGGCTCAATTCCATGTACATACTCGACAGATGGTTCAACGGGCGTTAGCAGGGCCGCCGAGTCTCTAACACGAGGCAATGACTGCCTGTTAAGGGGTAGAGCAGGCAAGCCTTTTCCTTTGCTCTGAATCATCGATTGGCGTATCTTGCTTGGTGGTGTAGACGTTACAATATGGGGAATACTCCTAGCATCTCCTCCGGGACCTTTGCTGAGAGGAGGGCCTCTAGTGGGGTATTTCTTGTTCGAGGGATTTGGTGTGCTGAAATTTGGGGCAATAGGAGAACGAGCTGGGCGAGTAGGACCACCATAGGTAGAATGGCGGAAATTTCTGGGTGTGTGTGCTTCAAGAGTAGGGATGGGCGTGGTCTGCATAGATCGTCGACGTTCATTTATGGCCGATGCGTTTGGTCTCAGCCGTGAGTCCTCGAGCGAAATCTTTTGTGGGAAATCATCCAATGTTGAGCAACTCTCCCTAGTGGGCGAATTTGTTATAGATGATCCTTGTGACGTTATCAAGGTCCGTTGACCAGAGGACATAAACGACAGCCGGTTCGCACTGTCTCTTAAACCCTCAAGCTGTTGTCCATCATGGGATGCAACACTATTGGTGGCAGAATTATTTTCCGTAGAAGGTCGGGTAGATGCCATCTGGGGTATTGCCAAAGCTGAAGCCCCGTCATCCAACCCTTCCTGAAGTTGACTCTCGCTCCACGGTGGATATCCAGATGGGCTACGCGGGGAAGACGGATTGGAAAATTGATCCGGGTCCCTCTGGATCAAGTATCTGTGGCTGGGTTGAGCTCTCAATTGCATGACTTTGTCGTCTGCTTTTGGTCTCCCTGTCTCCGAGATTTGCTTCTTACCACCGAGAGCCTCAACCTCTCTCCTAAGCACGGCCAACCAAGAATCCATCTGCTCCGCGCTACTTAGAATCAGAAGGAAACTGGTAGCTGTTCGTCGGTAATCTGCACCCCTAAATGTCAAGCGTGACAGAAGGGATCTCGAATCGGCTGCAGGAGCGCCATCCGCGTCCATTGCCTGCGAGACTTGCACAACCCAGTGCTTTCCCGGGATCGCGTCACTGGCAAACGCTACCGACTCCTTGCCAAGTTGAATCATTTTCTCGGGGAGCCGATCAAATGACCCTTCTCCTGCATACTGCAGCAGGTACCCAGATGTCACCAAAACGAAGATCTTATGGGTCCAATCTGCCTTCGAAATCGAACCCGAAAGTTGCCGCCGATGTTTGGTTGTGGCCTTCTCTGTTCTCTTCGCCGCAGCATTCTGACCACGTCCACCCGTTCCGGGTCGAATTTGGGCAATCTCGTTCCTCAGGCTATTATTCCTCCTCTGGTTATTCATGCGCAATATGGCGTCTGCTGATAAAGTCGACGCTATCAATGTGGCATGCTTGATACTTTGCGGGTATGCCTGAAAGAGGGGCGGAGGATCCCATGCGGGAGATGTGCGGCTTGGAGCTCTGGAGGAGGATGAGGATTTCGTGGACTTGGGGCTCGGCTTGTTCGGTATTCTTGGCTGCTTTACTGACTTGGATCTCAAACTCATCCGCGATGGTGGGCGGGTGGGCCTCGCTGGAGTTGTTGGGGTCGCCTGAGATGCGGGAGTAGGAGCCCTTTTGATGGAAAGACTGCGAAGAACATTGCTCCTTGGTGTCTCGGGTACCGCAGAAGCATGAGGAGGTTCTTCCATGACGGGCGACACAATATTATTTTCGGCCTGAGCTTTCGACCTGGTGAAAATTCCGCGCAATCCCCCTTTGGATGCTCGCCGATCCAACTTCTTAGGCTCCGCAGGGACTCGACTGCCATGCTCGACTTCAGGAGCGAAATGCATTGGAGGCGGCCGCACACGCCGGCTGAGACGAAAGGCTGATTGAGAAGGGTGGAATCTATGAGGTGCATCTGTGTCTCGAGACGCTTGGTTCTGAGGATCTGGAGTTGCGGTCGCGGATGCCCTCCCCTCCCCTAGCTTGTCTTGTTTTATGGCGTAATACGCCATTCTTGTTTGTGTTTTGGATCCAGCTCGAGATTTAGGAATCTTCTAGGGTTGCTTCAAAACGGCGATTCGTAACGTCGGTTCAGGCGGGATATCCCAGGCCGTTCTTTTGAATCGGGGGGGGAAGCCGAATTCAGAGCATTGAAGAAGATGGAAACCGATCAACTTAAGGGGTGTCCAATTGGCGATGTGGTGGAGTTGGTGGTGTTCTCAGTCGGTACTTATTGAATCGTGGAGGGTGTCGTCGACGAGAGGACATTGAAACGAAACGAAACGATGACCGAGACGCAACGGTACGGCGGAGTAGAACACCGGTATCTCTTCTCAGGATCGAGGAAGGGAGCTGTTTCGTATCATGTCAGATCTGGCGTGCAGCAAGAGGGCGTCGATGGCGTCCGCGTGTATTGTGTAATTTATGTGCGTGTGTCTCGGTGGCAGCAGAGGTATACGACAGTGAGACCACTGACTCGGGATTGGAAAGAATGGATATTTCATAAGGCGACGCCACAGCCAAATGCCGGAAACCAAACAGTGAAAGCGGAAACCGAGGGAGGAGAGGAGGATTCATAACAGAATAGGATACAGGGAAGAGGGGGGCGCACGGGGATCCTCGAGAGACTCGAGACTCGAGGTGACAACGTCCTCGGTTCCATACTTTTGTACGCTCTGCACTTCCTGCTCCAGGATCGAGACTGAGCCTTGTCCCTCCCCCCTCCCCCCTTCCCCCATGCCCTATTATTATTCCCCGTCAGTTCCCATTCGACCCCCGTCGCCAGAAGACCGTTCGGGGAACAGAATGGACGGCTAGCGCTGATCTCTGGTCATTGTGCAGACTCGACTCGAGAAGGACCGCGCAGGACTCGAGTAGTAGCGCAGGCTGTTGTTCTCCATGGGCAATATCACCCATGGGCCCTGGCCCTGACCCAACAGGCTGCCGGTGGGGGCCCACACGCTATAATAGCGGCCCAGCACTCCGGTCGTCTAGACTTTAGTCTCTTCTTCCGACGGGGACTTTCGTCGATGGCTCTGAACCGGGCGCGTTCATAGGCGTAGGGGCGAGGTTAAGGGAGCAAAGTCTGGAGTCTAGCTCAGCGCTTGTTGGTGTGTTTTTCACGTTGGTCATTAAATGTCAACGTGTTCCGATGTTCGGGAGTTGTTAGCGGGCTCTTAGTAACTGGTGATTAGTGTAATTAGTACCGCATGGAGTAAGTGCGCGATGCTGGTGGCAGTTGCCGCGTGAGTTTGCGAATAATTGCGCCCGCCGCCCGCCCGGAGGAATCCCGGGAAAACCTCCGGAGAAACCGCTTGTTCCTGAACTGGCTAGCGCCCCAACGGCGTTCCGGCGGCCGAGGGCCCCGAAAACTTCCTCGACGCCATTTCTCGCCTTTTCTCTCGAGTAGTCGCCCAACGCATGAATTTCCACGCCATGGATGATGGATCGATGCTTTATTTTCACGGCTGCCCGCCGCCATGTGATCGCGCAAGACTTTACTCCGCACGCCTGACCGGCCGCCTGAGCAGCTCCCGAGTCGCATCTACAGTACGGTAGAGTACAAAGTCGGTGGCTGGTAGCCATATGCTGTACAGTACTTGTAGCACTCGCAGATGCTAACTACAGTATGTTGTACAACAGCACCAGCGGGCAATTTGAGCGTCGGAGGTCTGATCGCCCACGATAGCTCCCGAACGGCTCCAACGGTTTTCCTTTTTCTCATGTGCCGGCTACTAGCACTGACGAAGTACAGGGCATGTACACATGCGCTGCACAATTAGTGCGGAGGTACTTGCCTAGTACATGAACTTCACGAGCTGGAGCCTTATTACTATGATTAACCGTGCGGCCCTCCAGCCCCTCCAGTCCCTCCACGAACCCCAGCGGCCTGTTGTCCTCCGTCCTCGCCATCCTGCCTTTATTCTTCCTGCGCTCTCCGAGTCTCCGCTCCTCAATCATCGAGGATGTTTCTTTGACTTGCAAGCAATGCATTGCGCATCGTTCTGTTCACCCGCCTGAATTCCCCTCGCCGAGTGCGCCGTTCACGTATCTTCCGGAATCATGTGTACTCGATGTTGGCCCGGCGCAGGTCGGCGTGCAGATGCAGGCTGCTGGGGGCGGGGGGGGGGTTCGTTGGAGTCACAAGTGGACTCGACTGCGGTGGACTCGATACTGTGGACGGAGCACGAAGTTGGGCACAGCGAGCACTTCGTAAGCCCAACACCTATACTCCGTGCCTCCATATTACTATTGAGTGCTCGTCCGGAGTATCTCCGACGTACGAAGCACCCTATACGTACAGCACTATCATTCTTATTGCTTGAATTATGCCCCCGGCCCGAGATTGGAGCCCCTTTTTATCTCATTAATGACGATCTACAGAGCACGAAGTAGTGTACGACGGCACTGCTCCGTACGCCTCGATGCGAACCCGCGAAGAGATTTCGGTCAAATAGTCTCGTTCCTTTTTTCGAGCGTCCCACCACACCACACCACGTCGCGACCCGACACGAGACTTTGTGATGTTATGGCCTTACTGGGCTGTCACATCCGGGTTCCCAGCTGTCGAATTAGTGCCGCTGATAAGATCCAAGGATTCAGGGGTTCAGGGGTTAAGGAGGAAACGGCTCCCCTCGGCCCCTGCCTTTCCTGCCTCTCCCTCCTGCCTCCTGCCTTGCTTCCAGCCCTGGGCCCAACCTTCCCGCGGTCCGTGGGCTGCAAGGCTAGCAGTCCGTGCTCGGCCACGATCGACGGGGATTGAACGCGTTCGCGGTACGAGACGATGAGTATCGAGTCGCGGGCAGTCCTCTTCGTAGGGGAAACAACGGCTGAAGATAGAGATCCCATTGATGTTTCGGTTTGGTACGACAAGAAACAGCAGCCGTGCTGCAGATTTGATCGCGATCTTTGGCCTTGATTCCTGGAATTACGTACCTTGGTAGACATTAAAATTAGATACTATCCCTCTAGCCGCCGGACTGGGTCCTGGTGGCAGTGACGAGCCTGGCGATCCTCACATTGGACGCCCAACACCAACATGTCGCTAGCCTCGCAGTCTAGCAGGTCTTTGTGGAACGGTCTTGAGCCAAATGGGGGGTTGGCTGTACCAACTCATGAGAAGGAGATAGTGCGGGGCTCCCGTTCTTTTGCAGTCGCAAATACCGCCCCGCAGTCAAGTGGCTATTTTTAATCCCCCAAACATCCCACAGTCTTGAGCTAAGTAGCTTGACTATCATATCATTCCATGCAATGGTCATTCTGAGTGTTTTATACCAGCCAGGTCGAGGTTGCTCCATATCTTCTTATGTAGCTTGTGGGTCGTCTTCGGGTTTATTTGCATGAAATCATTTTGACAGGATCTTCTCCTACAACAAAAAGTTAACTCAAAATTCTCCTCAATGGTGCTCGTTCTTATTATTACCATTAGAGGCACAAAATAGTAGTTCCCGGCCGATCTCACATATCTTCGAGTTCCCTACTATCACACTGGAATTCCCTTCGCCGCCGTCGTGGTGTATCTCCTATAAGCACATCCAGCTTCAAGCAGTTTCTTGATGTAGAAAGACTTATACTTAATAGAACATGCAAGCCAATCAATCATAAGATGTGATAAATAGCAAGTCCCATGTAAAGCACTACCTCTCTAGGTCGCTTCTCAGTCTTCTCTTTGACCAAAATCTCCATTCGACACGGTCCGATATAACCCGCTTTTGTCGCTTGATACAGTGATCTTCTCTGCATTGTAGGTTATATCCGCAGTGAGGTGCTAGCATTATAAGTCAAATATGCATTTAACACGACGTTGTCAAGAATCAGAAAGCTGGGCAAATGGTGTAACCCCTTACCAAAGCCTACGTACTTCCCTTCTCTACAGAGTTCCCTTACGTGAGATTAGGTCTAGTGATCCGAACTATAACATTTTCTTCCTATAAATGAGCGGCGACGTGTACCCGACAATGGAACGTGGGTCCGTCTCTCGATAGATTACAGGACCAGCTGCTGAGTCTATGAATATGGGAGAATATTTTGGAAGTCTTAGCCCCTGAGGCATTCTAGGAATCCGAGAGGTTTGGAAGCCCGGTGAAGTTACCCGGAACCAAATGAATTGTGCAATGGTCGGGTTGCGGGTGTGGTGGAAGCTGTACTTGTGATGTTCGCTCTTACGTGTATACTCGGGTTGACTGGGTGCCATTGTTCCCGGTCCGATGTTCCCTATGGGTTTTGGAGTATGAAAAGTTCTCTATTCAAGAAGACTGGATTCCTTCTAATGTCTCCGAATAAGTCAAGTAGAATGAATAATGTTTGAGTCTAATTACCAATCGTTTAGATACCCCAGTCCAAAAGTGTACGGTGATCCTTCGGAAGTTCGAGTGGGACCTGCAGAGTTCAGGCAGGAGCCAAGTAGACATTGTATAGATTCTTGCCTCGGTATATAGTTTGCCTTCGCAACGGCAGCACTGTACTATTGGCGTCTTGGTGTAGTAACTAAACTCCTACACTAGTTGAAAAGAAAACGAAAACCAAAGCTATCCTCCCTGACAGGATTGCCTCAGTTGGTATCACTGATGTCTATGTCAGAGCTGTTTCTAGTCTAGGAGCAGGGTATTTCGTCATTGGTACTTAACCAGTTGATATTATGATAGACAGTGACCTAGGAGTACATCATAAAGTAGCTCCAGAAGGCAACCGGGGATAAATCGGATTGATCACCATGATCGCGTCATCAATTATTTCCGAAAGGAATCTGTTGTGTGACACAGTACGGTATCATCCAGTAGTGACTCATGGTTCAGACTGCAGGGTTGGCCTTGAAAGCGATGAGTGTGTGTTGAGAGTGATCATGGTGTTGTTAAGTAGGTGGTGGCACAAAGCGTGGATTGTGTGGTAGAGTACGATTCGTGTGATAGGTGTGTTGGAGCCGATCTCAGCAGTCGACGGTAGACTTGAAGAGAGAGCTCTAAAGCCACTCTATTGGATGGCGAAAGGTAATTAGGTAGGCAATTAGAAAATTCCGAGTGTCTCAGCCACCCGGGGAAGCATCCGGCTTCCTCAATCTCACGGCATATGTGAGGCAGTTGAATTGGAGGTGAAGAAGTTTGGTAAAACACTAGGAGGGAGTACTTACTAAGAGAGGGTATACTCCAACACTGATAGTCTACACAAATTTGGTGTAGGAAGCAAGTTGCTTGAGCGCTACGCTATATAAGCATAAATAAATGGCTGTATGCATTTAAGTAAGAAGCTTAAAATAACGACATAAATAGCAAATGTTAACAAGCCTTGGAATGTTATCATCGTCTGTTTTCCAGGGTCTGATTGAAGTGACGTTGACCCTCCTCAACTATTCAAGCTATGATCCTTGCTGAATAAGTCTTGTGGTTTGATGGTGGCATCGTGCTGCTCTTATTGGCGGGCGATGTGCCAACCACATACGTAGTATTGACGCGATTTGAACCCCTCACATTGACTAACGTCAACAGCTGTTTTGTAACCAGTAACGATTTAAATTAATATTGGAAGCTTATCCAAGTTGGCCGCAGTAAAGTAGGATCACAGGGTCGGTGCACAATAGTTTACGACTTGGCGAAACAGGAAACATTCGATTGGGGTGGATCTGGACCTTGCCGCTATCGTACGCGTTCCCCTTCCGGCACTTCCATGCCACCAACCGCCTCATTGTTGTCCACTGCCACTGGTCTACGGTCTTTGTCGCAAACTTCCCGAGTCCATAAATCACCCCTTAACCCTCTCTTCCAATGGCTCCGGACCTGAATTCCCTTCCTCCTTCACGATCCTCGCCATCTCCAGCCATGACAATGACGCGCCCCTCCCTTAACTCCAACCCTAACCCCGCAGAAGCTTCGACTTCAGCCTTGCAAGGCCAAAGCCCTTCTCCTTCACCTCGATCCGGCTCAACCTCACTTCAAGCTGCGGCCGCCGTGAACGCGGGTCTGCAGCATGAAGACTCGAGACGTATGCACACTCCAGTTTACCTTTTCCCTATCTGTTCCCGCTAACTTGAGCGTCAGGATCATCAGCGAGTTCTAACCGGAACATACCACCCGTTAGCACCGGCAGGAGACGGTCCACGGTCCTTATGAACTTACAACTAAACGACCCAAACCTTCCAGCTCCAGGAGAAATGGTTAACGATCCGCACCTACCTTCCCATCGTACGGATAGTCCTCAGTCTATCGGTGGCTCGCCGATCATTCCCACAGGTGACCCTCATCACCGCGCTCCAAGCCTGGGAGAGATACATCAAGAGTTAGAGCAAGAACAGGAGGCTCATGTTGTATGTCACACAACACATGCCCAGGAATATAGTGTAATAGCTTGCTGATATATTCTAATTACAGAACCGACTTCTCCAAATGATCCGTGCCCAGCAGCAACAACTCCAGCAGCTTCAAGCAGCCACCGGCCAATCCCAGAGCATGCCTCAAGTTATCGATGAATCCACCCCCACCTCAGAGCGCTCTATGTCCTTCTCAAACAATGCGGTTCCACTTCCACAGTCGTCCACCTCCACCCCTCGCTCCCCATCTGCAGCTCCACACCCTCGAAGCTCTTTCGATTTGGCGCGATCAGACATTGCCCACCGAAGATCAAGGACACCTAGCCGAAATGCATCACCGAGCCTGAGAGCAGCATCAATCAGCGGGGAGGGTGGCGAGAGCCTCAGTCTGGGCGCACGCGATGAGAGTGCTTTCTACCAAGCCGAAACCCAAATGATGGTCAGGGAAAACCAGATGTTACGTCAAAGAATAAGAGAATTAGGTAAGATAAGCTTCTAGATCACCAATGAATTGTCTAGGTGAAGTGGGATGAACGTGTCTAACTGCTCATTCTAGAACGTCAAGTTAATGTGCTACATGCCAATTCTTCAATTACTCACGAGCCGACTACGCCATCACATCTACTTCGTTCGACTTCTGTTTCTGAAGCTACAGTACCTGCTACAGCGCCGGAAAGTAAGGAAGAGTGATAGACAGTAGCCGTGACTTAGGATTCTGTTCACATGAAACTCGAGGATCGGCATTTTGAGCTTAGTTGGCCATATTACGATAACGAGGGTATAGGGCAATATGCATAGGCTGTACATAACTGGCGTTTGGGTTTCTCGATACAGGAGGTCTGGGCAGCGGTGGAACGGCGTCTAGTTGGAGATTTGAAACTTGGCGGCTGTATTTTGAACCATAACTGCGAAGCGTTTGTAGCACTTTCTGTGTTGGTTTATTTCTCAATTTAAACTATATCACTATGGGTGACAAGAGTGACACTATACAATAGGATAGTGCAACATGTTACATCTCAAAACCCCAGCCAGTAAGAGAACATTCCGCTATTTTTGAGGCATCTGGCGATAATGGACTCGCTCTATAAAATCCGGGTTTCTAGAGGTACGGTATTAAACCTGGACGCCAATAGCTACACTATGCATTCTTGTGCTGCACTGATAGTATATCAAAGTTCTATCCACAACAAACACTTCATCTAAACCATGGTATAAGAGTCTCGTCAACACAATTGTGGGGAGAAGATACCCCACCCCAATAACCACACTTCTCCCAAACCGCAAGGTTTTGTTTAGCCACATATAACCACAGGCGTCCCGAAGTTCACCTATACAGCAACCCATCAACCATCTCCGCAATCGCTAAACTGCTTGTCAACCCGGGACTCTCAATCCCCAGCAAGTTGACAAACCCCTCATATCCTTCCTCCTTCCTGATAACAAAATCCATAAACCCCTTCCCTTGGGCAACCGCCGTCTTCCCCAACTTCGGCCTGATACCCGCATAATCAGGATGCACAGCATCGACCTTAACCCCGGGCAAGAACATCTTGATCTGCTCTAAAGCTTCCGCCAGTCTTGCATCATTGACAGCCAAGTCATCCGGCGAGTCAACCCACTCCAGATCCGGACCAAACCGTATACGTCCCGCAATATCAAGCGTGAGATGCGTTCCCAACCCACCGAACCCCGGCATAGGCGCAGGATAAATAAGATGCTTGGTGGTAGGCGTCGAAGCTGCATAAGAGAAATAATTCCCCTTGGCGTAATAAGCCGTCTGGTGTCTCTCTGGGGGTAGGATCATATTATTGATATTACAAGCTCCCAACCCCGCAGAATTAACAACCGTCTCGCTTGTAAATGTACTTTCCTCTCCACTCTTCTCATCCCTCGTCGTAATCTCCCACCCGGCACTCCCATTCTTCCCCAGAGGGGAAATCTTAACCACCGGCGAATGCAGTGCCACATCCCCGCCACGCTCCTCTAAATCCCCTAGCAGGAATTGCATGTATGCGTGCGAATCTATGATTCCCGTTGTGGGCGAGGCGAGAATCCCGGCTTTGGCTTGCACGTGTGGTTCTTCCCGTGCGGCTTGCTCTGAGGAGACGAAGTGTGTTGGGGCGCCTTCAATGGTGCGTGTAAATGCGTGGAGCTTGGTGAGTTCATTCCATTGCTGGTCTGTTTGGGCTACGATCCATTTACCCATGTTGGCGTGAGGGATGGAGTATTTGGTGCACAGGACGTACATCATCTGCCGGCCGCGGATACAGAGACGGGTTTTGAGACTGTCGGCGCCGTAGTAGAGGCCGGCATGGATGACCTGTTTGCTATTAGCATTTTGTAGGTGGTTTAAGAGAATGATGGGAGGCAATTGGGGAGTAGGAAGGGAAAGGGTTGAGTTAGAGCACCAACACTGACTTCTGAGTTTCGTGAACTGGTCTCCATCCCCACCGCCCCGTTTCTCTCAATGAGCACTGTGCTCGTCCCATCTCGCCCCGCCAGTTGTCTTGCAATAGCTAATCCTACTGCCCCGGCTCCAATAACCTATCATGTATTCGGTCAGCTGACGAGGCTTTGTATACCAGGAGGTAAGTACATCGTAGGTAGGTACGAGATAGAGGGAGGTACAGCATGAGTGAAATCAGCTCGCCGGGCAGCTGCCGTTGTGAAGCTCCGCAAAGCTTTTCTATTAATGAATTGACGCCGCAGCGGTTGTGGTAACATGGTTTTAGCCGACCCGAATGCCCCTTAGAGAGTTCTAAAAACAACGACAAAAAAATATACACATCGCCTGGTGGGGTTGCTGAAACTTAAGGATTAACGTCGCAAAAGTGGCGTTGGTGGCAGAGATACCCCGCATATATGCAAGGATTGGGTTCTCTGTAATGCAAGGCTACTATTGTACTTTGACAAGGCTGAATGGGTAACTTGAGTACTTCATAGGCATTTAGTAGTGTTTGTGGACGCTTTTCTTTTTATTCGTCTGATACCTAGGTATGAAAAGTCATGCAGTCGTATGTATGGTGCTATCACAACTCGGATTTGGCTTCAAAAAGCCCCCGCTAGAGTTGGAAGTAGCACTGAATCCCAACCTGCTACCCAAATAATGTACATATAGTGGTCATACAAAGACATTGCTTAACCATGCATCCCGCAACTCCTAATGCATTACTCCAGAAAATCAACGTAGCACCAGACTGGGGAATATTTTTCGTCCTGCAACATTTACATGATATTCGTGAATACCGTCTTCGGCCCCAACATACCTACTATTCTTTAGTAATGGACCACAAAACAACTGTGTAGGGGACTTACAAGATTCTGCCATCTTGGCTCCAGCTGCAACCCATGGTCGCGACTGTCCCTGAGCGAGGTGTCCCTCGGAGGATGGACGAAGTCTCATCTCGAAAAAGAAGTCCCCGTGTAGGGCGATCATTCAGAGGGCGCCAGGGCTGCCGCAATCGATTAGCAAAGTCTGTTCGAACATCGTCATCTGCCTCAATTTGAACCCTAGCAGACCTGGTAATCGGAGGATCAGAGGGAGGTCTTGGCCGGTAGAGTGAGTCTAACTCTGGCCATGGGCTCGGGGAAGAGTCGCTACCAACCGGGTCACTGCCAATCGCAGCTAGACGCGGTGCAACGGACAGGCTGAGCCGCTCCAAGTTGGAGGATGCGTCGTTTTCAGTCCCCGTCTCATTTTCAACAGTGCTTTCGGCTAGTTGAAACATATTGACATGCCGTGAACCTGGGTCTAACTGTGATCGTCTCTCCCGATTCTGATTGCGATCCTGATTACGATCACTGATATAAGCCCTGATCGACGGTGGCGAACGCTCACTAGACACAAAATCTTGCATAACCGTTGCCGATGGCATCAGTCTCTGGGAGCCCCTGAATATCCTGGAACTGGGCACTGATCTGGAGTTGGCCGCAGCTGATGCCAGAGCTTCACGCGCTGCATTTGCGGCATCTCTTTGTCGGCGGGCGATTCTATGTGCCTGAAGTACGTCCAGTTCTTCTGATGTCAGTGGAGCTTGATGCCTATCCATCATCTCCCGAGTGAGTTGCCTGAGCTGACGACTACGCTCAATATCTAGGCTCATAAAATCTGGAGAAGTGCTGCTAGGGTAAGGGGATTCGGCTCGGAAGCTTCGTAATCTTGGGTCTATGACAGGCTCCCCTGCTCTCTCCGTCACAATGATTCTTTCCACCCCCTCAGCATGCGAGTCGATCTCGAGGAGCTGCCGCGAACGAAAAAAATTGCGAACATCGGCGACACAAGCCCTGCCGCTTGATTCTGTCCACGCAAGGAGGTCGAAGGGCCCGGGGGAGAATTGCATAGCCCGTACAGCCCCGGTGCCAGCCTCACGACCTGGTCGGGAGCTGGTAAAGACCTCTAATAATGAGTCGGCATCCTCTCTTGCAATAGTAGCCGTGTCAAAGATAGATATCACGCCGTATTGCGTGGCGACAGCTAGGTATTTGCCCGAACTTGAAAATGACGCGGCGAAACTCCCCCGCATAACCGTCTTGTCGGATTCCTTTTGTCCCTCTAGCTGTATCCTTCCCCGCAAGCGCCATTCATACTGTGCGTTCTGGTTTGCTTCGGGCTGCTTCTTCTTGACCGGGGGCTTTTGCACCCTTTCGTGAACATAGAGATAAGGGTCATCACAGAGGGCGATAAGCAATTCACCATCTGGAGACATGACAGCAACATTTATACAGTCTGGGAATACCAACTCTTCCAGGACTTGGGACTCGGACACATCAACGATTGATACCGTGCGATCATTATTCGAGACCACTGCAACAGGGATTTTATAAGCCTTTGGCGATGAAGTCGACGTTGGCGCCCAAAGCTCAATGCAGTTGACTATTTCTGTCCCAATTTTGGTAGCCTTGGTAAACAGTGGTCCTCGAGAGCCGAGCGGTGTTGTGATCGCATCTGAAGTCGGGGATGGTACGTGGAGTGATGATCGCCGTGGAGGATCGAGGTCTAGTGGGAGTCGAGCATCAGGATCGGTATTTGAAGAGGGGATGGACCTCCTCCCCTCATCCAAGCACACAGTTACATAATGCCCATCGTCCCCTCCGCAGCAGACCCAGTCGCCCGACGCCTTGAGACATCGCGGAGGGAATGACAAGGTTGTAATGACCTCCCGTTCTCGGGTTCTAGTATTCAATCGGATTATTTCGTTTTCGCTAGGGTAGAAGACAACATCCTGCTGTGGTGAGCTAATGAGGGATCGCAACTGCCAATGGCTAACCCAATCCCGGCGCGTCAGCTACGATGGATGGGCGACTTGAGCTTGAAGGGCATCATACCTCGTGTGGATGAGGGCGCGGTAATATTTTCGAGGGTTTGCGAGAATCAAATCGTCAGTAGCATGGTATCTAGCAAGACAGTAGATATTAGCATGCAAGATAAGCTATAAGAATTGCGTCGGCAGCTGCTAGGGTGTTGCTGATGCTGCTGGGCAAGCTTACAAGCTCTTATCTTTGACAGCCATGCTGGCCGTCATGGGCCTTGGAGGCTAGTAGTTCTCATAAATGGTGGTGTTGGAAGCTGGCTATGCTGACATCGGTACAACCAGGCAAAGTACGGTTAGTAAGTAAGGGTAGCAAAGGTGCCAGGGTTGTCAAGGTATCTGGGGTAGTAGTTGTAATTGACAACTACGCCATAAGCGGCTTTTTTGGGGGATAAGTGCAAGATGATATGCTTGGTGGGGGGAGGGCGAGGGTGAGGGTAGAGTGTAGAGCGGTACGGAGTAGCAGTGAGGTAGAGGATCGACGGGGAGCACTACGTACTACGTACTGCCGCACAGTAGTGAATCGGTGATGCAACTCGGGCGGTGCGGTACCGTTACGCGGTACGGAGCGGCGGTGGGCGGTGGAGCGGTGGCGGGTCACGGTGCAGGGCACGTGTAGCAGAGTCACGGGATCAGGATCGGAGGCAACCTCCTTACGTCAGATGCTGCCTCGGTTCTCAGTCCTCCACTTACGCTTCGCTCGGCTTCCATCAACCAACCCATGGATCCATGGCGGCGACCTGCGGCTAACAAGCGAACATTTTTCCCCGGTAGAAGTTTTCTGTCGTCCGTCTCCTGTCTCCTGTCGTGAACTTCTTCCTCCTCCCATCATCCCTAATCTCCCAACACTCCTTTTCCTTCACAACCCCTTCTCTCCTATCACTTGCGATCCTGTTTCAATAGATTTTGTTTTCTGGCATCGACATTAAAGCCGCCAATATGCTGTCCTCAAGATTTGCACGAGCTGTAAGTTGCCCCGTATCCTCTTTGCGATGTCGTCAACTGATTCACTGGCATAGCTCCCTCGAGCTTCAACCTCTGCCACACGCTCCGCAAATCTTCTCCGCACACCATATGCATCGTCATTTGTACGATACAACTCCGATGGCGGCGACAAGAAGGTGAAGGGTGCCGTCATTGGCATTGACTTGGGTAAGTCATCGCTGCTTCGGCGCGGTCGGGAGGTGTATCCGACGTGAGGTGCATGCTAACAGTATCGACCCAGGTACCACCAACTCAGCAGTAGCCATTATGGAGGGCCAGACACCAAAGATTATTGAGAACTCGGAAGGTTTGTGCCACTGTCGTCGTCTACAATTTCCCATTCTAACGCGTCACAGGTGCCCGAACAACCCCATCCGTGGTTGCATTCGCACAAGACGGCGAGCGGTTAGTTGGTGTCTCAGCAAAGCGCCAAGCTGTTGTAAACCCAGAAAATACCCTATTTGCCACAAAGAGATTGATCGGCCGGAAGTTCACCGATGGTGAGGTCCAGCGCGACATGAAGGAGGTCCCATACAAGATCGTCCAACACACAAACGGCGACGCGTGGGTTGAGGCACGTGGCCAGAAGTACTCGCCATCCCAAATCGGTGGTTTCGTCTTGCAGAAGATGAAGGAGACCGCGGAGTCCTACCTGACGAAGCCTATCCAGAATGCTGTTGTCACTGTCCCTGCCTACTTCAACGATTCCCAGCGTCAAGCTACCAAGGATGCCGGTCAAATTGCTGGTCTTAACGTCCTCCGTGTGGTCAACGAGCCTACTGCCGCAGCTCTCGCCTACGGACTTGAGAAGGACCAGGACAAGGTCATCGCAGTTTACGATTTGGGAGGAGGAACTTTCGATATCTCCGTGCTCGAGATCCAGAAGGGTGTCTTCGAGGTGAAGTCCACCAACGGTGATACTCACTTGGGTGGTGAGGACTTTGACATCCACCTGGTCCGACACATTGTCCAACAGTTCAAGAAAGACTCTGGTCTGGATATTTCGAATGACCGTATGGCCATTCAGCGTATCCGCGAGGCTGCCGAGAAGGCCAAGATTGAGTTGTCCTCATCTATGCAAACCGATATCAACCTTCCCTTCATCACAGCTGATGCCTCTGGGCCAAAGCACATCAACACAAAGCTTACTCGGGCGCAATTGGAGAAGCTTGTTGATCCCCTCATCAACCGCACCATTGACCCCGTGCGCAAGGCCCTGAAGGATGCTAATCTCCAGGCCAAGGATATCCAAGAGGTTATCTTGGTCGGAGGTATGACTCGCATGCCAAAGGTCAGCGAGTCTGTTAAGAGCATCTTTGGCCGCGATCCTGCCAAGTCTGTCAACCCCGATGAGGCTGTTGCCATGGGAGCTGCGATCCAGGGTGGTGTCCTCGCCGGTAACGTCACTGATGTCCTTCTTTTGGATGTCACACCTCTTTCCCTTGGTATTGAGACCCTTGGAGGTGTCTTCACCCGTCTCATCAACCGAAACACCACCATCCCTACCAAGAAATCCCAGGTCTTCTCAACCGCTGCCGACTTCCAGACTGCAGTTGAAATCAAGGTTTACCAGGGCGAGCGTGAACTTGTCCGTGACAACAAGATGCTCGGCAACTTCCAGCTCACTGGTATCCCTCCTGCGCACCGTGGTGTCCCTCAAATTGAGGTTACTTTCGACATTGATGCCGATGCGATTGTTCATGTGCACGCAAAGGATAAGTCTACCAACAAGGACCAGTCCATCACCATTGCTTCAGGCTCCGGTCTCTCCGACCAGGAGATCCAGAACATGGTTGAGGACTCTGAGCGATATGCCGACGAAGACAAGGAGCGCAAGTCTGCTATCGAGGCAGCCAACAGATCCGATAGCGTGGTGAATGACACCGAGAAGGCCTTGAACGAGTTTGCCGACAGACTCGATAAGACTGAGGCCGACCAGATCCGCGAGAAGATCGCCGCTCTCCGTGAGCTCGTCGCCAAGAACCAATCTGGTGACGGTACCGCCACTGCTGAGGAGTTGAAGGAGAAGACCGACGAGCTGCAAATGGCCAGCTTGAACCTGTTCGACAAGATGCACAAGGCTCGTGCTGAGACCAGTGATTCTCAATCCGGAAACGCTGGCGAGACCAACCCACCTGAGGGTGAGGCCAAGGATGGCGAGAAGAAGCCATGAAAAGCCAAATAAGGCAACAATTTTCTCTTTTGCATGATTCTAGCGATTCCGAGCGGTCCATCTAGACTCGCAGCTGTGTATTCACTTGTACCCATATGTTGCGCCTTGGCGACTCTTCCATGTTGTAGTTCCTACATCCCGTTTTTAATGCTTGGGGGCAAAAAAGGCGTTAAGAGTACGCATTGGTGGATACTTGCACAGAAAAGGGCATTGCTGTAGCTGTATAAAATAGGATACTACGAATAATATGACATCCCCTCTCACAACTCCATGTTTTCTAGTGACTTGTTTATTAACCTGATATTCGACCTGGGCTGGGCACGGGCTACAATGCAGGATGCAGACGTGAAGGATGAAGGATCTTCCCGTCTGTTCCCCCAGGTCAAATTATTTATAGAAGAACCTTTGCATATGAAGAAGAGTTGCTCAAATTTGTTGCACTTCGCAAGTCTTATTGAACCCCATCCTTGTCTATTCCAAGTCGTTTCCTCCGGAATTCCTCAATTCTTGAGGTTTTGCCTCCGTTTTCCCGGGGTTTTCGACTCCCAGTAAACCTACACTTGGAGCTTCAAAGCCGAGACATAACCAAGTACCTTTCTAGCAAAAGATTGTGAGCAAAAGTCGTCAAGATGTTTACCTCACTAGAATCCCCAATAGCACCGACTATAACACAGGTATTAGCCTATACGGATGGAGGCTGGGGCCGCAGATTTGGTCGCTTTGGTGCAAAGACGCGAGGCCAAAGCACTTAAACAACGCAATAAACCGTCGGCGGTGTGTAGGATATGCCGCATATGCGTCAATTGAACATATATTTAGTCTATATTGTCCGGCATGCCTTTCGGATCCCGGAGGAATACCTGGTATGATATGACATCGAGATATGCGTCCGGGTTTTTGGGCGGTCAGTAATGTTGTCACGTGCGTGTTTTTTTCAACTAGCGAGGGGTTCCGCACTTTATGAATTCCCTTTTCAATGACAAAGACACCAACAGCTGCCCCAACATTTGCCCCAGCAACACCGAATCACTGCCTAAACAACAATTTACAAGGTCGATAACCGCTGTCCTCGAGCTGCGCGACCCTGCGATACCTGCAAAACTTGTACGAGCGGAGACGATATTGAGCGAAAACACTTCCTGTTCGCCCCACCAAAATGTCGAAAGTTGCAAAGTAAGACCCCATCACCTCCCACCGCCATAAATTTTGGATCTGTTCTCACATTTTACAGCCGCCCCGACTGGGCAGATGACGAGGACCTCGATGACTCCGTTGACGCGCTCCCCCCCCAAACTACGACTACCAACAAAGATGGCACCAAGACGATCGTATTATGGAGTTTCAACGAGGACGGAAAGAAGGTTAAGACTACCCGTCGGATACGCTTTACCACACACAAAGAGGTTGTGAATCCCCGGGTTGCAGAGCGTAAGACCTGGGATAAGTTTGGTCTGTCTGCTAAGGACGGAAAGGGACCTGCTGCTGACACCACAACGTGGGTGACTCTGTCTTTTGATCTTGACGATAAATACTAATATTATGGATAGCGTTGGCGAAAACATCATATTCAGACCCAGCACGAACTGGCGAAAGGATGCCAAGGAGGAAAAGCCCGAAGTTGGAAGCATCAAGGACCAACTGAAGAACAAGACAGTCAAGTGCCGTATCTGTAGCGGAGAGCATTTCACGTCAAGATGTCCCTTCAAGGATACCATGGCACCAGTAGGAGAGGAGGGCGCAGCAGATGTGGCTGGCGGAGCAGCAGATGGCCCTGAACAACCTGGAGGCCTCGGAGCAGGAAAGAGTTCATACGTACCACCACATATGCGTGGCGCTGCTGCTGGCGCTGGCGACCGAATGGGAGGTGGCAAATATGAGAGAGATGATTTGGCAACGCTGCGTGTTACAAATGTAAGTTCACCCACAATACCCCGTTTTGATATTCAAAAAAAAAAAACTAACTCGCCATATAGGTTTCGGAGATGGCAGAAGAACAGGAATTGCGGGATATGTTCGAACGCTTTGGCCGTGTCACAAGAGTCTTCCTTGCGAAGGATAGAGAGACTGGTATGGCGAAGGGCTTTGCGTTCATCAGTTTCGCGGAGAGGACAGATGCTGCGAAGGCGTGCGAGAAAATGGATGGTTATGGATTCAAGCATCTGATTTTGAGAGTCGAATTTGCGAAGAAGGCTGCTTGATTCTGTGGAATGTAACTTTAATGCAACGGGCGTTGGAGCTTCATTTACGAATGGGCTACCGAGAGGTCGGTTGGGAAATATCAACTCCTGCCCTTTCTAGCTCAGGACGATCCTCAGTTTGCTCTATGAATGATATGATATAATTGTATCCACCTGAGACTATGAAACTACTAACCCGTATAGAAGTCGCCGAGTGGCGGCCCCAGGGTTTCCTCTTAAATGTTCACTTGACAGTATTTCTTCTCACTGGATTATTTATACTTAGATTGTTCTTCCTGCGTTATACTAATGATGGAGATGGTCGAAAACCTCTAACAAGGCAGGAACCGCTTTTTCAACCCCTCAACCGGAACACTCAATATATCTACTCACTTAGAGATATCTCAGGAGGAGTTTCGTTGCTGATCATGTTGTCATTCTTTTAGAGCTGCGAGTTTCACAGCAAATCTATAGTTTATATCCTAGGATATCTAAAGACTTCCCTTCTCGCCTTCCGCTTTCTCTTCAAACACATACTCAATGTTATTCGCCAATCCTTGCAAGACTCTCTCTACTTTTCCAGCCTCTTCTTTCTCAACAAAGCCTTGAGTGTACGTACTCGCCTACAAAACCAATTACCCACAATTGGTTACCTAAGTCAATTAAGACATTCTGAGTAGAATGCACCGCGCCACACAATTTCTACCATCGTGCAATTGCGTAATGTTTCCACAACCTAACCTACCCACTCCTACTTAAGAGAACTGGCGTGTTAGCATATACGGCACAAGCACAGGCAGAGTAACACGACCACAACGGACAGAAGTCAATAACAGTCATATTGGCCGACCCCTATCATCCTTACCAAGTCCATATGGGCGACAAATTCCCACATTACAGTGTAGCTTCAACTCCTCAATATAGTTATAGTCTTTGGGTTCGCGAAGAGCCAATCCCGTATCGACCACTTCGTAAAGTTTAAAGCAGCAGGCTGTTTCACCCTTTATCAGAACCTTGCTGGGGGGAAAGCAAATAGCGTCTTCAGGCTCGGCGATGCAGAGTTAATTTCTGCTAGGCGACAGGAGGGGCTATGCGGAACAGAAAGTGTAACTTCATAGAGGAATTCCTTTCACTTGGGATTGAAACTTTCCATCCACGGCATGGAGCGAATGATAGGAAATTCGTAGGTAAAAGTAATCATGAAGGGTTATTGGATAACTATGTTCTGGTTCCAGAGCTATCATTTCAAACAAGTGTAGACAATGTTCTAGGGCACAGTCGTAGAAGACCTCAGGGTCAGTGCCATCGAGATCTTTCCGCATTGAGGTAAGGAAGGTATTCATTTTTGATAGGAGGTGAGTTTTTTATGGCTTTCAGGTGCCAAGATGATGTAGGAGCATATGTCGTATCGACGTACTTCGAGCTCGGGCATGTCATCATTGTCGTTGGTGTTGAACATGAGACCGTTCACGGCATACTTCGAATGCCCCAACATCTCCTGGTCCGTTGCTAGTTGGTCCATCGTCGATGTAATCTAGGCGAAAGGTAATTAAAGTAGTGTTACCTTGTCGGCGTGTCGATTATAACCACAGGATCTTGATGCTAGCAGTGTTGCGAATCCCGGTGTCGATGGGAGAGTTAATAAGTCCCTGGGCGGACATTTTTGAAATAATACAAGGGGATCAGAACACAAATTTATTTGCTTGCTTTAACAGGAAATGCTAAACAAATAAGGAGTAGTGCTACTTAATATTGTTATTATTACATGCTACATTTGACAAAAATGCTAAGGATGGAGCTGATTGACCTGCCCTACTTGAATCATGAAATGTAGAATTATTCTTCTAATTATATCAAGACCTACTAGAAATAGAGTAGAATAGACTGTAAGTAGACGAATCAATAAATGAAGTAACGCTTACTATTCAGGAGAATGATATGACTATTTTATACTAGTAAAAGAACTTGAAGAATCCGAGTTACTGCCAGCGGCTCGTCTTACAAAGGTAAGATGAGGTCGAGTATTACGGCTTTAGCAACTATGTTAATAAAATGGCAACAAAGAGTAGAGCTAAAAACTATAATAGCTACTGTTGAAAGATAGTTTGCAGAGAATTGGAAGATATGTCGATGCATAGATGTGCGTGCCTCGATTTGAAGAGACGAAAGGTGCCAAGCTTGCCTTTGACCAAGTTCTTTCTAGTTTAGTCCAGATTGGGAACAATAATCACATAAAAGGCAAGATCCAATGTAGTAAATAGAGAATTGTAAATGGGTGGCGATAATGAATGTCCCTGTAAGGTCGTGGTCTCTTGATGTGGTGTTACCTAGTAGGGGGTAATTATGCGTTGTTAGCTAATTGTTCGTGTAATCCAGAGCTTAGGGCTTCCGTAGTTATACTGTACTCCGTGAGCACTCCCCTTCTAGGACTATAAGGCACCGTCCGATCCGTACAATCCAATCACATCAACCTACCTCATCTACCTATAGGTACCTCACTACTCATTATTCCCTTTCTCTTGAGTTTCTCTCCAAAGCTTGCTGTACAACTATCCACGTGCTGTTCCTACTACTCTGAGAAACCTTGGTTGTTCCCAGCGACATGGGTTTCGACAAGGTCAACTAGACACACGAACATACTGTAGGTGTTTGGCTACGTCGTAATTCCCCAAAGAAAAGACACTTGTCCTAGTTCTAGAAGTTATAGCTTTCAGTATAGCTGCTGACAATCACGATCCGGAAATGAGCCCTTTTATCATTGCCGAATAGGTCGAAGGCGTACCGCTGAACACTATTACAGACGAGCTTTCTTGACCGTCATAGAGCTTGTTCTACGCGAGTATATGACCGATGAAGTTCTTTCAGAGCTACCGCCAAATAGCCAAGATACTCTTACAACTATTCAACTGTCTATACACAACTTCGATAAAACTAATGCCCCGTCATCGGGTAAGCATAAGGAGGGCTCCACTTCCTGGGTAGTTACGGCTATGCCTATCACTTTCAAGATGAATGAAATAGAAAGATGTGTTATATGTGAGTGGACAGTAAGATCTCTTGTAAGGTGCGACCCAACTATGGACTTCGGCTAATTACCTTCACCAACACTTAGATTATATGTCAGAGCCTTTCCAAACTGCCACAGAAATATGTTGAGAGCCTTGTCTAGTAGAAATGTTACACATCTAGGCGAACAAAGGAATTCTGTAGACGATACTGATGGCGCTCACCGCTCCGCCGCCAACAACAAGTCAAGAGTCTTTCGCCAAACTTTGCCTCCAAGAAATAAGACACTGGTCCTTTCAAGTTAATTTACGATGAGTTCCTCCCGGGAAACATCCTTGTTGATAAAGAGAAAACACCCTAGAGATAGTTGGGGCTATCGACTAGGAATCGACATATATACTGACCCCTATCAGTTTCTGCTTTCTCCGCCACCTCGGTTAATATCGCCAAACCGACCTTTATGGGATAGTACTGTGAGGCCGACTATAAATCGAAGCTCGAGATATTTCTCAAGTCCTTGGAGGACGAGGAAGTACAAAAGGAATCAGATATGGGCCAAGAAGTTCTACTAGAGCAGGATATGTCAGTTCTCATACGCCAATCTATGGAAGACGGAAATGTTGGTTCAACTGATTGTTCCGCGAGTCTTTTAATTTCGACGAGGATATCCTATGGACCAACTTTGTACCTCCTTCCAAGGATAAGGGACATTCGGAGGTTGATATTCCAAACGACACTGAAGTGGAGGCATTCATTGGGATGAAAATGGAGGACTTGGGCCAATACACGCTGGATCCGGAAGCGCATGAGGAGCAAAAGGAGCAGAAAGAGAGAGAAGCTAAGGCGGAGAGGATTGCTACGGAAGAGAAGCCCCTGGTGGACGAACTTGGTCTCTCTCGGAAGCCTGACTTCGGTGTGTGAAATGGTTTGCCTAAGGAAGATGGCCCCGGTGGGTAATCAAGGTCGTTTAATCGCTTGTTAACCTTAGATACTGCAACGCATACTTCTAAGTTAATCTTGGGACTACTGCTTTATATCACCACGATCGATTACTAAAATGGACGGGCCAACGTGTATTACTGTGAATCTCAGCAAGCTTTACTCGGCGACAGGCATCGACATGAGGCAGCTGTACAGGATATGGCATTGTTATGATGTCGCTATGATATCGCATCGTCAGGCTACCTGGACCGCTCGCGGTATTTATCTTCTTTAACTGACAACTTCACAAAAAACAACTTCACAAAAAACAACTTCACAAAAACATACAACGTTCACCGATCAAACCTCCCTGATAGACATTTCGCGAAAGATATACAACGTTCATCGATCAAGCTTCCTTGATAGACACTTCGCGAAAGATATACAACGTCCACCGATCAAGCTTCCTTGATACACACTTCGCAAAAGACATACAACGTTCGCCGATCAACCTTGACAACCGGTCAATCGTCTCAACTTAACCTCCAGCTCGACAAAAACTACAAGAACCATCATAGAGACGAGAACCACCGCAACACCACAGTGAAGCACCTCAGTGAAGCAACTCAGCGAATCAACTCAGCGAATCAACTCAGTGAAGCACCACAGTGAAGCACCACGGAAACAAGAAGCACTTTGGCGAAGCATCACAGTGAAGCACCACAGAAAAGATAAGGACTATAAGCATGGAAAATAATTCACCCGACCCATCAACGAATGAGGCAGCCCTTGACCGCGATCTTAAAAGGGAAGCTGCAGATCGTCGCGCTGTCACCGCGGGCCTCACCGACCCAACCACTGCTAGGACGCTGCAGGCAGCTGGAGACTACGCAGTCTCCAAGAGAAAACAAAACAAGGCAGAGGCCCAAAAAAGGGCAGAGAAGCTACAGGAGGAGATGGAGTCCGCGAGCAAGAAGTGTTAGTTATCTCCCATTCCTGAATTCTAATCCATGAGGAACCCATCGCTGACCAGCTTCGCTTTTAGGAGCGGCTCCATCTCCTCCCGTAGCTCCTCTACTCTTTTTTGGGCCTCTGCCAACCCCACCGATAGGTATGATATCACCATAGTCTTGATAGGCAGTGGACTTCGCTAACCAATCTTATATTCGATCTAGGGACTCGTCGCGCTTCCTGTTACACTTCGACCGGGGCTGGAGGATGAGGCCAAGGAGAACGCCCAAGATTGTATACCTGTTTGTTGACTTCCCGTCCCTTTTGCCCTTCCAATATAGCCTTGGTTAGGGTCAGCTTCGAGTTCCATGGCCGTGCTTCGCAGTTCGATCTGTAATAGCTGTAATCCTCCTTGTCCTTAAGGACTCTAGACCCTTTCACGTACTTAACGGACTCATCGCCAACCTACACTGGCCGTAATCCTGTCAACGAAGCTGAGACGCCATTCGCCGCCGCTGGCTCTGCCTTGTGTGGGACAGATCACTTCATAAGGTTCTATGCCACACAATAGCTAGGTGAATACCAAAGATGATATAATCGGCGAATAAGCCAGAGCGCGCAACAGTAGTCAAAGCTGAACGCATATATTGGGTAAACACGTAGCAGAACTCGCCAACTAATCAAGTTCCACACTACCATCTTCAATTGGAGGGCGCTGGGCGTCACCACAGCGATATTAGAAACATATGGCGCGCTCTTAAATCGAGTCTATGTTTTTCGGGAATGACAGCTTGAAAAGCACCATCCATTAATTACTCACTTTATGCTTCTAGTATCAGCCTCCCATACTCCTCTCTATAAAACCTGCGCATAGCTCATAAGGCGATAGATAGTAAGGGGTCATTATTCACTTAACTAAGAAAATCAGCTTTGATTATCTGAGAACCAAGAACCAAGTTACAGTACCTCATTACTTAATTACTAAATTAAGTTGTGAGCAACGCTCTTTCTTTAATTCGTGTTTTGCGTACTTTGTACAAAGGAAGTGTCGTCTCCATAAGGACCCCCTCAGCAACCCCCTGAAACCCACCGATTTGTCCTAAGAACGCACCATAGCAACCGACCAATGAAACATTTCTAGCGGCACTCCAACCACGGACAAACCTTTTTGCGCTCCACAACTCTATCCCAACTCAATCCCATCTCCAACTCCATCCTCACCCCTCCCCCTTCACCCATTCTCTACCTACGTACCTACCTAACTGCTCAAAATGTCCTCACCCCTAGAGTAAGTCCCAATCCCCTTCCCCCTCTTAAAACAACACAATTTCTCACACACCTTAAAACAGAAGCTTCCGCAAATTCAGCCCACGCACCCGTATGGGCATCGGCTTTGGCTTCCTCGCCTGGGGCGCAATCGGCTTATACGTTAGTGACCGCGCGGAGAAGAGATTGGGGTTCGAGCCGAGTCAGAAGGATAGGGATGCTTTGCAGGCTGTGGTGCCGAGGATTACTGTTGTGGAGAGGGAGGGTTGAAGAAGAAGGGATATGAGGAAGTTTTGTTAAGGGTCGAGGATATTTGGTTGTCCCTGTGTGTGACGAAGGGGAATCCATCATGGGGAGGGAATTCCATGGCAGGGGACAAGTTGAAGAAGAAGCTTCTAGACATTTACCGGTATCTATCTGGACGATGGGTAAGCCGTGCCAGCGAAAACGGAGGAGGGAAGCAAAACCCCAGCGTCCTTCGGTACGCGCCTACGGTAGCTATCGCCAAAGCCAACGCAGACTACGATACCGCTATATCTGCAAGCGCCTGGAACCATCTACAACGAGGAACTAGCTAGCTAGCTAGGGCATCAATAGCACGCGGCTATCCGAAGATATCCGGTCTACTTCAACACTACCATGAAGAAACTCTATTACGAAGAAAGGTCTAGAAGAAATAAAGAGAGCTGATTCCCGACAAATGTTCGCGAACTGTGATATATAATGGTCATTGTATTGGTGATTAACATTGGGAACCCTGAGGGATATCAGATCGAAATTTAGGACCGTGAAACCCGTTCATTAAACGGCCACTACGCATAAGACCGACCACTCCACCGGGTTTTCTACAATTGCGAGATACAGATCAGATTGATGTAATAAAACCAGTTGCTTGTTTATAATTCTAGTCTATAGAAGCTTCTAGCCATCACCGAGAGAGCAAAACGCAAAGTTGGAAAAAGAAAAGGCGAATCCATCGCTACACACACACACTTTCATCATCAGGATTTCCTCCGCAAATGCAAGCAAAGCCCCATCCATTCTAAATGCAACACCATCAATGTCATGAGTCGTCTCTATAAGTCTCTCACAACGGCCCAACCGCAAGTAACTTGACAGCAAGCCCCACCCAGCAAAACAGTCAAGGACCTTTCGCCGGCAAATGCAGTATCTACCATCGAACCGAAACTTTTTTTGAGACAATTGATCGGCCGTGCAATCGTGACTTTGAGAGATAGGAAAATCGAATAAGTAACGCCAATGCAATGCCGCAATTTTGTATCCATCTATAAGGTAAACCGCCCATTTCTATGCCATGCCGCCGCCAGTATGTACACCCGCAACCGGGGAATCAGTGTGTTTGTTGATGGGTTTGAAAAGCTGAGCCATGTCTAATGTCAAATCTCTCACTCCGTACTCGTTATCGATGTCGCTCACGGAGCCAAGCTCCTCTCCACGCTTGGCAGTATCCGAAACGACCCAGCTCTTGACATACTTCAACAAATTCATAATTTGAGAGAAACGCTGGTCGGGTGCCAACTTCCAATCCAAGCCTCGATTGTTCTTTATCAAATACTTTGAAAGGCAATAAAAGTGAACGCTGTCACGGCAGAACCCGAACCGACGATAACCTCCTGACGATGATGGCGGGTATTGAACAGCCATATCCTCATCCCATACTTTCTTCCACTTGTCGAAAGCATGATTGATAGTTTGTAGGAGTTGATGGGTCGGTGTAAGCTGGTCCTCGACCTTGATGGGAGTCGCTCGTCCGCTGCTGCTAGCACTTTGAGGAGTATCCACACCTTTAATCATAACCCAATCGCTCTGGGACAATGGCGTACTTGCGCCACTGGCGGGGAGTGATGTATGCGCATTCAACTGCCCAGACTCCTGAGAGTATTGCTTTTGGGCAATCCACAATTGTACGTGCAGAGCATGGACTAGAAGGAATTTCGAGAATAGGTTGGTCGTGCCCGGCTGAAGATCGAGGTCAGGACGCATCAGCGTTTCTAATGCACTATGCATTTCCGGTTGCTTTGGTCTACGACTCCCTTCTGGGTTCCTATCTCGTGCAGCGAGAGGTCCGTGCAGACCGAGAGCTTCGGCGCACTCAAGAGCGGTACGAGCATCCCATGCAGCGTCATCGGCGGGGAGCGGAACGCGAATCTCGCGAGTATCAAACAGGGGCATGGCGTTGAAATAAATGACCATCGCAGCATCTGTAACAAATATTGCGTAAAGCAGTCGAGAGCGCTTCTCCTGTTCAACCCAAGCATTCCAGTCAAAGCTGGTGGAGTTGAAACTCTCCAGCTTAACGTGCCTCTGGTGCAAGACGCTGAATGGAGGTGTGGTTGTTGGTGTGGTCAGGCCGGCCCGCCTTGTGAGTCCGGCGATCATGGGGAACTGTCTCCGAGCTTTCTCGCGCTGGAGTGGGGTTCCATGCCAAGTGAAGAGCGCTTGGATGAGGAAAATGCCGGTGATCTGCTCGAGCTCAGACTTGCTGGAACCGATGGCTTCCTTTGCATATCCAGGACTGTCTTTCTGATCTTGAGATGCGAAGAGTGGAGAATTCCGTTCCATCGAGGATTTCGCTAGTTCCATCAAATCCCGCACCTGTGTAGGCGAAACGCGATCCGAGTACACTGCTCCAACGCATACCATTCCTAGGAGCAACCCATCATAAGCGTCGGCAATCCGGAAGGTTGGCATATGGATGATTGGAAAGTGACCATGAAAATGCGTGAAGTGTTCCAAGAAATGTTTAATATTATCGGCGGACAAGTATCCTCTCAAGTCACTGCTGCGGCCGACGACCTGGTTGGTTGGAAAACAATAATACAGCAGCCTATTCGATATTTCATGGAGGGGATCATTCTGCAGGTTCCAACCTGGGGCATTCGAGGTGGGGGCTAGGCCGTTGACAGCACCGGCATAGACACCATGAAAGAGGTTGTTGGTGGGAGGAGCGTTCAAAGGTTCCGGCTTGATTGCTGGTTGCGATATCGTTGTGCTAGGGTTGTACTGAGCGATGTACCCATCGTGGGTCTGAGGTTGAAACATCTGCGCCCAATCGAGACCATGCTGCTGTCCAGCGGTGGCCCCAGGGTATACGTTTCGAGGGTGTTGCTGTAGCGTGGAAATGTCCCCGGTGGACTGAGGCTGCATGCTGGAGCCGTTGCCATTCGAGGCAAAATCATAGCCCTGGCTATATGAGTGACCGTTCTGTCCATTGGGCATATTGAACGCGAGTGAAGGATTCATACCAGACGGCATGGTACTCGCTATTGCACCGGCATAGCTCTGTTCAAAACTAGTCCGGCTCGAGCCTCCGGGTCCTACCCCGGCCATGCTTCTTCTATCCCCTCCTTCGCCATTCCCTAAGGGTTTCAAGCTGTTCGTTCGGTTTAACTGACCTGCCTGTTCATCTGTTAAGTTGGAACCAGGATCGGGGACGCCCCCGTCAGGAATCACGGCGAAAGGGTGGAGAGCCGGGTCGTGACCCATGTTGCTCATGCCATTCATACCCATGAGATCGTTGTCATTCATGGAGGGTGCGGGCTTGTGAGGCCCCGGGTGTGACTTCTTCAAATGTGCTTGGGCGTGGGAGAGATGACTCGCTCCGGTCGGGTTTCCGCGACGGATGGAGCACTTTTGAAAATGCCGCTTCAGGATATCACTTCGCGAGAAGGTGTCTCGGCAAAGCACGCACATGTATGGCCGATCGCCGGTGTCTGTCCCTATGTTAGGTAATCCACAATTGAAATTTTTTCAGAGACTTACGTCGAAGGAGATGGCGTTTTAGATGCTTAGCATGGAGGTAAGTTTTAGTGCAATGAGGGCAAGGGAATTTCCCATCAGCATCTTTAGCAGGTATCATTGTATTCTTGGTCGACCCCGTGCCAGTGACGGCGGGGGCGGGTCGCCCAGGAGCGCTAGGAAGAATACCTCTTCGACCTTGCGAGCCCACAACGTGCGTTGGCGGTTCCATCTCTTGAAGCATCATCATACCTTGTCCGTACGGCGAAGACATGCCGGGATGCATGTGCTGTAGACCATTCGGGGGCATCGGTCTCAACGTCTGCGGCATGCGATTCTGTGCCGGGGCGGGGGCAATTGGCTGAGGATGCGACATGGCTGTTGACGACTGCACCATCATGGACGACGACGTCCGATACGGTTGCTGTGGCTGTTGATAATTGCCGCCGGGCATCATCTGATAACCCCGGGACTGCGATGCTATCTGGGGGAAATTCCCCATTGTGTTCGCGGAGCCTGGCGTGTTTGGCGTTGCGGGCGTCCTGGGGGTATGGGTGCCACTCCCACCATACATCGACTGCATCGTGGCATGCTGCGAGCTCTGAAGCGGGGGGAGCGTATGGGGCGGGAGGCTGGAGTTGTGCTGGAGTTGGTGCGGCGAGATGCCGGGCAACGAGGAGAATTGCGAATTGTTGTTACTCAACGGATTCGAGTGGTATTGGGAGCTGTCCATAATCAGGCAAGTCGAACTATTGTTGTGTTGAAAGGAACCATCGACCCTTCAAATCTCGGCGCGCACACTTGTCGGGTGAAGAGAGGTTCACCACACTTTTTTTTTTTTGGTGGAGGGGTCAATTGCTTCGTCCACGCCGCGTCCCAAGGCGCCTCTCTCAACACGAGCAATTAAAAGCAAAAAGCAAGTAAAAGATCGGAAGAGACAGAAGAGGCACGCAGTCGGAGGCCACGGGGTGCAAGGTCAAGATGCAGATGAAGTCGTCGAGACGGTGGGCTGCTCAACCGCGGATGACGTGCTGTGCAGTACAGTCGAGTCGAGGATCGACTGGGCGAGAGTACCTTGCGCAACGAACAATCAACTGGGGGACCAAGGAATGCAGGGCGGCGAGGTTCGGCTTGGGATTGAGGCTCTTGATAGTTTGTTGATAGATGATAGCAGGTAGTAGTTGTTGTCGAAGGTTAAGTGGAGCCCAGCAGGACTTTATCCGTGGCGGTGGGTTGCAGAGTGGGCAGTCGATCCACAATACCGGTCCAAACTCGCAGATCGGATCAGATCAGACCAGGTCCGATAAAGAATGCGGCGCGTACCAAAGGATGGGCTGCGTGGGCGGTGCTGGGTGCCGTTGCACACACCACTGGCAACTGGGGGCCGGAGGAGGGATGGGGCGTAAGGGATTGGAATTTGTGTTTATGGAGCAAGGGCCGTGAACGCTGGGTGAAGGGGACTGGAGGCAGAGGGTGTTGATGGATGGAGATGGAGATGTGGATGTGGAAGTGGGTGTGGAAGTGGGTGTGGATGTTTTTGTCTCTGGGAGCGTGGCGGACGGGGTGGGCAGAGACGTAGGGTAAGGTAGGTAGAGTAGTAGTAGTAGTAGTAGTAAAGGGAGCGAGAGGGAGAGGGATAGGGATCGGGATATCTCTCGTCTCTCTGCAGAAGAAAAGAAGGCGGAAGGCGAAGGCGCGAACGAATCTTTCAACAAACTTTGAGCTTGGCCGGCGCCGCCCTAAGCAGAGAGGGCTGAAGCAGCGGCGTGAGGACCAGAGAGGGTAGCCGAAAGCACTTATTACACTACCACAGTACACTACTACGATAGCATAGTCCCGTAGTTACGCCTACGCCTACACCTGCGACTGCGACTGCGACTGCACAACATGGACGCTCCCAGCAATCCCAAGAGAAACCTGCAACTTAGCGCCGCAGCTAGCCCGATGGGCAAGTACTTGGGCAGCTAGCAGGCTAGCAGAGCACCAGTAGTGCCGTCTGCGGTCTAGCTTGGGGCGGATCTAGCCTGGTCTTGCCTAAGTTGCAACGCAGTCAGTGCCTTGGGGGTGGGATGGATTCGGCCTGTATCATTTATTGGGTTGGTCGAGGATTATTATCAAGCATCCGGCATGCGGCCAGTCTGGGCAACAGTTGAACACTGGCATTACAGTGGCAGCGACAGTGACACAAGTTCAACAAACTATCAGCTAACTTTTTAGGCGCTCAAGTTAGCAAGCTAGAAGCAACTGGTCGGCAGCAACTGCCTACTCCGTGCCTAGCAAGTGCCTAGTAGGTACCGAGTAGGTACCGTGCAGTACAGCTTGGTACCTACGCTGGACCTAGCAGAGTCATACTGGTACTCGTGCCGTACGGGAAGTAGATGCTATGATAGGTAGCTCTGTTGTACTACCTAGCCGCCTGGGTTCGAGGGAGCGCTAATGCGCCGAAGTTGCTGCGTGGCGACGGTTAGATCCTCAATATTAGTGAATAAATGTCACATCACATCATCATGTCCCAGTCCCAGTCCCAGTCCCAGTCATTGTTGGTCGTTTGGCTGATGGCTGCAAACCGCGGTCCGGGCGACGGCCTATACATAGGTATTGTACGTACAGAACACATGTTCTTCGTAGGAACTCTGTCACGGAAGTCCCAGCAATAATATCAATGTATCAATGTCAACGTGGTACGCTGTAGGCTCTTCGGTTGTGTACAGCAATTCCGCAGTTAGAGTTTACGCCTATTCGCCTTTTCAACCATGGGACGACTCTGTAACATGTCCGCATTTAGTAGTCGGCGACCACCGTTTTTATTAGTCGGAGTAGTTCCTCTAATGAGTCTAATCCGTCCAGTCTTGGGCGGCTGGAATACCTGACGATCCGCCTTCATCTGGGCCATGTGCCCGGTAGAGTACTCCCGGACGACCTGTCACTTGGAACCTGGAGGTACTCGGGGAGTACCTGTAAGGGCGGTGCAGGCAATAATCACCGGTACAGCAGGACAGATGTACATACTGCACTGGAGGTACATGTACAGTGACGGTACATACCGGAGACAAGAGACTAGAGACAGAAGACAAGCAACCGCCAGTCCCCGTTGCAGTGCCTCTAGGTGCAAGCTACTCCGTAATCGGGAAGAGACCCTTTTTTTGCAGGATTTCGTACTCGAGCTGCTAGCCCTTACTGTAGGTGGTAGGCAGTAGGCCGTATGCTGTAGGCTGTAGGCTGTAGGCCGTAGTTTCATTATTATTGCTGCTGTTGTTATTATTATTATTATTATTATTATTTTCATGTTCATTATTATTCAGTGCAGGATGCCGTTCTATGATCTTCCTTCCTGGTGACCCGAGGCTTGGGCAACAATGGGCGCCCGTCCACGTTCCACCCCTTCCCCTTCCCCTTCCCCTTCCCCATCCTTATCGAGTTCCCGCCGCCCCAACAGAATCGCAGATAGAGTAGATACATGTACAACGCGTAAACTTCCAACACCACACAACGCATCCAAAACACACGACAACGTGCCAACGTGGACAATATCAATCGCTACAGCGCACACCACCCCGCGCGCCCCCCCGTCCTTAATGTCGCTCTGCTTCCGCGCTTCGTCAGCGTCGTCGTCCGACTTTTCCCAGCTGTAACTCACTCCTCGACTCGACAATCGCTCCGACGGGCGCCAAGGGCCGATAAGGCTATAACGCTTTGAATACCTCTACCTGGATTCTGGAATGCTGAACCGAGAAGAGGCCGTCCGTCCGGATCATCCACTTGGATTGCCTGCATCTGGCAAAACGACGGCGCTACTGGAGCAGTAAAAGAGTCAAGACTCGAGAGCACCGGTTGCGCGACTCAGCACCCGGCCGAGGGACACTTTTACTTGCATACATACGCCCGTACGAAAGTGATCTTTGCTCTGCCGCCCTCGTATGCCTGACTACAAAGCACTGTACCATTATTGTCTGTACGAGCTGTCGAGCGATGCTGCCACAGGACATGCCGAGAGCCACAGCTCCCATCCCCGGCGCCCAGAGAAAAGTACTTCGTACCAAGTACGGAGGCAAATAATAGGTACATAATACATCTGCCGCGCGCGCACGTTGATCTCGGATGATGGCAGGGGACTGCTGCTGGAGTGACATTGTGTACATTATTGCTGGCTTGCTGGCGGGCGGCTGGCTGGCTTTCTGCTCGTCAACCCCCGATGGCGATGACGCATGGCCGCAAAGGTCTCTTCTATGCGATCTAATCGGCAGGTCTACCGAGCACCACCAGCAGCCAGAGCCCACCACCCGCAAGCCCCCCTTGCCACTCGCAACATGGTCCTCGATGGGTCCAGAAAAGGCAAATCCAGCAGCTCCAATATATTGTTATTGTTCTGCAAACCAACCTGCATGGCCGTGAGTTGGGTAATATCCGACGCCAGAACCGCGACAGAATGCAATCGGAGGGCGCCGTAAACACTCCCCTACGAAGGACCATAGATAACACAATAATATGAGGGGTCAACCGTCAGCGGCGGCCACTTTCAGCTGCGTTCTGGCTCGTGTCATCATGCGAACAATCTATCGTCACGAGTCTCCGAGGTCCAACGGAAAGCTGTGGCCGTGGCTGTTGCGGCAGCTTATCGAGCCAGACCAGGGATGATGGATCAGGTTTGGCCACAGCAGCGGAAAATTTGCGCCGCGCGAGGAAGCACCGCAATCTACTGTACCTACGAAGTTAGTACGAACTGCCAAGGTTGGACGCCACACGGTGTGCACGGCTGGCGGGCTACTATCGAAAAGTAACGGGCCAAAACAAAAGCTCGAAACTGGCAATTTTGGCAGCTGGGCCCGTATGAAGCTATCCAGCATAATTCTTCACGGAGTTGGCCATGGCCACACGCAACCTTCTGGGTTACAGCACCCCCGAATTGGCCTTTTGCCCTCGCGAGATGTTGCCCTACAGATTAATCTTTATTGCCGGGCCCTGAGGATATCAAACCTTCGCCCTCAGGTGCTCGCCCAGGTGACGAAGAACATTCAAACCTCCGGAATATCAAACGGTCACATCTCACATTGTTGCCTTCCAAATCCCTGACCAACAGCGCAGGTTTTCCACCCGCCACAGCGTCTACAAGTATCGTGGAAATAGCTAGTTCCTCGCGCTATTGCCAATCCGCTCTGGTCTCCGAAGGGCCACGCAACGCAACGTTCCAGTGCAAGGCAAGGTGCACTTTCTGGACCGTACGAAGTTCCTGCATACGAGAAACAGACTATTATTCTAGCATCGCGATTCAGTTGTCAGATTTTAATGGCTTGCGAGACTTGCCTCGGCGGCGACCCATGACATGGACGCTGAACTTGCACCGTATTATTATTGCAGTACTGTAGCTGAGGGTAGACTTCTTGTCGGTGTTTGGCTTTATTTCCGCAAACAGTTCGTCCCCTGAGCAATTTGTTGCGCTTGGTTTCAACACACTCAACCAGGGAGATGCGACGACGATCGATCAGTCGATCAGCCCTTGAATGAACCAAGATGACGAGGTGGAAGCCGTATCGAGGTTATCTGAGGCGTCCTCCGCCAATCCGCGGCTAATTAAAACGTATCAAGGCAACCTGGACCTTCAGTCTCCTTAATCTGAGATCGATCATCGATCCTACATGTACTGTACCTGACCATCACATTCATAACTGAATGAGCCTGAATGAGCCCCCCAAGGGAATACCGGTTGTGGTTATCCGGATGAGAAAGAATATTTAACCGCCGTCGCATATCTCTCTTGAGTCTCTTGTTATCGCTAACACTCCTTGACTCGTCACCATACTCGTACGGGTGAGATATCTTTGGAGATGCGAAGACAGTATCGAAGTACTGTACTGTATTTCGTACGACAGAGCATTGACAGGCTTGTTGATACAAAACACGACTCGCAGGGGGCCATTCCGCCTCTAACGGACAAGATACCTAGGTACGCAGTAGTTGAGTTCGAGTCTTCTACTTCGTACCGTACGAAGTACCAGGGCTGCGATGGCCTCGCACAAAGGGGCTAATAATTCGTAATCGAGTCAGACACACACTACTACGGTATTCGGGACCTCTCCAGTTTCCGTGGCCGTCGGAATGTTCGTGACTGACGTGATTGACGAGACCGTTCCATTCCACGATGATTATTCCGCACAAGCAGCACGCAGAAATCTTCTGTTGCTGCTGTAAGACGCGCTTTCTAGCGTCTTTCTAGCGCGAGTCATGTGGGCATTGGCCCATGCAGACATAATGTCTCATACCGAACGGCATGGCATGCCTCAGCCAGTCAGCCAGCGATGCTGCAATGGGCATGTTTGGCGTCTTCGGCGTTGTGTCGACACTGTCGAGACTACTCGAGACTCCAACGAGGCTTATGGAAAACCACCCACCGGCGTCATGATTCAGGTGCTTGGATTCGTTAGCGGAATCCTCCCGGTGCTGATTGCAATTTCCGGCCTATACCCCGCGTCCCGGCTCCTGTTTGCATAAAAAAGGGGGCAACAAGTGAGAGCGAGCATAATTTATTCCTGGAGCCTCGGGATCTTCGCTCACACTAGTGGCTCACCTTCCAAGAGTTGCTATTAGTAGCATGGTACGAAGTATAGTACAAAGGTACTACATGTCGTCTCTATCTGGATGAGAACAGGATCATGAGCGTCAAGTTGTTCTGATACTGTATTATGGTAAGAAAGATGCTGGCGCAGAGTCACTCCTCGTGTTGCTTCTCTTCGTATCCGTACAGTAGCACGAACTGTTTACCAATCCCTTGCGTTCTATTTCATGAAACACCTCTCATCTCCTTACTAACTTAACGAAATGAACGAGTTTCCTTGGATTTTGAGGCGCAGTCCGTCTATTTCTCAAGACCCCTTTTTCCTTTCATCCATTTCTTGTTTCTTCACCTCCAAAAAGCAACACTCACATTCTTTTGAATTCGCGTCCAATCTCACTCTCGTTTTAATATATTAATTCCAACACTCGTTTTACCATTAAACTCCAAGAAAAAATGCATTCATCTATTCTCGTCGTCGCCTTGGCGGCTCTTGTTGCCGCGAAGACGGACATTGGCGGTTGCACATCCTCCCTGACGAAGAATGAGTACAACCAGGCCAGTGTGCTCTGGTACGTTCCAGAGACCGGAGAGATCTGCGAGATTCTCGACTGCGGCGGTGGCAGAGCGCCACCAAAGACAAGTAACTCATCCCTCCACAACCCCTCCAAATTAATTATCTGTTTTCTAACGCCCCTGTCCAGCTGTCCCTGGTTGCGGTGCATACTCAGGAACCGCGACGTACTCTCCCAAATTCCTCGCGGGATTCAACGGAGCATCGTCTACACAGGCCGCTCCATCTTCCCAGGCTCCAGCAGCAACCACTTCCGCTGGTGACTCCACCCCCTCACCTTCCTCTAAGGACGCCGAGACCCCAAAGATCACCACAGCCCCAACCACGTCCGGAGCCGCAGGCGCAGGAACCTCGACACTCGTCACCAGCACCGCTCCTCCAGCACAGGGCTCCGGCTCCCCAGTCGTAGGAGGCAAGAACGAGACCTCCCCCACTGTCCCAGGCGGAACCGCGCCAAACTCAACCACCAGCGGCAACCCATCGAACATTCCCAACGCAGCTGCAGGAACCTTCGTTCCTGGCGCACTTGCAGCAATCGCCGCGGCATTCGCTTTCGTCCTATAATCGGCCACCAACTTATACTTGGAGGTTCAATGACTAGTTAGCATATACATGTATATATACCTTGTCAGCAGAATTGGAGTTTTGGCGATGTAGAGAAGCATGGGCGTAATGGTGAAAAGCGAAGTACATACTGAAGTAGCATACCTGAGCTTTAGAAGAAAATAGTAACTAAACACAATATTCGCAAAGTTCAACTTCTTAGTAAACGCGGTTGACACCCTTATTTCTCGCTCGTTAGATTTGAGTTTCCGAGAGTTATCGAACTCTTAGCCATCTATGTATTCAAAGCCCATATTCGTTGAGGCATTAAGACACCCTTAAATAAAGGCTATAGTTTGTTTGAGCTAGACTCGGAACTAAGCCAGATAGCTTTGCGGGCATTGCTGAACTATAGTTTGTCTTTACACCTATTTAATACCCTCCTTATAACTCACTCCAATTAACCTATAGGCTATAATGCGGTGATAATGGAAAGACCTCTGTACTCCGTAGATAAAGTTATGTTACGATATCGACTTATTTACTTTGCGGAGTTGGGACACTTTAAAAGTGCACATATGGTTAACTCGAAAGCCGGAAATTTCGGCGGTACGGTGACCCACTTCTACCAACATACACGTCGCGAAAGATTTCGATACTGGACTCGGGAGTATGAACACTCGTAGCTCTATTTGTACGAGCATCGCCAATCCAATCTCAATGTCGACATCCACAGCTCTACGGCCGGTAGCCAGACAGCTCTTGAGAGCCAGCCGGACACGAAACATACCCCCTACGTTCCTCCTCCCATCGCTGCTCTCCGGTGCGCAGCAAACCTCCCCCTTCTCCAGCACTTCGAGCACCTACTATCCACGAGACAACAACCGCGAGCGAGGCGTATCAACACAGCGACGCACCGGTCTGCGCCAGCCCGTTTCAGTCTCGAAGACTCCCCTCCCGAAGCCGGTTCTCAATCCGGAGAAGCGCTCCAAGGTAGAGGTCGATCCTGATCACGGACTATGGCAATTCTTCCACAGCAAGGACAAGCCGATGAATACCCCTGAGGAGGACCACGCGCATGGTAGGCCGTGGAGTGTAGAGGAGCTGAGACAGAAGAGCTGGGAGGATTTACATTCCCTGTGGTGGGTTTGTTGCAAGGAGCGGAATCGCATTGTTACGGAGGCGTATGAGAGGAAGAGGTTGAATGCAGGGTATGGAGATGCGGAGAGCAAGGAGAGGGAGGCTATGGTGAGTTTGGTTTTTAATTTAACTACTTCAATTGGGATAAAGTGGGTAGTGTGCTGATGATGCCTCTTTGCGCAGGTCAAAATTACTATGAGAGCTATCAAGCAGGCTTTGACGGAGAGATATTATTCTTGGAGCGATGCGGAGGAGCTGGCGAAGACTGATCCAGAGATTAATCTTTCTGGGGAGGGTTCAGTTTATACCCCGAAGGAATATGCGGAGGAGGATCTGCTAGAGGAGGAGGAGGTGTTGGGGGAACAGGAAGAGACATCGCCTGAGAAGAATGTTCTTCTGGAGCCTGAAGTGAAATCGGCGGAGAAGCCTGTAGTGAGCGCATAACGAGGCGACAAGGAGGGATATCCGCAACTAGGATCTCTTAAGGGGTAACTTGGTACTTTGGGCAAGTGAAAGAGCGGGTAACTTGCGCATCAGGGTTACAATTCTGGACCAGAGATAGAGACTGTAAAAACTATGTTGTATTATTAAGGCGCATAGCCTAGAGCTAACCCGAGGGAAATATATAAGTCTCAGCATAAAGGGGTCGTTTTGAGGTCCCATCGCCCGACTAGCATGGTCGTTTTGAGACAACCTCATGGCTCCCAAGAGGCGGTCACAACTTACGCGAGCCCAATCACCACCACAACAACCCCCCTCCTAAAGAAGCAACCCACTCCAACCCTTTTGTTGACCGACAATTTCCTCAGTGACTTTGCATATCTTGCCCCTACTGTTATTCCTTCATTGCCTTCGCCATGGATGAGATCGCCCCCGAATACGATGTTGTCGTCCTTGGAACAGGTATGGCATAACCCCGCATGGTGGGGTATCGGGTATCCACGACGCTGACAGCAAGCAGGTCTGACAGAATGCGTGCTTTCTGGGTGTGCAAGTCTTTTGGGTAGAGCTTCGGATCTGGAGACTAACTGCTATATAGTGTTCTCAGTGTGAAGGGCCAGAAGGTGCTGCACATTGACCGAAATGACCATTATGGCGGGTACGTGGGAATCCGCCTCCCCCTCCTGAAACCAGCTAACAGGAAATAGCGAGGCTGCTTCAGTCAACATCGAGGCTGTAGGTACCCCGTTTGCTGCCAGTCTGCCACTCGTACTAACGTCCTGCAGCTCTTTAAGAAATACGGAAACTATAACAAAGGGGAGGAGCCATGGAAGAAGTACGGACGGGTCAACGACTGGAACATTGATCTCGTACCCAAGTTCCTGATGTCCTGCGGCGAATTGACGAATATCCTCGTGTCCACCGACGTTACAAGATACCTAGAATTCAAACAAGTTGCTGGCAGCTACGTGCAGCAAGGCGCCGGTGCAAAGGCCACCGTTGCCAAGGTTCCCTCAGACGCTGGTGAGGCTCTGAGATCCTCATTGATGGGGATCTTCGAGAAGAGGCGTATGAAGTCTTTCATTGAATGGGTCGGCACATTCAACTTGGCCGATTCTGCAAGTCACAAGGGTTGGTACAGATATTCCAGCTTCCTGAGACCCAAACTGACATATTTAGGCCTCAACATTAGCACTTGCACCATGAAGGATGTATATGACAAGTTCGGACTCGAGGCCACAACCCGGGATTTTATCGGCCATGCTATGGCTCTTTACCAAACCGACAGCTACTTGAACGAGGAGGGCCGGGCCCCCGAGAGCATCGAGCGAATCCGCCTTTACGGAAACTCTGTGGCCAGATACGGAAAGTCCCCATACATCTACCCTCTCTACGGCCTCGGCGAGCTACCACAAGGCTTTGCCCGTCTGTCCGCTATCTACGGTGGAACATACATGCTCAACACCAATATCGATGAGATCCTGTACGATGGCTCAAAGGCCATTGGGATCAAAGCCACCATGCAGGACAGGGGCGGCGATGAGCCGATGAAGTTCGAGACCAAGTGCAAAAAGTTCATTGCCGATCCTTCCTACTTCCCTGGCAAGGCTCGGGTTACTGGACAGCTCTTGAAGGCCATCTGCATCTTAAACCATCCTCTTGCCGGCACGGATAACTGTGATTCGGCTCAGTTGATCATTCCCCAATCCCAGGTTGGCCGAAAGCACGGTACGTACCTTCTTGGCTTGTCATCAAAAGACCTCGAACTAATTTCAATAGATATCTATATCGCTGTCGTTTCAAGCGCCCATAGTGTCTGTCCTAAGGGCTACTACATCGCGATAGTCTCGACCATTGCCGAGACCTCAGCCAACCACCACCTCGAACTAGCAGCCGGCTTCGAGCGCCTTGGAAAGATCGAGGAGAAGTTCATGGTAATTTCCTAATCCAGTTCTCTCTTCTCAATTTCTAAACCGGCTAACAAAACCCAGGGTCCACCAATCCCTCTCTATGAGCCTCTCGAGAGCGGCGTAAACGACAACATTTTCATCTCCAAGAGCTACGACGCTACGAGCCACTTCGAGACTACGACTGACGATGTTAAGGATATTTATCGTCGGGCTGAGGGTCAAGAGCTTGTTGTTGAGGGACTGAGAGAGGGTACGAATCTTGTGGGCGATGAGTAAATAGACGATTGAGGGGTTGGTGAACCTGGATGGACATATGGGAGAAGTGGCTAAATGATAAGTAGGTAAAGAGAGAAGAAGGTCTTGAAGCTGGCAGATGTTTTGTTTTGGTTGAAATAAAATTGAAGCGAGATTTTGGCACTTGTTTATGTTTTTGACTTTCGTTTATAAGCAAGCAATAATCCATACGCGACACATATATATATATGTAAAAGAAAACCAGTAGAATGTTTTATTCTATCCGTTCCTTAATATATATAAACTGTACCTATATATAGTACACTGTGGGACAATGCGCTTGGCTCCGGGAGATGGGTGGATGCCAAGCAACGCGTTCGATTCTATCTCCGGAGCTGCCACAAAGACCGGTGCTCGGTGCAGCATCGTCATTTGGTGCAATTGTTTCCCTAATAACCACTGCGATCACCAACCACCACTGCCACCGCCTTACAAATCCGCCATTTTTAGGGGAAGCGGCGTATTCTTATTCCCACAAGCCATGTGAAGCTCAAATCCATCTGCAGCGGCAGTCTAACCATGATGGTATTCCAAGGGCTGCTCAAGTCATCCAGCCAAAACACAGCTGCTGGACGATCCGCCCGCAGCTCGCCGCAGAGCGTGCTGCCATCGCTCAGCGAACATATTAGCTCGTCGGAGCCGTCTCCTGTACGCGAAATCCTAGAGCAATCATATCCATATATCCGCGAGGAAGCACACCTAAAACCCATCGAACCCGAGAGTCCCGATCTTCGAGAGCTAAATAACAGCCTTGCCGCCCTTGTTGCCATCTTCCCCGATGTACAGATCGAGGTCTTCCGCGAGATGCTGTCAAGTTTTGAACAAGAATCCAGACTAGCAGTAGTGACCGAGGCGCTTCTGAAGAACAAAATGAAGTGGGTTGGTGGCCGGTATCGAGTTGCGGGAAAGGAGACGGCGGTCCAAGGCGACAAGGACAAATCTACCCCGACTACATCGCAAGGTCAACTGTTGGAGGAAGAGAAGTTTAGGGCCCCCGAATACAAGAAGGCCGTGAAGACTGCGATGTACCACGAATTCAAAGGGCTCTCTAGATCGACGATAAACGGTGTCCTGGCCGAACACAATTACTCCTATACGCTTGCGAGACCGACCCTCATCGCGCTATCCTCAAAGTCATGGCGTTTCTCAATATCATCGTTATTCCTACGCAGGAAGGCTGCCTCATCAATAGAAGCTGAGCACCACCCTCTTGTGATCTGGCAATCGACAGGACAAGGCTCCATTGTCCCCACCCATAAGACTACGGGGTCGCCAGACTTGGACAGAGAGCTATTCCAATCACTCATACTTCCCATACAACGGCGGCTGCTGGCTGAGAGTGAGGCCAAGGATCGTGCATTAGCTGTCGAACTTAATAACGTGGAGGCTGAAGACAACGAGGCCTTGCATGACTGCGAATGCTGCTTCACTGCTACAACTTTTGAAGAGCTTTCGGCATGTGACGATGGTGGCCATTTCATATGTTTCCAATGTGTCCGACATGTTGTGAAAGAAGCTGTGTTTGGGCAGGGATGGCAGCGGAATATCAATGCTGACAATGGCACGCTGCGATGTGTGGCGGCCATGTCTGGCGATTGTCAAGGTTGCATATCACAATCCCTCATCCGCCGAGCATTCAGCGAGGACAAAGGGGGGAACGACGTTGTCCGCAAGCTTGACGAACGCCTGGCCGAGGACAGTCTTCTCAAAACCCAGCTACCACTTATCCGCTGCCCCTTCTGCTGCTATGCCGAAGTCGACGAACTCTACCTTCCAGAATCTCAGCGCTCTTGGCATTTGAAGCGTACTGGCCCGCCTTTTATTTATACCTTTGTGATTTTGCTCTTCGGCGTTGGCATGATACCCTTCCTTTTACCAGTGTTTCTAATATTCTCTTTTCTGTTCCTGCTCGTCTCCTCCCAGCAGACCTTCGGTGATTTCGCTATTCGTCATTTCAACGAATCCGTCACTCGCCTCCGTCGAAAAAAGCACGGTCTCAAATTCGTCTGCCAAAATCCGGCATGCAGTCGAACGTCATGCATCTCATGCTCCAAGGCATGGACCGATATCCATATTTGCCACGAGTCGTCGCTGTTGGCTCTGCGGACCCAGGTCGAGCTTGCCATGTCACTAGCCATTAAACGCACCTGTCCTCGTTGCAACACGTCCTTCGTTAAGTCATCCGGCTGCAACAAACTCACGTGCGTGTGTGGCTACCAGATGTGCTACGTCTGTCGGAAGGACATCGGGAATGGAGAAGGCTACCGGCATTTCTGTGAGCATTTTCGACCTAATGGGGGGCGAGGCTGCACCGAGTGCTCCAAATGCGACCTCTACCGCTGCGAGGATGACGAGGTGGTGGTTAAGAAGGCCAAGGAAGAAGCAGAGCGGCGATGGTTGGAGAAAGAAGGCCGGGATCTCGGGAATGACGAAACTATGAGAAAGGTCCTAAAGGAAAAAAGGGAAAGAGAAGGCGATGCGCCGTGGTGGGATAATAAACTCTGGCATTGGAACGCGCCTAATTGGCAAAATATGTTCGATGCCTTGGTTGGGAGTCTGGTTGAATGAGCGTCACGTCTACATGTTTTATGTTACCTGGGATGAATGGTTTTGTTTTTGGTTGGAGTTGGAATTGGCACTGGCACTGGGCATAGCGTATTTGCACCTGGGCTGCATCGGGGTTGGGATGGGGATTGGGGCTGGGGCTGGCTGGGGTTATGTTAAGAGGTAATTAATTCGATAATTGGCTATTCAGCCCTAAAACTTCATGTCAAGAAGAGAGGTTCAATAAATCAACAAGTAATGTGTGATTGTATTTCAAACCCCCAGATTGAACCGACCTATCTACTATCCCAACGCCCCATATCTCGATACCTAACTCCTAACACGTATTATATCATATCAGTCCTTTGCAAAGGGATAGAGCGATCCTTATATCGTGGCAGAAATATCCCTAACTCGTCATGGCCAACTCAGAGCTCTTACTCCAACTTCCACTCGGTTCCCTCCTCCATAAAACCAGCTTCCCATCATCACCGGCAGAGCCCAGCAATTGACCATCAGCATCGAACTCAACGCGCCATACAGGCCTATGCGTATCCAACCTCGACGCCTCCTTCGCCACATGGATTACCTCTCCGTCCCTGCTGTGCATCTCGGATTGCAGATTCCTGCCCGTACCAGGTCGAGCACTTGCCAAACCCGCTCCAATACCCGAAGGGAAATTCCTAAGGCCATTTTCCGACGTCCTCTGCGCAGCGCCAACATGTTCTGGCATTCTCGCAAAGTCCTTGCTCCTGGGCTCTTTATTCCCCTTGGAAGGAGTAGCAACCTCGAAGACCCTCACAAACCCATCTTTACAAGCCGTAGCAACGACATCAAAACCCCGTATATTCCCCGGGGCCCAAGCCACATCCCGCACTAATCCTCTATGTCCCTTCAGCTCGGCTGCAAAGTAGAATTCCTTCGTACTTGAGGAACCCAGACTCACTGCGTGAGAAATTTCTTTGGTACGCCAGATACTCGCTTTATTCATACTGGCCACGATAACACCTAGGGCGTCTCTCTGCACGCCCTGCCGGATTGCGGAATAGCACGGCTCGAGATTGGGGTCGAATGCTACTTTGAACGAGACCTCCTCCCCACGCGCCGGCCTATCGCATACATTGACCTGGTCTAGCTCCATCCAGCTCTCCATGTTCTCCGGCTCGTCGTTCTCGTAGACAGTGAGTAGAGCATTGCGGTTGATGAGCGCTAGGTAAGTGTGCCGAGTCTCGGGATTGTGTTTGATAGAGAAGGAAAGGAAGGGCGCTCGCGACGGGGCGCGCAGTTCCCAGACGGGCTTGTTGCTCTGCGAGTTGAAGCGTCTACCTTTCCCCGGGGCTATGGTCGGGTCTTCCACCCAGAGTTTGAATTTGCCATCGGTGCCGATGGATGCGATGAGGTTGGGATGAATCGTCGGGGAAAGCCATTGGATCTATCTTGGTCTCGCATTAGCGGCGAGATCCATTGAGCAGTTGCAAGTGCATAATGCATGTTCATGTTCCCACCTCGAGGATTTCAGAGGTGTGCGCACCCCAAGTATCGCAGATGTTCCATGAGCCGTCCTTATGCCGGTTGAATACTTTTATCTTGCCGTCCACGGAGCTGGATGCGAAACGGTCGCCATAGCTGTTGAATGCAGTGGCTTCGACCATGTCCCGGTGGCCATGTTGGAGCAGCGCAAAGCCGTCCTGCTCCGCATTGTTGTTGCTAGGACTGGGGTGGTCCGTAATCTGTGGCATAATTGTAATTGATTGTGAAGACCATGGATTGTGATAATGACGAAGCGCGGACGTTAGAGAGCTTTAGACCCTGAGCTTGGAGCCTGAGCCTTGCCCGCCTCGGTAAGAAAGGGGGGCCGGGTCCGTGCACAAGGCTCGAGTTCGCATCGACGGTTTCTTTTCGAACCCGTGGCTTTTCAGCCTTCTTCTTCAACCTCAAAGCCTCGCTCACTCACTATGGCTCCACGTTCAGCATAACCACATATCGACGTTGGGCTCGACCCTGTGAAGACATCACGGCACATGGACCCGGTGGTCCTCCAACAGTAACAGTCCAGCCAAGTTCCTTTTCTTTTCCACTTCCGCAACCATGGGTGTAAGGACTACAATGGCCTCTTCCCCGTCCGCTCTCTCCTTAACGGAGACATCGAGTCTCCTGGCGCTCTCCCTCGCATGCTTTGCCATCATCACAAACACATTCCACGGCGATGGCGCACCTCTCGTCGCCTCCCTCGCATTTAGCGGGATTGCCTTTGCCGGGTCATACTCCATGATACGATGGCTAGGTCCCGCGTTCATGAAGGCAGGCCTCAAGGGGAAGGATTTGAGCAAGGTGCACAAGAAGGAAATTCCTGAAACTATGGGCGCTGTTTGTGCCGTGGTGTATCTCCTTGTCATTACGATATTTATACCGTTTCCCTTTTATAAAGATATTGTGGCTGCTACGTCTGGAGGCGGAAATCGTGACGTTGTTATGGAGACAATTGAGCATGTGCAAACGGGCAGGTTCTTGCATCGATTCCCGCACAGCAAGGTACGGAAGGGAATCTCTATATACCCAATTGATTTTTTTTATAAGATGAGAACTAATTAAAAGCACAAATAGTTAGCCTCATACCTTTCTGCAATTCTCACGATCCAATCCATTTCGATCCTGGGCATTGGCGACGATCTCTTCGACATCCGCTGGCGGCACAAATTCTTCATCCCAGGAATTGCCAGCATCCCACTCCTAATTGTCTACTTTGTCGATTTCGGTGTGACCCACATCGTCGTTCCCATACCATTGCGACCCTACCTCGGCGATCTCTTACAGCTTGGGTTCCTCTACTACGTCTACATGTTCGCCATAGCCATCTTCTGCCCAAACAGCATCAACATCCTCGCGGGCATAAACGGCATCGAAGTCTCCCAATCCCTCGTCATCGCCTTCCTACTAGTCGTGAACGATTGCTACTACCTCCTAGCCCCATATCCACACCCAGCAACAGACTCCCATCTCTTCTCACTATACATGCTCCTCCCATTCATCGGGGTCTCCCTCGCTCTCCTCGTCCACAACTGGTACCCCTCCAAAGTTTTCGTCGGAGACACATACTGCTATTTCGCCGGGATGGTCTTCGCCGTCGTTGGGATCCTAGGCCATTTCTCAAAAACCCTCCTCCTCCTCTTCATCCCCCAGATCTTCAACTTCGTCTACTCCGCCCCGCAATTATTCCGTCTCGTGCCCTGCCCCCGCCATCGAATGCCACGCTTCAACGCCCGGACAGCCCTCATGGAATCATCCGTCACAGAATGGCAACACCCCCCTAAAAAGCCCATAGCCATGCTCCTCAAACTCCTCCACCGACTACACTTATTACGTGTCACGGAGAATGAAGAAGGCACTATTATAGAGAGCAGCAACTTCACGATGCTGAATCTATGGCTGGTGTGGTTTGGACCGAAGAGAGAGGATAGACTGGCGATAGAGATTCTAGTCATGCAGGTCTTGGTGGGGTTGGCGGGGCTTTTTATAAGGCATAACTTCGCGCTTTTGCTTTTTGAGAGTGATAATGTAGGTGTGTAGATAGGATAGAAAATATAGGTATGGATATAGGAAATGCGAGACATTTAATGTCATGAAACATAAATGGGATAGGTGGTTTTGGGGCAAGGAAAGGGGTAGAAGCATTTATTGGTTACTAACCCCTACCTACTAAAACATGTATGTATTCTAGAGTCGAAGACAAGACGAGAGAATGTATAAATAGAATTTGCCAATTTTCACGTTCAATGAATATTCAAACTTAAAAGTAGTGGTTTTTGATCATGAGAATGGTTTTTTTATTTTTTGAATCGCCATCACGTTCTTCATATCACTAACTACTGATACAACAAAAGGTATAATAACCCTTCTTCCATAAAAAGGGGGTATTCATCCCCAACCGAGCGCGGGATCAAAACAGCAAAGGTGTGTCCCATAGAAATTTGGCCGCCTGACGCCTATTCCCCCATCCCCTTTTGAATCCGTGGAACCTAAAACCGGCCCTTGAAAAAAGTATAACCGCTCATAAACATAGGGAAAAAAAAGACATAAGTGGTAATAGCAATACCGCGTGGAGCGAAATTTCTATGTTATGTTACAAAGTGCCATTCGTCTGTCCAGATGATGCCGGTGCCTTCGGTGCGGAAGCCAGTGGATCAACGCTCTTTTCGCGCATTGGTGTGTCAGCGATGGCAGAGCTGTCTAAGACGTGGTTCGATTTGGACTCTTCGATTGTTGATAACGAAGATTTTAGGGCAGCTAACGCTGTCGTTGGACTGCTTCCCTCGGCTGGCTTCACAGCATTCGACGATTCGTTCCGCTTCATCCGAGACGCCTTGTAGTCGCTCAGGCTGAGTTTCTTCGTCGTCTTGATCGGACTAGAATGCTGGCCAATACCATTGACGGTAGACGTTGCGAATGCACTCGGGTAATGCACAGTTCCAAGAGGCGACTGAGATATCGACCCGGTTGCAGACGAAGGCGTAACAGACCCTGAAAGAGGCCCATTCAAAGTGGGCGTTGTAAAGGCAGGCGTAGGAGGCATCTGGACTCTCAGGTCTGGAGATTTCTGGCTGGGAGAAGACCCACGCCGTGCGGTATTATTTGGTTGGCCAGGCCATGGTGGAGGCGGCGGCTTTATTGAATTGCCGATCACGATCGCAGGTGCTTCGGTCATATTCACATCCACACATGAGATTTCTACCGACGGCGTGGATGATGAAATGCTGACCTTTCGATCCTTCGAATCGGTCGGTGACTCTAGAGCGTGTTCTTCATGCACTACGGTATCCAGATCCATCGGAACCACCAGCGATATTTGCGCAGGTTGCTCTTCAGTGCCTTTTATCATGGCCACTGCCTCGTTCACCTGGGACTCCTGCTGGGCGCGAATTCTCGAGCGATTCTTAAGAAGACGTTTTGCAAGAGGTACAACCGTCCTCGAGGTCTTCGGCTTCGATTGCTTCCACCAAGCATTGTCAACCTCGTCAGTCTGTGTCGAGGAATCGGCATAAATGCTCTTAGGAACAGCTGAGGCTTGCCGTGATCGGTTAGGTGTAGATGCGTTTCGAGAGACTAGGTTATCTGGCGAGGGTAGGGTAGTTGTTGGCGAGGCGGCGCTGAATGGGGACCCTGATTGCCGCCGTGATGTGCTTGCATCTACATATTGTCGGGCCCGTGGATGATTCGCAGCCGATGTTGGCGGCTGTGAGACCGACGTTCGAGGTGCAATTGATCCTTTCCTCGCCTTTGGAGGCTGTGGCGTTGTCGAGTTGCCCGCTGAGCCCATGGTTGACCCATCTGAGGCCCTTTTCTTTTTCCGCGGTGGCTGTCCCTGCTCCATTTTGCGAAAGGTGTCTTCGACCATTGCCAGCTTCCTCTTCTCGCGATCCGACGGCTCTTGGGTAATGCCGTTGGTCTCCCCAACGCCATGGAGGGGCGTCATATCCCGACTTTGAGGCTTGCTTCGACTTGAACCTGACACTGAGCGATTATCCTCATCGTCACCATGTTCTGGGTGCCCTTCACTAGCAGCACGGCTGTTCGTCGCATGCCCGGTACTGCTTGGTGAGACATGATGCTGCTTGGGTTTCCGACCTTTCTTCGACTTTACACCGTTCGATTGACCATGCGATCTCCCGTGGTAGTTTCGGTGAAAACGAGCAAAAGCGCAGTCGTTACCAAGATCACACGCACAGCCGCCATGATCCGAAAGGACTAGACTGATTGTAGCAGTGAGTTGATCGTATTCGGCATCGCTGATTCCCGAGCCATCAAACGGAGTTCCGTCATCATCACCCAAGTTCAGGAGATGTAAATATCGCGAACGTAGATGGGATGGGAAGCGGAAATCCCATGGAAGCGTGATCTGTTCATTCTCGCGAAGCGGTCGTTCACTAACCAGCCAGAAATGATATTCTGATCCACTGGCAATGAAGGTTTCGAGAATGGTGTTCGCCCTGCAGCTGCGGCGAACGTACCGGCAGATTGAACCTTCGTGTCGAGTGTCGATGAAAAGCGGGAGGCGGGGATGAAAAAAGATTAGAGGTCGTGGATGGGCCATCTCGATCCATTTATTCTCCATATCTTCACAGTAGTCCTTCTGGAACCCAACCAGGCCATTGAGCTCCCCAATGCGACCGGAGTGCGGAAGGGCTGTAGGTGTAGTTAGATACCGCCACGAGAGAGCTGCGTCGTTAAGTGTAGCGTCTTTCCGGTCTACAACCAGCTCCGGCCATTTCAGCGTATGGACTTGTAGTTTAAGGTACTGAAAGACTTCGTCTTTGTCCTTGATACCGGTATCCTTTTGTAGGCTTTCCGAATCCCGAAGCCACGATGACATCGAGTTTGTAACTGACAGGCTCGCGAATGAATTGGTTGGGTTTCGCTGAACAGCATCTTCGTCATCATAGAGTCTTAAAAAGCTGTCGGAGTAAGAGTGGACTTGGAAGTCCTGAGGTAGATCCGGTGGTGTATGGGCCGGACTTGGAGGGTGGGCGTGAGAGTTTTGGCGCGCATGGAAAGGAGGAGAGCGCTTGACCGAGCTGAGGGACTGGCTCGCTCGATGCCCTTTCGTCTTCTTCGGGTGTGGATGATGATTCTCGTGTGGGCTGCCGTTCTTGTGGCCATCGTGGTCATGAACGCCGTTGACTTGAAGCTCGGACGGCTTCATTTTCTTCTTGTGGCTTTTCGAAGGGGGGCGCTTGCCTTTCCTTTCGCTGGTGCCATCGCTGGCTAGTTTGTTCTGCCGCTGTTGCCGTTGCCTCTCGGTCGCATGCCGCCTGTCTAACGGTCGCGGTTTGCAGTCAGCACAAGAATGGTCAAATTCTTCTCTTGAGGCATCGTCAACACGGCCGGGATAGAAGCATTCAATGTGCTGCCACGTATCGCACTTCTCGCAGTAAATCGTATTTCCATCGTCGTCGTAGTAGTCGCAGATGCACTTGATGGTGTAAGGCTCCTCTTCTAGGGACTCGGTGGCAGGAAGCGCATCGTTCGCCGATACTGACGCGGCAGAGTTCAAGGTGGCCTGGATCGGTGTCGCGATCTGCGTGGTGATCGAGAGCGGTCTTTCTGTCATAATCTAGCAAGGGCCTATGCCTATGGGTGGCTGTTCGAGTGAGAGGATCAAAAGGTAAGTTCACAGATGCCTAGGCCTGAGTCGCATGACGAAGACGGCCGCGAATCGATCGAAAAAGGTTGTCGCAAGGCGAGGGAAACAGTCAATCTCGACGATAGCTATCATCAGTTATCAAACCAGAGCCAGATCCCGAGCGTGGAGCCTTCTGCTCCCGGTGTCGTTCACCGACGCGGACTCGAGGATGAGGAGCGACCAAGAGCGAGGGAGCGTCGATACGGTTTGGCAGCGGCCGGAACTCGCTAGGACGCGTGCGAGCTGTTCCAATACCAACTCAGAGTCTCGAACCGTCGTGAGAAGGCTGGAGTGGCCTTGGAGAGGGCGATTGAAGGGATTTTTTTCAACGGGAGGTGGAGGCGAAGAGTGAGAACGAGAGGGAGGCGATCCGCCCTGGGGGGCAAGGTGTAGTTCGCAGACAGGCGCTTTGGTCGGCGACGCGTGGGGATGACAGTGCAGACTCGAAATGTCGAAGCCGACGATGGGGCGATGGGCTTGGTGGAAGAATCGGTCTTTGTGAAGGGTACTTGCATGAAGGTCGAGATGTAAGAATGAGAATGAGAGAGCGAGAGGGGGGGATTGTTCGACTGGCTTCAAGGCCAGGAAGCGAGCGCCGCTTTAGCCCGCCCAACAGGGAAGGGCGAGCGGCACAGACCAGCCGCGCAGTTTGGCGCCGTGCACTTTCGCTTTCGCATCCTGCAAAGGGGTCAAGGTACAGAGGGCAACTGGGCGACAATGGCAACGGCAACGGCAACGACAACGACGCCTTGTTGACGCCGCTATGAGCACGCCAGCTGCACCGAAGAAGAAGAAGAGGGAGAGGAAGACGACATCGATAGCTGCTATCTATAGCTATAGCTGAAGGAGGCTTCTTGGGTCCCAAGCCAGGTCAGGCCGGTGAGTGCCCGGGGCAGTGCTGTTATGATGATGGTGAGAGCTTGCGGAGTAGCAGCCAGGACCCCCACTGATGCGGTGTAAGCAGCTGAGAGAACGAGTCGGAAAGCAGGATGACGAATGTCCCAAGGGGGAGAAGCTTCATACAAAGCACAAAGCACAGAGTACGAGTACTGTGCTGTACCAAGGTAGTAGCACAGCAACAATACATAGTCGGTACTCCGTCCAAGGACTCCAAGCCCCAGTGGCCTTCAAAGCGGCCGGCTGTTGCCCAGGGTGAGTTTATCTCATTGGTGGCATCTGGACACATCGCCCAATCAAGGGCGTGCGAACCCGTAGCGGCCTTCTCAGGAAATGCCGGCTGCTGTTTCTGCCTTGAGAATGCCAGGGCCCATGTACGAACTGGCTAGCTGCATTGCCATTGGGCAAATCAGAGCGGGCTCTGGGGCTCGAGTACTCTGGGTCCTTCGGATCATTGATAAGCCTCTTAGAGGCTAACAACATATAGGTAGGATTGCAGACAATGTCAATATCGAGTGTCTGGAGTAGAGGGTAGAGGCAAGGCAACGCAACGCAATTAAGGTTTACGGATGCTGGATGAAACTTTTTGACTGCTAAAGAGGCGACGATATTCGCTCCCCAATTGAACGGATCTGGGGGAACACAAACAAAAGCGAGTAACGTAACCGTGTGAATCGGAATGAGCTGTTGTCGTTTGGTTGGTAGCTGGTAACTAGTAGCTAGTAGCCAGTAACTACCAGCAAGGTATCCGACGAATTTATATACTAGTGAAATGATTTAAAGCTACGAACTATACCTATGACAAGATAAAAGACGAATAATGAAATCTTTTATGAGCAAAACCTACCTTTCTGGCGCCCTCAGCCGTGGAAATTGCGGTGCCACTAATGAGAAAAACCGTTGATGTCTGTGGGCCAGTACCTTACTCCGTAGTCAGTTACCACCTACAAACCCTGCTTTTCCCGATTCCCAAATTAGAAAAATGGATGCCAAACATTCCATGGAGCAGGCTTCCCCACTGTGCGTACGCACTTCGTAACGTTTCAAACATCAAACTTCTGCAAACTTCCCAGTGGCTACCGTACTCTACGGAGTAGATCACAATTGCTTTGTCTTGTGATGTCCACGAGGCAGTTTGCTGTCCAGGTTATGTTCCCGTACAATGTCTTCAAGTTGACCAGCACTTCGTATAGCATCGGCACAATAATGGCCCCCTTTTAAGACTATATATTATTCCCATCATTAATCCTTTGCTCCGCGTTTCCTTTGCACCTTTTCCCGTGACTCCGAATAGAAACCATCCACGGGCTCCACAAGTTCTAGAGTGTGGAACCCCTTCCGGCACCCGATAAAAGCTGTTTGCCTCTGCCGACGGATCAAATAGAGATTGCCGTACCGTGTTACCTGTTGTTATGGCGCATTCTTGAGCGACTGGTCCTGGGAGAGGTACACACGCGCAAGACTGGGATTTCTAAGATTGCTAGGCAGAGGGCATCAGATACGTATATATATATACGATTGTTGTGTTGCTACATACGGTACACGCGTTACGTGCCACTAAAAACAATCCAGCATTTATAAGAGTTGCCACGTTTGCATTGCATCTACCAAATCCCAACAACCATCATTCTCCTTGGCCCAGGTCAAAACCCTCAGCTCGATACCGAATCTCTCGATGCCCATTCACCATCCATCCATCTGCTAATCTCCCTTCTCCAAGTCCAGACGCAAGGCCCAGATCTCAATGAAAAGAATAAATCCACGAGGGAAAGCCATCAAAAATTCCGCCGATGAGGACCCCGAAGGATACTCAACGATTCTCGACGCCCCGATGTGCAATGGAGGTCTCGTATCGCCAACTGCCTCTTCATGAGCAGGCAGGTTGTCAACAAGGTAAGTATGAAGAAGAAAGGAAAAGAAGAGGGCAAGAGAGAGGAGCGGGCCCAGGTATTTATAGGGAAGGGCCGGGGAGCTGGAGGGCGGTGGCGGCAACCGAGGGCGGGGGGGCAAACAGGCGAGTTTTGCAGCGTTGGCAAACAGGGCAAACAAAAGAGAGGTCACGGGAACAGTTGAATCTGTTGGAGATCTTGGCATCATCTGGCAGCCCGCTGTCAGAGAGAGAGTACTTCGTAATGTAGGAAGAAGGCCTTCGTTTTCGATGCACAAAGTATATGATATGAGCCGTTACACAGGCATGGCGATACTCGTATAGGCCAGAAGGCTCAATTTAGTAACGACTGAATAAAGTACTTCAGCTCGCCAAACCAACCACGTACTGTAGCAGTATTTTGTACTCCCAGTAGAATGAGATCGGGGATGCCCAAGTCACAGCACCAACACTGGTATCAACCGCCAACTGCCAACTATTAACGCATTCCAGTGCTATAGCCCGGAGCCCTCCGCGCCCCAGGGAATATCTTCAAGCTGGGCCCTGGGCACCTTCTGACCGTCCAAACGTCATTATTGTTCCCTATCCTGGGGGATCCAACCCAACAGCGCTAATCCCCCCCGCGCCACTCCACTCTTCCTCCAACCACCTGCGCCCTGGGTGAACGAGGGCGTGCTCTGTATCACCAAACCCAATCAGCCAGGCCAAACCTCCCCGAACCTCGCTCCCATCGGAGTCGCTCCCCAGAACCTCACTCTTCCACAACAACAACATACAAACAGAATCAAGATGAGGCTCTCACTCCCCGTCGCATCGCTCTTCCTGAGCACGCTCGTCGCATCCGAGCCCTTATCGCTCTTCACCGGTGGCCAGAGAGTCCTCGGTGACAAGGGAGAGGCGGTGCCTGGCGATAACCCACTCACCTACTGCAACGCCGCCCACGACGCCGACCTGCTCATCCTCGACTACGTCAACTTGGATCCTAACCCCCCTCTTGCGTACGTACACATCCCGCGCCAGAATTTAATCTAGGCAGAGACCATCGTAAACTAATTTGTTTTTCTATTACAGAGGCACCGTTCTCACGATCGAGGCTGTTGGGACGCTCTTGGAGACGGTCGGCGAAGGCGCATATGTGAATCTGCAGGTCAAATATGGCTTGATTAAACTCCTCACCACAAGGGCCGATCTCTGCGAGCAGGTCTCCAATGTGGATTTGAATTGCCCCGTCGAGAAGGGGAAGATCTCTCTGATAAAGGATGTTGAGCTCCCACAGCAGATCCCTCCTGTAAGTACCCTCTCTCCCTTGCCATACTGCTTCCAGGTACTAATATGCGGGGTTAGGGAACATACACTGTCCTTGCTGATGCCTACACCGTCGACGACAAGCATATCGTATGCTTCGAAGCCACCGTGAAGTTCTCGTAGTGGGCATTGCAGGGCAGAGTGCCGGGAGGGGTTGACGAGAGGGATTGTAATCGAGCGTGCGAATATTTGCTCCTTTTTTCTTGCATTACTGGCTTTTCCAGATACCTTTGAGCGGAGTTCTTCTGGTTATGCATCGTACACATGGATGTTCTTAATGTGACATCGGTTACAGAGGGTTTGGTACACTGGAGTGATGCGGTGCTATTCATATATATCTCTGTTATCATGCAATCCATAACACACAACATGTCCAAATTCATGCCCTATTGAACAGTCGTGCCCTCGACGCAACTCTAAAGGATCCCTCATTCATGACAAGCGAAGCTACAAGCCATCGCCCCTCCAACAAGATCCGCATGTCTCATGGATATCATATTCGCAACTCTAAACCGGGCCTGGTATTCGTGTGTGCACAGCGCCAATCCCCTCCTCGATATGTCAACGTAGATTCTATCCCCCTATTCGCCAAATAACCGCCGTACTCTCCTCAGTACACTATCCTTCTCCGGGTCGTATGGATGGTCCTTGCTCGGTATTTCGAGTAAAGCGGGGAAGGCAGCGGTATATGTATCGACACGGTGGCGTATACGCTCAGCAATCTAATAGTATTAGTTGTAAAGACCTTATCGTGACAGCAAGATTCAACTCACATGCTGGTTGATCAGCAGGATGCCAATATCCTTCCGCTGGGTTGTGAATCTATCGAAAGCCTCCTCGATAGTTGCATTGTCCGTCTTGCTATCAACGACCAGAAAGTTCTTCTGCGAGTCTGGCGGTTGGGTAACATGCTTTATTCCATCTATTAGCATAAGGGTTCGTTTTGCAACACAGTAAGGCCATGGCATACCCCAATACCTGCCAGTAGCAAGCCAGTTACGGAGTCCTGCGAATCTATTAGCAATAATCTCGAGGCTAAGTTCAGATATGGAAAATTCACCTCATCTCCAATCACGGCAAGGAACTCTCTATCCTTGTACGTAGATGCGGGAGCTGCCATCTTGCCGTTGCGTTGGTGATGTCTCGACAGGCGCTCTCTCTCTCTCTCTCCACGTTCGCTGAGGCTCTCAAGATTGGGGAGCTCCGACGGCGACCAAGCGGCGTGACGCTAAGGCTTCATTTAGCGCCATCGACATCAACAACCCTGCAACAAACCCAAGCTTCACCACATTGCGACTTTGAGAGTAAACAAAGGACGAGATCACCGAAGCTCTTCGATACGGTGGATCGGAGGATGTGAGGCACAACGGAATTACCTGCTCATCATGCCGCGACTCATACGGAGGAAGCCAGCCATCGAGCGTATTAAGGACTTTTTAAACCCGGGGGATTTCTTGCTCTGGCTCTCGGAGGAGATTGAGACTAGAGATTGGGATTCGAAGCAGCTCGCGCATCCGGTGGCTTTAGGTTTACATGTGGTTTTTCTGATCGCAAGAGCAAACTCGGGGACTTCTGCGAACAGCGGGGCGGATGATGTCTTTGGGGATGAATATTCCCGCTCGGGATGGTTCACGTATACCGTGGGTGACTTCTATATCCATACTAGATGAGGACAGCTACTAACTCTGATTCTAGGCCACTTTCCTAGTCTATGTTTTGACAAGCCTATCGATTGCGAATGCAGTATATACTTTCAATCGAAAACGGCATTACCGGTTATTCGAAAGCGCAATTGAAACGCCCCAGAAGACCCCTTCGGCGCATCGAGTGCGCGTTGATTCTTCCCCCGTTGCCTCCTCACCACTTCGGTTCCTGACATCTATACTTGGAGACCCTAGTGCCGAGTCGAGGGCACACCCCGATCCCACTCGAGACGTCTGGGAAATAGCAGTATGGGACCCGATACCCGTCTGCCTTCGGCTGTTCTGTCTGTTTAGCCCGGGCCATGTACTGGTATATTGGCTCTTTCTACCAACACAGTTGTCAGATCCCCGACCGAGCATAACGGTGTTCACGACCATCCTCCTCCAAGCTTTAATATCTTCACAATTGGTCCTCGTCCAGACTGCGTTCTCCCAGCAAGAGAAGGATTCTGCTATTATCCATCAAGAGGTTTTGAGCGAATACAATATCAAATATGTTCATCCCCGACTAAACCCGGTGACTCGTGAGGTTGGTACTCAATTTAACGGCCCAGCGTCAGAGACTGGGAGGGAGGCAGAGGGAACTGTTGAGACATACACTCCTACAGTCATCATCAATCGAGGCTTCCATACACAACCAAATCCTAACTACGCCAAACATGTCAATCCCAAAAACCCCGAAACCGTAACCCGCTCAGGCTTCTCCCCAACACCATCATTTGCGACCCCACGGCCACCGGTTCGCCAACCCCAGTTCCGCCAAAGCATGTCCACAGCCGTCTCAACAGGCACAAGCACCGGTGGCGGCGGCGGCGGCAGCTTAGGCGTCTTCAATCACGCCAATTCGCCCCTAAAAAAGGCAACGAGCCTATACGACCTCCAACGAGGCCCCCGCGAATCTCCAAGGAACTCATTCAGCATGGCGAGGCGAGAGATCCAGGAGGAACGGGAAAGGAGCCGGAGTCCTGTGAAGCGGAAGAGCGAGATACATACTTCCCACCACCGCGGCGTGGAGGACGATCGGAGAATCAGCGCTCCTGGAGGGTTTGGCTCGAAGCCACAGTCTGGGGGTTATGTCAGCCCATATAAGAGGATGCCTTCTAGATTCTAATTCATGAATTATCTAACGAAAGTATTGTATAGCATACTCGCCTTCTGGGAGTTTTGGATGTATTTTTCCTGGGCAAAGATATCCAGTTAATGCATTTGTTCATTTTTTTTTAATCTCTACCTGCTATGAAATTTTTTGTGCCATTTCTCTTCCAATTTTCATTCTGGCTCGGTTACCTTTCCTGCATCGTTCCTACCTACCTACCCACAATATAGCCATGCTTTCGCAGGCTTTCCCGTTGCGGAAGTCACGAATCTTCAAGCTCTACAAAACCCATCGATATCATTTTCTATTTCCTCAAGAGTCAAGAAAGATCTCTCCCTCATTCCAATACTCACTCACTAGGCACTCACAATGTCAACAGAAGTCCATCCCGCGATATCACCTCAAATATCATTTTCAGGACCCAGTCCCCCACAGCAACGGAACTACCCATTCCACAAACCACCCCCAGCATCATATGACGGACAATCCCCGCAACGCAGACGCACGCGGTCAGCTTCTTTCAGTGGCTTGGTTTCTCGCATATTACCTTCGCGCAAACAGGAGAAGGGGGGCACATTACGGGAGCAGTTTAGAGATGGAGGGCCGCTTGATGCTGTGGATGTTGTTTTCGGGCTTGCGGGTGAGCCAGGTATGGATATTGAGGGAGGTCGGCTGGGGATGGCTAGAGGTCGATCTCCGAGGGGTGATGACAGGATGAAGAGGAGAGCTTATGCAGCAGTTGGACCTGGCGTGTCTGCACTAACTAGTGGAGATTCTGCTCAGGGGAAGAAGAGACGGTGTTCGTTGAGTTGGTTTTTTCGGCCCCTGATCACTCCAGAGAAGAGTGGTGGGCTTGGTCAGGAAGGACAGAAGAGTGTGAGTTTCCAGCAGCCGTCGAAGCAGATACCCTTTTCTCCCAGGGTTCATGAGACGGGAACGCAACCGGAGAAAGGAAAACATACAGTAGTAGAGGATAACGCGAGGGCTAAGGTACATGAGATACACAGCGGCAAGAAATCACGCAAAGAACAGAGACGCAGTCTACGAGAAAGCGGCGACTTCCTCGGGGTCCAAGGAGCGAATCCAAGGACTGGGTATTGGGATATCAGTGATACAACAAGCAGCAGTGACACCGCGAAGATGCTGCGCTATTTGAAGAAAAGAGGAAAGGCAAGGCAGATCAAGCTTGCAGCTAAGATGAAGGATAGAAGAAGCAAGAGGTGGAGACCCAGTGAAACAGCCTGGAGTAGTGTTGTTGAACCGGAACTGAGTCCGATTGAACAATCTTCAGCTGGAAGTCCTGTTAAAAGTGAGTATCATGTTTGGCCCGGGAATCCGTTTGGCGGCTTATGTATGATCTAGGGAATTCCTCGGCTGACCGATTGCTCCCAATGCAAACTGCCGCGAATCCGAAATCTCATGAGCAGAGTTCTCCTGTCGAGGTCCAAGATGGTCCTGCGCAACGGACTACATCCCCACCTTCGGGACGAGGCGCCCTACATCCGGCCCATCAATCAGTCGAATCGACGCCCCATTTGCATCCCAATATTACTATTCGGCGAAAGCCAATTGGGTCGCCTCCAAGGCGCCCTCTAAGTGGTAATTCAGAAGACACAGTGATTTGTGCTCCTGACGCCAGCGGCATCATGGATACAGCGGAAAACCGGCCTAGGCAGCATCAGAATGAGGCTCCAGCGGAGGTTGGAGATTCCAACCGACGGCACGCGACATCTCAGGAGGGAAAACATTTTTTAGGCAAGTGCGAGCCCCTAGGTGTATCAGACAACCCGGGCGAAAGAAAAGCTATAGCGATCTCATTCCGGTCAGTCATAATGAAACAAGTCCAGATCGACCGGCCACCGGTCATAAGACGACAAATCTCATTCCAGGGGAAACTTGTCGGCTCCCCCAGCGAACTACCACCAGTCTCCCCGGAAGCTCCCCTCGACGTCCGGATCCCGCTGAACTTCCAGGCACAGAAGGGTTGTCCCCAGGTATGGGCTCCGCCTACCATACTCAACGTGGAGCCGGACGAGCAAACATCATCCACCAGCATACCCACCACCACCACTACTGGATGTCTCCCCCCAGCACATCACCTCAGCATCCAAGTCGACGGTCCGGAGTCAGACAGTCGGGATATGAAGAAGGCTCCGCCCCCTCAGAGACGTCGGTCGTGCGTGCGGCATTCGTCACTCCGGCGCAGACCCTACCGGATCCCATTACGAGGGAGCTCCCTTGTGAGCAGCAAACGGAACGAAATGCAGAACCAAGGGTGCCCTGTTCCAGCAGTCGACATCGATATATCATCGGAACCCCACCTAGATCAAGTAGTAAGACGGCGAACCGCAAGATTCTGCGGGATGGTTTCTCCAGGACGCGGGAAAGTGGGAAAGAGGAGCACACGCATATCCATATCTACGTCCCCTCCCCCTCGCCGCCGGGTGAAGCTGAAGAGCTCAGCACGCAGTCCCATGTTCCTAGCCTTCAAACGCCTGAAATACCCCGCAGAGATGACAGAAGTTGCGAGGAAAATGGGAATGCACAGGCAAGTCAAGGCAGTCACGGTAGCCACGGAAGACGGAGACGACACCGTAGATCCTTTGGTGTCGATGAGGACGACGAGAGAGGCAGAAGGAGAAGTAGAAGCAGAAGCAGAAGCAGAAGTCGAAGTTGGAAATAATACCTTTAGAACAGACGACAGCTTGGTGGTGTGGCACGCCGAGCCGGGACGGAGTGTAGGGGACGGGTACGCGAGCGCGGGGAAGAGCAAGGACGCCGTCATTCTGCATCCGGCACCCGCCACACACGGTCAAGGCAATGGTAATGATACTGGCAATGGCAATAATGGCAATAATAACAAGAATGGCGTATTACTATTCCCCGCCAACAACACTCGTCCGAGACCGGCTCGGCAGCCAGCATCTGCAGCGTCTCCGGTGTCTGCAGCGTCTGCGGTCTCTGGACCGATCGGGCAGGTCGCTGCGTGCTGGAGTTGGATTGTGGGGCCATTGCTAGATCCTGACCGTCGACTGGGTCCGAGGCCGGAGACAGAGGCGGAGACGACGGCTTTGCTGGCATTGCTATTGTTGAAGCTCCAGGAGATCGGGTTATTTGTTGCCGCCGCGCTACTCGCGGCTGCCATACACGTATCCGTGGCCATAGCTATATCTATTATCAGGGTGCTGCGGCTTTTGACTAGAGGCTGAATAAGGTTATGCTGCTTGTCTCGTATCACCAGGAAGTATATCTTATTACTCTACCAATATTTCTCTCCGGTCTCGCAATTGCATCAGTTTAGTGAAATAAGGAATTATGGCCTGCTTATCGCTACCTAGGTACAAGTACTCGTATTTCCTTTTACTACAGTATGCAGGCGCTTCTTTTGAAGCCGCCAATGCACCTCTAACTGGCTAGGTCGTACGTTGTACTGGTGATCCCACAGGCCCGACTAATGGGGATCTTGGCTTGGATGTATTGTACTGGTAGTATTCCCGAGTGCTGCTGGTGCTGCATTGCGTTGGGGATTATTACGTAGTACGGTTGTGCAGGATATCCATTCTGATAGATGGCAATGCGTGGGCTATGACAATGGGCAGTGGGCAATGGCTAATAACTGCTGTTGTCGAGCAAATTCAAAGCATTCAAAACGCTAGAGTAAAGGTAACTAGCTATAGCCAGCCACAGACATAGACATAGAGGTACCCATACTACCACCATAAGCTGGAATGTACATAATAATTAAAATAAAACAACAAACAATAAATATAAATAATAATGCACGTGCAGAGGGGTACAGTAACTGGTCCGTTCCCCCTCCGCCAGCCCCAATCACCACTAGACCAACAATCTCCAGCCAATCACGAAAGCCCCGATTCAAACCTCCAACGCCTCCCTCGCCCGCCGACATCGGCCGTCCAGTAAACTTTCCTTGCGATCTCATCCACATAGATCCACCCCGCATTCTGCCCCAAAAGCACCTACAAGTACTTCTTCTCGCCTTCTCTCCCTGCTCTCATCTTCACTGCTTTCACAATATCCTCTTCCTGTCGCCATCAATCATATCATAATCCTCCTTCAGATTCATCTGTGAATTAACACATTACCTTGCATTGCATTGTACCTCTACAAGATGCCTGCTGCAGAAGGGAGACCGCGGACTCTCTACGATAAGGTCTTTCAGGACCATATCGTGGACGAGAGACTCGATGGCACGATCCTGCTCTACATCGGTTTGTGAAACCCCATCTCCCTTGAGAAGTACAAGTCCCGTACTAACTCCGGTTTAGATAGACATTTAGTTCATGAAGTCACTTCACCGGTACCTATCCATCCCACCCCCCACGTTAGTATGTTACAGCGATAGCTGACCCGAAACAGCAAGCCTTTGAAGGCTTGAAGAACGCAGGCCGGAAAGTCCGGCGGCCAGACTGTACTCTTGCCACGACCGATCACGTATGCATCCATGGCCTTTTACCACTTGAGAATAATACGGACTGACAATACCTCTAGAATGTCCCCACATCCTCTCGAAAATCTTTCAAAAATATCGAATCTTTCGTTGACGAGGAGGACTCGAAACTCCAATGTATGACCCTCGAGGAGAACGTCAAGGACTTCGGCATCACATATTTCGGCCTCGGCGACAAACGTCAAGGCATTGTCCACATTATCGGTCCTGAGCAGGGCTTCACCCTCCCCGGCACAACCGTTGTCTGTGGTGACAGCCATACATCTACCCATGGCGCCTTCGGAGCTCTGGCTTTCGGTATTGGCACGAGTGAGGTTGAGCATGTCCTCGCCACGCAAACTCTCATTACGAAGAGGAGCAAAAACATGCGGATCAAGGTCGATGGACAACTCACTCCTGGTGTTAGTTCGAAAGACATTATCCTCCATGCTATCGGCAAGATCGGCACGGCTGGCGGTACCGGTGCGGTCATCGAGTTCTGCGGCTCTGCTATTGAGGCCTTGAGCATGGAGGCTAGAATGTCGATTTGCAACATGTCGATCGAGGGAGGTGCGAGAGCGGGTATGATTGCCCCCGATGAGATTACCTTCGAGTACCTCAAGGGCCGGCCATTAGCACCGCAATATGGCTCAGATGAGTGGAACAAGGCGGTTGCCTACTGGAAGAGCCTTAAATCGGACCCGGGCGCCAAATATGACGTCGATGTCTTGATTGATGCCATAGATATCGCCCCTTCAGTTACGTGGGGAACTAGTCCCGAGGATGTTGTGCCAATAACTGGCACAGTCCCCGACCCGGAGACTTTCGCAACGAAGGATAAGAAGGAGGCCGGCCGACGTATGCTCGAGTATATGGGTCTCACAGCAGGGACACCTATGGAGGATATCGTTCTCGATAAGATCTTCATCGGGTCCTGCACCAATGCTCGTATTGAAGATCTTCGGGCAGCAGCTTCCGTTGTCAAGGGTCGAAAAGTCGCCGCAAATATCAAGCGCGCCATGATTGTCCCTGGATCCGGTCTCGTCAAGGACCGTGCGGAATCCGAGGGTCTTGATAAGATCTTCCTCGATGCCGGATTCGAGTGGCGGGAGGCTGGATGTAGTATGTGTCTCGGCATGAATCCCGATATCTTGGCACCAAAGGAGCGTTGTGCCAGCACAAGTAATCGAAACTTCGAGGGTCGACAGGGAGCTGGCGGACGCACACATTTAGTTTCTCCAGTTACAGCTGCGGCTTGTGCGATTGTTGGCAAACTCACTGATGTCCGGAAGATTGCCGACCAAAATGCAACCCCTCGCCCGGCATCACCAAAGCCCGTTGAGATCAAAGCTCATGTGGATGAGAGAGCGGAGACCGACGACGACCAGCGACAAAAGATTGCCGATCAACCTGAAGATTCCGTCGACGTTCCCCATACCAACACCATAGCCCCCCATACCCCTAAAGGCCTTCCAAAGTTCACCATTTGCAAAGGTATCGCCGCCCCCCTAGAACGCGCCAACGTCGACACTGACGCCATCATCCCAAAACAATTCCTCAAGACAATAAAGCGCACCGGTCTCGGCTCGGCGCTCTTCTTCTCCCTCCGGTACAATGCCGACGGTTCAGAAAAGCCGGAATTCGTGCTAAACCAGGAGCCCTACCGCAAATCCAAAATCCTCGTAGTGACGGGTCCCAATTTCGGCTGCGGAAGCTCGCGAGAGCACGCTCCTTGGGCACTCTTGGATTTCGGAATCACATGCGTAATTGCCCCTTCGTACGCCGATATCTTCTTCAACAACACGTTCAAGAACGGCATGTTACCCATCGCCATCAGCTCCCCCACAGACATGGAGACCATTGCAGTGGAAGCGCGCGCGGGACGGGAGATTGAAGTCGATCTCCCCAATCAGGTGATCAAGACCGCGGACGGAACACGCATTTGCGGGTTTGATGTCGAGGAGTTCAGAAAGCATTGCTTGGTCAATGGCCTTGATGATATCGGCTTGACCATGCAGATGGAAGATAAAATCCTCTCGTTCGAGGAGAAGATGACGACGCAAACGCCTTGGTTGGACGGGCGATCGTATTTGAAGCGTGGCCGGAATGGGAAGCTGGCTGTCAAAGCCGTTCCCGTGCCGAAGACTAATAGGGGTGAGGAAATCAAGGAGCCTTTGGAGTGGTAGATACCCCCCTTACGCAAAATAAGCTGAGGAAAAGTTTTTTGTGTAAATATAAATAAGGCACCTACCTACCTAGCCAGTTCTGGAATGGAGGGCCTCGTTTTTTTGACCCAGGGTGGGATTATTGAGCTTTTATGCTTGCGGGATGGATGGATGGATGGATGGACTGGGCGGATATTTTATCTAGCTGTCTAATACCTAGGTATCTGCATGCCTTCGGCTTTTGCTAACGAGAAATGAATGGAACATACGGCTTCTTCTTCTCTTTTTGTCGTTCGGGATATATACATAGCGTGAAATCATTTTCACGGGTTTAATATAAAAAAGTTTGTGTTGGTTAATGAAAGGGAAATTGGTTCTTGTGTATACGCAGATTTTCATAGTTCCTACTAACTCTATGGCTTTCATGTTAATTGTATATCTACCTATGTATGTTATGTAAAGGTGATAAAATACCTTATCCCATTTGTCTACACTAAACGGAACGATCCTGATGTACTCCTCCCTTTCGATGTATTATTATCTCTATCCATTTGCAGAAACACGCAACTACGTCTCTTCTTTCACCCATCAAGCAAACATGTTCATGAGAGATCCCATCTAGATAAGAGTTGAAAATTGTATTTAATTTAATTTAATTTAACCTCCCATTTGTAAATGGGAAATATTTTCTTCCAAGTCCCTACTCCCAGAGTGAGTGAAGATGGGCACACAAGGCCTCGCTATATCCCTATCTATCAGATAGTGCCGCCTATGCTAATTATATATGAAATGTATGTCTGTAGGTATGTATGTATGCCACTCCCGAACGCCTACGCAATGCGGACAGTATCCAATCTTCCACAAAAATGCAGTGATGCCGTTTTTTTCCATTAAAAAAACCTCCATCCTCCAATCTACCACCTCAAAACAAAAGGAAATTAAAAATTATCAATATATGCCAAAGAGCTTCTTTTTCAAGAACTCTTCAGCAAATTAATACTGGAGAAGCTTAAATGAAAAGCACTCTAAAGCTTAATAGGATGCTCCTTCCGGATTTTTCCGCCGAACTTGTAGATAAGCGCAGGGCAGGGAATCAGTCCAATGGCGATGAACCCCAACACGCTGTTCCCCCATCCGTAGCCTAGACTGTCGTACATGTATGGTCCGGCGAGGGGCAGGAATGCGCCGAGAAGGGAGCGGGAGACAGTTAGAGCTGCGATGGCGGAGGCAGCGTAGGCCGGGAAGGAGTCAATGGTGTAGGTTTGGATGGGGATGAAGATTCCCATCATGCCGAAGCCGAAGGGTATTAGGCCGATGATGGGGACGATCCACTGTGGTTTGTGTTAGTTGAAAGGCTTGATGACGGGTGGGAGAGATGGCTTACGTGAACGGCTTTCTCGGCGGCCCAGCCATACCAGAAGAATGAGATGGGGATGAAGCATGCGAAGAATAGACAGGTGCTTAATCGCATTTCGGGCTCGAAAACACCGTTGTTGGCCTTCGTCATGCGGATAATTGTCGGGTCGGATATCTTGGCGACGAGACTTACACCGGTCAAGAAACCGATACCGATACCGATGTATGCTAGACCGGTGAGTTCTGGCTGCCAATGGTATTGTTTGATAAAGACGGCGGTGATGGTTGTGAAGAGAAGGTAGAGGAGCCCGTAGACAACGGCCATGTATAATGAGAGGAGAAACATGATTGGGGAGCGGAATAGCATTTTCAAGGGCCGCACCATCCCGTTGATTAGGATGTGCGTTGGGCTATGGATGGGTTGACCCTCGTCGTAGCAGCTTATGAGATCGGTGCGGTTGAGTTCCTTTTGGAGACGCTGTACCTTGCGGTGGATGAGGACCTTGGGGTTGGTCTCGCGGTTCAGCAATTCGATGCCGATGGTGAGGAGAGTGCCGACGATCAGGAGGATCCAGAATACCCATCTCCAGCCGATCCTCTGGGCGATGAAACCTCCGCAGATTGGCCCTATGACGGGGCCGAAGAGGGGCCCGATGGAATAAATCGAGCTGGCTACTCCTCTGCGATCAGGGGCGAATATATCTGCGATCACGCCTCCGCCGATGGTGATACAACCAGATCCGCCGATGCCTGCTAGGAAGCGGAAGACGATGAGGCTAGCAAGGTTGGGCGCGAGGGCACAGCCGATTTGCCAGACGCAGAAGAAGGCGTTGGCGCATGTTAAGATGAGCCGACGTCCGTAGATCTCAGAAAGGGGCTGGAAAATTCAGTGTAAGTAGACAAGTTACACAATTATTTTTATGTTTGGAGGTTACTTACTGCAAGAAGCAATGGGCCAACTGCATATCCCAAAATGAAGATGCTCACAGTCAACGAAGTCAAAATCGTCGAAGTATTATGGAAATCTATATCCATGAATATGACACCCGGTGCAAACATGGAGGAGGCCAGAGGCGAGATGAATGTGATGCTTGCAAGCAACCCGATGAGCATCCACTTCCTTGACTCTTGGAAATTCAGAGGCATCTCGGGATCATCCTGCGATTCCCAGCCCACGATGCCTCTATCGAGGTCCATGAGCGGTAAAACCTGAGGGGGAAGTCTTTCTTTCTTGCTTCGGTTGGTGAGGGCGGTAGCTATTCGGCTCATTCTGCTCTTCGTACTCCGGAGGCTGTTCTTGGTCTCCACGCGACGGACCTCGGAGTCATCTCCCACATTCTTCTTGCCGGCTTTGATGGATTCTATGGTCTGTGGACATGGATGTTAGACTGGGTTTGGCCTCTCAATGAGCGTAAAGCATTTGGGGAGGAGACATACCCGCGACATTGCGAGGTCAGTCATATGCCCGGCATCCATCGATTCTACCTGTTCATGTTCCAAGTCGGGTTCTCCAGTTGCGCCCTCCGCTATCTTGAACTCGGCATCCGCCTTCTCGTGGTCTGAGTGGTATGCAGTCGATTCGGTCGTCATGGTGCCATTGTCTGGGACCGGACCCTTTTCGAGGTCCCTTTCTGTCGCCATCTTGGGACGACGAAAAGCTGCAAATTCTGTTCCTGGTGGCTCTCTCTGTTGATGGCGTCTGTTTACCTGCCGAGAGATTTATATACCTACCTAGGTACCCGGGTACAAGTATGGAGGGTTCAAAGGTGGGGCCGCTTGGTTCCTAGACTCTGTGACAAGGGAAGGCTAGAAGGATCGAAGGATAAGTGGAACAAAGTATAATCGCAGTTGTTGCGTTGAGAATGAGACTGAGACTGAGAGCAACTTCAACTGCAACAGTACAGAGCGGAAGCGGGAAAGGAGGAGAACAGGAGAGAGAGATCACATATAGCTCGGGTTTCGGGGCAGAGAAATTGTGCGAGATGGTTATATACTCCCTTCAGGCCCCCTACGGACAATAGCAGACTCTTCGTCTCCATAGGAAGTTTAGTTGTGCAGATGGCGAGTGCTGGAGGCGTTCATAGCTGGACGATGCAATGATGCGATCGTCGGCGGGTGGGGGGCGTATGGTTCTTATGATTCGCCCAGCAGCGTCGTCGTCGTGCGGCTCGGGTTTTTCTGTGCGCACAACTGGCGTTATGCGCCTTGTGCAACTTTGTGCGCTGCATTGGGCGCGTTGTGCACGCCTGCTCGGGGCCTCGGCATCGGAATGCTTGTCCTTGCGCTTGCAGGGTTCCGCGGTCCCTTATCTTGCGAACTATACCTGGTACATGGTCTGTACTTCGAGCTGGAAATTGACAATTACCTGTTGGTACCTGACCTGTGTTGATTGTCTTATGACTTTGTGATGATTATCGGAGGTCGGGCGAGATAAGCCCGGTCGTGAGGCCAGAGGCGGCATCTACAAAGTTATAATATCCGACAGTACAACTGTACATGGTAGTAGCACCGCCAAACCGGCCCACCACGCAGTCTTGGAGTGGCCAGTCGAGGTCTGTTTGCTAGCCTCACATGCGATTCAGGAGCAAAATCACAAGGAATTTCTTTCTACAGCTTACTCTGTACTTCATTTCTCGCTTTCGTATCTTACGAGTTTTCATTTCCTTACCGTGGAGCTCTCAAAGTTGAAGTTCCCTCCTGCTGAACCCGCCTACGTTGCAAAATTTCTCCTACTTGAATAGCTCAATTTCAGTCAGATATTTATATGACTTGAATACTTTAATTTTAGTGAGATATTCGCGCGATATCAGATTTATATCTGGGTAATAGCCGTGGGGCCTTATAATACTGGCGAAAAGAGTTCTGCAACTAAGAATGCGCTATAGGGTCCTTCCTCCAACCTTTACCCTTCATTCTTCCAACTTCCACCCTTCCAACTTCTGCTCTCTGCTCATTTTCTCACTATCTTTACCTAACATGTCCCAAGATGCTATCGGAGAACCTTTCGATTCTTTCGATGTGTAATACGACTAACCTGTAAAACCCCACTTCCGAGCCGGTCTAAGGAGTATACAGTCTATGTATAGTACTCGCTTTGAGGATCGCAAAATATCAAAGAGGCTACGAACTTTACAAGATAATCGAGGAGCTCCAGGCTCAGTTTACTTCCGTTGTCTCTGGCAGAACCGAATTGAGCATTATGCAAAAGACGACGCTATCGTGTAAGTCTCTCTCTCTTTCTTCGCCGCCTCCTGCTTAGCTGTTGATTCTTAGATTCGATCCCATCAAGGGTCCCTCGAATTGATTCAATTCCAGACCTAATGTATTGATGTCAATCTCGAAAAAATGCAACTAGCGCAAATATCTCAATTTCGGTCAGACATTCGCGGGTTCAGTAGCCAACCCAAGAGACGACCTTAAATTCGAACTTCCTTGCCTTCTTTTTGGGTGGCTTTCCTCAAAATCTGTAAGTTGAGTGAATGATCTTCATGACCGCCTGGTCATGATCGAATGCACTAAAAGGAACAATGCGATGCATACCTACCTAGTAGGTACCTACGGAGAACAGAGTACATTGCTAGTTCATGACCAGGTGATCAGCGCTTCGACGCAATCGAGCAACGCCACTACAGCCTTATCGTGAACTCAGACTCGCTGTTGCGAATTCCATCGTCTTTGGAACAACCCCCAAAATTAGACGAGCATACATAGGTACCTAGGTATATATGTACTGTACGAAATACTTATATCCCCTTAGGTCCTCGACACAGCTGGACGGAATCCGAACCACGGGAATTATCGCGATTGCCCCAATGATGAATATTCAGGCCTGCGACGACTCTCATCTCCTCGTGGTGTTGGCTGGGAACTTCACTTCGCGGTCGTCTCTGGACGCTGGAGGCTTGCAGAACCTTCACTGAGAGGCTGTGCTCTAGAGAGTGGCAGACGCCACAAACGGTGGCTACCAGACCAAGCAATGTCTCACAACACCGCCCATACAGGTACGTCGGACTTTTTTCTAGAGTCCTTCATCCAGTCGTTACGCACTCGCCGATGAGTGGTCCAGAATCATTAAGACATGAGACTTGGCCGACGCCCCATGATAGGTATGGAATCTTCAACGGCCGCATCGCTGGGCTTCCGAGGCCAAACCAGCGACCTGGTTCTGCGAGTTCTGTAGGCAGCGAGAGACTGCCAGCTTATTTTTAGGGATCTTGGCAATTTTGTGGAAATTAGATTCACTGAATACTTGGGCAAGGCGGATTGTGGACATGATGGGAGCCTCGGGACGGTATGTATATAAGTGAAGCCAGTCTCCTCAATCCAATTCATCAACTTCACACTCATTCAGTTTACGTCGGTCTTTATCACTGTTTCTGCTTTCTGCGAATACACGCAACAATTGAATCAACCAGTCTCTCTTTAATTGCTTCAATCATTCTTTTCTTCTATTTCCAAGCGCTCAAGAAACCCTCGATTTGGATATAACAGCAGCCTTGTTTCATCCTCCCAACCACACGATGCGTTCTCACCTCTCTAGCATGGCCATCGCCATGGTGTCCGTGGCAGGTGCTGTCACACTTGGTCCTCGAGACATCCCCAACGAGATCATCTACATGTCCAACTGCGATACGAAAGGAGTACTTTCCAGCGAGATGTCTTACTACAAAGACTACACAAACTCCAGGGCAGGACAACAGCCTGAAGATATCGCGGTGTTGAACAACCTCGGGACCGTTGTTTGGGAGGCTCCAGTGGGCGGCAACTTCAAGTCGGGCGTCTCATTCACCGCAAAAGGATTAGATATCAACAAGAACCCTGGAGAGCAGTGCGGATCTGGAAGCAACGGTTTTGCAAGCTTCACCTGCTTCAGGGAGCAAGACGTGCTCCTATACCGCGACGGCGACAAGACATGCAACAAGATCTACTCTTGCTCCCACTCCAACCACGTCGAATGGACCCAGACCCAAGCCTCCCTATCGAGCGACATCGTCAAGATCAAAGACGGGCACAGCGGCACCGACGCCTTCAACACGATCTTCTCCGTCATCTCCGGGAACCACTGCAGCGATGCTCCGCAAGACATCGGTGGAAAGTGCCACATCAGCTTCACGTGCCAAGCTCCCAGCGACGAGATCCTCGCCGCCATGGCGAACTACCTCGTCCAAGCCGTAGGGCCACCAATTCATCCCGAGACTGTGGTCACTCCCCCAACCTGTAGTGGCAGCATCGCTTGTCTTAGGGAAGCTCTCACCCCTTGCTGCAGTCAAAAGGTTGATCAAGTCGCTTCGTTCCCTTCCACCGGGAAGATCGATGTCTTTAATCGGTTCGCGGATGATCCGACGCATCCGAGTCTGCAGGCCTCTTTGTCGTACCAAGTTACATGTCCAGCTCCCCCCAAGTGCGACTTGGCAATCTGTGGCTTCTTTGCTGGTGCGATTGGTGCCATCCCGGGCTTTGGTATTCTGGGTCTCATTGGGGCTGCTGTGTGTCTTGATTGCAGGTGAGGTGGCACTCGCGTTCTTGGTTGGAGCAACACTCGGTGAGGATTTTGCTTTAGAGATGGGTTGTTTTTCCTTTGGGAGTGACTAGCTGTCGTCAGGTTAACAGGAATCAGGTGGGAAGGGGGTTTCAATTTATTTTTTTGGAATGCGACAATTGATAATGAGTGGAGCTCGAGCGATATTGGACTGGGAACTGGAACTCGGGGAGAGTGGTGGGTATAGAAGGTTGTTTTGGAACACAATGTACTATAACATGATCTGATTCTCTTCTGCGAAATCTCTAGCGGTGTTCATAGACTTCTTTACAAATGAATCTCCATATTGTACTTTCATAGCCAACAGCTTGTACGTTGAGCGAGGCACTAACCTCAAGACTTATCAGATGTATTGATAGAGGGGTAGCCCGCATCCACTAGGCGTCTACCCAGAAAGAAGAAAAGCGGCCGTGGAATCAAATCCAGCCAATCCCGCCGCACATTTTACCTACAACTTACAGTAGCCGCCTTGTCCTCGTTTCCCGGGAGGTACCTTCATTCAGCTCTAGCTGAGTCCCGGGGTTGATCCGGTAGGTAGCTCACATTCTCCGCAGAAGGGCACTTGGTGTGGTGCCGTGCAGTGCAGAGGAAAACTGCCTCCGTATTGTGTATCGTGTGGTGTGATTGAACCATTGAACAGAGGTTACATAGTGTACATGTATGCACCTACGGAGTATGTGCGTTGCTTTGCTTTGCTTTGCGTTGCGCATTGCATTGCACTGTGCATGCTGTATGCGATATGCTGCAATACCAAGGCGCCAGACCACTGAGGGGCAAGCTATCCAGCGCGAGATGCGGCATCAATAGCATCTGAAACCCAGGATGGCCGGTGGTGGTTGATATGGAGTGTTAGCTGATGTACTGTACATTGAGGTAGATATGATTCGGTGTCTCTGGCACAGGTGGATTATGGCTTGTTTATAGGTAGCTCTTCGAAGTACGAAGTTGCATTGTTTTAACGTTGTGGTTGAGGTTGTGGTAGTTGTAGTGGTTGGAGTCTGTCGCTCTCGCCGCCTCTTCCTTCACCTCACCTGTTCATCTTTCTTCACCTCGCACCTCGCACCTCGCACCTCTCACCGCCAACATCAGCATCAACAATAATGGACTGGGGACTCCCAGGATCAATAATGTGGACGACAGCTCGAGGCCGAGGCTGGCCTATCGCAGCTGCCAAGGATCGACACCAGGTTGAACCAAATAGTGCGATCCCGATTTCGGCGGCTCTGTCTTATTCTCCCAAGCGTCCATGGTGTTGACATCTCCTGATGCATCCATCAGATATACGCCGTGCAACACGCTCCCCCATCGCGCTCTTCCCGGGTCGTTGCTTTGGACCAGACGAACCCAATTGGAAGATTCCGTATATGCGGTTGACGATTGCATCGAAAGCACTTGTTGTCGCACTCCATCGCACCTACACACACATAGCCTGACGAGGTTGGGGAGGTCGCGTCGCATCGCCTTCGCATCCGCATCCGCATCCACCCAGATCAGCATGCCAGTAGTCAGTGCCAAAGGCTCAAAGCAGCGCCTTATCTCCTCCACACTGTTCGCAGCGCCGTTGGCGGCACATAACAATCCGAACGAGCACCGAACTGAGCAATGCGGCCACCTGACAGGCAGTTGCTGCCCTTTGCTGCTGCCACTTGCTGCCCCGCGCTCAGCCTCTGGCTCCAATTTTCCGCCCAATTTCTGGAAATTTCTTCCCTCGGCCGCGAACAAAGTGCAAGTGCAAGTGACCCCGCGACAAGCCTGGACACACCTCAATTTTCTGCCCGGCTGCCAATCTGCCAATCTGCCAATCTGCCACTTCTGCTCTGCCACCCAGACAGACAGATCTGCTGCCAACTCTGCCAGAACCAGGGACAGCGCAAACGTAACCACCAACGGCCTGTCCCCCGACAGGCCAGCGGGCCGAGTTGGCTGTACGCAGTAGGTGAGGGTGCTCCCGGCTCAAGAGCTTTTGCTATAACTTTCCGCCACTCGTCCCCTTCTTCTCTTTCCCCCTCTGTCCTCCCACCATTAACCTTATCATCCCTTTTCCCTTTCCCCTCTCTGGTCGTTTAGTCGGGCTACTTTCCTGTCGACATCTTTCTTCCTTGATACCTACCCTATCCTCTTCTTCCTTCTCCTTGCGTTGCGCAAAGGGAAAGATAGAATAGAGCCGGATTTTGAATTGAACGCGAATTGAACCCTCGCTCTGTCGTTGCATCTCTTCCTTGCCGCAGAGTCCTCAATTCTCGAGTTCAACCGTAAGAATCAAGCCAGGCATACAAACAATGACCCTAACAAAGCAGAGTCCAAAAGTACGAGACCCCAACAAGTTTCCCACAGCTCAGCTGTTTCTGCTTGGTGAGTCTTTCCAAGTGTCTCCCACTTCATCTTCGAAAGTCTCCCCTCAAATTGTATCCAAACTAACACAACCCCCCTCTAGCGATTGTCCGTCTCGCAGAACCCATCGCTCTAACATCCATCTTCCCCTATGCCTGGCCCCTCGTCAAGAGGTTCCGGGTCGGCAACGAAGATGACGCCTCTTTCTATGCCGGCCTTCTCATCTCAACATTCGCCCTGGCCGAGTCCTTGACGGGCATGTTCTGGGGGGCTCTCTCCGACCGCGTGGGACGAAAACCCGTGCTGCTCCTCGGATGCACTGGCACAATGCTGAGTATGGTCATGGTGGGCTTCGCAGCAAATATTTGGGTGGCGCTGGCGGGGAGAGCTCTCGGAGGAGTCATCAACGGGAACATTGGCATCATCCAGACCATGGTGGGGGAGTTGGTCACCAAGCCCGAGCACGAACCTCGGGCCTATAGCATCATGCCTTTCGTGTGGTCAATCGGCACCATCCTTGGCCCTGCCATTGGAGGTTACTTCGCTGATCCTGTCGTCTCGTTCCCTGACACCTTTGCTAGTGATGGGCTCTTTGGGAAGTTCCCGTACCTGCTACCAAATTTGATCTGCTCTGCGCTTCTCTTGATCAGCATCGCTGCAGGCTACTTCCTGTTGGAAGAGACGCATCCGGACATGCAACCGCGGGTGCTGCTCCCTGCCACGACATACCACTCCGACGAGACTCCACTCATGGCCACCGCAGACGCCATCAAGACTCCTGCTGTTGACCTCCGCGCGGAGACATATGGCACATTTGAAGGCAGCGACGACAGTACTTGGCGACACTCCCAGCCAAAGACGAAACCCGTCAAAATTTTCACACCGCGCATCATTGCTCTGATTGTCGCCCTCGCAATCTTCAGCTACCATAGCATGTCTTATGACCATCTCCTCCCAATTTTCTTAGAGGACGAGCCCGGCACTCCCATCCCCACCCTGTCCCTAATCGCAAGGTCTGTGACTGGAACCCCGCCCCTCCGTGCCACAGGTGGCCTCGGTCTCAGCATCCAACAAGTCGGAATAATAATGAGCATAAACGGGGCCATCGCCCTCTTCGTCCAAGCAGTCATCTTCCCTTGTGCGGCCGAAATGTTTGGGATCTATAAGCTCTTCATAATTGTCTCCGTCTTGCACCCGGTTGCTTATTTCATTATGCCCTTGCTTGCCTTCCTGCCACCATCTTCGCTGTACTTGGGCCTTTATACATGTCTTGCGGTCCGCAACCTGCTCTCCATCCTAGCCTACCCGGTACTTTTAATCCTCATCAAGGAAGCTACACCCAGCCCTTGTGTTCTCGGAAAGATCAACGGCCTAGCGGCTTCTGCTGGCGCGGGGGCTAGAACCGTCGCTCCTCCGGTGGCAGGCTATCTATATTCACTTGGTTCGCGGTTCGAATTCTCCGGTCTTGCTTGGTATGCTTCAAGTTTTGTGGCTGCGATCGGCGCAGTGCAGTGTTTCAGCGTGAAGAGAGAGAGAAGTCAGTATGACATTGATGAAGGAGTGGACATGAAGAAGAATCCTATTATTGTTGTTACAGAAATCGGCGATGAATATTGAACATCGCTCTTAGATATCGTTGGAAAGTTATACCTGGATTTGCGAGGGGTCTGAAGCGAGGGGTTTTGAAGAGAGCAACGCATTTAGATGCATATGGATATTTGGGACGGCGTTTAATTGAAAAGTTGGGATTGGGATCGGGATATTTGCATGGGCATGGCGTTTGATAGCGTCTTAGCGAGTGACACGGTGCGTATTAATTCTCCTTGTTGAGCATAGTTATACATCGTAGGTTTACTTTCGAGAGTTGGAGATATAGGAATTAACTTGGGGGGTAATGGAAAATATAATGCAATATAATAAATGGACCATCTAGTACTTATGCTTGCACTTCGGCCGAGTGGGATACGATACCCGAGACCCCCTAGAAGCTTAAAGCCCCCCCTGTCCTCCTGCTTGAGCCAATGAAGCCCCCCAACCCGGGCCGGGCCATCAAATCCTCCCTTCAGAGTCTAGACCCGCGAATAGCAGCATATATCTCGTGTTCGGACATCCCGCTCCCGGAGTTTATTACCGGGCCTACAATACTGCAATCCCACCCAACATGACTGACTACTGAACGCTGCGCCGCAACTATCAACTAGAAGTTAAAGGACCTAGATTCCAAGCGTTTTAGCGCGTCAAATCATTTATGCTTGGCAAATGAACCAACCAGATCGCACTCATTTGTAGGGGGAAAAGGGGAGGGGGGCGAGTATTACTACGCTTAAAAGCCGCCCTGCTGCATCCTTTCGTAAACCCCATCGTCCTCCTGTCGAGTCACCACCAAAAAGCTTAGTCGCAAACACTCTCGTTATTAATTACAGTATTTCTTCACCTACGTTCGTTATTATAATCTAATATCACACACCAAAACCACGCTCATTTCCAGAATGTACAAATCCACAGCGGTCGTCGCGGCGTTGGCTGTTATGGGCGGTGTTGCCTCGGCGGCGGATTCTACTACGGTGCTTTGGTTGATTGGTTTTGATCAGCAGCCTGTTGTGGCATCAATTGTTGGATCGGTAGGTGTTTTTGGATTGATATGGGTTGATGGAGAAGTAGTTGGCTAATGATGGGTTCGGTGTAGGACTCGAAAGCGACGACTTATGCGCTTGCGTGCCCAACTCCAGAGAGTGAGGACTGTGGTGTTCCTACGGTATGTATTGGATCCGACGCATAGGCCGATAGATGCATCCGCTGATTATCTCTCCTCTAGGGCTTCACAATCACCCAAGGCCCTTCAAGTACGCGAAACCCTCCTGCTTCCCCACCTTCCTGCCTACCTAGCTAGCAGCAGAGACACTAACCCGGTCTTCCACAGCGCTCCACTACCTCCAGACAATGTCTGATGAGGGCCATGTAGCGTAAGCACCCACCCCCAGCGCATACGAATACCAGCAATAATACTAATCGGAAATATAGCACATACGATATGGGCTGCCAAATAACCAGCTCGAAAACTGGAACCTGCAGCGGGACCGTCGTTGAAATCGAAAGCGGCGGACAACCCAAAACCAGCATCCTGACCACTCCCATTGCCGCAAGTGACCTTGGAGGGGTGACGGTAACAATCACGGCCGGCGGCAAGGTGGCCGCAACCACGTCGGCTGCTACGGAGACGACGAAGCTGACTCCCTCGGGGAGTAAGGCGGATACTGGGTCGACGTTGAAGCCGACTGCCTCGGGGAGCAAGGCGGATACTGGAGCTGCTTTGTCGACGGGTGGTGCGGCTCCAACTGGAACTGGCGCCGCTTCGGGGGCCGGGGAGTCAAAGACCAGCACCGGAGGGATGCCGATGATCACTGGAAATGCTCAGTGGGTTGTCGGGGGTGCGGCGGCGGCGATTGCGATTGCAGCCTTGTAGTAGGGTTGAGGTGCTGGCAGGGTGGAGATTTGTATATTGTTAAGGACTGGAGGTGGAATCGCTAGGCGTTGTATATATAGTTAGTTATATATAATATATAACATAGTTAATATCATCAACATCAGCGGTTCTAGGGGAAGCTGTCGGGTTTTTTATTTGGCTATGGATTATTTGCTTTAACGGATAAGAGATAGTTTTATGGAAGTTGTTGGTAATTGTATTAAGGGGCATTCAAAGTAAAGGAAGACTAGAGACAAAGCCGTCATCAACGATATATATAGCGCATTATTGGGCGAATTTGGTGTACAACTCTGTTATTAGAATATCTGGCTAGTTGCAAAGTAAAGCTATTCCTAGATCTCTACCGAGCGTTTGTCCGCCTACTATATTCGTAAATATCTGACCGAGATTGAGGTATTCAAGTCGCGCGAATATCTCAATCCCGGTTAGATATAGAGGCCTAGGCTACGGGCATGAAGGCCTAGAGAGAAGGCCTAAGGATAGGAGGGGCTGTCTACTATCTACATTGTATAGGGAAGAGTATAGGAGCGCGGTATCGGGTTTATTATACACCAAATTTTCCCATGAATGCGCTATAGATGTAGCGTTGGATGGTTCTAAGAATAGCGATATCTATCCGGATAGTCCACTATCCGACAAAGCCCCAGGAGCCACCAATGCCACCACGTCCATAACTTCTGCTGCCGAGCCCCTCCAAAGGCTGCGGCGCAAAGCCACATCAAAGACCTGGGCTGTGGGATTCGTGTATTGGAGAAAGAGATGGTATTCTCAGGAAGCTAATCCGGGCGGGGATTACTTCCTGGTAAGCGAGTAGGCTAACTAATATGAGCGTAGTGCAACAGTTGCCCGGGACAACAAAAGAAGAGCTTTGCCACAAAGCAAGCAACGTGACGCCAGTAAGATTAAGTACATTTTGTGAGTATCAGTTCTGCAAAGCCCTTTCAAACGCCATGATCATTTCCCGCGATACATCCGTGCTTTTCATCCACCTGTCATATTCCGCCGAGAGTCCTTGAAACCGTATCAGATACTGGACAAACTCGCTTCCATGCGCTCGTCGCAAACGGCGTACTCGTAGAATCTTCTCAGCAATGGGTTCTTGTAATATTGTCTGCGAGAAAGGTCTCATAAAGGGATCATCTGCAGGATTAGGAGCTGGCTCGAGGTGTGCAATGCTAATGACTGGATGTATTTTCATTGTCGGGGGTAACTCAATGCGATACGCGAGACGGCCGACTCTTTCGATGATCTTAAATGGTCCTGCGAACTGCTGCTCTATTTTGATGTTCCGTTCTTTGAGGCCTGGTACACAATACCCGCGATGTAGTCGCAATGCTACAAACTCTCCAGGTTTGAAGAACATTGGCTTATGGTGTGCATCGTATTGCCGCTTCATAGTCATTGCTGCTAACATAATTGCGTCATGCGCGTCGATGTGTGACGGTCTGTAATTCGCAATGGTCGCTGGCTCGATTGGAAAAGCTGTTTGATGCTCCGCATCGTGCTCATGGGGCGCAATATCATCCTCGCCGATGTCAATGAGTTGCCGTGCAACGACATCGAGTGGTTCTTGAATCCGAGATCCGTATAGCACGACAGTGCTAGGTTGGCCAGTGCCCCGTGATGTCGAGTTACTCAATGCAGCGCTGAGTCGAGGGAGAACTTCTGGCCACTTGGTGATATCGTCAAGAGTCGTGAGATAGTATCGCAGCGCAATTTCGATGGTCTGGTTGGATCGTTCTGAAGCGCCGTCTGCGGATGGATGATAGGCAGTGGTGAAGAGTAATCGCGTGTGCATGCGAAGAAAGATAGATTGCCATAGCTCACCGAGAAATTTTGGGTCGCGATCAGAAATAATTGCGGATGGCATCCCCCACAGCAGAAGCAGCAGCCGATCTATGAGCGCCCAACCCCACTGAGCACCCGTCCATGTAGACTTGCCGGGGATGATTGTGACAGGCTTCGCAAATTTTTCGGTGACACTCATGGCAGCGTCATAGCCGTCAATGCTCGTCGGCAAGGCCAGGATGAAGTCGATGGAGATAGTATGAAACAGCTTGGGGGGAGAGATGATCGGTTGCAACGCGCCAAATGGCTGGTGGCGTGGCGTGGATGCGACGCGACAGTGGTGGCAATGCCAAAGGTATTCGCGGAGACGCTTGCTGGCATTGAAAATATAAAAATTGCCCGCAATTCTCTCATGAACTCGATCATATCCGGGATGCCCCAGCTGGTCATGCGCATTGTCGAATATGTCATGCTCCATAGCTTTGGGAACTACTGGACGGCGGTGATGATGTAGCACATCCGGTTTGGCATAGAGGATGCCACGGGCAGTGTAGAATGGTAGCCGCGCACGATTTTCTTCTGGCAGCTGATTGTTCTGCTGGATGATTTCAAGCAGCTTCACGCATCGTGAATCCCTTATGTATTCTGTTCTGAGGCGTTGTAGGAATTCTGGGCTGATTTGTACGACGACTGCTGGGTATGCAAGCTCGATGTCCGAATTTCCGCTAGATACTGCCGCAATGTGTCGCGATGTAGCTGGGGAAGACTGCGATGGCGGCATTGTGACAATTGAGCCCGACAATATAGATTTGGGGCGCGATGTAGCCGGGAGGAAATCTGATGTCTGGCGGGAATTCTGAGATCGCGCGAGAGGCGAAGCTGAATTGTTCCCGGGTGTGGCAGCTGGCGAAGGTGACAGGAATCCTGGGGAAGAAGATGGGATATCTGAGGAGGAAGAAGTTGGCGGAGATAGAAGGTTTCTAGCCTGGTGAGTTGCGCGCAATTGAGGGTTGTTGGGGATAGATGTAGGTGACTGCGCGAGCCGAGATAGAGCATCCGGGACCGTGTTCTTTCTTCCTGGCTTGTAACGGATCTCAAGTCTGAAGCGGGAGAGGTATTCGGATGCTCGGACGTGACGTGTGTTCATCCGGACCAGCGAAGTTGTATTCATTGATGTCTGGGTTGCAATCTGGAGAGAGGCGCCATGATCTGTGTAGACAATTGTAGGAAGCGATGCAGCTTCTATCATATGTCGAATCTTACTGATCGTCCAGCAAAGACCGGCGATCTCGAGTTCTGTGGGCCAATATCGCGTCTCTGCAGACTTGAGGACACGCGACAGGAATAGGATTGGCCGGATAGACTTCTGGGTGGGCGGGTCTGATGTTGAATGGTAGACAAACGCGCCGAAGCCTTGAATTGACGCGTCGAGGTCGGTATATAAACGCTGTGTTGGATCGAAATGATGTAGAATGTGAGGAGTCGCAAACGCGCCTTGAAGGTTTTGGAAGGCATTCACTTCAGATTGCGTTGGATTGGGGAGTGGTTGTTTGCCTGCTTCTCGTTTCCTCTTGGTGCCTTTGACATGACCTTTGGCGCGTAGCGCGTTGTACAGATCGGACTTGCGGAGTTGTAGTGGTTGGGACAGCTGGGCATAGCCGCGAATATATTGTCGCAAGTAACCTGTGAGGCCGAGGTAGTATTCAAGTTGTTTGAGTGAACGTGGGAAGCAGAGATGTGAAATAGCGCGCAATTTCTCTTGGTCTGTGGCGAGGCCGAGTGCATCAACACGTTGACCGAGTAGCTGGACAGACGGGTAGGCAAGGAATGATTTCTTTGCGGAGAGGTGAATCGAGTGGGCCGCCAGTTTGGTGAAGACTGCTCTGAGGTGCTGAAGGTGGTCTTTGAAGGTCCGCGAGAAGATGACAATATCATCGATATACGTTCTGGCGAAACTGCGTGACTGTCGTAGCAGAGTGTCCATGACGCGTTGGACATATGCGACCGAATTTCGATACCCCATGACAGCGCAGTTGAAAGTTTCTTGTCCCCGATGGCTTGCGACTGTAAGTTTGTGCTGATCAGATTGCTTCACTTTCCATTGGTAAAAAAATGAGGCACAGTCGATTGTGGAGATGTAAGGACAGCCAGCGATGGCAGCGAGGATATCAGCTTGGGAGGGAATGGGATAGGCGTCGGGCATTGTAATGTGGTTGAGGGCGCGAATGTCAATGACAACGCGTCCTTTCCGTGGTGTGGCAGCATCACTTTTCTTCCAGACAACAAAACAGGGAAATGTGAATGGGGTCGATTCAGAGGTCCAGCGCAATCGACCTTGGCGATGCAGTTCATCAAAAACCTCATCAATGACTCGACGATCTTCTCTGCCAACGGCGTAGACGCGCGCCTGGCCAGGTTTGTATTTTGTTTCCCAATTGTCAATGAGGGGGAGCTGCATTTCTTCACCATGTGGGGTCTTAGCAAAGGTAGAGCTGGAGTTACTGTCCCAAAGCGAGGCGAATTCTGACACAAGGGTTTGAAGGGCAGGTTGCTGGTGGCTTGAGCCGAAGACTGTGACGCCATTGCTCAGGATCATTTCAGTACGCGTGGTAGAATGCATCGCCAGTTGGGAACTGGACAATGCCGGAGCCGAGTATAGTGCGGTAGCTGTGGCAGATGCGAGAGCGCCTTTGCAGAGTAGCTTAGCCCAGGAACGTTTTGTAGGCCAAACAGCAGCGAGGTGGTAGGTTTCAATTTCCGGGATCGGCGACATTGCATCAACATCATCGGGGTCTGAGACATGACCGAGAAGCATATTTGCAGGCAATGAAATGATCTCCTCAGAATTGTTCTCGACGAGGACTGCGGAACAGGTGTGATCGATGAGATGCGCATACGTGGTGACAGTATCTTGCTGTTGTGGTTGGTAAATGAGGTCACGGGCGACCGGGAATTCCAGTGGGATACCCTTATGGCCAGAAACTTTCACCATGCGTCGCGAATGAGGCTGCAACTTACATACGTCTGCAGTGTAAATAGGCGTGTGCGATGCAGGACCTTTTGCGTGGGTGATGATGGGCAGTTTGACACCGGAGCAATGTGGTAATGTCACGACTTGTGCATCGAGGTCGATGTTCCAACCCTCGGGGACAGCAATGTCAAGTCCCAATAGAACATTAGCATCAAGGTCGTCTACGATATGAATTTCACGATGAAAGTGCGCGACAATATGTGTGCTAGTTGGGAGGTAGAAGTCAATGATAGTGAATTGATTTGCATTATGTTGACGATCTCCGATTCCGCGGACTGTCATCGGGGTAGGCATAGTTTGAATGACTGCGGTAGGAGCATACTTGCGCAGAAAGCCGCGATCAATCAATGACATGCCACAACCAGTGTCGAGGCAAGCCGATTCTGGATCATTATGCGGGCTGCCAAGTTTGAGCATGACCTGTGCATAGCGACGGCCGCGGAAAGCATAGCCTGGCTCAGCGAGACTTGGGGGCGCCGTGGATGTCACGACATGCATTTGACCTTCACCCTGTGCCGAACCATCCTGAGCTTGCATAGAAGATGAAGCTGGTGCTGATGAAGCTGGTGACGAGGGAATTGGTGCCGGCGGATGTCGGATAGGTATGACGCGCGGGGATCTGGCGCCCGAGCGCGCATTCTTGTGACATGTCCGAATATGTTCATGTAGCTTGTTTCGAGAGTCAAAATGTTGGAGGCATGTCACGCAGATGATCGGCGCAATTTCTGCAATGGCAGGCTGGGGGGCAATATGTGTTGTGACGCCCTTGCGCAATGGTTGTAGAGATTGAACAGCGGGAGAACGCGTTGCAATCGCGAGATGTTGGGGTGCATTTCCGGTATGGCTGGGGCGCGTAGGAGCATAATAGGTGGGATTGATGAAATGCGCGGCAGCATCAGGGTCGGAAATTTCGTCAGGTGGGTAATGTTCCGACTCATCAGGTTGGGGGTCGTCCATGTATGCTTCAGCATCTTCGAAGTAGACTGCATCAAACGGGTCGGGCATTGTGTCTTCCTGCTCCTGTGATGCCTCCTGATGTTGGGTATTGTAACTTCTTCCTGAGCGTTGCGGCTGGTTGAAAGTTTTGCGCTGGGGCGGTTGCCTATGCCAGCCAGATGTATTCTCTTCCTTGATGTGGGTGTCAGTATGTTCAGTTGTCTGGCGCGATGCAGGATTGTATTGAGATGAAGGGAAAGGTTGTCGCGATGCAGACTGAGAAGATAGAGATGACAGTTGCCGTTGAGGCTGAGAGGAAAAGGGTCTGGAAGACTGAAATTGAGCTTGAGAAGAGAATTGCGACTGCGCAATTGGACGTTGTGACTGAAAGCCTGGACGGTAAGAAGAATTGGATTGAAATTGAGGACGATTCTGCTGGAATGTCTGCTGTCTGCGGTCCCAATTGAAATGCATCTTACTTGGTTGCTGTGGTTGTTGCGGGAAAGGCCGATAAATGTCAAACCAGTTGGACTTAGCTGCGGTAAGTTGTTTGATGAAATCAGTCATCCGGGTGTTGTCAGCGGGTGTGGGTAAAGTGACACGCAATTGTGCATCAAGATGCTGGTAGGCTGTCAAGATCTGGGCGCGCTCTGATAATGCTGTGCCAGCATTCTGCGCCTGTACAATGATATCCTGGACGAAATCCTCTGGATCTTTTCGTGAACGGACATCACGGATGGTATATCTGGACGCTTCAAGTTTCTCAAGTGCAGCGCCAGGTGCATCACGGAAACGCGTCTCGAGCTCCGAGCACCAGAGATCGATGCCAGTCTTGAGGCCGGCGCGGGTGGTGGCTGAGATTTCGTTGGTGTACCAAAGCTCTGCTTTACCTTTCAGACATTGGTCAAGCTTTGCGGCGAGATTGATACTAGACCACGGGCCATTTGTGACGTTCTGCGATTTGACTCGAACGCGTGCAGTGAAGCTGAAGACATTATGGTAAGTGGTTTTGCCGTCAGTAGACTCGGAAGGTTTGGCATCATTATCTGGATCGAAATAACCGAGATCCTGCGGGCGGAAACGATCTTGAAATCGATCTTCGCCATTGCCAACAGGCGCGACGGGAGCAGCAGGCGCGCGCGCGAGTAAACCGTTCATGAATTGCTGGAATTGCTCAGGAGACATTGTAACATTACCGACATTGCCTACATTCTGATTCTGGCTGGGATTGGATTGCGCCATGATGTTGGAGGTCGAGGCTGAATTGACGCGTTGCTGTGGGATGGGTGGGTTGGGTGTGGTTGACGCGACGGCAGGTGTGCACGGACGCGAGACTAGCGTGTGACTCACTTCGTGACTCGCGCCTGAACTTGATTTTTCTGACTGATGACGGTAGGCAGTGAATTCTGGCAGCTGGGTATGTACAGCTTCTGCACTCGCGACTGCGTTTGAATATTTGTTTTTCCAATTCGGAGGGATGATCGGCGATGTAGAATCAGGTCGCGCAGCGTTCGTTGTGACGTGAGAAATAGCTTGTAGCTGCTCTGATGATAGATGAGATCGAAAGTTTGGACGCTCTGAAATGAGGGCTTGTAATTGATGAGCTTTGATGACGAATCGATCGAATGATGGCTGATCCATGTATGACGCGACACAACGCGACACAAGAAACGAGGGCAGATCTGCGCTGCGCGATCATGAAACGACCGTTGAACGCGCAGCACGGACAGAATAGATTAGATGAAGTCTGGATCGTTGGTATCAATTCTCCTGGTGCTGTTGCTGGTGGAGGTTGATTGTGGTGATGGTCATTGCTACCAACTTGTGGGATTCGTGTATTGGAGAAAGAGATGGTATTCTCAGGAAGCTAATCCGGGCGGGGATTACTTCCTGGTAAGCGAGTAGGCTAACTAATATGAGCGTAGTGCAACATGGGCTCTTTCATTTGTTGCCTGCCTGGCACACGCCACGATCTCTCGTTGGGTCGGCTGCTCGTCTTTGGCATCTAACTCAATTCCGACCTCATCGGGCTGTGTTCGCCGGCCCAGAATAGACCATGGAGAGTGAGACATCCGAGTTGGGGAACCTTCATCACACATAACACATCTAATAGCCGGTCTATAAGTCGACACTGTGTTGTATTCGCGTTTCATTCAGAGTATTCCTTTTATGCTCAAGCTTTCTGATATACAAGTCCTCCTCAGCGCATTCCTCACGTCATCCACATACATACGTCTTGTTTACAGTACCTCGCAGAGCAAGAATCCCACAAGCCGCGTATCTATCCGTCAGCCTTGGGGAAAATGTCGAAGAGAACAGTCTTCACGACAGTGACACCGCTGCCAGCGATGGTCACTCGCGAGACGGTCCTGTCCACATTGCATGACCATGTGGAAATGATCTTATTGAACCCCCTCGTTGAGGAGCAGCATCCTATCAAGCCTCCTCCAATTGCCACCGCGGAGGAGTATCACTGCCAGTGGTATTCCCTCACAGACCGAGTCCAATATCTGCCCGGCGGCCTGATGTCCGGGAAAGTAACCTACCAAGCATGCTTCCACGATCTCGCAACAGGACTCCAGACACATTGCTACGCGCCCATGGGGTTGAATATTCGCGGGAAATGGACACTCGGCGGGTCGCTACCAGGGGAACCAGTCGCGCCCGTGGAGCTGGGCGTCGGTGTACCGCTCCAGGGACTATATCTGCGCGAAGACGTGGACATGAAGTGCAACATGATGATGACGGGGTTCGTCAAGAAAACGCTCAAGAAAGCCCACGTCTCGCTCGTCGACAGACTAGTCGTCAAAGCCCAAATCCAATCCGCGGCGGAGGAGAACCAGAGACTTAATACCGATCAAATACCAACCACCAGCCACACCCCTCCGATCTCGCGATTCTCCACCCAGCATACGCAGAGTAGCTCCGACAGCAAGACAAACAGCCGTCACGATGACGCTCCCCCTCTGTACCAACACCCCGCGCACCGAGACCAGATGCACCCCAGCGACAGCGCTCTATACCCCGAAGCCCTCAGCGTGCGAAGCTCGACGACGTCCTTCGGCGGATCTGCGGATGGCAGTAATTTCAGTGGGAGACCTTCATATCAGGAATCAGTGGCGGGGAGTCAAAACAATCGGGTATCATGGCAGCAGCTGAACCCGAATAGACAGAGTCCTTCCATGCATCCAGTCGAGGCGGGGTATCAGAATACGGATCCGTACCGTCATTCAACGCAGTCTTCTCTATCTGCCGACTTTTCTGCGAGGTCCTCAAGAGGCGATCCGAGATATTCGAACCCTCTTCCTCCTCCGCCGCAAAAGTCACGTCCTGCGGAATTGGAGTGAATTACTAGGGGATAGTACGGGTGCGGGAGTTTAGGGGCAAACGAGGGCATCATGATACCCTACTGATAATATACTGCTGCTGGTGCGGCAGATGCAGATAGCATATTAGGCGTTTTAATGGAATTATATCGACCTCTCTAAACAATTATACATATACATCAATCAGAATTTCAGAGACTGCTCTTGCCGTCGTTTTCGTGGGTATCTTAATGGTACAGGACATTAATTGTATCATGATGATGATGATGATGCTTTTTGCTTTTCCTCGTCAGCCTCCTTTTTTACATCTAACTTCTCGTCTCGTTTTGGGTCTTCTTCGGTAGCCTCGACAGCTGTGGCTGTGGCTGCGGCCGGGGCTGCTTCTACTTCTTTGGCAGAAGCTTCCGGTGCTTCTGTTTCTTCAGTGTCTTTTTCAGGCTCGGTATCCTCCTGCGGCTTTGTTTCTGGCTCTTGTAGCTCTTCTTCCTTTTCCTGGGGCTCTACTGCCTTCTCTTCCGGCTCCACTGTCGTCTCCTGTGGTTTTGCTGCTTTTTCCTGTAACTCTACTTCCTTCTCCAATGACTGTGGCGACGAGTTATCCAAAAACGAAGTTGGCGAAGTCGCAGCAACTTGGGTTTCCACCGATTGAGGCTCCGTCTCTTCAACAGGCTCGGGCTCTGCTGCCTCCAGTGTAATGTCACCGTGTTGTGGAATTTCATATGCTTCTACAATTACCGGGACATCTGCTTCCCCCCCCTCTTCTTCTGCGATGCGTAGATCCCCCAGTTTCTGAGTTACATCTGGATCTTCTTCATCTATTTCCATAACAGTTGTGACGGCAGATCCAACGGAGGGTGACTGTCGGATGTGGCGTCTGGTATTGGTATTCGCACGACCAACGTTCATAAAATCATCCTCCATCGATGGCGGCTTACTGCCAGCATCGGACTTCAAAATCGATGGGACTGCCGCTCTTGCTTCCTCCACGGGTTCTAATCCCTCGGCCTCAGGAGGCAACTTATAATTCTCAGCCGGCAGCAAATCATAAGTATCACAGACAGTCTTGAATAGAACATACAAGCCTGTCTGCCCCTCGACCTGCCAAAATACCCCGCGGTGTTGAAACCAGGCGTGTGCGAATATCCGATGTAGCCGTCTGAAAATATTGATCAGATGCTTGACCCCAGCTCCCCGCTCATCCATAGCATCTCCAGCACCGAGACTCAGGCGGCTGGGGAATATCTTCTGGCTTGTGACAATGTTCGTAGCCCAGTCGAGTGTGTGGCAGCAGTAATCGATTGCACAGCAGCTCTTCGGTGATTCGTGAACGGCGCATAGGAATTGCCACTCGCTAGCACGCATCTCGGGACACGTTGTTGCGGAGCATGGAGGGTCGTCAAATAAAAATCCAATTATGAGGTCGTTGCATTTGTTTATCAGGAACCGGCAGAGTTCGTAGAGCCAAAGTCCGCGGTCCACACCCTCAGGCGGCGCGGCAATCAGGATCGCGGTTTCGCGGTTTATGGGGACGGAATGGTCGGAGTCTGAGGGTTTGATGTAGTGGTGATGGAGCGCCTTTAGGTGTTCTTGTAGTTGGAACGCTGAATCGAGCTGGGGAGGTGTCAGCCTGCCGTTTCGACATTGCGTGTTTTTCGGACTTACTTCACTCAAAGGTACGAGAGGAGGTCCGGCAGCCATGTCGGCAGCCTTAGTTCCAGGATGTATTCTGCGGCTTGCATTGGCGTCAATGACGCTCTGTTCGATGGAGGCCTCTTGACTTGAAGAGGCTCCATGGGATGGTGATTTGGGTCCAATCTGAATCTCTGTTGGGGGAGGTGGGCTTGGGAGCCTCGGAGAACTTGGTGGAAGCGACATATTGCTATGATTTGCAATGGCTCAAGAGCTAAATGCAAATCAGTACATGAAAAAGTTGTTGGAATAGAGTTGGAGCGACAACGCGAAGCGCTTAGGCTTCAAAGGTGTAACGCGACCTCGAGGGAGCTTTGGTGTTGCTTACGGCGGAACTTCGGCTCAGCCTGCCTACCAAACAGCGCCCTAATACTGACAAGGCAATTGTGACAGTGGCAATGCAAACCTCAACCTTTACACTCGAAAAGCCTAAAATGAATATCGACGACGAAGAGCCCCCACCGTTACTCGTTGACGTAGACAACGCGGGGGATGGACTGGAAGAAGAAGCCATTGTCAAGGTTCCGATCACCATCGTCACTGGCATGTTACATCACGGTTTCAGACTCGAGATAATATATATCTAACTAGACCCAGGATATCTTGGAGCTGGAAAAACTACGCTGATGAATTACATTCTAAATGAGAAACATGGCAAGAAAGTCGCTGTCATATTGAACGGTGGGGATTCCTAAAGCCCCAACCTTGAGCTCCATTACTCACTCCTAGAAACAGAATTTGGAGATTGTGAGTAAATACCAGAAGGCTTAACTCGGTAATGAAGATAGTAATACTTTTCAGCCGTCGATATTGAGAAATCCTTAACTGTCAACAAGGGCGGAGAACAAGTTGAGGAATGGCTAGATGTTGGCAACGGGTGTCTTTGCTGTTCAGTGAAGTAATCTTCATCCTTGTATGCCTTCCAAATTCATTTTACTAATATTTTAAAATAGGGACTCGGGAGTCAATGCAATTGAGCAACTCATGGACAAGAAGGGTGCATTTGATTACATCCTTCTCGAGACTACCGGGTTAGCAGACCCTGGAAACCTCGCGCCCTTGTTCTGGGTTGATGAGGGACTTGGTAGTACGATTTATCTAGATGGCATCATTACACTCGTTGATGCCAAGAATATCCTGAAAAGCCTTGACGAGCCAGCACAAGATGCCATCTTATCTGAAGACCATACCGAGCATGACGGTCACGTGGGGCCTTTATTGACCACAGCCCATATGCAGATATCTCATGCAGATGTTATCATCCTCAATAAGTCGGATCTGGTCAGCGAAGAACAGCTTCTTGCAGTGCGGGAGCGGATCGAAGCTATCAACGGCTTGGCGAAGATTCACGTAACCCAGCGAGGGGAGGTGCCGCAGCTAGAGGGATTTATCTTGGATCTTCATGCTTATGATAACGTGGGTGCATTGAATGTTGCAGATAAAGGACACAGTCATTTAGACCCGGTATGTATTCTGGTCTCGCCTGTTCGTAATTCAAACATTAACAGATCCAAGTCTGTAGCAACAGTCACAATTCCTGTCCCAGTCCTAGCAGTGGAACAACTATCGGGTCTCGATGCATGGCTTAGATCGATCCTCTGGGATTCGAAGCTGCCCTCTGCCACAAATATTGCTTCTGCTGATGGGGCCAACGACACCGTTGAAATCCACAGACTAAAGGCAAGACTACCGTTTTCGGATGGAAGCGTTAAGATTGTGCAGGGTGTACGAGATGTGTTCGAGATTCTAGATGCGCCGAGTGGAGATGCAGCAGGAGACTCTGAAGGGAAGATTGTGCTCATAGGGAGATATCTTCTAGATAGGCCGTTCAAGGAGAGCTTTATTGCGGCCGTCGGAGCTCAATAACACGGGGTTTTAAATACACATACCCTAGTTAGCTGATCCTTATCATTACCCATGAAAGCAGTGGTGAATCAACTGAATCGAATCCACTGTTCGCTTGGGCCATATATTATTATACGTGAGTCGCGATCAGTTGCTTTCGTCCATCTGGCTTCAAAGACAACCCCTTTCTATTCCGCAGAATGCGAAGGGAGTCCCACCAACACCGAATCCACGCTCATACCAACCCGAAAAGCGAACAACAACCGTAATCATTCTACAATAATACCTCCCCATAATAATCCTACTCTCAATAATGCCTTAATTATAATAATATAATTCTCCGTCCAGACGATTTTCTTTTACTTGAAGTAGGAATAATTAATCTCTTGTATAATAATCCGCAAATTTCGCTGTCTCGACCTACTTCACAACTAAGTATTATTATGAAAATAATAGTATTTGTATAAGAGGGCTCCCTCTGTTCCTCATATTGTCTCTTATCTTAAGTATTCTTTTTTTTATAAAGATTTGTTTTGCATTCTCACTTCCTTTCGCATATTTTTGTATGTTTTAATATAAAACTATCTACGTGGCTAAAGCGCATTTTTTTTATAGAGATAATACTAGATAAGTTTTTAAGCTCAGATTTACCACTAATAATAACTTTCTGGAACTCGGCATCTCGGAATCTCGGAATCTCGGCACCGTGGGTATCATTGTATTTGAATCTTAGCATAGACTGGCAAACTGTAGAGTTACATATATACACCCAGGCAATACGCTACATAAGTATCTTTTAGCAACAAGTAAGTAATAACATTGAACTGTAAATTTTGCATTAGTCTTGTATACTTACCTTGGCGGAGGTGACTTTCAGGGTAGGTTCATCTAGTGCATAACCCATTACGGGGAAGTACTCCTTTAGAGTAAGCAGCGGCTACCTGAATATTTTGACTACGTACAACAGCTAAGAGGGTATGTGCATTTGTCTCAAGTCAAAGATAGCTTTGCTAAAAGAATTGCATCATGTTCGAACACTGAAGTAAATGTCATAGAGGGCAAGGTAGATATATCACAGCCTAGGTTAGTCATGTCACCCAATACAAACCTCAAGAAACAAGTATAAGAAGGCTCCAAGTCATCTAGCAAAAATTATCAATTTTGTATCTCATCTCCTCTCCACTGATCTACATTACATAAAACAGGAAACCCCGCAAAAAAGAACCCCCAGGAACTAAAAGAATCGAACCCTATCCATTCCCTTCCAAAGCCAGAAACCGAGCTGAGCGGAGCCGAGTTTTTGCGAACAGCCGAAAGATTTTGAAGTCGAGATCTATCCATCTGGTAGAGAACTGGAGAGCAATGAGGAGGGGGGGATGAGTTGAGTCGGGTGAATGAAAAGAAACTAGGATTAAACAAATCTGAAGGGCAAGTTTTTGAACCCAACAATGAGAGAAAACACCGGAGGAGTGACCTTCCCCGAAAACGGAGAAACGAGGAGGTCTATGCAAATAATAGCCATTAGCCCATCCAGGAGATACATTAAACATCTCCAAAACCGAAACATTAAACCAGAACAGAATCCTTGGCTATGAAAACAAAACGAAAAGTCGAGGCAAATAATCTGAGGCTTAGAACACCAATCCAATCAACCCAGCAAGAGGAAGCACCAATGCTCTTCCGACAGCTTTCATGCTGGCAGCGCCAGTGAACTCCACGTGTGGTGCTGTAGGTGGGCTGCTTGGTGCACCTCCGCTTGTTGGAGAAGGACGAGGAGCAGGAGGTGGGGGAGGAGCGACGACGTTGCCATTTCCACTGTGGTTGCAGTTTTCGATGCCATTGCAATTTCCATTTCCGTCTCCATGGTTGCCATTGCCATTGCCATTGCCGACGTCGCCCTTGCCTCCGTGGTCGCCCTTATCTCCATGATCGCCCTTATCCCCGTGGTCACCTTTGTCTCCATGGTCGTGGTCTTCATGGCCAGGTGGGGGAGTGACGACGTTGCCATTTCCACTGTTGTTGCAGTTGTCGATGCCATTGCAGTTTCCATTTCCGTCTCCATGGTTGTCATTGCCATTGCCATTGCCGACGCCGCCCTTGCCTCCGTGGTCGCCCTTATCCCCGTGGTCACCCTTGTCTCCGTGGTCTCCATGGTCGTGGTCTTCGTGGCCAGGAGGGGGAGGAGTGACGACGTTGCCATTTCCACTGTGGTTGCAGTTGTCGATGCCATTGCAGTTTCCATTTCCATTTCCATGGTTGCCATTGCCATTGCCATTGCCGACATCTCCATGGCCGTGGTCACCCTTATCGCCGACCGAGCAGGTGCTGTTATTGCCGTGGCCGTGGCCGTGGTCATGGTCATGATCGTGGTCGTGGTCATGATCGTGGTCGTGGTCGTGGTCATGATCGTGGTCGTGGTCGTGGTCATGATCGTGGTCGTGGTCGTGGTCATGATCGTGGTCGTGGTCGTGATCGTGGTCATGGTCGTGGTCATGATCGTGGTCATGGTCGTGGTCATGGTCGTGGTCATGGTCATGGTCATGATCATGGTTGTCATTGTCATTGTCATTGTCATTGTGGTTCTCATTGTGGTTGTGGTTCTCGTTCTTGTTCTTGTTCTCATTTTCGTTCTTATTCTTGTTCTCATTTTCGTTCTTGTTCTTATTTTCGTTCTCATTCTTGTTCTTATTCTCGTTCTCATTCTTGTTATCATTGACATTGTGGTTGACATTGACATTGTGGTTGTCATTTTGGTTCACGTTCAAGTTAGCATTGACATTCTTGTTGGCATTCTTGTTGTCGTTATCGTTGCCATTATGGGTGTCATTGCCAGGCCCAACGTCACGGCGATAATGAGGGTGGTTGCCACTGCGGTTGTCATTGTCGTTGTCATTGTCGTTGTCATTGTCGTTGTTATTGTAGTTGACGTTCCAGTTAGTATTGACATTATAATTGTCGTTATCGTTGTCATTGTCACGGGGGCGATGAAGGACAGTGGCACCAGCGTCGAGGTTCGTATTCAGGACATCGAGGACCTCGACAGTGAGCTGGTCATCACCTGCCATCGCCGCAGCCGCGACATCTTTGCTAAGCGCGCCGGTGGCAAACGCCACAATGAAAGCTGCGATAGCTGGCCTCATGATGAATGTAGAGAGTCGGTTTGGAGTATTAAGGGGTAACGAATGTGGTAGTGGGGGGGGATATAAAAGAGTGTGTGTGGGGATTTCCAAACAAAAAACGAACTGTAAAAGAGTGACTGGATCCTGTGGAGCCGGAGATGAGATGATTTTGCTGGATGATGTTGAAAAAAAGATTGGGATGGGAGGGAAAAAGCCTCCTCTTTTAATAGGAAAACTCCATCATCCCTTCGAACCGCAAGATCGCGGATTGTCTCTCGAAGTAAACTGTAACTCGAACCTAGAACAACCTCAAATGCCAATACTGAACGGCGGGCGTCGAATCACAGCAGGGGAAACTGGTGCAGATCAGCGAGAGCATTCTCTCCGCTCCAGCTTCGGATGTTTGGTGTCTTGCATGGAGAATGCTTGGAAGCTTCGTGAAGAAAGGATGCTCGTAGCTGAAGCGCGTGTGGTGCTGAAGAAACGGCGGGGAAAGGGCGATCGGACTAAAGACTTTCCTGAAACATTGTAGAGAGAGGAATGGGATTTACATTTTATGGAGTTCATGCTTTGGCTTGCATTTCTGTGCCCTCGCGCGAGGAAATGGTCTCAGTTCGCGAAATATGAATACCCCCTCATTCCATGTCGGTCAGTCGGCTGAAATAGAAGTGAGATGTTTCTGATGACGGTCAAATCACATCGCATACTAAATGTTTTGCTCTATGCAACTCTGCACAGGGCTTGATTTCAAATATTTTATTTTGTTGCCGTGCAATTAATTCTATGTATGTTTTCGTGAAGCTCGATGTTTAATAGCAACGCCTTTCCATTTTTAAATGTCTGAAGGCAGCAATGATGTCTTTGAAGACACCAGTATACCATTCCCCTAACCCCCCCTCCCTTCCATCCCATTCTCCCATACCCCGTCCTCAATCTACCTTCGATCGCTCGACTGAATGAATTGTGCAGATGATGCAGAGTCTCTTTTTCTAATGAACCATTTCGGAAAATACCAGAACGCCGGAAATGCAATGTGTACAAGGAGCAAATTGTAGCCGTATCGGGCAGCCAGATGCAAGGTATCAAATGCCCCCCCAGCCAGCGGGCATTAAAGTCATTAATTTGACTTCGAAAATTATTTCAACATGGTGAAACTCTCGAAATCATAGGGAATCTATGCAGTCGCTAAAAGCAATTTTTTCCATTATGAAAGGGGGTCGATTGATGCCGGTTGTCGGTGACGAAGATTGATTGATTGATTGACACACTGATTGTCCAAGGTGACGTTCGAGAAATAGGAACAGGATGGTCGTTACGCTTTGTTTGTTCCGGGTCATCTGTTGGATCTGCTCATGGTGCGTTCCGGCATGTTCACATGGTTGAATCGAGCCGGGATGGAATCAAAATCGTAGTTCTTAAGAGTTTGTTCGTACTTGGGGCTCTTCATGAACTTTGGCACGGAATCCTAGCCGGCGATGTTAGTAGTGGACGAAACGAGTTGGGATTCTTGAACTTACACTAGCCATGAGCTTGAAAACAGATACCTGGGCCTCCTCGAAGAGTTTGGTGACCTCCCTTAAGCTATCGATCATTGCCGAATCCTGTCCCACGGCCTTGGTCATTCTCGTGGCGAGTTGATTTCGAAGCAGGTGGTCGATGTTGAGCTCGCAAGGCGAGCCAGGTGCCAAGAATGCGTTATAGATACCGTAGGCAGAGGCCATGGTCTCCTTGACAGAATCCAAGGAAGGGCTCTTGCTACCAGCTGCTCTTGAGGGCGAACCGGCTTTGATTGCAGCCCGACACGACCTGAGGAATTCATCCACGTCAAGATAAAACGATAGGTTTTCTTCGCAATGGGTGTCTCGCAGGTTCTCTCGGAAGAGCAGCCGGAGTGCCGCATCGTTCAGGATCTTGTCTAACTTCTGCGTGTTGGAATCACGGGAAACGCCTGGCCGTGCGCAGTGGCTGTGGTGCCAGAGGATTCACCACCGTCCGAGGCACGCTCCCTCGAGGTCATCGAAACGACATCCTTCCCTTTCTGCGTTAATTGATAGATGGCGTTCTTTGCTGGTTGGAATTTGGCGTCTTTTTCTTGCTGGTTCGATTGTGCCAGGTACAGACGATCAGACTGAACACACCATATCAACCCTTGCTCTAAGAAATTCGTGGCGATCTCAACCGTCTCCCTGCGGTCAACCGTGGTGCAGCAATCCATCAACCAATCCGCGGCAGCCTTGCCCGTGAAAGTTTGAAGGACAGTTCGCTGTGGCGACCCAATTTTACGCTCGCTAGCCATCTTTACACCGGAAAGCCCGTCCTTGTATTCGCTCAGCGAGTCTGAATCGGCAGAGCTGAGGGTGGACTTCACGTTCGGGCCATTCTGACCTACAAAGCGGCGGAAGATGACCTCGGTGGTGCTACGATCGGCGGATAATTTATCGGTGGCCTGATCTCTCTCCAGAATTACCAGCTGCATCGTGTTCCTGGACGAGCCCACCAATTCGGTGACATGCCTCTGCTGAATGCCATTCCGCGAACAAAACCTCTCCAAGACATGGATGCCCTTGGGAGTCAACTGCCACACGGAACCTTTCAAGGTGAATTCCCTCGCCTGCTTCCCATCCGCGGACTCGATGAATCGTGCGTCTAGAAAACGCTGGCATACAGACCGAGCCATCTCACGTGCCATGGAAAAGGTCGTGGTGGTAGTGGTCGTCACAATACGGGAGGAATCTTTCGGATCAGGCATTCGATTGGACTGCGAGAACTTGAGCGACCCTAGGTTGTTGATCGCCTCTTCTGACAGGAACGAGTGCTCGACCCTGGTCAACCGAACTCTGTGAGGTGCCAGCGGAAGGCTGACCACCAAAGTTGAAAAGAGATCCTTGAAGTCCTACACAAAACATTAGCCATATGTCTTCCAAACATCATACCGCCCGCCAAATAAATCTCACCCTCGTGAACGGCCGTTCATCCGACGTCATGCGCAATAAGCGCGAGGAGGTTTGATGCATCTTGTTCGGGTTCGCCACTGGAATGAATGCAATTGGGGGAGGGGCGTCCGCGGCGGTATCTGAATACGCCTGGGAGGGCGGATCCGTCTCAAGAAGAGAACGGCGTCGGCTGAGGGTCTTTGGCGGGGCACTCGCTAGCGACGCTATATTTGCTGGATTGCTGATAGATGGGGCGGAGTCGAGTTCGAGGGCCTCTCGCGGCTCTATGCTCTCCGGCCCAGCAGATATATTATTCGCCCTGGCTAGCAGCGAGTTGGAGATGGAGGCGGGCAGACTGCGTGCGGAGAGGTGCAGGCTATTCGACGAGGTGCGATGGCGCAACGACTGGTCGGAGGGTTTCTTGAGTGGTGAATAGCCAAAGGTGAAGATCCCGACAGGCACCTTCCGCGCAGTTTTGACGGCACTGGTGGACAGGGCAAACTGACGATGTCTATATGGGCTGCTCTCGCGGTTGGATTTGTTGTTGTTGTTCTTGTTCGAAGCAGAGTTCGACGAGGGCACTAGAACGCGGGACGGCGGCTCGGTCGTGTCGGGGACTACTTCCTGGGCGGGAGCGGGGGGGATTGGCGCAACAGGACTGAGGAGAGGTGAGGCTATTTGAGGAGGTTGCGTGGGTGGGTGAGGCTGAGGCTGAGGGAGGTGTTGTTGTAGTTGCGAAGGAGGATGGGAGAGTAAGATTGGGATTGGGATTGGGATTGGATCTGGGTTTGAGGAGTCTGGGACCGGGACTGGGACTGGGATTGTCGGCGCAGGGCGAGTCGACGTGGGTATGATGGGCACGACGGCGGTGGACGACGATCTGGTCGTCGCGGCGGTGGTGGCAGCGGTGGTCGTGGGCGCGGTAATAAGAGTCGTGGTTGATGCTGTTGGCGTAGCAGGAGTAGATGTTGGAGCGGCGGTGGGCTGGGATAGAGCCATCTACTCCGACGAGAGGTTCGTAGGGACCTGGGACTGGGATTGGGTGGAGGAGCAGCGGAAGAGGACGAGGGACGGAGTGAGTGCTGTTCGTTTATTCGACGAGGAGGAGGTTTCGTGACAGAAGTGGACTTGCCAGCTAGGAGACTAGGAGACCAGGAGGCTAGGAGAGTTAGGAGACTAGCAGCAGCAAGTTTCCAGCTGTCCTAGGCATATACAGCACACTAGTAGTGTACTGCACTGTACTCTAGTAGTAAGTAGCAACAAGTAATAATAATGAGTGAGCATGAACCGAGCACGAGCAGGAGCATGAGAGCAGCCAGCGATCCACCACCGCCAGCCGGGGCAAAGAAAGGCTAGAAAGGGTAGAACGCCTAGAAACTGGCTAAGAAAAGGCTAAGAAGGCTGTTCCTAGTCGGTTTCCCAGTCCACGTTGTACAGGCACCGGGGGGCGGAAGGGCGGTGGTGGCGGTGGAGGG